ACGTATAGCTATATAGGCGGATTACTACTAGTAGTCTTTGCTTGCCTTTTAGCATATTCTTCTTCTAGTAGGGAGGTCTCTTATAGTAAGCGCCTTGCGGTTAGCACCTCGTCTAGGGATTTATTAAGAAACTAGCAGGCGCCTTGTGATTAGCACCGCGCGTGGGGGATAGTTATAGTTAGGGAAGTTATTATCCCTTATAGGATTTGTGTTGGAACGGTAGGTAGGAATCTCGTAGATAGTACGATATCCTTATAACAGGGTATTAGAGTAAGGGAACTTGTACTTATGAAGTAGGGCTTTAATAGTAAAGAATGTATAGGCTTATATTGAAGCTGAGTTGGTTGAGGAACTAATAGCTAGCTAAGGGAGAGAATTAGGCTAGTTATATAGTAGTATAACGTCGCCTATAATAGCTAATATAGGAAGCTATAAGCTAGGTTTAGTATACGTAAGTATATACGTCAACTAGCTTATAAAGCAGCTTATAAATCAGACTAGAATCTTCTTTAACTAAATAGACTTTTAGATAAGGTTAAAGAGAGTATTCCATAGGGATCTGAATATCATATGTTTAAACTAGCAAGCAGCCATTCTTAGCTAGTTACTTTTGTAAGTCCTACTAAGTCTTAGATAAGACTAAATAGGATAAATAAGTAAAATAGAAGTATAATATACTTATACTTCTAACATATTATCTAGTATACTATCTATTAAAAGCCTATTAAAAGTAAAAAACTTATAACTAGTAATCCTAAACTAGATAAGACTATCGTTAAAAAAGCGATAGTACCTACTAATATATATCTTATATCTCCGCTACTAGAAAACCTATTAGAGACTACTACTATACCTCGTAATAGTATTACTAACGAATTAAATAATAACGAATTCGTCGCTTCCGTAGAAATAATAGAAACTAATTACTAAGACCTTAATTCCCTTTCTACGATTGTTAAGGAAGTAATAAGTTAACTAGCAGAGTCTTCTCGACCTTGCTACGCCTTAGCCTAGCGACTACCTAGTTACTACCGAGCCGCTAGTAGCATACGCTCTTATACTAAAAAGACCTTCCTATCTACTAATATTCTAGCTTTACTAACTTCTTATTAATTCTCTCTTAGCATGCTTTCTACTACTGCCTTTTCGAAAGTCCTACCCGACGGCGTAGTAATCCCGAAGTCCTACCGTAAGGCGTAGAAAAGCCTATAGTAGCCCTAGTAGGAATAAGCCTTCGAACGAGAGATAACTTAATTTACGGAAAAGGGGGTTTACAAAGTCGTTTACTTACTACGTAATGCTAAAGTCTTGCCTAGCAAATAGGTATATAATATTAAAATAAATAAAAATAACGAAATCGTACGCTATAAGGCTTGATATATAGTTTATAAAAACTATAAGAAAAGTAACTAGTTATTATAAAAGGTTTATGCTATAGTTGCTTCTACTACCGTAACCTGCCTTTTCTTTATAGTTATTATACTTCTCGATCTCGAATACGAAGTATATAATTTCGATACTGCTTTCCTAGCTGCCTCGATTCTAGAAGGGGTTAAGGTATACGTGTTACGACCCGTTGGACATGGTCGCCAACACGACCCCGCCTGGATCCCGGCGGCTAACGCAGGGCATATGTAACCCAGCCGGACAGGTGTAACCAGGGATCCTCGGAACGGAAGAACTATGGACAAGTCACGTGGCCTCGGGGATAACGCGGGGTAAGGACAACCCGGGCTGGATATGTTGGATATGTCAGATATCCAACCGATCCCCGGATATGTTGGATATGTCAAATATCCAACCGATCCCCGGATATGTTGGATATGTCAAATATCCAACATAGCCAAGATAAGGAGGACCGTTCAGGACTTGTATATAGGATGGACTCGAGCCGGGCTCGAGGACAGACTTCCATAGCTCTTCAGCAATCAACTTTGTGATTACCCTAACCGGTACTTTCAGCTATACCTAAGTGACGACTACTCTACGACTCTTGTTGAGGCCTTGACTGATCACCAAGACCTTTGAAGATCTACGATCTATTCGACCAGGACCACGGAACGACTGTTACTACTCTCAATCCCTGGCTTACTGTTAACACAAACCCACTGTCAGTTAGCTGGCCGTAACAATACGTCCAGCCCCCTGCTAGCTATACTACTATAGATAATAAAGTTTAGCTACTTTATAAAGCATTCTATAGATTAAGAAAATTACTATTTTAGTAGTTTCGACTTATTAAAGGTAAAATAGAACGAATTAGCTTTACTATTATTAATAAGGAGGTTTATCTCTTCGTTAACTATAAGATTAAAGCATACGTTCTTATATACGTCGACGATAACGCTATCGCCGCTCCTAATAAGCAAGTTATGATAGAAGTTCGTCGTCTCCTCGAGAAGGTCTATTCTCTTAAAAACCTCGGCAAGGCTACCGATTTTCTCGGTTTCTAGATTGAACGCGACAGAGCTGCTAGTAAGATTTTCGTTTCCTAAGCTAAGTATATAAAAGCAGTACTTTAACGATTCGACTTTAATAGTTTAAGTATTGTCAAGACGCTTATAGCGACTACTAACGATCTGCCTATTACCTAGGATAAGAACGAGTGCTTGCTTAACGAATAATAACTTTATATCGAATAAACCGGCTGCCTTAACTTCCTAGTAGCTAGAACTTGCGTTAACATAGCTTATACCGTTAGTAAATTATTATAAGCGAATTAAAGCCTTCTAAGGCCTATCTTCGTACTATTAAGTACTTATTCCGATACCTTAAAGGTACCGTTTATCTCGGTATTATACTTAGAAGCATCTTTATAATTAATAAGTTAAGGCTTTACGCTATTATAAATACTTCTTTCGCTAATAATAAGCTATTACGAGTCTCGATAGGTAGTTACGTCGTCTTCCTTGCTAGTATGCCGATTGCTTAGAAGTTAAAGAAATAGACTTTCGTAACTTTAAGCATTACGGAGGCTAAATTTATTAATCTTATACTTATAATAATTATTATAAAGTAGATTAGACGTTGCCTTTCCTAACTGCTTAGCAAACCTATTACTATGCCTACTATTATATTTACTAATAATACTAACGGCTATGATAACGTTATAAACCTACTTAACAAGGCATAAACCCGTTATATCAACGTCTAATATAAATAGATTATATAAGAGGTTTATACTACGAAAAGCATCGAACTCCGACTTATTAAGGGCGTTAATATAGCCGCCGATAGACTTACGAAGCTACTAGTTACGGTTAAACATAAGGAATTCGTTCGTTTGTTAGGCATAGCGGAGGGATTAGATTAAGAGGGGGATTTTGAGACTATAGGACTATTAATATTAAGACTTCGGGATTCAGAGGATTTCACAGCCTCCTATTAGCTAGGTTTAACCGGTAATTAACCGAGTTTTCTAATAGTTAAGAACTCCTCGGATTTAGAGGATTTAGGACTTTTCCTATATTTCCTATTATTCTATTGCTTTTTCGCTAAGGAGTCTAAGAGGGGGTGTAGGTGGCAGGCCTCGCCGGCCCGTCACGTGGGCTGACGGCCGCCACCACTGGTCTTAGCCAGCCTCCACAGCCCTCTAGCCAGTTAGTTAGTTCTTCAACCAACAACACCACTTTTCCCATTCTGAGCGTTCTGTGCTGGTTTCGCCCACAGAATATTGGTGTTAATGGCTTTTCTCTAATTATATCGCTCTGCGGAAGTTACTATACGGATAAAAAGGGGGCCAAGTCCGCCGCGCTCATCAGTACTGCTGGAGTCACGGTCGCACTATTCTTGATTAGCATTTTGACAAGATTCTACGGAGAAACGTCTCATACCCCCGGCGTCAAAGCGACAGTCTTCTCTATCTTCCTTTATTCAGCTTTTTACGCTTTTGGATGGATCCCGATACTCTTCATGGTACCAGCCCAGATGCTCTACTTCCGCATAAGAGCCCGAGGAATGAGCATGTTTAGCCTTGTCATTTGCATTACTGGCACCGCGGGCAATTTTGCTTTTCCAATTGCATTGGATGCGATAGGTTACTGGTTGTATATTTTGAATGCCGCTTGCAACATATTTTTCTTTGCGTTCATATGGTGGTACTGGATAGAAGTTCAAGGTAAAACGCTTGAGGAGATTGACGCACTGTTTGATGGCAGGGCGCATACAAACGCGCCTACTGTAGCGGCTGTGATGGATGGAACTGAAGACGACAGCTGGAGGGGGAGTTTGAGTGACTGGATGCGACTCAAATTTGGAAGGAATTGAAGCCCTTCGACCTTTTATGGTTAACTCGCATCTCAGACAAACATGATTGCTCGAATATAAAGATATATCAGGTTTAATAATGTCACACAACAAATCCATATTGTAAACATATTGACCTTTTGGCTACTGGTGAGTGTTTTCATGACTGTGAAGATGTAGCTGAATGTACGCATGTGTGATAAGGCTGTACATGCAATTGCGGGTGCTCATATGCCTCGATCAGTACGTGAAAACTTATTCGTGAAGTCATGCGCCCACCAATTATGGTACAAGCATAAAAAATGCGGCGCATCACCACCGGTGCAAATCAAGCATTGCCAGAGGACTCTCTCTAGGGGTACAACTTCTTCGTTTGGACAGTACGACATGTATAAGCGGCATCAGTAGTGACGGTGTAATCAAGAACATTTGGATGTCCAGATTTCGAAGTCGAAGCTCACCGTTATGATTACATGTGCGATCGAGTCTTTATAAGAGCTGTGAGATCGATCTCAAGATGAGTGACTATTTCCCTCACATCCTGTGTTTCATAGGCTATGCATTTCATTGTATGAAAAGCTATCACCTTATCAGATGAAGGCTATCAAACTGCCGAAAACATCTGGGGAGTCCATAATACACCAGTTACGTAAACTGCTTTCATTTGTAACCCTTTCAAGTTAGGTAATGGTTTGTGTTATCCAGTCTTGACATCTCAAAATTCCAAAGTGATGTTCTCCCCAGATATTGCCGTTTCAGATAGCAAGTCTATCTTGCGCAGCCAACGGTGTCGCACGAATCATCAACGGGTTCTTGATCCACAAGGCAAACGACTTCTGGTCCTTCCAGTTCTGGCTCTCTTCACATAGCTCAAAGTTGTACGTGAAGAGTAGTGTGGCTAGGATGAGTCTCATTTCATGCATTGCCATATTCTGGCCCAGGCAATTCCGGGGCCCAAAACCGAAAGGCTGGTGAGCATCGAGGGCGTCCCCAGCGTAGGTTGGATCTGATTTCAGCCACCTCTCAGGTACAAATGCCTTGGGATTCTTGAAGTTCGCTGCGGATTGATATGTCGACCAGTGGTGTACTGATACACGCGTCTCAGGCGGCACCCATTTTCCGAGAATTTGTTGTCCACCTGGAAGAACCACTCTTGGGCTACCAATAGGTACAGGAGGGTAGATGCGTAGCGCTTCCTTCAAGCAAGCGTTCATATACTTCAGCTCAGCAAGCCGCTCAAATGTGAGATCATCCAACTTTGTGAAGTTGCCTCGAATTTCTTGGAGTAGTATTTTCAGTTTGTCGGGGTGGGTGAGCAGATTGTAGAGGCATCCGCTCAGAAGTGTAGCTAGTGAATTAACTTTCATCAGCTTCTTGATACCTCTCCTTTATTTTGTTAAATCAACTAGACTCACCAGTTGTTTCTGAGCCAGCGAGCATGAACAGCTCAGCGTTAGAATGCATTTCCTCAAGCGTGAGACCTTTGCCTTCTTTAGCTGTCAAGACCAGATTCCACACATCCGGTTGATCGGAACCGTTTTGTAAACGTTGATTGACTCGCTCCTCTGAATGCTTGCAGTGTGTAACCCGCTGTTGAGTCACTGACTTTGGCTCGAAACGGGTAAAGATGGCATTCAAGATGGGATAGTAGTTGATAATGGAAGCAATTGGTAGCATCTTCAGTGACTCGAATATGGATTTAACCCAAGGGCTGTATTCGTTCTTCGCCAGGAGGCCCAGAGGCTGCCCGAAACAGAGCTCAGCCATAACATCGAAAGTTGCGAAGTTGAGCAACTGGGTCATTTCCACTGGTTTCTTTCCAGCCTCGCCAACTTCGGAGATTTTGTACACGAGAAGATCAACATATTTTCGGAAGAGCGGCTCTTGCTGTCTCAGAGCTCTTTCTGAGAAAGCAGGGGCAAAAAGCCGACGCATTCGAGAGTGGTTTTCAGTGCCAGTTGTCAGCATGCTTGGAACTCCTGCTAAGGGTCAGCGCTGCGAGCGAGGACATTATGGCCAGGATCGAAATCGGCTGTAGGGCGAAGCCACATACCGTTAACCGGCTGCACAGAGAACTCTTGCGCTTTCTCTGTCACTTTGGGTCCATGGATATCGTTCCAAGCTTCTCCGGCGGTGTAGCTCAGGTCGGTTGGCCCGAAACGCACAACAGGCCCATACTGATCGTGTAATCTCTTCATCCATTCAACGTCGTCACCTCCAAGTGCAACAAGCCAGTAGGGAATACGACTGATCGCACATAGTTTCGGACCTGGCACGTCAGCCAGAGGATGAAGTGTGACATTATAAATGGCACTGCCAAGTAGATAAATGCACAGCACAGCAACGAAGAAGAGAACAGCTCCCAGCATGATTACGGAACGACAATTTGTAGCTATCTCTCCATTCAGAAAAGCCTCTGTGAGGTGTGAAGGAAGCTGGTGTGATCAAGAAAACCTGTACATTGGGTGGTAAGAAAATTACCAACCTCAGCAGAGGAAAATCTCTCGTGGTTTTGCAAACGTAAAGCAATATGGCAAGTTTCTTACTGGCCAGTCGTTCGCAATCCCTGATGCTGTTCCTCCCCACCGCGATTCTTCAACGGGATGGTGGGAAAATTCCGAATGGACTGATTGAGAATGGTGGTCTGGGATCTGGGCCGAGAACGGCGCCAGAGGATTTGATTAGACTAAAGTTACCCTGCCTGGCAGCAAGCGAGCAAGCAATTCACGTCGCATAAATTGAAGACTTTTCTGTAGTACTCAGTGCTGTCATCTAGCATCTGGAAGCCTGGCCCTCGTCTAGTTAATTTAGCTGATCTACGCTAAAACAACCGTGCTCACGTCAAATGCCTGTATTTGGTAGCATTTGAGGACAACACAATAGCAAACGTGATCCGTCCGACAGCCTATGAGGACTCTTCGTTTTCATATTTAGGACGGTGAAGTAGTGAAATGTAGTCGCTGAAACAAATCCGAGAGCGAAATATCATTGCCAGGCTTTGTATGTTCATGTCTCAGGCGGGCGTATTTTGGCCAGGGTTCGTCACTGTAAACAACATGCACCCTGAGTCATGAATGGTAGCACTTACTTAACGAGGAAACCGGGGCTGATGATTTCCCAACAAGCTCGTCCTATTACAGCGCTCATGACCTTCTCTTTGGTGGATGTTAAGCTGTTTATGAATTCATTACATGATCTCCCCAGGACTGCAGCCCTGTCATCATGTAGACATATATTGCTCAATCTGCGGCGAGTGGGTGGTTGTTGCGTAGCCACCAATTGTAGTTGGCAGTAGAGCCGTGGATCTCGGGAGGGTATTTGTTTTGGGGTAAATAGAAAGCTATGGTGCCGGACCAAAGCCAATTTTCAGTAAAGTTGACAGCTGTGGAGGTACTACACATATCCATCATGCTTTACTAAAGATCCATCCTTCTTAGCTCCTGCGGCGTACGGAGTACATCTAGCGAAAACTGATGCCCCCTAAATCGGCTCATGAAAGGACATGACTCGACGTAAACGGCAATGGCGTTGGTCCTGGCTTTGGAGCTTTCTAACCAACTTGGCGGCCAGTTCACCGTCTGGACTGTTCCGTGTGGAAATTTGGGTTATTCCAGCTCGCTTAGACGTAACATTTAAGTCAGTATGTAAGGAATAAGCATTACCGGTTGATACTACCTCATGTTTCCGGTATCCAATGTGTGGACCTAAGCACGAAATCTCTCACTAGACCTCAAGGGAGATGAAATCCGTAACATATGGGAGTGGAACCAACTAATACGAGAGCTTGGGGACTCCCCAGACTCCGTGCAGATCTTTCACCTGTCAGATTCGGCACCTGGGTCTCCCGGCAATTGATAATGACTCCAATTCCCCGACGTGAGCCAGCCTCCTTCTTCTCGACGCTACGACAGATATCTAGTTGGCCACGGCGCATACGTTTTTTCTCGATCCCCTCTCCCTACGTCTGTGATACAACTGCCATCATACGGTAGGCCCACTATCGAGCAGTGAGATGGACCCTTCGATGACGGGTGAGCAGATTCAAACATGGGCTTACCAGGTTGAACCGCTCACCCCTAAGGGATTGGGACTCGCTGTTGAATATGTCGCCATCGTCTTTGGAATCATCAGCATCATCGTCGTGGGACTAAGGATATATGTACGCGCTGGCTTGTCAGGGGCATCAACCAGGCTTTGGGGTATTGAGGACTGGCTAGTGGTGATAGGAACTGTGAGTGATGTTGGCTCTGATAACACGACAGTTCTAGATGGCTAACGTCCCACACCCACTTCTGGGCACCCCCCACATTTGGGCACCCCATTTACACCAAAAACGCCGTTTTTCGAAATTCTATATTAAACTAAATACTTTACTTATTAAAGAGAATAAATATATATTAAATAGATTAAGACTTAATTATAATACTTAAGTAGCTATATACTAGTATTATTGATAATAAGTATTATAAATTCAAGGTTTAACATTTATAATACTAATTTACCTAGCCTATATCTTAATATATAAAATAGGTAGAGATATTTAACTAATATGATTAGAATTTTTAAGTAAGATATAGTAGATTTATATATTCTTATACTTAGTAAAAAATTCTTTAAGCTTAGAATAATATTTTAAAATTTCCCTTAAGAAAAGTTTCTATTATAGAATTTTAACCCTTAATTATACTATATTTACTAAAGTAATACTTTTAAATCTCTTTTAGATATAATTATATACTTTTAATAAGTATAAATATTAATTTCCTAGATTTTTTAAATAAGTATATATAAGCGAAAATATATTTTTCTAATGTTAAGGAATACTAGTAAGTTACTAGTATCTACTAACATTTTAAAGCTTTTAGTTTTAAACTTCTATATTATAACTATTATTATATTTAAACCTTTATAAAAAATTAGATGGCTATAATTATACTTAACATAGTTTATATATATTTTCTTTTCTTAGTAAGTATAGTAGTTAGTTTAATATAGAATTTCGAAAAACGGCGTTTTTGGTGTAAATGGGGTGCCCAAATGTGGGGGGTGCCCAGAAGTGGGTGTGGGACGTTACCCACCTATTTTTCTTCCAGACCAAACTGAACTGACCACCGCAAGAACAGGTCCCTTTCATACCAGCTGTTGTCTTCGCAGTTTATGCTTCTCGCTATGGAGTTGGATCTCACGATATCGACATACCCAGTCCACTTTACTTGATACGCGCCGTCGAATACCAAACATACTGGGAGGTCCTCTACTTTATTTCCTCTACCATCATTAAGTGCGCGATTGGTTTCACATGTGTGCGACTGGATAAGCGGAAGCGAGTTACCATTCTTATGGGGGTCAACATGTCCATTATGGTGGTTATTGCTATTCTCGCCCTAATATTCGTCTTCCACAACTGTACCCCCCTCGCGGCAACATGGAATCCGGCATTGTAAGTTTTCTCTGATCATATCTAACATTTAATGCATACATCAACGAGAACAGTTAAGTTTTCTAACACATAGCTTTCAGAGGAACATGCCAGAAAGTCATTAGCTTGCAGACCGTCAGCTACATCGTCTCTGCTATCCAAATGGCCACAGATTGGATATGCGCCACTATCCCTTTCTTCATTGTAGCCGGACTGCATATGCCTCGGCGTCAGAAAGTATCTGTCATTTGCATTCTTGGCCTCGGTGTTTTCGCGAGTATTGCCACCTGCATTCGAATGCCTTACTTAAAATACTACGACACCGCAAAGTATCCGACGGAGATAGCCTGTGTGTTTTCCCTAACAAAAGCTCCTCCTCAGTGGTAACTGAATCGCATGCTAACCGTATTTTCTTTCTTTCTACCTTAGACCATCTCGGTGTTATAAGCATCACCTCCAATCTTGAATGCGCGTTAGGAGTTATAGGATGTTCCTTGCCGCCCCTCCGTAAACTCTTCAAATTTTACTACGGTTCTACTTCCGATGGGAACTACAAAATTACAGGCGAAGTTAGTAACCATCAAATGTGTCACCTGTTCGAATGGCGCTGTTTCTATCCCACTACACAACTTAAGCCTCTTCCACCTTCTATGTCCTTCCATCCATTAGAACGTACTAACGATTGGGCGGTAGAGCGAAAATGTTCTTGGAAGTGCTGGCCCGGCAATCAAACTCGGGTCTCTGAACGACAATGACAGAGCGTATCACGCGTCAGCCAAATGTGTGCCTTCGACTAGTAGAGAACTCGAAACTGACGATGATCGCGACGACTCGAGCCACAAGGGTATAATACGCAAAACTTGTGTTTGAAACAGCTCATTCATGTTCCGGCATACTTTACGAGCCACGGTTAAGTACAAACAACAGAGGCATGCAGGCCTCCATCGACGATATTAGAATCTCTAAAAACGAGTTTAATGTACTTAGAAAGAAAAATGAAGCACGTCTTCATGGAAGCGAACTGTAAGGTAGACACCCTCACGCTCAGATCATCCGCCCTTTAATCCGAATGGCTCACAGAAAGTAGAATGTGGTTCGCCATGTCGACGTTACGCTTAGAGTATTCCAGAGGGCGCTGCCGTTGTGTTCACTCCGTCCGCTGAGTTGCAGTCTTGGACTTCGTTAAGTTCATCGTAAGAATTGGAATGCTGCCCATACACTTGGCTATGCCCGAAGCAATTCAACACTAAACAGTTCATCCTCCTTCTACTTCAAACGTTGCTGTGCTGTCAGTTCATAATGCTGCGCCGAGTATGATAGTGGCTTGGCAATGGGTGGGTGCCTGGATCCGCTGATCGATCGGGCAACTTGGCAGAAGCTTCATAGTGGCGAGGTTGGAGAAAGCGATGGCAGCGCCGAGAAAAAGTTTCGATTTAGCAAATCTTGGGAGTGGAGCGGCGTATTGCTTGTGTTCTAGCCGTCTTGTCGGACAAGAACATCCAAAGCTTCTCTGGACATCATTCCGATTTGGCAAGTATACATGCCTTGAACAATGCCCCGTCTACCTCCACCTACTTTAACTTTTACCGTAAACGATGGGGTTAGGAGGAGACCTCACTTAGAAGGCTTCTCCAGTCTGAGGTCAAAAGTTGTCTATATGCTCCATGACGGTGCCGAGACCAGTAGCCCATCAAAATTTGTGTCAAAAGGGCTGTTTCTCCCCACGGGGTGCTCCTCTTATTTGGAGCGGCCCCCCTTTCAGAATGCAGCAGAACATCATAGTGCAGAACCATCAGCTATTGAAGAGTTCAGGGACCAGCCACAATATATTCCTTCACATGGTAAAGAGTTGAAGACAAGGCTAGTGGGCATTTAGGAAGTTGACCTCATGTTTGACGTCGGCTTTCTGGTTTAGGAAATCCGAAATGATCAAAGTCGGTCCAACTCCGTGATTATCGGCGATCAAAGATGCGACCACGCGCCGTGAGCTCCACCGCGTCCGTCATTGTTCCCACAGACGACCCGCAAATCGGAAAAGCCCACAGCTGAAGTATGATGTCAAGCTCCAGTCTGGATGCTAACGCTACCACGTTGAATGTAAAGGCTGCGCGAGTTGAGATTTTACCATGAAAAGGTGGTACCTCTGGCCCTGGCAAAACGCGTCCTCAATCGTACGGGTGGAATTAGACGACGATGCTGACCAAACAGGGCAGCCAAGACTGGGTCATTGGATCTTTTAACGGTAGGGCCATATTGCCGCCCGTCAGATGCAACCAACAGAAACGTCATAGTATTGTAGCGTCATAAGTCGAGTTCCACGTAGAATTGTTCTCATGCTGTGAGATCTGACATGTTCATAAATTCATCCACACCCTGAGGACACAGAGGGTCAAGCATGGCTCCAGCATTTCCACAACAACAGCTTGCCACAATATCTGGGCGTCTTCGTATTTCTAGGCCTTAAACAAAAGCTTTAATCCATTATTCAGTCCTTCCTTCTGGTTTCCATGCCTAAAACTAAGCATTGAACCCATACATCCAAATACTCACGCTTTTGAGCCAGTCCTGGTTTTCATGAGGTTGAAATCATGGCTTCAAATCCACCAAACAAGCTGCCTGAGTCCGGCAAAGACACCTCCGATAACACATACATGAATCGTAATAGCAGCGCAACGCACGTCGACCCAAGCTTTGACGAGAAACAACAGCAACCACTTGGAAAGGAACCAAACCATGCAGGAGGTTTCTTCAGAGATGGTCCGGGACGGGACGAGGAATCAGAAGGCACAGCTACCCATGAAAACGTTACCTCTAAGAGCAACCAACCACAGTACACTCCGGACGGCAAGCGTATAATAACGGAGGATGAGTGTTACCATCTACTTGGCTACTCGTGGCCGACGTGGAAAAAGTGGATGCTTCTTTCATCCATCTTTTGCGTACAAGTATCGATGAACTTCAACACCAGCGTGTTTCCTAGCGCAGTTACTCCAATTGCCGAGCACTTTCATGTGAGTGAACAAGCCGCTCGTGTCGGACAGTGCGTTTTCCTTGTTCTATACGCATTTGGCTGCGAGCTCTGGGCTCCCTGGAGTGAAGAGTTTGGGCGTTGGAAGATTTTGCAGTAAGTCTGACATGATAGTACGACATTGAATCTAGCTAAAAATCAGCATAGGTGTTCTCTGTTTCTGGTCAACATTTGGCAGATCTTGGCTGCATTGGCCCCCAATTTTGGCACTATCATCGTTGCTAGAGCCTTGGTAAGTAATCTCACGAAGTAGAACAATAGAATTGGCACTGATCTTAATATAGGGCGGTCTCAGCTCAGCTGGAGGTAGTGTTACCCTCGGTATGGTAGCAGATCTCTATCAGCCCGAAGAGCAACAATGGGCGGTTCTCTTTGTTGTTCTCTCCTCAGTCTTTGGAACTTCAGTTGGTCCTGTTGTTGGTGGTCCTATTCAGAAATTCCTTCCATGGTATTGGAACTTTTGGATCCAGCTCATCTTTGGTGCTGCTGTTCAGGCCATTCACTTCTTCATGCCTGAGAGTCGTTCTACGATCTTGATGGACAGAGAAGCCAAGCGCCAACGCAAGGCCGGAATCGATACTAATGTCTACGGTCCCGACGAAGTCAAGAAGCCCCGCCTGTCTGCACACGAGTTTGCCATCACCTGGCTGCGTCCTTTCGAGATGTTCCTCCGCGAACCTATTGTTCTCTCATGCTCCCTTCTTTCCGGCTTTTCAGATGCTCTCATCTTCACATTTCAGGAAGGATTCACACCTGTGTTTAACAAGTGGGGTTTCGGGACTCTTCAGAAGGCATGGGCATTCATCCCTATCAATATCGGTTACGTTATTGCATACCTATCTTACGTCCCTTGGATCATCAGAGATCACCGAATTACCAGGGCCAAGGGTCCTGAGGCTCTTGCACCTGAAGCAAGACTGAGATGGCTGCTTTACCTTGCACCGCTTGAGACAATCGGCCTTTTTGGATTTGCTTGGACATCTATGGGGCCACCCGAATCTCATTGGATTGCACCAATGATCTTCTCATGCCTCATTGCTATTGCCAATTTTGCTATCTATATGAGCACCGTGGATTATATGATTGCAGGTGAGATTTACAAAACACACAAGTAATGCTACAGTTGCTAACCAGACTATAAGCCTACGGTCCATATTCAGCGTCAGCTACCGGTGGCAATGGTTTCGCCCGTGACCTTTTGGCAGGCATCGCCGCGATGTACTCCACTCCGCTTTATGAGAACATTGGCGACTCTCGCCATACTGAATATGCCAGTACTGTCCTCGCCTGCCTCGCTCTCGTGGTTACAATTCCTGTATATCTCATCTACTGGAAGGGGCCTGTTATTCGAGAAAAGTCTAAGTTTGCTCAGTCACTTGATGCAGACAGGCGTGCCAAGGGTGGGCGCCGAGTGGTCGAAGTCCCTGAGGAACAACTTGAGCCCAAGAACCTATAGATTATCATCAGGTACAACCAACTATGTATAAAATATAATGAAACATATAATCAGGCCATATATGCCCTTTCATGAACAGGTTGGATCTAAGGTGTGGCTGAAAGCCCACATGCCACACATGTTGCCAGTCTCCTTAAGGAGATTATCATTGTCAAAGCGATTGCATGGTAATAAACAACATTGACACAATACTACAAATTATGTGCCTGTAACTTCAACTTTTTCTTATTCTCCGCAACAGGGACTTTTAGGCTTTAGTAATGAGAGGGTTGCACGTAATGAAGCCTATAGCCGATGTTGAATTATCCTAGCAAAAGGAATATCGTGTATCAGACAAGAATTGATTGGACTGCTCGGTTTTGACCCTCCAGAACCTATCTCTCTGTGTCAGAACTAAAATTAAAATTAAGTGTACGTCACTTTTGCGGCGCAGAGCTAATGCGCGTACGGCACGGGCAAAATTCCACAAAAGCGCTTCCTTCCGGCTTCCGGCCCTCGGCCCGGTGCAAAACAGATTGTCGACTGACTTTCCTATTGATGCCCATCCAAGTAATTCTGATGTGATTGGAACCAAAGGCAACAACATCTAGGGGTTTAAAACGATCCAAATGCTCGCTTCACGGACTGTGGTGTTCATTATTGGCTGCAATCCGAGTACGAGAAATACCACTGTAAAGTAGCTCATTGCCTGACATGACTCTTCATCATGCCAATCACGCAAACACGAGGTAACTATCGTTAAATTCAAAGAGAGCATTATTTTCCCATCATATCAGGTGAGCGCGATGTATACGACACAAGAAGAAATATCAGTAGTACCGACGATTACGACAAAGTTGATAGGATAAATAAGCTCATCGAAAAACGACTTACGCGCGTTGGGAATGTTCTCGGCTTCAAAATGCACCGAGAAGCGCCTAAAATACAGCAGTCAGGCGATATGATGCAAAGCAGCCAATTTCTTAAGTCAAGTCAGGAAGGGTTTCCTGATTGACCCGTCACAGCGCCAGATGCTGGATCCCAATGAGCTTGTTGCATTTTCCCGGCAAGCCTCCGTGGCCGGGCGGAATACGGGCAGCTTACCAAGACAGTCTGACGTAGACGTCAGCACCGCCATTCCAACTGAATACCGGAATCGATGTCCTAGCTCCTGTTGAGGCGACCACGAGCCTATAGGATGCTTTTTAACTCAACTTTGAAGGACCAAGGTATTGCATGCTGGAAGGGAACACGACATATCTGCCAGACTGCGGCACAGCTCGTGATATGCCGGTGCTTTTCTGGGAATCCCAAAGGCCCTAGGCCTCTTCTGGGAGAAGGATCAGGGTACGAATTCTGCCGCTGCATATCATAAGTATATAGCCCCTCTCATCGATATGTGGCTTAACATATGCCGCCGGACACGCGTCGAGAACTTCATGTTGATGTAAGATGGCGCGCCAAGCCACTCAGCCGCGAGTATGCCTGTTGAGTTACAGCGACGAGGAGGTCGGGCATTCTCATGGCTACCATATTCGCAAGACCTAAACCATATGGAGGCTTGCTGGAACAAATTGAGAATTATATTGGAGATAAATGCGGCTTAATTGATACCCCCTTTTACGATCAGTTGCGCGCATGGGTTATGGAGGCTTGGAAAACGCTGCAGGAGATTACCTCTTGAAACAGTTAGCTGCGATGCCAGACCGCCTCCGCGGACTGAGATGCATACCAACACTGATTCAACTATACAGATAGAAACTCAGGCAATCCGATTAAGTTCCGCTTACGTCAAGATCCGAGCGAGAATTGTTCATTGGTTGAGACCCCCTGCTAAATGGGTCGGGACTTGCTGTGGGCTTAACTTACCCTCGAGACCATACTACGCAGCTCTTGATGGGTGTCGCAGCGTCAGTCTGCCAATGATTGCCCTGCTGACGAGTGGCACTAAACCATAACTAGGTAGACAACTCAGCCCAGCCCAACAAGACAAAAGTTCTCTGCCTATTCTGAAGACTAGCATCTTGATCCTACAAACAAGAGATGGTGCCAATTGCATCTTGACTGCATTTGACACGGGATGGGGCCATGGTTTTAGAGGCCTTGAAGTAGGTTTTGAGGCATTGACGTATGGTTCGGGGGAATTGTTAAATATCGGGTGTCTCGCCAGCAATGGCGATGTTGGAAATAGTTGTCAGATCACACTCGCAATCACATTGTCACATAAATCGAAATATCCAACTCGTTTGTGATTGGAGACTAGTCATTCTTAATTATGTATTCCTCTCTACTACTGGCCGGGTCCATGCTGGCCCTGGGCCAAGGTGCCTCCCTTCCTCTTGTTGCTAGGGAACCAACCTCGGAGACAATTTTCAGCTGGACGAAGACGAAACCGACTAGAGACCTACAATACCATGACTGCGGAAATGGTTTTCAATGTGCACGTCTCGAGGTTCCTCTCGACTGGTCGCAGCCGACCAAGAACCTGACTGCAGCCATCGCCATCGTTAAGCTTCCAGCCACTGTTCCGGACGATGATCCGTCCTTCGGCGGTAGCGTTCTCATCAATCCGGGTGGCCCCGGTGGTTCCGGAAGCGACCTTGCTTTTCGAAATGGGCATACCTTCCAGACTGTTTTGGCGGGTGAGCGAAACTACGAGATCATCGGCTTTGACCCCCGCGGTATCAACTTGACAACGCCGCATGGTGACTGCTACAAAGGCGACGAAGTCTCTCGTACACTGGACCTTCAACGCACCAGCGGAATAAGTCCCGTTGATCAGGCTTTCGGCTACCACTGGGCTGCTGCTTATGCCAAAAGCCAGCTGTGTGAGCAAGATGGTGTGGATAGCATCTGGGGCCATATAAACACCGCGACAGTCGCTCGCGACATGGTGGAAATCATTGACCGCATTGACGAGCTGCGCTGGAAGAACTCAAACAAGACAAAACCGAAGGATGCTGAGAAACCTAGATTGCAGTACCTTGGTATATCGTTTGGCTCTTATATCGGCAATGTTTTTGCTTCCATGTTCCCGGAGCGTGTTGGGAGACTTATGATCGATGCCATTGTCGACCCTGAGGACTGGGCAACCGGGGTATGTCGCCTTACGACGTAGTCAGATATAAGTCATGGTTCTGAATAATGCTAACTTTTTCACAGACATTACACAACAATATCAACGATGCAGAGGCCATTGTCGACTATTTTCACAAGATCTGCTTCGAGTCAGGCGAAGATTGCCCCCTTTTCAGATCAACGGACAAATCTGGCTCAGATATCAAGAACCGCACTAGTGCTTTCCTCGAAGAGTTGGATGACTTTCCCGTATCATTTGCGTACGGTAACCGCACGGTTCTCATCGGTTCACCGACGGTTCGCCAAGTCATCTTCACCAACCTCTACAGGCCTCTGCAGCAGTTTGAGCTGCTTGCGTCGGGTCTGCACGCCTTGATGAGCGGAAACTACAGCGCTCTCATTGACCTCCTGTACCCGGGCCCCGATGAGCCTGTTAGTGATGATGTTCCCGCATACACCTGGGAAAACGAGGTTCTCGGGGGTGTCCTATGCACCGATTCAATCGATGATGCACTGGACCGCAACAAATCTTACTATCAGGACGCCGTAGCCTTCTTCAAAAAGCAGTCTCCAACAGTCGGTGCCAGTGTTACAGCAGCCATCCCCTTCCAGTGTGTGGGCCGCAAGATCCGCTCGCCTTACGCTTTCACCGGGCCCTTCAAGTCTCCCGCCGTCAACTCCAACGACCCGAAAGCACCAGCTGCGCCTCTACTGATTACCACTACCCAGCTGGACCCTATCACTCCATATGCGAATGCTTTCACAGTGCAAAAGGCTCATCCTGGCTCGGCTGTGGTCGTCCAGGAAGGAGTTGGACACGGATTCACGGCGAATCCAAGCAAATGCATCCTTGATATCATCCGGGAGTACTTTCACACTGGAAAGGTTCCTGAGAACGGTACTGTCTGTGAGGCAGAGTGCTTCGCAACTATTCCAGCCAGCAAGTCGAACTGCAGCTCTTTTCTTTGAAGGGGAGGGGGAGGGAGTTGAGTCACTTGGGAATACCTCAAATTTGGCAAGTTTCAAAGATATGGGTTGGTCGAGGTATGGACCATTTTGACATGTCAAATTCGGATAAATAGGGGTTTTTTTTTAGCCATTTTGACACAGATTGTAGGTCATCATCACCCTAATGACTGTGTTTTCAAAGGATTGTCTCCCTCTATGTTGTAACATTATTAAATTTCAGAGCCACAGATTCGTCTTTGACCAATTTATTTTTGACGAGTTTGATGCAGCTTTCCTTTGGTTCTGGTCAGAGGAGCGGCTTAAGAGCCCTAGAGTTGAGGTGTAAGTGTCATTGAGTTTTGCTCCTTAACCGTAGATCGAAATGAAGGAAGGCATCCGAAAGCACGGTGTTTCCTAGCTCCAGGAGAGGCATGGTTAGAGATGGATTCTAACTGTACACTCTTCTTCACGTATGAAGAACGCTGGACAACCGGTTGATTTTAGTTTGATCTCGTGCAAGGAAGAATTGGATATTCGACGTCTTTACCGAAAGGGTATAGGTCAAAGATTGTTGAGTAAGCATGAGAAAGATACAAGTACACAAACGCTGCGGAGTACAAGGCCAGATCTTCTCGATGCGCAAGAACAAGATAAGACCGAGCTGCTGGTGGGTAGCAAGACGAGAAAAGCCAAGGACCACTAAGAAAACTAGGTAGTCAACAGTTGATTCTGCGCTATATCATAGGGTGTCCTTTGATTAGAGCCGCGCTAGCATATTCGTTGCGCCCGACTTCTAGCAATAAGGATTTCAATGACAGAAGTCAAATTTAATGCCGACTACATGGGTGCCGAAGCTGTCGGCTATTATGTTGATGCATTGGAGCTCATAGGTGGGGCAGTTAACCTTAACCTAGGGATCGGAGTAGTACATAAAAGTTAGGAGTAACCCAAAAGCTATTATTCTAATGCATGCTTAAAAGCTAAAAGCTAACGTCCCACACCCACTTCTGGGCACCCCCCACATTTGGGCACCCCATTTACACCAAAAACGCCGTTTTTCGAAATTCTATATTAAACTAACTACTATACTTACTAAGAAAAGAAAATATATATAAACTATGTTAAGTATAATTATAGCCATCTAATTTTTTATAAAGGTTTAAATATAATAATAGTTATAATATAGAAGTTTAAAACTAAAAGCTTTAAAATGTTAGTAGATACTAGTAACTTACTAGTATTCCTTAACATTAGAAAAATATATTTTCGCTTATATATACTTATTTAAAAAATCTAGGAAATTAATATTTATACTTATTAAAAGTATATAATTATATCTAAAAGAGATTTAAAAGTATTACTTTAGTAAATATAGTATAATTAAGGGTTAAAATTCTATAATAGAAACTTTTCTTAAGGGAAATTTTAAAATATTATTCTAAGCTTAAAGAATTTTTTACTAAGTATAAGAATATATAAATCTACTATATCTTACTTAAAAATTCTAATCATATTAGTTAAATATCTCTACCTATTTTATATATTAAGATATAGGCTAGGTAAATTAGTATTATAAATGTTAAAACTTGAATTTATAATACTTATTATCAATAATACTAGTATATAGCTACTTAAGTATTATAATTAAGTCTTAATCTATTTAACATATATTTATTCTCTTTAATAAGTAAAGTATTTAGTTTAATATAGAATTTCGAAAAACGGCGTTTTTGGTGTAAATGGGGTGCCCAAATGTGGGGGGTGCCCAGAAGTGGGTGTGGGACGTTATAGAAAGACAGATGGAGGAGACATGCTGCAAACACATGACAATGCAAGAACTCTCCTCCACAAGGGTTTGAATAGCTAGACCCTCGCGGTATTTCTAGAACAGTCCAACCCATTTGGGCAGGTAGACGCTATTCAAAGGTGCAGGGGAGCTTACTCAGGATTAATCCATTCTCACTGGCCAATTCGCACTCGATTGCCGCCAAATTCAGAGGATGTTCTAGGCAGCCGCCCACAAAACAGATTAATACAGATTGGCATGGAGCTGTACCTTACTAAGTCTAGTGCAGGATGATAATGACCTATCAGGTGAGAAGTTGGGAGCATGATCAACAGGGACGGACGATTTGAGGGACGGGCCGCGGGCTCCTTCTTTTCTTCCCCCCAGGCACCATATGGAATACGATGTAAGGCCACTAGCAAGTAAATACCTATATAAATAACGCCTCTTCATGTTAGTATACTAGTGGTGTGAACCTTCTTCGCAACATTGCAGGTTCTCGTAGGATCCCAAGCACGGTTCATCAAAGAGGGGCTTCAGAACCGACATCACGATGTTCAACCTCCGTAACCTGTCCCTCTTTGCCGCCCTTCTGGGCGGCGCTCAAGCCGTGACACCACTGACGGATTCCCAAATGACCACACTCCTCAACGAGGGCGGCGTCGGTCTTGCCATGGCCGCGCAGCCAATGTGGTTCTTCGGACAGGCCATGAACCAGCCACCCTGCATCCCAACATGGGCCATTTCAAACAACCAACAAACTCCAGGGTCCGATCTATGCGCATGGCCTAACGCGGGATGCAACTGCCGCAAGCCGGGAGTCGGAATCGTCAACCAGGCACCCGAGTTTCCTGTCTACTACAGCTATAACAAGTGCAACGACAGGGAGGTCAGGGTGGCATACAACTTGTTCTACGAAAAGGATGGGTTCACGCCCTCGGGGGTCCTGGGACACAAGTAGTACGTCTCACACTCAGTAACGGCTATTCGCCATTCAATTTTGAGTTTGCTGACATGATGTTTTTAGCGACTGGGAGCGAGTCATCGTGATCTGGGCCAAGAACAACGATAACACCTGGCGCCAGTCGCAGCTTCTTCTGTCGCAGCACTCGGGATACGACAGGAAGAACTGGGGAGATATCCAGAACACCTTCAACACCGTCGACGCCACGCTCCCGCGTGGCGGAGACAACGGCCGCAGGGACCTCGACCACCCCAAGGTGTACGTTGCCTGGGCCAAGCACGCAAACTACCACGACCGCAACACGGGTTGGAACGACGCGCTCTCGCAGCTCACGAACAACGCGTTCCGTTCGCAGGATTGGTGGCATTACCACGCAGGCAGTAAGTTTTTGACCTTAAAGCTCGGTTATCGGTGTTCGTGTGAAGGCTGACTTAGCTACCTAAGGTTCTTATATCCGCGCTGACCCCTCGACTGAGGCTGGACAGCGCCTGGCGGCGATGGATTGGGGTTCGGCGACAAGCCACCCAGTCAATGTTCATGGAGGACTTTGCTCTGCTTGAGAGTTGGTGGTTTCACGGCTATTTATTGCCTAGGCATGGATTGCGTAGTGCGTAGGAATAGGTCATGTTAGAAACATCATGCGATTAAGCTAGAATAAACCTCGAAAGTAACTGTGCGGGAAAGAAAAGATCGACATCGATTTCACACGTGCGTTGATTTTCCAAACTTAACTTTGGTAATCACATAAAAGGCCCGTGAGCGATGGTCATAAGGATATGTCGATATGGCCTGTTCAGTGGAGCCATCATAGACTTTAGTTGATGCTTTACTCTTCTAGAGAATGTCTAGGTTGAACTTAAACCACGATACAAGCTCCCAACGCCAACCATATCCACCTCATATTCATGCAATTCGTAAATTTACTAAGAATCGGTGGTTGACAGTAAACAACTACCGTTCGTCAAAGCCTAAGGTACTTGTTGCTTAACCCCCTTCTCTCTCTCTCTCTCTCTCTGAAAACGGCATCTCGAAGCAGTCTTACCTCCATCTTGATACAATTGACTCGGTGAAGATTCTTCTCTTACTATGCCCCTCGTCTAAAACATCTAATCGCCTAGCAGTATCCCTCGCATTAGAACGGGGCATCTGCTCCGACTGTCAACGTGGGCCCAGCACGCAGCCAGCCGTTACTGTTAGTGCTTATCTTCGCTTCGAGCGTCACTAACAAAGGGAAAAGATTCCAAAAGTCACGTGGCGTTGCTAAAAGGTGGGGTATGACTGAGGGGGCGCTTTACAGAGCTTCCCAAAGCAAGAAGCTCCCTTCAGATTGCCACCACTTTTTGTGGGAAGCACACATTGATCTCCGAAACCCGGCCCCGATTTGTCATGCACTCCAGGTCCCGCCAACAGGGAAAGGCCCAGCGAATCGGGGTTCTGAGTGGTGACTTCAACACTTTTTTTTTTTCCTTAATCAATTTGCCTGAACCCTCCATCTGTAACCGAAGGCCCCCATAGTGGGCGGTGATACGAGGTTCCGGTGCTTTGGAATCAGCATGACGCATTGGGGCGGTTTGTCCTGTCACCCTGTATCCGTACAAAGTAGAGTAATAATTGATTACTGCTTCGTTCAAAAAGTATCAATTGCTTCTTTCAACTAATCCTTCTAACCAATCAGTCTGTGAATTTTGATTACTTACAAACGTGCAGACTGTTCTAGAGTGCTAGTTGCCCGTTTCCGTTTCACCTTCCCTTATAAATCAAGCGGCATATCCGCCTCGTCATACCGCTAGAAAATCGCGATTTGTCCCCTCCAAAACACAACCCCACCACCACCCATACTACATAGCTCCAGCCAGCTCCAGTCGCCCCTCCCACGCTCCGTCTCCCTGGGTCCCCTCATATACCTACCCTCCGTCGCCGCCAGCAATCTTTCCCAGTACAAAATAACAGAAAAAGGGCAAACCTCCCACATACTATGCTTCCAAACTTCCTCGCCCGCCTAACTCGACCCTTTACAACATCCACCACAATGTCCATCGCCGGCCAGGGCTCCTCCTCCACCGCGGCCACGGGCCCGACCATTCCCGACCACGCCCAAAAGGCCACCATCGCCGCCGGCTGCTTCTGGGGCGTCGAGCACCTCTACCGCAAGCACTTCCAGGCCAAGGGCCTCATCGACGCCCGCGTGGGCTACATCGGCGGCGACCTGTCCAACCCGACGTACCGCGCCGTCTGCGGCGGCGACACCGGCCACGCCGAGGCCCTGCAGGTCGTCTTCGACCCCAACAAGGTCACCTACCGCCAGCTGCTCGAGTTCTTCTACCGCATGCACGACCCCACCACCGCCAACCGCCAGGGCCCCGACACGGGCCCGCAGTACCGCAGCGCCATCTTCTTCCACGACGCCGAGCAGGAGGGCATCGCCAAGCAGATCACGAAGCTCGCCAACGAGCAGTGGTACGACGGCAAGATCGTCACCGACGTCATCCCCGCCGGCCAGTGGTGGGACGCCGAGCAGTACCACCAGCTGTACCTCAACAAGAACCCTTCGGGCTACGAGTGCCCCAGCCACTTCTTGAGGACGTTCCCCGAGCTGCAGGGCTAACTTTGCCCCGAATCTAGGGAGTAGATATAAGTTGTAATGATACGAAACTGGGATTGGGTCTTGCTTTTAACATATGGGATCATGATATCAGGATATGGAGGGGGGCAAAAACAGAGGATGCCTTATTTTTTGGCGGGTGCTCTACGGTAGAGGACTAGTTTTTTTTTTTTTGAGGCGATGATAGCGTTCAACCCGCTTTTATTTAACGATGAAATTTTGAAATTATTTACAAAAATTCTTTTTCATGGTGATGCTTTGTGCATGTGTGGTTGAGGTTGACATGGAAGATGAGATTGTGGACGAGTCTTGTAACAGCTTGACGTCCGACGGAAAAGTAACAAACTAGACAAACGGTATCTATAACCTATTATGCTTTGAATGTCGATTAGTAGAATCGAGCTTGGGGATAACATCATAGTTTCTTCGTCGATCAGATCAATACTTCACAACCAACATTTCACGAATGGCACTGTGCATCAGAGCATGCATATAGCAAACTAAATAGTATGGAAAATTTTAAATGTTTTTGTGCTTAACGTATTATACAACGCCCGCTCCCGGCCCATCCGGGGCAGCGGAGCTACTTATTCATGAGAGGGGTTTCTTAGAGCCTCTGTCCCAAACCGTCGCACGAGTCAAGGCCTCTTCTGGCGTACGGGTGATATCAAGTCCATATTCCGGTTTCCTTCCTTCCTTTGTTTACATCTTACACTTTTGCCCGAAACGTTTTTCTTTACTTTCTCCGGTTGTTCTGCATCATCAGGATCTGCACCATGCGCACAAAGATGTTGATGAAGTCGAGCTCGAGCGCGATGCTCTCGTTGACGGCATCCTTGCGGATGACGCCGCGCTCAGCGAGACGGGCGTGGTGCAGGATCTTCTGGACGTCGTAGAGGGTGAAACCGCCAAAGACGGCCAGACCACCGTAGAGGGAGATGCTCTCCGTCAGGGCAAGGGTGCGGACGGCGGTGACGGGGAGGAGCATGGGCGCCAGGCTGGAGGCGACGACGATACCGAGACCGGCGAGGAGAGGACCACCAATGTAGAGGTACTTGTCCTGCTTAGCGGTGGCACCGACGATGGAGAGAGAGCCCATCATGGCGACGGTGTAGAGACCAGCGCGGGCGAGGAGGGGACCAGGGACCATCGTGAGCAGGGGAGCGATGAGGGCGGCTTGGGTGGCGTTGAAGGCAGCCCACATGGCGTACTTGGGGATGTAGCTATTCATCGTTAGTAAACTTTTGTCTGCTTGACCAACATTTCTCAATGGAAGCAACTTACTTGTCAGGGGAGATGGCCCTGGTGCCGTACATGGTACCGAAGCTCAGCGCCAGACCACCGATTCCGACAACCCAGGGATTCGTGACCATGAGTCTGTAGACAAATCCACTCTGGACCATCTGGCGGGCAGTCAGGGCGATGATGCCGACACCCAGACCGGTGTGAAGGAAGGTGTCGTTGAGGTACTCGCGCTCGTACACGGGCATGCCGCCGTCATCGCGAGTCTCGCGGTTGAAGACAACGTTGATGGCGACGAGGGTGCCGCCAAAGATGGCACCGCCGACCATCAGCTTGCGAAGAGGGCTAGACTGCTGGCCCTGAACGGGGGCAGCCTGCTGCATGTATGTCCTCGAGGAGTTGCGGAAGGCATTGCGGGCGGTGAAGAAGGAGGTCGTCTTCAAGCTGTTTGCACGAGCGGCAATCGAGGACTTGGGTGAGGTGTGGATGGCTCGGGAGGAGAGCTGCGGGATGCGCTGCGCCAGGCGCAAGGGCGCTTGGCGGAGGGTGATGCTAAACGACATCTTGATCGTAACGAAAGCTGTCGCAAGTCTATGTGCTGTGCGTGTGTGTGTGTGTGTGTGTCAGGACAAAGTAAATCAGAATCGAAGGAAATGTCGCTTCTTCAAGAGCAATAAAAGATGGTGATGAGGTAGTGCCCACGGAGGCAATGACGAATGACGTTTCCGTTTCTCACGGCGTGGAAAAGCTCGGGTCTCCTCCCGACTTTTGCTTAGCTAAAGATTTTTGCGGTCATGTGAGTGGCTCGGAGAGAAGGTGGTGGAAATTCCCGTAGGTTCTCTGCGGTGCGGCGGTGCTCTACCTCCCTAACTCCGACCGGCTTCAAGCGGATTTTGGAGTTTGCATGCGGCTGGCACCAGCTGCAATGCCTTTCTCACCAGCTGGCCACACAATTTAAAGCATCAACCATTAATCAGCCTTACCCAGTTGGAGTCATCAGTCTGGGCCACAGCAGTCAACTTGGTCATAACCCGAATTAGCAAAATGGGGCAAAGGTGGCCGATGATGGGATCTTTGCAACACGAGCCTCAAATCAACAGTTCATCTTGCCTCTGTCTACTGTATCTTCCCAGAAAGAAAAAACTCTCCGTAAAGGCCATGCCATGTCGAACTGTCATACCACCATAAACCCTTCAGACTTTATACTCACACCAAGCATTTCCTCATGGGTTCTCCACCAAAAACCCTGCAACAACAATTTCCATTTCAACCCCAAAATAGCATCTCGATTCTGAACCATCAACTGACGGACGAGGTTGAGGTTGCTAGGAAAAGCCACAACACAAATCAAACAAACCCTCCCCCGGCCGCCAAGAAGCCTTCTCCTCCTCTCTCCCCACTGTGCCTGTGCAATTTCACCACATCACCTGAATCACCGCCGCCCGTTGTTTCTCCAACGACAGAAAAACCAAAAACGAGAAAGGCCGGCTAATTTAGAGGGCTGGCTGTCAAACCGACTAACCTCGATCAAGACAGCAATGACACCCCGCCAACCGTTAACAAGCCACAAGCCCAATTGCCTTTTAAATTGCGTTCTTGTCTACTATGGTATCGGGCAAAAGTTTTATTACCATGACTTGTACCAGAGGGTCCACTTATGCCAGCGCTATACTAACCTTAGCCTAGCTAGCAATTCGGTACTTCCACAGTCGAATACGCAGTTGACGTCCAGTATAATCATCACTAAACGCAGCCTAAAAAAAACCTCCATCCCCTAAATTACAGCACATAGCCGCTAATATTTCTAAACCTTCTATTTCCGACTTATAAGGAAGCAAGCCAGTATTCTTCATACTACGTCTATAGTATAACTATATCTTATATAGCTTTTATTATTTAAATAGTATAAATCTTATAATAGGAAGATGAGGTATCTAAGAAGTTATTACTGTATTACTTCTTTGCTATTGTGGTGTGCTGGAGGAAGTAGGATTAAAAGGTCTGAATAACTATACCTGGGGTATTTGCTAGCAGGGGTAATTTATATGGGTCAGTTATACTTATGGGGGGGGCAAAATTTACCACAATCGATAGTAGTGGAAAAAAGTCGGCCACCAAAAAGAAAGGCTTGCTTTCCCCAAACGAGCTCAGCAGAGCTCAGCAACGGCTCTCATCCGGTATAGCCAAGCAACACAACGGTGTGCCGTGGCTTCTCCCCCCTCCCTCCCTCCCCAAGCGTGCCGACTGAGCCTTTCTCTCTGCTCCTCTAATCTCGATGCGGCCTGGGTCCAGTTGAGGAAGAAGGCCTCATGATTACATTTCGGCCGAAATCGAACTCAACTATTACTCAATTGCCGTCTAACACCCTCAACCAGCTTAACTTTTTTTTTTTCTTTCCGTTCTTGTTCTTTTTTCACTCCAAACCATCAACAGCTTAGCTTCGTTCCCCTCGAATTTGACTCGGGCCACTTCCGGCAGTCTTCGCCGGTAGGAAAGGCTTCAGGGGCCAAGAACCCAAGTAACCGCACTTCTCCTCAAAACAAGTTGCGATCTTCACGTCATCTCCCCCTGTCAATCCACAAATAGAAAGACGGAAAAAAGAAGAAACCAAAAAAGGCTTCCTCTTGGCTCTGCTCTCCACTAAATCAATGTGGTTCTCAACCCATCGTTCACCGGCCCCAGATTCGTTCCATTTGGAGGCCGTTCTGTCCTGAGGTACATGATCGACGCGGGCCGGACAAGTGGGCTCCAGGGGTTTTCTCTGCTCAAAGTGCCCGGCACCCACTGGAATCCCGAGACCTGGATTCATTCCGAAGCACAACGGCACGACGGTTACTTGGTCCGTCATTCCTTTTCTTTCTCTCTGGTGGTCTCTTGTCCGTGGAGTAAAATGACTTCACCACCCGCTTGTCTGAGTCAATGTCATGTCGTTGGACCTCCGTAGAAGCGCCTGGCATACCAGACAGAGCACCCTGCAAGCTCTGACATGGTCTTCCTTCTTCCACCCCCCTCCAAACGGCTGGCTACTGAGCAGAGAGTTGCACCAACAGACCTGCATAGCAGAGCAAATGCTACTACACAGGTGGTATCCGTTTACAAAAACTGCATGAATTTGGGAGTCGGCACGGTCAACCTTTAGCGCCCGGTCGGCCACCAGTGTGCCACCCCGCACGGGTCGCTGCATCAAACGAACTACGAGCCAGAGCCATAGCCAGAGCCAGAGCCAGAGCCAGAGCCAGAGCCAGCGCTCGCGCCAGGTGTCGTCTCTTCTGTATTTTTCCGCCTTTTCAGCGCATCGGATGTTTTGGTTGCAATTCTCGGCAGTGGTCCAGGCTCGCCACGTCCTCTCTCCACAAAGTAGTACCTCACTCTCTTTTTCGTGTGTGCCGGATGCGACCTGCCCCGTAACATCGTTTGAATTCCTCATATTCCTCGATTCGGCCCTGTTATTATAAGGAAAGAAAATATGGCCGCCGGACCGAGGGGGGCCAGGAATACCACAATGTGTGTGTATTTTATCAAAATCGTCACACCCTCCCCGAGACCCCACCTTGAAACAAAGCCACCTGCCACCGGTCGTCCTCTTCTCGTCCTCAAATGCGCGCTTGTTTCACGCTTTGGCTGTGGCTTTTTAGGTGTGCCCCTTATGATTCCGCACCAAGAAAACAAAACGTAGAGAGGCGCTTGTTAGGTCATTGACCTTTCCCATTTGGCTGCATGCAAGGTCAAGAATCGGTTCAAGAGCTTGAACCAACTCCGGCCGTTGTCCGTCCGGTGATTGAGACGCACACCCGACTATATTACTTACTCCCCTCGTCACCACTCGACCAGATAGCTCAACCATCTGCGTTGCTCCTGTCTACAGTCTCTTCTTCAAGCAACACACATTCGCTCATCTACTGCCTTCAAACAACTGTCTAATACTCCAAGATGAAGTTCACCGCGTCTCAAGTTTACATCGCCATCATGGCCGCGACCGCTCTGGCCCTCCCCGTCGACGTGGACCAACATCCCATGGCAAGCGACATCGCCCACGGGAGCCCCCCGGCCAAAATTGCCACAAAGCAAGTGGCACCTCTGCCAGCGGCCCCAGCAAAGGTGGAAAGTTCGTCGTCGACGACATCTGAGTCGGATGACCTGCTGTCCGCCCTAAAGGCAATCTTTAGCGATGAGGAGAAAATGCACAAGGAAGGCCTGGGGAAAGCGTGCTTCTGCGCCAACGGCTCTATTTGCTGCAACACGGCAAAGGGCATCGACTGCACACAAGGCCTGTGTGGAATTTGAGTTGGGAGCCCGGAACAGGTACTCGTCAAGGGGGCCGCAAATCGTTCAGGCCGATGCGTACCGCCCGGGCACCCGCTCGCCCCGGCCTGTCGGATGTGGAACTCCGAAGGGTCGCTCTATTAACATTGCCTCAACTCTAACCCTCCGCCGCTTGGCCATTAGAGTTGGTAAAATCTTTACCAACCACACTCTGGAACACCAATTCTGTTCAGCCTTTGACAGAGGCTTTGTTGGAGAGATTGGCGTGGAACACGAAGACGAATCGCGCCGCCAGAGCTTCTTGTAATCACGCTTTTTCGGCTTCAACAATATCAGCGTTCTAGAACAGCCTTCAGCTCGAAATCGTCCGGGATGTTGCTTTAACGCAACACAGCGCTGGGCGTCGCTTGAAAGTAAAGACGGCCTGCGGGCGTTGAGATCCCCCTTCCAACAAGCCACGGAATGCGCGCATCGCGAGCTCGGACCGCCTGTTACATCAACGTGCAGCGTAGTCGACAGTGTATGGATGCACAGCGATGGGCCATATTTGACAGGCCAGTGGATGGGGGTTTAAGTTTGGGAGGGTGGGAAAGGGGACGGTATTGATGATTCTCGGGCCTTCGGTTCCAGCTGCTAAATCAGGGGCATGTTGCCGCGGCTATCACAGTACACACTCGGCGTACATCATCAAGTGCGTACTGAAGGTCATGACCTGAGAATCTTTATACACTTAGCTCAGATCATTGAGTAACCGGAATTTATTTTGTCATGCACCCATAACTATACTGTTACCGCCCTTGCAATCAACCGTAGTAAGATGGAGATCGAGCCCATGAGATCGAGATCGCACATCGTCGATGCGACACCAACAGTGCACACTTAATCGACATAAACAATGAACGGGAAAAACTAAGAACACTGCTGAGCAGGCACCAAGTCGGCAAGCTTCTGTAAGCTAGAGTCTCTGGAAGATGGGGCCGATGTGGAGGGTTGCAAATACGTTGCACAAACACTGAATAGAGTTCTTCTCGAAGGCTAGCGGACTGTGGGGCAGTTGAATAGCCGTCAAGTACATGTTCTTCGTCTGCGTGCTTTTGCCTTAGTATCCAATGTCATAATACTGATAAAAACGCTTGGGAGGACGGGCTTTGGCTGAGGATCAATAGTGGAAAGGTAGGTATCGAAATCGGCAAGGAAGCATGGGCCGTGAAAACCGCAGTTTGAAACGATTCTCCACTGGCATGCCAAAGAGTATCGTGCGGTTTCATGGACGTAATCATGGTTATTGCTGTCGCACAACGATTAGACACGTGAAGTGCAGGGATGCCCCATTTCCCATAAGCTTCCTGTGTCGACTGGCTCTGGTCCGTCCTCCGCAGCACAAGTATACTGCCGGATTGGTGGCGCTGGGAGCTTGGGTTGACCAGTGTTGTCGAGGGGTCAGTGAGGAGCAAGACCTTTCAGAAACTGGTTAGCAAGGTCCAGTTTGGAGGTGGTCAATCTATAATTAGTGCTTGACCCGTAAATGGAAACAAAAGCGACAGCCAGCCGATGTGTCAAAGAACACGACCCTCAGCGTCAAGGCGAGGCTGCGTTTTGCAGATATGTTCTGTGCATACTTCTAGAAGAACGGGACAAATCTTGCTGACACGTGGGGGATGTTGGATTCGAGATGGCGTCCAGTTTGTGGGTGGAGAACCACATGCGTGGTTGGTGCACCATTATCATTGTATCGGCCTGTAAAATTCGACCGACCACCGAGGGGGGGAAGATCATGTCGTGCACACGAATTAATGTGTATAGTCCAAAGAAGCCCACCCGGAAGGTTCATGCGAGCAGTGATGTCTGGTTGGAAGCTTCATCTGTCGTTATTGGGTGCCTAAGAGGCGTTCCCGGTTCTTGGGTCCCCGAAGTCTGGGAGGGGTGTTTCACCACCAAGAAGTCTAAGCAAGGAACCTTTATGTGTTTGTAACCAAAGAGCCGACAAGCGATCCTACCGTTGGGCTGAGAACACATTGCAGCAACTCGATCGCTGCTTCAAGTTCGTCTTCTCTTGCGCCTGGCCCCTAAAACTCCGTAGCTACTATGCTGATGGGAAAGTTGTACCATCGGAGTAAGCTTTCCAATGATGAACCGTGGCGAAAATTTCGAATGTTAATGGAAAATAAAGCAGAAAGAGGACTGACAAAAAGAGAAGATGTAGCCATGCCAGCCGTGAAGAGTTTTTGGCTGGGGATGGTTGTTTCCTCGGACATCTCAGCAGGCCGTCAGTGTTGAGCTCCCCGGCCCGGAGGTGACAGAAACCCTTTTTCAGTACTAGAGGGTGTGGACATGGGTGTAGCATACGAGACATTAGCATGGAAAGAAGAAGAAAAGAAGAAAATGCTATAGAGAAGAGAAGGGATGAAAAGTGTGTGTTTGTGTGGCCTGCCTCAATGGGTGTGGGCAGCCGCACTAATGCTGGTCGTGGTGGTTGCAGAAAACAACAGGATGAGAAAACGAGGGGGAACAGCCTGGAAGGGGGGTTGCCAAGATTTACAAAGGCAAGGAAGGAAGACGGGTGGAAAGAATGATAGTAATGCCTTGTGGGTTTTTGATTGCTTCACGACACGAACAATCATGGAAGGAAGGAATTACGGAAGGTGGGAATGGGAAGGGCAATAGTGCCACAGGGAAGGAACAGCGGCGCCTTCCTCAGGAGCAACGGTGTAAAAACGACAGGCACTATTCCCCGTTTTAGGATGATTGCCTCCTCGGGCGGAAATGGGAGACAAAGAGTGTTATTTTCCAGCTTTCGATACTGTAACCACCAATATCTCGATCTGCATGTGGTTACTAAAAGACTCAATCCCTAGGAAGCATCCAGCAACTTGATCGTTCCCTTCTATACATACCAGAGATGGAAGCTTTCTCGATGGCTTCCACGACCCTTCCACGCATCCATTAGCCGGTGGTTCCCCTAAACCCCGGCTTCAAGGTCAGCAACGAAACTATGATTGACCGGGTGCACCCTCACTTCCTGCCGCTGTGGACTCACTGGACCGTTGGTTTTCTTGGACCATTTCGTGCTCCGTGCTCGCATTTGAGTCCTATGAGCCAGGGGCCCCAGCATGCACGTCTGAGACGCGCGGTGAGATGGTGGTCCACTCACACATGCAGATTGATCCCAGTCTCAGTGAACTGGGCCTTTACGTATCCGTACTCCGTACTCCGTAGTTGGATGAGGTAAAGTGAGGTCAGGTAAGAGGGGCACCGAAGGCGCCCTAGGAGATATGGGGGTCCTAGCCCAAAGCCAGTGTCGATTGTGTGCGAAACACTAACAGACGAGAAATTGTTGTCATTGACCAACGTCCCGCTATTCGCCTCTGCACGATCCCCTTTCCTTGCTTTCTCCGATCAACGCCCAAAGCCTGAGGGATTCGCTGTGATTAGTTGGCCCGTCTTCATCTCATCGCCCGCGGTGCATCGGGTCCAACTCCACGCCCTGATCTGCTTGCTTAGCTCCGCATCCCCAACTTGCATCTGCCTGCTTCTCTGACTTTATCATCATAAGCCACGGCAAAGATCATTAGTTTGCAGCACGTGGAGCCTCATCACTGCAAACTTTCAGAAGAACCCCCCGGGTCACCCATTGCTTCAGATCGCCAGTGTGTGGTGTGGGATTTGAGATGTAATGTGGGATGGGAAGCAGACGAACTTGTGGGAATAAAAGGCTAAGACGAATTTTAATATGGTCGAGGCGGAGCGGTGAAGGGAACAATCAAAGTAAAGCTCCGCTGGGATAATCGCGTGGAAGTGGAAATGGAAGTGGAATCAGGCATAGAAGCAACGTCCGAAACCTGAGAGAACAAAGAAACGGACGGGCTTAGGCGTCGCCCGTTTGAGCTTTTTCTTTCCTCTTTTTTTTTTTTTTTTTTTTTTTTTTTTCCCTCTTGTCCCTTTATCTCTTTTTTTTTTCTTTTTTCTTTCCTCCGACTACCCTACAGTGATTTAGGCAAGGGTCTATCCGTACACTAGGGGAGGTCAGGAAGGTAGTGGCGCTTCTGGATTCACGCTCTGCTGCTTTAGCTCGCACTAACGTCCCACACCCACTTCTGGGCACCCCCCACATTTGGGCACCCCATTTACACCAAAAACGCCGTTTTTCGAAATTCTATATTAAACTAAATACTTTACTTATTAAAGAGAATAAATATATGTTAAATAGATTAAGACTTAATTATAATACTTAAGTAGCTATATACTAGTATTATTGATAATAAGTATTATAAATTCAAGTTTTAACATTTATAATACTAATTTACCTAGCCTATATCTTAATATATAAAATAGGTAGAGATATTTAACTAATATGATTAGAATTTTTAAGTAAGATATAGTAGATTTATATATTCTTATACTTAGTAAAAAATTCTTTAAGCTTAGAATAATATTTTAAAATTTCCCTTAAGAAAAGTTTCTATTATAGAATTTTAACCCTTAATTATACTATATTTACTAAAGTAATACTTTTAAATCTCTTTTAGATATAATTATATACTTTTAATAAGTATAAATATTAATTTCCTAGATTTTTTAAATAAGTATATATAAGCGAAAATATATTTTTCTAATGTTAAGGAATACTAGTAAGTTACTAGTATCTACTAACATTTTAAAGCTTTTAGTTTTAAACTTCTATATTATAACTATTATTATATTTAAACCTTTATAAAAAATTAGATGGCTATAATTATACTTAACATAGTTTATATATATTTTCTTTTCTTAGTAAGTATAGTAGTTAGTTTAATATAGAATTTCGAAAAACGGCGTTTTTGGTGTAAATGGGGTGCCCAAATGTGGGGGGTGCCCAGAAGTGGGTGTGGGACGTTACCTTATTCATGTTTCCATGTCACACACCAACGACAGTGCCAGGTCACAAAATACAGGTATCAGCGGCATGTTTGCTATCGCCATCAGCCAGCGGCAGCCCTAGGTCAATGCTAATCATCACTTACGGACGCCCCCTAAATCTGACCCTCACTTCATTTTTCTTTTTGCGACATGACCAGCCGGATCGTCCTTCTTTGGCAGCTTATCATGTTTCTAGGCCTATAGAGTTCTTTACTAGCCAACCCAGGTCTGTTGGGCTGGGCAAGCAATGGCGACAAACCAGCGTCACCATCCAGCAAGCTTCAGTCCTGCATTTTCCACCCTCCATCAGCAACGGCACCGTCTGTTTGTCACCAACGGGCAACGTGGGTTGCAAATGCTGCAGTTTGTCTTGTCGCATATCCACCCACCGGTCCCCGGCTCGCCTCCTCGTTGACGAGGGTTCCAGGTCTTGGGTGGGAGCTAAAACATGTAGAAATAGGTAATGCGTACGTACATGCCGAACTTATCGAAGATTGCCTGGGGGAAGGACAGATGTTTTGCTTTCCCTCTGCCCACGTTACAATGTAGCAATGTCTGCTACCTCCCCCTTCCATGGAAAGAACCATTCTAGTTCATCACCCCCTCCTTCCTGGAGTATGCATGGGTTGCTCCTTTCTGCCAGCTCGCCGCCAAAATCACCACGTCCTCGTCCTCAGGTCGTGCATGTGCAGGTCGGGTAGTTTAAGCTTTGGCATCCTGTCCTTCCCAGGTCCCTTTTCCCTGCCAGTAACGCCCTTGCAACCCCTGAGACAGACCCCCCGAGAGTCCGTGCCCGGTAGCTCGGTACCTTGTCGATACCTTGCTCGCCAGTCGAGCCCCACTCTCCAAGCGTCATTGTGCGGTGGGAAAGCGTGAGGGAGGTGACCCTTAGACTGCCAGACCCTACCTACTACGTAGTACTTAACTTGGTTTCCTTACGCAATTGCCCTCCCTGAAGGATACGTACTGAATATTTATCGGAGGGCAGGAAGAGTTGCACACTGGCAGTGACGGTGGTACTTGCTCAATGCCCGCTACCTTCACCAATTCTTACGAACCTGTCGCTAGTGCTGCTTTTGGCCGTTGGTCGTGCCTGCTTGTGTTGCTGCTCTTGCCGCTCTTGCTGATGCTGAGCCTCCTCTTCTGGAACTCTGCTAGACCTGGCGCCGCACCTTCACCTGCACCTGCTAGAAACGTAAAGGAATTCCTTCCCCACGTCCTGCGTCCCACGTTCCACAACCACACCCATACCTACGCCCACCCTACGCCTACGCCGCCTACGGCGCTCACGTCCCACCACCTTCCTCGTCCTAGTCGCCCCAGTTCCTTCCAGTCACGACCGCTTCTTTCGCCCGTCACGGCCTCTTTCCCTCCCCTTCATCTTTTTTTTTGTGTGTGCTCCTTCTTCTCCGGATTTCCTGGTGGCGTCAATTGCGTCTTGCCTGCACTCTTCGGCAGGACCTCGCGTTGTCATCCATCCGACCCCAATAGCGTCCCCTGTGTTTGCCGCCTCCGGTTCTCCGATTACGATCCCGGCAGCTTTCGTTCCACTGCTTTCGCCATCCTCTTTCCGCTCTTTGCGGCCAACCGAAACTCGCAACAACGGCACTGCTTCTTGTCGGGAAACGAAACGAAACATTGTGACTGCATCTCTCTCTCTCTCTCTGTCCCAGCTTGTGTGAGTTTTGTTGTCCCGGGTCACCCACCATATTGTTGAATCACCAACTGACAACAAGTGCTCGTGTTTCCGCAGACGGGACATCGCTGCTCAAATAAGAGCTTCTAGCGATTCCGGCGACAGGTCTCGACTCCTCCTCTGCCGCTGCCTCCAGCTGTGCCACTGTTACCAACAGTATCGAATTGTCTTCGAGCCGACTTCTCAGTCTACCTTTGCCGAATAATCCTCACTTTCCCAGCCGCCATATCGCATGATACGATCTGCGACATTCAGCGTCGTCAACAGCCCCCCCAATACCCGGATCTACAGCTTCAAACACCCCGCTTGAAGACACGACCCAGCGTGCACTCTCTGTGTTGATTGCCAGAAAAGAGCGGGTAATAGCTGAAAACAGATCAGAAAACGTCAACAGTTCCATATCGACTAGGATTTTCAAATCCCGACGTTTCCTGTCGTAGGGCAATACCGCCTCAAACCGACCAGATTATAGCATGAGCCATTGCTTGCTTCTCTGCCCTTTCACTACTGCACACTTCACCATCTAGGAACGGCGGCAATACCGCACACGGGCAAGGAGAGGGCTCCTCCCTCCCACTGCCTTGCGAAGCATAGGCGATAACTCGGGTGTGCGTTGGCAAAGCCCTTCGGGAAGCTTTGGCCCTCTGCCCTTCCACTGGGGTGGAGAGCTAGCCGGCAAGGCACATCAGAAACCTGGCTTCGATACGACCACGCACGCGGCATCCCTCCCGGACCATGAGGCGGAATCGATCCCCGTCATCACCCTCGCCCTACCGGGCTCTTGCTCATGGCGCTGGTGCCGCAGGGCCCGGCGGGGTGCCTGATTCCATCTCCCTCCTCAGGTCTTTCAACGTCGACACGAACCCAACTCGCCCTATGCGACCTTCACCATTGACTGCGTCGACAATCCGGGATATGCCACTTGACCTTGTTGACCGTATTAGATCTTTCCCGCTGTTTGTATCTGCACCCGAAGAGTTTTTAGCTGCAATTGGAAATCACCTACGACCGCAGGTTCATGCTGCCCAAGATCATATCCTTACCGAGGGAGACGATGCTCGGGCGATGTTCTGGTTGGTGCGGGGTGTTGTGGCTGTCACTTCCCGTGACGGAGAAGCCATTTACGCGGAGCTCAAACCTGGTGCTTTCTTTGGGGAGATCGGCGTACTAATGAACATTCCTCGCACTGCCACGATCGTTGCTCGGACAAAATGTCTTCTCGTTGTCCTTAAAAAGGAGGATCTCCAGGCAGAGTTGCCCAAGTTTCCAGATATGGAAAAGGCAATTCTTCAGGAGGCCCAAGAACGCTTGAATATTCTGAAAAAGAAGCGCCAAGAAGGCGGGCAGGCTATAAAGCCCCCGTCGGCACATATCAATGGAACAAGAGAACCAGCGCCGGGTGAGGTTTCGACAGGCGAAGTCGGTACAATCAAGGAGGGAGCAATTGTGAATTCAAAGAAGAGAAAATCACCAAGTCCAGGAGCCATCGAGGACCCTGCTGCGGGAAGCGCACTCGGAAGCGGTTTTGTCAATGTAAGGAAAACTTTGAAAGAGTTGCCTCTCTTCTCGACACTGCCCCCCGACATCCTCCACTTCCTCGGCTTGAGCGCCCAGCCGAAAACATACTCTCCGTTTACGGACATTATACAGCAAGGTTCAGCGGGAAATGAGATATTTTTTATCGTTCGGGGGGAGGCGGAAGTAATTCACGATGCGCCCAACACTCAGGAGCCCTTCAAAAAGTTAACACGTGCGTCATATATACGCCCTAGATTGAAAGCTGGCCAGTATTTTGGAGAGGTTGCAAGCTTGGGTTTGTCGGAAGGTCGGACGGCAACTGTGCGCGCAATCACCACAGTCGAATGCCTGGTGATCCCAGGTGACGCGCTAGACAAACTATGGAGTCGATGCCCACCCGATATCAAGTCTCAAGTGGAAGAGACTGCACGAAAGAGGTACAAGAAGTCGGATGACGACGTAGAGATGGCCGATGCGGATCCTAGGGAACGGACCACCAAGTCAGATCCTCCCACGCCGACTACGCCCAAGGTTCTGCCGCATGTTACATTCACAACTCCCTCAAAACCGACTTCTCCTGCCAAGGACGACAACGACACCATGGAACCAAAGGACCCCGATCCATTTTTAAGCGTTGACATGGAAAACATGCGGAACAGGCGACGCAATTCTTTAGCCCCTCCTACCCCGCAGTCCGATATGTCTTCGCCGACAGGGGTTAATGGTTACCGTCTGCACCAAATTGAGTCAACACCGCTTCGTTTCTCTATCCCCCAGTCACCTCCCGAGTCGGAAGCACCCGTTAAGCGAGCCCGAACGTTACCTCGCCGGCCGCACCCAGCTCATGTCCATGCTCTATCGGACGACATGCTTGTTTTAGCCTTTCGTTTCTTGGACATCGCGGAGTTGATGCGTGCGCGCCTTGTTTCGACCCATTGGCGGAGGCTGTTGACTACACATCCTAAAGTGTGCCTTGACTTGGATCTTTCAGAGTACAACAGAAGGGTTACGGACATGGCCATTAGGTCATGTATTGGTCCTTTTGTTGGCACGCGACCGGAGTCCATCGACATAAGCAACTGTTTCCATATCACTGATGATGGCTTCCGTAGCCTTTGGGAAAACTGCGGCCGCAATGTGAAACGGTGGAGGATGCGTTCTGTGTGGGATGTCTCTGCAAACCAAATCCTAGACATGGCCGAGAACGCAAAAGGCTTAGAAGAGGTCGACTGGAGCAACTGTCGAAAAGTTGGTGATAACCTCCTTGCCCGTGTCGTCGGCTGGGTGGTACCCGAACCACCGCCGCCGCAGCCTGCCAGCAAACAAATTGTTATTTCTAGCTCCTCCGCGAAAGTTAAACCTCAGAAAGCCGCAGCACAACAAGCACAACAAGCACAACAAAGACCAGCCAACATTCCCAAACCAGGGACGATCATTGGCTGCCCTAAACTCAAACATCTCAACTTATCATATTGCAAGCATATCACCGATAGGTCAATGGCACACATGGCGGCTCACGCTTCAAATCGCCTAGAGTCATTGTCTCTTACGCGCTGCACGTCGATTACCGACGCAGGTTTCCAGTCATGGGCCCCATACCGGTTTCTCAACCTATCGCACTTGTGTTTGGCTGACTGCACCTATCTTTCGGACAACGCCATTGTCGCACTGGTGGGCGCGGCCAAGAATTTGACGCACTTGGATCTATCGTTCTGCTGCGCACTTTCGGATACCGCAACAGAAGTTGTAGCACTTGGGCTGCCACAGCTTCGCGAACTTCGTCTAGCGTTTTGTGGCAGTGCCGTCTCGGACGCTAGCCTTCAATCTGTGGCTCTACATCTCAACGAATTGGAGGGTATTACCGTTCGTGGTTGCGTCAGAGTAACAGGTGGCGGCGTCGAGAACTTGCTTGAGGGGTGTGGGCGACTTGAATGGGTCGATGTCAGCCAATGCCGGAACCTCGAGAGCTGGATAAGAAGCGGAGGCGTCATGAGATGGGGATTTGATGAGCGCGGCGGCAACGGTATGTCACCCGGCCAAGTGCCTTTGCCGTTGCCAAGCCCGACGCCGACTCCGACAACGGATCACGTCGGTTTGAGTGGCAGACCGCATGCACTCAGCTTCCGTCGACGGGCGAGAAAACCGGTACGCTTTATCGTTGAGAAGGGGGCATTCGGATTGAGATGAGGGGCGTACACAATTGTGATGATTTATGAGAGATGTTTTGTACGATGTGGCTATTGTACAGAGGATATTGCTGGATGGTATGTAGAGAAGGGAACACGGTTACGATATCGGCCTTGGCTGTTTGTCAGGAGCTACGGACGGCATTTCTGGGGTATCATATTTGGAATTTCTGGGAGATCTGGCTGGATGTAGCCGAGGATAGACTGGATATGGTGATACCCTATTCATTTGGCTCTTGTCATGACGGCATTCAAAACTGTCTCTTTTGGTGAATATGGTGTACAAATGTGAATGGGTCCATCATTCTTTAATTATCTCGGTACAAATACAGTGACCTACGCTGCCTTGACTCTCTGCTGCTTAGGAAACCCTAATCCCAACAGGAACAAAGCCCTCGCCAACCCAGCCAACGCCGTGATAGCAACCGCACCCCAATCCTCAACCCGCCACGTCAGTGGATTCGACCTCCCCTGTAGCGCATACGAAGAAAAGGTCCCGTATAAAAGAAAGGCGTCGACGACGAGCACGGAAAGCTGGTAGACACGCCACACCTTGACGTCCGATGTCGTGCGCAGGAGGACGGTGGAGAGGATCGCGTTGGAGATCAGGTGGCCCGCTATCTGGGAGTGCAGGGGCAACGAGTATTCCGCCAGCGAAGCCGACAAGGTCGTCGAGGTGAGGGTGGATGCCGGATGCGATGTCGCCGGGTCTCTGAGGGCTGCCGGGGTGTATGAGGGGGGAAGATATGAGGATGTCACTGTCTGTGGGGTGAAGAGGAAGAGGGACGTGCCCCAGAGGGCTATGAGGGGGTCGATGAGGGTGAAGAGGTGGCGGTATGCGGCTGGGATTTCGGTCATTTTTTTTTTTTTTTTTGGTGAGTTTGTGATGTTTGTTATATGTTGGTGGTGCTTGTGATGTTTAGGGACGGTGGATGATGATTTGTTGTATTATCGACGTTTGATTTTCTGGATGGTAGGTATCCGGGGCAGAGGGAAATATTGGATTCCAGTGTTAACGGGATGAAAGGACTTTATGGTTTAGTCTAGAGGCTGATGTTTCTCTTGTGACTGGTGGTTTTATCTGCGTCTTTTTGCCACTACTGGTCCATATGCACTTATTTTTGAGACTTTCGGTCTCGCGTTGATGTCATTTTCCTTGCGCCGGGTGCCCGCGGGGCCGTAAATTTAGCGGTTAGACGCCCCCCCCGAGCCAAGGGAAGTGTGGCCGGTGCGCGTGTTAAGGTTGTGGGGAAGCACACGGGAGTTGGAGGGGAGCTTGGGCCGTTTTACGATCGGAGGGTTTTTGATGGGCTGTTGTTGGGGGGGGGGGGGGGGGGGGAAGCTGGTTGGCTTGGCTTTTGAGGGCGCTGAAGACGATGACTCTTTAAATGCTTACAAAACTCCGACCTGAGTGTGATTGTTCTTTTTTTTCTCTTGAGAATGTTTTGTTCAGAATGTCGCGATTACGACCTCCTTGCTGGGTTGGTTTCAGGGTTCAGAATTGCTATTCGCTATCAGATATTGTTTGTATCCACCAATATCCTACCACAAATTTCACCGACCAAAGTCATCATGTGGACATTCTCATGCCAAATTGCAGCTGAGGTTTTCATCTTTATATTGGAGTGAGGGGGAATGAGTTATTTGAATAGCCTTTACGAGTGTTTCTAATACTATCTTTATCATAATGAACTGCGGGCTACTTTTGGAATATTACTCATGATACCAGTGATTAGCCCCCAGATCTGCGAATCGCGTTCCTGCAGGTCGTCATGCAGGCCGGTGGCGTTGGCAGGGCTGTCAGCCAACCCCGCTCTCAAATCCCTCTTTTGCGTTGAAATGCAGCCTCACGGCACTTGTGGCATTTGTCCGTCTCGGCGCGCGAACGTCCCAGGTTGGTTGCCTCCGGTTTACATGGGGAGATGTAACTACCTAGTGCAATGCGGCTTTTAAACACTTCCACGCTTCGCCTATCCGAGTTCATCGGGGACGTGCCAAGATACGCAATCTTGTCACACACATGGGCTGAGGATGAAGTGCTCTTTCGGGACTTGGAAAAGTACCCGTCGGCCACGGCTGGATGGGCCAAGGTGCAAGCTGCGTGTAAGTTGGCGCGCAGTAAGGGTCATGCGTGGATCTGGATCGACACCTGCTGCATCGACAAGTCCAGCAGCGCCGAGCTCTCCGAGGCAATCAACTCAATGTACAAATGGTACCAGGAAGCTGTCGTCTGCTTCGCCTACCTTGCTGATGTGCCCTACTACGAACATGGGACCGTGGCGCGCACGGCGGCGCTGGCGAATAGCCGATGGTTCACTCGAGGATGGACACTGCAAGAACTTCTCGCGCCGGTGGAAGTCTACTTTTATTCTTCTGACTGGAGACTCATATCTTCACGAAAGGAACTGAGAAGCGACATTGAGGAGATCACGGGCATTGAAGCAGCGTACTTGTCGGGTCCGTGGAACACGAATGTGAGCAACGCGAGCGTGGCTCAGCGCATGTGCTGGGCGTCGACGAGAAAGACCACGCGAATTGAGGACATTGCCTACTGCCTACTGGGCATATTCAGAGTCAACATGCCACTCATCTACGGAGAGGGACTCAACGCCTTCAAAAGACTGCAAGAGGCCATTCTGAGAGAGTATGACGACCAGTCCATTTTTGCTTGGGGTCACCTCCAAGATAGCTTTGACAGCCTGCTCACCCCTCCCGGCACGCCTCTTCTGGCTGATGGCCCCTGGTGGTTTGAAAAGGCTGGCGATATCGTGCCTTTCTGGACACCAAATGTCGACGCAAGGTTACGGATCGAACATGACGGCGTCACATTTACCACGCCGCTCTGGAAAGAGGCTGCAACGAGCTGGATTTCTTCGTGGGACGCCAGCGTTCTTGCGCCGTTGCAATGCCGAAGGAGGAGCGATCCCCTCAACTGCATTGCAATACGTCTTTCTATCGCCAACCAAGGTACCAAAATGAGCCCTCAGTCATCAGTCTTGACGTGCTTTCGACAGTCGGTGTCTCTCTACCCTATCACGAGACGTGCCTGGTTAGAAAGGAATCTCTGTCAAGCATTCGTGAATTACTCGGGAGTCTACAAGGATCTCATGGTGGAAACGATAGCCGACAAGGGCTGCGTCGTTCGCACCCTTCCTCGGGGGTACACGGCAATGGAAGTCTGCACCCATTTATGTGACCATGTAAGAAGACCACACGACGGTTCCGAGACGAAGTCGATAATTCCCGTGCCGGGTGGCTTTAAGTTGGAAACTACCACGAGGAATTACGGATTAGCTCATCCCGCCGTGGTCCGTCTAAAGGGACCGTCGCTGCCTGACCTCGCGCTGGTGCTGCAATTCCAGTACCTGTCTGAGCCGAACCCCAACGGCGGCCCTGACGACGTCATCTGGCCAGACTCGCCGGGCTGGATGATCAACCGCGTCGTGGTCGCCCCTGAGGCGTTATCCACGAGGGAGATTGCAATTATTGCTGGAGAAGAATCAAAGGCGTGGACGGTGTCCGAGATTCGCGGGCTGACGGGCTGGGGAAAGGCAAGCTCTGGAGTGCCGGCCGCATACTCCATTCTCAACCGTGGCATTCTGGAGCTGTTTACTGGGTTCAGTTTGAGCCTCACTCAAGACGCCGCGTACGGACCGTATCTCTTTCTGGTCGATGTCGCGGATCCAAATGGTGAAAATGTTTCCCTTGAAGCTACGCATCGGGGGCAGTTCTGTCCCCTTAGAGGACAGGAAATCAAATGATGCTTGGTGACATTCTTTTGATCAGCTTACTGTTTTCGGGAGTGTTTTCATCATAGGTGGTAAGGTTCTCCTTGTCCTTGCTCTCACAAGCCCATTGTTCAGGACTAGAATCTCACACAAAACACTTAATATTGATCAAATTCCGAATTAATTAACTTAATTATTCATATAGCTCCATAAGAATATGAATCTTGAATCCAGTGTATCTACGATCATGGCGCATCCACCTCCCAAGTCTTCCGTAGCCATCTACGACAGCCATGTAAAACGATCATCGTCGCGGCAATGCTGATATCATATCCTGGATACCAATCACAAGGGTACCGATTAGAGTGCTCTCATGCAGGTCTCGCAACGTCTCCGGCAGCGTTGCGTCCATCTCCGATTGCTCCCTGATCTCCAAGTCAGCACCTTGTCCCGCCGCCATGCGCTCGGCATTCACCCCCACGCCCTCAGCGTCGACCTCGTACCGGTGCCGCCCGTGATGAGGGAAATCATTCTCAGGGTCTCCGTGGGCTCTTACCAGGTGATCTTGGTAGTCATCTCCCGTCTCGTACACAGTCAGGCAGTTCCAGCAGATGTGGTTGTAGCACCCCTCGCAAATCACGTGGTCGCAACCGTCGACCTTTTCGATCAGGATCCCGCAGCTCGGACAGTTCTTCGCCCCGATTTCCCTCTTGGCACTCTCCAGCAAGGCGTCCGCGTGCTCCTCGCACGAGGTCTGCTCGTCGTGTTCCTCGGCACAGGTCGTGCAGATGACGACTAGGCAGTTGGGGCACCTCTTCGGGGAGGCGCCGGTACGTTTGGCCGTGGGCCGGTACAGTTGACTGCAACCTGGTGTCGGGCAGCATCTAACCTGGTCTGAGTTCTTTTTGATATAGGCTTTTAGTGACTCGCCGAGTAGCTCCTCAAACAGGTTGCGCGAGAGTTGGCCACGGAGTTCGTCGAGAGTGAATACGGCATGGCAGGGCCGATCGTCGACTATGCTGATGCACTTGAGAGCGTTTCTTGCCCACGCGATTTGGGATCTGAAGAGCCTCACGAAACATCCTTTGCAGTATGCGTGGCCGCAGCTGCCAACAATCGGGTCGTCTACAAAGTCGAGATGGATCGGGCAGATGTCGCGAGCATGTTTATGGGCGAGGAGACGGTCTGCCTGGCTGCTGTTCTCTACTTCTATCGGCCTGTTCAACGTGCGCTGCTCGAGTATCTCTCCGAGGCGACGTTTTACCGTGATGATGTCTTCTCTGTTTTCGCTCGTACACTCAATGGTGATTTGGTCCCCATCATCGGTGCTTGACATTTCTACGCCTATGCTTCTGGCGGTCTTCTCTAAGCTGTCGAGTGCCGGCTTGGTCATTATGAATCTCCAACTGGGGCCTTTCCAAGTTGCCCTGAAGACCAGGGAAGCGGTCAGAAGGCCGGAGGCGTGGAACGGTACGCTGGTGTTGTTGAGTTTGTCGACGGCGTGTCGAGCGTCTGCATCGTCTACGAATCTGGCCGTCGCAATTGTGTATGGTTGGTGCTGAGGCGTCTGCTTGACCTTGAGTGAAGATGCAAGGGGACCGATGGCGGTGAGACTTTTGTTCAGCAGCTCGAGTTGCATTTGATCGTCTGCTTCAAAGCTTGGCTCCCCAAGTTTCACCTCGAGTAAATCAACGTTCTTGTACCCAGCACTCTTCAGAGCGCGGAGGATATCGGTATGTGTGGCAGCAATTGGGACAAGGCCAAGATACATGGAATGTTGGAAGCTGGTAGCCCGAACAGCCTGGCCCAGAACTTCGTACCGTTGCGATGGGAAGCCGCCGTGGGTACCAATCAGCGAGAGCGGTGCATGGATGCCAACTGGTCTCGTGGCCTTGTCCCAGGACAGGCGGATCTCCTTTGCTGATGCGGTGTGTTGTATTGACGTCGGCGTGAGAGAGATCGAAGCTTCAATCTTGCTAAATCTGAGATGCTTCTGCCCCAGATACTGGCGTACGTCGATGGTTTTGGTTGCCTCGAGAAGTTTCGTCGCAAAGAGCGAGTCTTCAACTATCACGTCGGCGAAGTGAGCCAGACCATCTAGTTGGATGTCTATTCTCATCTCGTCGTGCGGAATGCGGAAGCCGAAGATGGCTAGCATGTTCACAATGAACTCGCGTGTGCTACTGCTGGGGATGTTGGTGAACCGGATGGCGGAAAAATCCGAATCGAGAGCTAGCCTGACGACCTCTCCGCCTGCGCCGTAGTGGACGGATGCGCCCATGATGTTGCGTACCGTCTGGTCGCGGATGAGGTTCGATTGGCTGGCTGTAGGCTTCGTGATCGTTTTGCCGTGGGAATGGGGACAGGCGATGGCATCTGGACAACGGCCAAAGGGGTGATATGGGCAGGATACTAGATGGTATAGTTTGCGCTTTATGTAATATCGGCGATCCATGATATTCCTTTCTTAAGATGGCAGACTTGAACACCTATGGTAGCGCAGCGGTGCTTACGTTCGGTGGTTTTGGTTCAGGAGACGAAAGACTTCATTGATTTGATTGCGAGGAGTTAAAATGCATTGATGGCATAGCTGTGAGATGACGGAAGAGAAGTATTACCACTTGTTACTGCCGTAGCGAGAACTGTCTTTTATGATTTTCCAGGGGGTTGTAATGATTCACAAGACCTTGGGAGGCGTGAACTACTCGTCAGAGGCCAGATGATGAAAAAGGAGGCCGTAATAGAATAAAACTCTATCAGAAAAAGTATGAACTTAGTCTGGCATCTGGCAATGCATGGCTCGGGCGCTATTTTTGCCATCCAGGTTTCCGTGGCGCCGCAGCTGTGGGAATATCAGCGACGCCATCTCCGTTCTTATCAGCTGGACTTTTGCTTATTAACTCAACAGCATGTACTGATATTTAAACCACGAGCTGCACTGGGGTTCAACATGACATGTAGTTGAAAAGTGCTTCAGTCGGACTAATGTACACGCATCAGGTATGGAGTAGCTGTCGGGAGGAGCAATAAGTGGCTTACGTCGGTCAGGCAATCCATGGCTGTAAGATTCATAATACTATACTGAATAACGAGTCAAAGTTTGGCGTAAGTATAGGAGTGGACAGAAAACTGATATGGTTCCCCTGATGGAAGGTAGAGTAGTTCTTTGAGATTACTAGTATGGGGCAAAGTAGAAGTGATGATAATTCTAGTGTAGGTACCTTAGCTTAAGCTTCTAGCCAATACGAAGAGGATATCTATATGAACAGATGCTTATACACTGGCTTCCTATTTAAAGGTGTGTCAAGCCCAATTTAACTCACCTGCGACGTCTCTATGCCTCCCCCTCTTTTCTTCCTTTCCTCCATTTTGTGAAGTTGCCATGGTGGTGTTGGAGTCAGTGAAGATTTGTATTTGCAATCCAGAACTGCAAGAGTTGTACCCTCCTATTCTATGCAGGGGGTCTGGCTTGGCGTGCTGCTATGCGATAAGATTGAGATAAGCGCCAAGATTGATCAATCTACTGCTTTCGATGTTGTGTCATATTTCTCCTGTTGCTGCGAAACCGCCACATCTTCGAATCGCCTTTCTTGTTCATGAACCACGCATTTCCCTTTATTTTCCTCTACCTTTGCCGCTCTCAAGTTCTCGGCCCTTGATCTGAACCGCTGTCGCTAGAAAATCGTACTACGTCCGGCAACTATGATTCGTTCAGTGTCGACGCGATACTGAGTGCGCCGGGATTAAAGCCTTCCGAGCTGCTGGTGAACGTAAGTGATTCGGTCTGCTTATACACCAATCTGAGATCCCAGGCGCATATTGAAAGCAGAAACAGGCCAAGTGCAGCACCACCTGACGACATAAGTAAACACCGCTTACGTCCAAAATAGCCAATGTTCACGGCCGAGCCTGAGTACACACACGAATCGTAGTATGACGACAACCAGAACGTATCAATTGATCTTCAACCTCGCTGTTCACTAACAGCGAGTCTGTGAAGACTTTGTCTCTTGCTCGCAAGCTACTGATACACATTGACAATGGCTGCCCTCATCACGAGCGGATATCGCTCCCTCAGCGAGTACCGTTTCTGGGAGGAACATATCGACGCCATACTACGAGTCGCTGCATATCATCGCAAGGACTTTGCCCAAGCTGTGATATGGTTCTCCCCCCGCGAACATGTCAGGGTTGGTTCGTCCATAGCGACACCCTTGCAACGGAGGCAGACTTGCAGCTCAGGACTCGGTTGCCTCGATCGCCTATCTCTCGAGCTTTTGCATGATATTTTACTACATCTAGATATGCGCTCTCTATTCGAATTTCGCCAAACAAGTCTTAGATCGATGAAGACGGTGGACTCACTGAAACAATATCAGATGGTGATGTCGCATGGACTCAACCTTTTTTGCGCCTTGTTGAGAACCGGACTTGCCACTGGCGTTTCTCTGCTTGACTTTTACAGCGCACTGTGTACTAAAGCTTGCGACTTTTGCGGTAATTTCGGCGGGTTTATCTCCCTCTTAACTTGGAACCGATGCTGTTTTGTATGCCTCCAGACAGCCCCGGAAACTCAAGTACAAACTCTTGCCGCAGCCAAGAAGCAACTTTATTTGACCAAGGCCCAAACAAACCAATTAAGATCATTCAAAACCTTGCCTGGGATATACACGATGGAGGAACTGGCTCAGAAAATGCGCCTTACGGTTGTATCCCTTCATCAGGCTCTTTTGATTTCCGGACAACAAGCAGGTTCACTGGCGCAGATCCCTCAAGTGAACAACGAACGGAGTCAAAAACTCAATTTCATGAGTTCATGTGCACTTCCGTATTATGACAGACGAGCCGTCAGAGTCGAACACGGAATATCCTGCGCTGGATGTCAACTTGCTCTCGAAAAAGACATCATCGGCTCCAGAGGTGAGAAGTGGGCGTTCGAGGCTCGTGATATGGTATATGCGCAAGATGGTTTTTTGGAGCATTTTCGATGGTGTGAACAAGCGCAGCTTCTTTGGAAATCGAGCGAAGAGGGCAAGAAGCGGCCAAAGGAACTACCGGAGGCTGTTCGAAGAGGAGGCTTTTTTAACCTAAGAGAATGATGTAGATGTAGACCATAAATTGCGACAGGGCTGTCCACAAGCTGTCAAAGTCGAAAGCATTAGGGAAAAATGGGCAAAGTGCTCGACTGCGGTGTTGCAATATTTTCGATGACTTCTCATTCAAACTGGCTGGTCTTGGTGCTATCCCTTTGATAATCTGGCCCATCGCGATATTGACAACTGTTACCCACATAGCATGTGAACCAACACACCAAAGTAGCTTTTCAACGCTTAAATATGGTATTCGTACTAGTACATGGGCCGCATAGTGGCCGTGGCTTTCTATAAAGTCGTAGAAGACGTAACATGCAAATCCATGAAATCATCATTCCTGAGTCTGATGTTTCACGTCAAGCCGTGCCTCATAAGCCTAAGTGGTCTCATCACTCGTATAATCGTGAAATGGCGCGTTCAGTGGTTGTGCTGAACGTCGGCCGCGTGCTCCTTTCGTGCAACATATTCCATGCCCTGAGGCTTGCCAGTGTTGGCACCGCTCTTGGAGTGCTCCTTTCTTTCCTCGTACTGCTGCTGAGCCATCATCTCCTTAGCCTCATGCTTGCTGGAGGGGTCCTCTGTGACTGGTTAGTTACTCATGGTTCGTTATATGATCGGAGAGAGGTACATACTGGGGACATCGGCTTGAGGCTGGTACTGAGGCATTTTGAAATTTCTTCTGAATAACTTTGATAAAAATTGAGAGTGTTCGGTGGTATACTTGGGATGTTAGATTGGCGCTTGGTGTGATTGATGAGCAAGAATAGATGATCTGCTCGACCGTGAACCAGAGCTCTTTATCAACAACGTTCTTACTGACATCTGACGAGCTTCAATGGAGGCTCCCGCTTCATGACGTACAGTTGCGTAAATCCAGCGTCATGCGTGCCATGACACGATGCATATCATGTGTTTCCACTGACGTCGATATATGGGTCTAATTGTGGACGGCGAGGTTATCGCCCTACCGTACCGAAACGTTGATCAAGGCTCCGTAAATCTCGATGAAAGTCTCCAAAAGTCGAAACGCTTCATTAAATACATAATCTGATAATCTAGGCGGGAATTATAATGTTCTAGATCACGTCTATCCCTACCTCGAAGTGGATGCACGCAAGAAATAGTATACAAGCCAAGCGTGGAGTTTTCTCCCCTATTTGCCGATCCTTGCCAATGCTTTAATTTAGGTAAGCATTTTCACTTGGGAAGCAATGACAACAATCGCCCATGGTACGACACAAATTGGTAAAAGAAGTAGCAGTATATATGCGTGTATGTATATGCCAATGCGGCTAAAGCTATTTACAGGAAGCATCATCTTAGTCGTCAGGCCGAAGCCGGTCGGACTAAGATGAAGAAAGTATGTGCATGCTCGATTTTGACGGGACTAAAACTCTCCCAGAAACTCCACGCTCAAATATGGTGCAGAAATGTCGAAAATGACAAAAGTGCCGTTGGCCGCTTAGCAGGCAGACAGAGAAGTCTGGCCCTTGCAGTTGGCGGTGGTGCTGACCTTGGAGCTGGAGCCCTCGCCCTTCTTGACACCCTTGTACTCCTGGCAGACCTTGGGGACGCTGGATCCGCAGGTGCCGGAGATGTTGGCGGTGTCGCCGTAGTTGGAGTTGATACCGACGAGCTCCTTGACGTTCTTGGCCTTGACGTTCTTGACAACAACGTTGCGGGGGCCGCCGTTGTTGGTGCAGTCACCGCAGCCGCGGTAGAGCTTGCCAGCGGTGACGACGGTGAAGCCGTCAATGGTGACGGTGCCACGGCCGTTGTGCTGGACGACCTTGTCGGCGGCGTTCTGGGCACCACCGCCCTGGATGAGGACGTTGCCGTTGCCGAGGGCAGAGATGGCGTCTAGAAAAGTGAGAGTGTTAGCAGACGGCCTAGATTCGACATCGTTCAGGATTCAGACATACCCTCGCAGACGTCACGGAACCAGACGTTCTTCAGGGTGCAGGCACCCTTGCAGTGGACGCCCTCAAGCTGGTTGGCGCCGATGATGACGTTGCTCAGGGTGGCGCCGTTCTCGAGGATGAAGACGGCGGAGTCGCTGCCGGTGTCGGCGTCGGTGTCGCAGGGACGGCCACGGTCGAACTCCTTGTTGGCGAAGTCCTTGGAGCCAGAGATGACACTGGGGGCAGAGAGGGAGACGATGGAGCCGCTGCGGGTAGGAATGTTGAGGGTCTGGGCCGTGGCAACGGTGGCCAGCATGGCGGAAACGAGAACCTTGGTCTGCATTTTGAAGGAGTTTGTTCAAGCTTTTAGTTGCAAAGATGGAAAGTGCGACTGGAAGATTGTCCTGAGTGAGCGTGATGAGGATAGAAGAAAGACTTGACTGTGAAGGCGGGAATCTAGAGAGTATTTATGTTCCTGTCCACCGACTACAGATTCTATTACAATCATACTCAGGATTGGCCTAGGTCTCTATCGCGGTAGGGAGTTTCACATTGATCATGAGAGAGCCCATATCGTACAACTCACCAGCCGTAGTATAGTCCATCTCCACAGGATAATCATGAGAGCCAAGTGCCCAGAAATCTCCTTGGTGGAATTAACAGGCAGCATCACCGCTGTGACCCAAAAGAAGTCAACGTGAGCGTGCCAGTCTCGGCTCCTCGCCCGAACACATGGGTGGTCAGAACCCAGAGAAACCCCATGCTGTTAATGTCGAGTCGTCTTGCCCACCAATGGGCTCCCCTGCCCTGACAGATGTCAACCTGGTCCCGGTATTCGAGAGAAATCCCTGTCATCTATGATAGGTGGAGGCAAACACGGCTCTCCTAACTTCATACGCACCTTTAGAGCTTCCTGGGGACGATGCCCGGGCCCGGCAAGTCAATCGTGTGATGGGCAGAACTTCTTGACCCTCTTTGCTTAAGCTCAACAAGGTAAAAACAGGGTGACACTTTGCCAATCAAAGAAAACCATCGCCGCATGTCTGCAGCTACTGGCTTGGCAGGCAATTTACTCAATACCTCCAGTAAAAAAGAAGGTGAGATGGCAACGTTGAAGCACAGCCCCCTTCGGAAAGATGCTCGGATGTACCGTTGGGGGTGGGGATGGCCAGAACAGGCTCTAGACTGTTGAAGGCACGGCTCAGAGCCTTACAAAGGATTGTGAAAGAACGGTAACCAGGGTGGTCTAGATTCTCCAATTTGACAGTCTGGTTCTCCAGTGGTCACTTTGGTCCCACGCATGAACCAGTGCCAAGATCTCCAAGACTGGGGTTGCATAGTTACTAGACCAGAATGGATATGGGTCTTGCTGATGCGACGGCAAATGAAGACAGGACTAGTCAGTGAGCACGCAACACGGCGAATCGCCCAAAAGTAAACATCAAAGGGGTGGTGACAGTCGGCCAGGCTCTCCATGAGGAAATACATTAAATCCTCGCCTTGGAAAAAAAGGTGTGCACGAGACGTACTGCAAGTCTGCAAAAGGCAGGTGAGGTGTGCAACCCTAACGTGCTTATCTGATATCAATCGGATGAACATAATATGACAAGCCACTTATGAGACACTAAATCATTTCTAAATTGTGACCAATTTATACCGTGACAATTTAGACGTAAAAGACGATTAAAAGGAGACTCTTGGAGTTTGGAGAAAAGGAAAATACTGTCAAGAGTATCGCCTCACCGTAACTACTACTCCGTACCTATCTGCAGGCTGTTGTTATGGGTCTGGGGCATGTCTCGGTAGATAACTCGTATGCCGGCTGATGTGCTCCGACGCCATGGGTGATGACTGCTCGGTGCTGCTCTCCGCATTTGGCGTGAAGGGATTGCGGTGGCACTCGCAGAGGTGAAATTGGACGGACAACGCCAAGACCTTTGAGTCAAGCATACACGTTGTTGAAAAGTAGTGGGCAATCATTCGAGAGCACCCCAAGTCTTGGCAAGTCGCTGAAGATGATGGGACATTGGCTAAGCGAAAAGAATTGTGAGCTTTCTATATCTTGGCATGCGTCAAACCCCTGTTGTTGACGCTGTTGGTGGCGGTGGAGCCGGCAAATCATTGATGGAAATCTCCTTTCTCCATTGTCTTCTCGGCTTTGAAACCTGGCAAAAGCCCCTGAGGAGAGGAGAGCAAAAGGGAGAGGCTTCCAGTCCTACTTTACGCAGTGTTGAGCAAAATGTCGACAAGTTGAAAAGGTTGGTTCAATGCATTAATCGTATTGGTTGTCAAAACAAACCATATAATAAGCTGCAATATATGCATCAGTGCTTTTAAAAAGCATGGCATCTAAACCTAGGTAGGGATCGCATGTCGTGCTTTTACACCTCAAGAATCTCGGGATAGGCGGAAAGTTCAATTTGGAAGAAAGTCAATCTCATTTCAATTCTTACCTGTCGATTAGGTAACATGAAACATCGCGGGATGTGGGATACCTGCGTGGGCATGATATTCTAGCCTGCTTGGCGGCGATGGTTCCTATTGATGAGCTTGCGTAAACTACATCCTGCCTATCAACAGCCCTACAGGCCAAACGTGAAAAAAAGACTCAAGAACCCGGGTTCGGAAGACATGGGACGCCTGTGTAAACGTTCCTTGCAAATGAAAAGCTCACAAAAGACCCGGTTATGGCTTGGAGAATTGAGTCAGTTTTTTTTCAACTTGATAGAGGCGCTTCTTGTTGACGTTGTGATAGTGCCAAGCTTTATAATCTAAACTCAATTTCAGACCAAAAGACGGGAGCGACAGCTTGGCGAGGATCCGAGGTAAAATCAAGCTCGCGATAGTTGCGGCCCGAAATACGACAAACCACGAGTCAGTTAAAACTCGCCCGTGCTCGATAGCAATCGGCTGTTTGGCCCTGCGTCACCGAAAACCAGAGTATTTTAATAAATCGTTCGTGTTGAGAACCATTAAATACGAGCATTTGTTACCTTAGAAATAACAAAACTTTTGTGTTCAAGAGTCTTGGCAGCAATATGGGAGTGGGCAAAGCCACCAATCAACCAAGTGCACTGCGAATCTAGACTAGGCGATGTTTTCCTTTTTCAGTATTTGCTTCGTAACAATTTTGTTTCGATCAACTCGTTCAATGTGCTCAAAAGAGTTCTTTTTTGTCCAGAAAATAAGAGTAAAAATAAACAGCAATACCATACTTGAGATACGATCAAAAGCTGGCGGAGCCGGTACCGGCGGTCAGCTCCGTGGGTGAGGACCCATACTTCGGTTGAGCTAATACCGGGATCGCTCACGGTACAGTTGGGTTAGAGAGAGAAAAAGAAAAATGCCTCTTCCATTTGATGATTCCCGAGCTTGGCGCAGGTGCTGAACTGCTTCATGTCCCGTTGGGATAATCAACACTCTCCTGTCGCACTACCTCCAACACATGGGGTACCGGTGCACTCAAAACCTCTTGGGTTCTCGGCGTGTCCACACAGGTACGATGTGGCAGCGGTGCCGTTTGCAAATCGCAAGTCGACGTCAAAGAGCCCAATGTTGGTGCACGGCGCGACTGCACTGCACTGTAGGCTTGCGACACGGGAAGATTTGGTAGTTCCCACCATGCCGCTGACGGTGATGTCGCGGATTTGGAACTGCGAGTTGGTGCAGTTGCCTACGCCGGGAGCGCCGCTGAAACGGGTGCACTGCGAGATGGCGAAGGCAGCGCCTCGCATGCCTTTGACGGTGAGGTTCTTGAAAAACATGTCGGAAGCAACTGTCCCAGATTACTAAACATGCTATAAGGGGAGCGGGTACCCGAGGGCAAGACTTACAGCCCAGTCCGCCGCCTCCGCCGTTGGGTGGATAGCCGTTCTGATCATCGGTCCATGTCTTGAAGTAGACCTGCATTTCCCCCCCTGTTAAGCAGATGTAACACACCGAGTGGCACTAAAAGAATACTAACTGCGTGAAGTGTGTTGTCGAAGAAACAGTCCCTGACATTCAATCCTTCGATCGTCTCAAATTCGTCGTTGTACTGACCAATACTGCCAAGAGCAACTCCAAGACCATCGTAGAACTTGGAGTTGGTAATGCTGATGTCGGTGCTGTTGGCCTTGATAGCGATGCTGTCATCCCCGCTGTAAACCGTCCAGTTGTTGAACTTGATCTTGGACGATCGGATTGTGTCGGCTCCGTCCGTATTGGCTATCAATGGTTAGAATACGTTCATCTAACTCAGTGACTGCTTGGCAATTTTGTGCCGCTTACAGCTCTGGTAACGGTTGCCAGTGTTGTTGACCAAGATACTATCCAGCTCGACGTTGTGAGAGTAGATGATGGACATAGTCCTAACAAAGGTCAGTCGCTTTGGGATAGTACATTCGCACGACTATTGGTGGAATTGCATACCACATCTGGCTCCTCAAAAAATTGAGCCCTCGGACAACAGAGTTGGTCAGTCCGTTGAACGTGATTGCATGCGGCCGTCCGGGATAGTTGGAAGTATTCGGTTGCTGCCGGATCCACTCGTACCAATAATCGCCGTTGCCGTCAAAGGTTCCCTTCCCATGGCCATTGATGCGTACGTTGTTACCGCCAAGAATGAAGGCGGTAGAATGGTTCTGGTACCCGACGTCGAGTGAGTTTGCGAGCCAGTACGAAATGTTCGTACTCCACTAAGGACGGGCCAAAACACCCCGTCAGCTTATCGTCATCACACCAAATGAAAATTCTTGGCGTTACTTTGGTTGTGTAACAGCCAGATTAAACACAATTTTAATCCAAGGCGCCATGTCTGTGATGCAAAATCTTGTGTCAACGTACCAATAATGTACCTTGGACGTCAATCTCGACATCCTCCAACCAGGTGACATTCAAGACCGAGTTGATATGGTAAGTTGTAGGCTTGAACACGACCTTACCGCGCTTACCGCATTTCTTGAAGGCTTCAAGAATGGCTGGCGCATCGTCGGTGGTGTTCGTTCCGCTGGCTTCAATAGTGCAAGTCTTCTTACAGGTCCCGTCAACTTCTTGCCCCAGAACCCTAGAACCCAAGCTGAATATAGTCCCAAGGACTCCGATTGCCCGGATGATATGCATAGTAGGTTGATTATAACAGCCTTTCCGGATCAAGTCGATGTAAAACAAGGGGTGGCGTCAAAGTAGTGCAGCTGAACACGAAGAATGAATTCGCACCCTGCATATCACCAGCATTCATTTCCAGGCTGGGACCAGGCGCGACGGTACCGTGGGTTGAATACTCATCTAGCATCGTCGAATCGGTGTTTCCTTACCCGAGAAAAGACGAGGTGAGCGTTGCACTCTCGCATTGTCGCTAAACGCTACTGCGTACGTGATTGATTGAACCGAGCCCATTGTGTTGCATTTTGCTTTCAATCATTGATTTCGCACGAATCAAAGATTGAGTTTAGGTGATCTTATTACATGGCCACCGATAATGAGATTTCCAGACCACGATCGGCAGGTCTCCCCGGCGATGCGGAGGCGGGGTGATGCGGGGAGTGGTTGTAGTTCTAGACGAGCTGCGGGGAAGCGAGCCGGGGAGGGAATTAAATTGCCCAAACTGGTTTGTTCGACAACCTAAACGGTCGTAATTGCACTTTCAAAACGAATCACAGCCCATCCTTCAGCCCGGGCTGGTGGCATCGCTGTAAGAAAGGAAGCGAACTCGCTTGAAATGGAATCCAGAACGAAGCCAATAGGTGTAGTTGACAAAAGAGGCGACGCTAGACCCCATGTTAGACCCCTTGTGGCCATATAATTCAGATCCTTCTCAACTTTAACAAGCCCTTAGTATAGCCACGTCCGTTTTGTTAAGGTATTAAGCTTCGTATCGGTATAGTATGTCATGTTGCGTCTAGTATTTGTCACGAAAAGGTGCATCGACCTTCAAGGGGTATCTGGCGTGTAACATGCCACCTTCAGCTGGAAGATGAATGATTTTCATGTCCGAGTTCTGACCACTTTGATCCAGCTGATTTAGGTATTTCTATACAGACTTTGGAAAGTACATTTGATCGTTGGCCCGTTGAGTATTCGTAACAGCGTGTAATGCTGTAGTATTATTTTCACCGTGTGTCAGGCTTGGGCAAGGACTGGGAGTGGCATAAATCTGTGACAGTTTCTGAAGACACCATATGTAGCGTATTTGCTCCATTTAGGTTCACCTTATCAAGACATAGCCTCCATGCAGAATATACGAATAGTTTATGGTCGTTCCCCGCTCCTTACAGTGTAGAACTGGTAACGGTCAACTTTGAAACACTTTTGCATAATTGGAACTCTCCTAACTAGCCATGCGGGCTATTTTACGCTTCATCCGAATGTTTAGACAGGTTTTGGATACTTGATAATAGGGGGAAAAGGTGATAAACTCGCCCTGAACGAGATATCCATTGCAATTATAGACCCCTCCTGCTCAAAAGGCAGAGCGTAATATGATACCTGTGTTGGACATAATGCAGATTCTTTTGCAATAGTCGGGTTTTCGGGTTGAAGTGGCTCCGAAACTGCCTAGCTGCGGGGTGAGGGGTAACTGGAAGATGCATCTCTTTCCATCCACTTCAATCCTCCCTCCAGCAGCTTCTTCTTCCCGAGACAGCATGACTTTGACCGCTCCTTGAGAGGAGTCCATCCTGCGCCTGTGAGTGTATCCGGTAGTTTCAACGGGCTCATCGTCGACAGACCTGCAATTTTCTCTCTCTGCCACTGGTGTTACCTAGCTTCCAACATCGATGCTTATACCCAAGGATTTCGATTGTTCGAGTGTCTCAAGTGTTGATGCACCTTCCGTACTTGCTCACCTTTTGTAAAGCTCACGGTTTCTGGTATAGTGAATAAATTCACGCTCATATCATTCTTGTTGCTCACTTCGTAATGGAAATTGATTCGTTAAATAAGCGCGGAAGTGCTCACTAACTTGATCAGAAGGGGAAAACTCTGAATATCAAAATTAGGTATTTAATCACATTCCACCTCTGATCCAGGCCGAACAAGATGTGGTGTACTGTGAGCTTTCTTATTTAAGATAGAGTGCAACTTGCAATTTCTTGAAATGAACTTGAATCAACCCCTGGAAGAATATGTAGCACCAGAATCATGGAGTCACAAAAAGAGAAGGAAGTCGTGTTGCTAGACGGCCAACCTACAGACAACGTATCAAACTAGCCATAATCCGTGGATATTTTATTACGTAAAATCTGTTTAGCTTGAGAAAATTTGGTTAAGGTCATGACGAGCGCAAGTTGTGTCAATACTGGGTAACTCCGTTTGATGAGTTCATCTCTGTGTTGCTCATTGACACGATTTGCTCAAGATATGCATGAACTCAAGTGTGGCACCATCTATTTCATATACCACTGTAGTTAGTAGCAACTAAGGTAAGTGAAGTTGGCAAGATATCGTCTGGCAAGCCCACATGGACCTTCGAAGCATGTGGTACCACGTGATCGATAATGTTTGGTCGACTTAACATGGACGCGTCTCTATCGTATGGATACGGACTACTTTTTTAGGTATCCATTGCAGGAATCCTTCACCTTATATGCAGACTTTATCTACAAGTCGAATGCCTGACGCCAGTTAATATGTGGGTTCTCTCCTCAAATGAAACCATGGCACTACCGCACTCAGATCCGATGACGCTAATGTATTTATATAAGAATGAGTCGCTACGCGGATAATGTCAGGCATAATTCTCCGTTCTGCTACTGGCTACAGGCTTCTATGTCTTTGCAGCTCAAGTCTGTTTCGATTCGACAGTAACGGTAAACACGTCTGTCCTAACAATGTTTCCACCAGGGGCGTGTTTCTCCAAGATGCTCTCCTGGCTTCCTCTTGTCCCTGTCGCTTGCACTATGGAGTTGAGGGTATCTGTGTCGGATTTTGGTTGGGCACTCTTTCTGCCGAAAGAGCGGGAGAGATCCATGGTAGACCTCCACCTGCTGCTCACTCTTGACCTGTAGTTTGCGTAGGTGTTTCTGCCGCCAGAGAAGATGCGTTTGCCAAACAAGAGTTCACATAGTGGCTGGAGAACGGGAATGCATGCGGCTATGATGATCATGCTGCCTTCGACACTACGAGTTTGCAAGTTAGCCGAGACTCCATGGAATTCGGGTATTGTGACATCTTACACTGTGTAAATCACTAGTTCAACTGTATCATCTGATAAAGACATGATTGTTAGATATCCATTTCTCCGTGCGATAAGCCCTGAAACCTACACGTATAATCTGAGCTGGCAAGGTTTCCCAGCTTAGTGCATTTGTAAATGACAACAATCGACGATCTATTATAACGTCAGTTGGCTATTTTCACAAATGATATCATAAGGCAATGCCTCTTACAGCGATCCCAGGCCGAGCGCAATGCTCAACGCCACCTTTTTTCTAATGTTCATTTGGAGTTTCGACAGCACCACGGCAGGATATACGGAAAGATAAATGTCGGCAAAGGCACAAAAGGCTGCTATGGTCAGTGACGAATTCATGTTCCCTTCACGATTCGTTACAGCTTACCTCCCGAGTACGTAGCAAAAGACACGAGAACCGATTTATCCCAACACGTCCCAGGTACCGAGGGGTCCCATTGCGATCTTGCAGGATAGCACTGGCCAAAGATGATGGCAATAAACCCAACCAGGTTAGCCACACATAGCGATGCCATACCCCAAAGAAAAATCTTTTGCCCTCTGCTGGGATTCATGATTCGAGTAAGCAAGGCGACTACGGCGAGCTTCGGTATGCCGAACGACAGGAGGCCAGGCGGGTAACCGGCGATGCTCCAAAGTTTAGCACCGGATCGCTGTTCGGGAGAAAGTGTGTCGACATGGCGCCCATAACCATAAGATACAGCAACAGCTGCGGTTGCGACGTTTATCCAACCGCAGATCTACAAAAGTCAGTTCAACGACCCTTGAGTGTAACACACTTGCACTGCGAGATATTGGTCTTCACAGTAACAGTTTCGCAACCCACAGTTGCCAAGCATAACTATGTTGGGTTTGACATGACAAGGTGTTGTTGTTTACGAGGGCTTATAAGAGCTAAATCCAGGACTTACCGCAGACACAATGATAAGATAGTCATCTAGACAAACTCTCCCCATTATCTTCGCTCTTGTGAAAAGTCTTGCTGCTACGAAAATAGTGCTGATGACCGAAACACATATGACCACTCCAAGGGCCCACGGCCCCCTATTGTCGGCGACCCAAGCCGGGTCTAAGTGCTCGTTCGTCGACATAGTAACAAAGGGACTGGGTAAGAAGGGTAAGTAAAAATCAGTTTTGCAAAATTTGAATATCCGCAACTCAGTTAAGAGGCAGAGGGAGAAACCGGGCCAAGAAAAGGAATGTTCAAAGTTGGACGGAGGAAAGAGAGCGTAAAGGACGGCGCGTATCAGGAAAACAGTTTGATCAACGTGCGAATGTTCGTTATTAGTTGCAGCATGTCACATTCCTCGAGTCCACATTCCTCGAGTCTAGCTAGTCAGTCAACCCATCATCCATGAGTGTGGGAAGGGATGTAAGTGGAAAGTCAATTATATTGATGGCGCGCTAGCGAACAAATAGAGTAACACGCGAGCAGGGGTTAGACACGTCAGTTTAGGGTGTCGCGAACAGCTACGGCAAGATTTCCGGCCGGGGCTGGCCCGTTTTGTTGATGGAACAGGGATCAGTACCACGTTTATGATTCAAGCATCGCGCTTTGTTCGCCTCATCCGCTTGGTAATGGGTGAGATAACAGGCGATGATCAGGAAATACCTGTTCTCATTCGCCCTCCGAATCCAGATTTCAAGCTTAAGGAGACCATAGCCTCGCTTACCTGTCCAGTGGGATTCTGACAGAACCGCTCCACTTACCCACGCACGTGGGAGTCTGCGGTTCTATTTGTCACAGCACTAGGATTTCCGCGCGCTTCCCCCTTCTTTAGACGATGTCTTGGATAGGCAGGTTGGCAACGACAAGTGGCTGGCACCATGGGCTTTGTGTGCTTTGAAATAGATGTGCATTTGAATTGCAGTACCAGCCATGATCCCGTGGTTGCTACGAAGGCATCAAATGCGGTTAGGTAGAAGTGCGTAAGTTACGGATACACCCTTGGCGGCAATCGCTGACCGGGGTATTAATAGGTTTGTCCAAGACCAAACGAAGAGAGTTCCCGTGGTTGAATGGTAAACTCAATCTTGAGCTTAACGAGACCGAGCTGCTCGTCTTCAGTTCCTTCACTGCCCCGTAGAAATGCCCTTTGATGTTGATACGAGTGGATTTCGTAAACCTGAGTACCTGGTTTGCCATATTTGCCCCGCGAATACGATAGACTCCGTCATTCCGTCATCTTATGTCCGGGTGCACTTGCTTGACTAACTATCCCTGCAAGACTATTCCCAATCCTGAGAGTGATAACTGACCAAGCCCCATTAGCGCAATGCGATAATATATATCCACTCAATCTCGTGAACTAGTTTTCAGGAAGTGATCACCTCTTCGGAGGTTTGGAGGTAAAATAAGCCCGTGAAGGCGGGGATCAGGTAGCCGCGGGAAACCAAGTCTTCCGATGTCTCTGGGGAGACTGTGTACGCAATATTCTGCTGACCCATATTTCAGCCTACAATGGGACTGACAGCTCAAACTTAGGGCCGCGCTTGGCGACAGCGGCGTTGAGACGCATGGGTGAACGTACAGATTTAGATATACCAGAGTTGAAACCAGCATCCAACGCCGATCGGCAACCCATGGTATCGGGTTTCCTGCATCATTCGGGACAATGCCACCCATGCGCAGCTCAAGTCCAATCTCGTTTTTTTTTCAGGCTCTGTCGGATCATCGGTTATACAATGGTTCGTCTGGGAAAATCGACCCATGCTTGCTGTTCAGGTGAGTGTAACACTGCCCGCTGGTGGGAAACGTAGCCAAGCAAACCCAGCAGATGTGTGCGCCACAACCCCGGCACGTCATATGTGATTGCACCCCTCGGACTTTTGGATGGAGGTGTTACATTTAGGACAGTCCTTGATGCCCAACCTTTCCTTTGCTTGCTGGAACTCCTTCTCGCCTCCCGAGGCAATGTATTTATGCTCCGCACACGACTTGCCCTCGTGGGAAAAGTGGCACGAGCTGCATGTGGCCTTGAAACATCCAGGACATCTGTAGAGTCCAGGACGGTCTGGAGGCGAAGCCCGGTAGACTCGTTCGCAATCTGCCGTGGGGCAGTACCGGAACTCGTTCGGGTGCTTACTGATGTACGACTTGACTGATGATGTAAGGAGCTCCTCAAAGGTAAGTGAGGATAGGTGCTCCTGCAATTCCGGCAGGCTAAAGATGGCTCCGCAGGAGCCTTCATCTGCGAGGCAACGAAGGCTATAACCGTTTTCTCCAGAGTCAGCTGATTGGCAGAAGTTCTCAAAGCAGTCAAGACAGTAGACATGCCCGCACTTTGTTGTCAGGGGCCTCTCTGCTTCCGTCCAGCACACGGAACAGCATTCGTCCGTCTGATTCATCGACTTCAGTTGAGACGGAGGCTTTTTCCCTGACATAATATCCACCGCCAAGTCATATGACGATCGTGGACCCAAAACTTCGATACTCTTGAGCGTCGGGAGAATACTCAGAGCCACGTTCTCGGGACCCAGAGTATCCCTGAGCGCTTGAAACCCCCCGCGGATCGCCCATTGGAAGCTCTTGTCGTCGAGCATGATTGTATGAGCTGATGAAGGGCTATCACCAAAAGCCTTAAGTAGCGCATCACGCGCTTTGTTCAGTTTGCCCGGTGCTCCGAACATGCTAATCTCCGCTTTTGAAGGGACACAATGGAACGCAACCTGGAACTCCTGCTCAATTCGTCCAAGGGTTTTGCCGGCTGCTACTCTGTTGCCAAGCGATGGACTCCAAAAAGGCTTCTCGCCATCATCAGCCATGACCGTCTCACCCTTCAGAATCCTGTCAACAATCTTCTCAGCGGCGGCCAGGTCTTCCCGGTTTTCACCCTCCAGTCTCAGCGTGGTATATCCGTTTGCCGGTGGAAAGCTTTTGAAGCTGATGTACATCTCCCGATATGCAACCCTGGCCGCGTCCACATCCGCCGACACAGCTTCGAAGACCTTGGTTGCCACTTTATAGGTTGCAGAGTACAATAGGTTGACGTCAAGCTTATCAGACTCGTAGAAAGGCAGCCTGGTCTCGTGGAGACTTCTGGCCGCCTCCTTCGCATCCGTTTCGTCTTTGAACCGCGCCATAGCCTTGACCCGTTTCCCGGGCGCGTCCATATTGGCGGTAAGCCCCATTTCAAGAGGACCAACCTTGGTCAACAACCGTTCAATCATGGCAAGCTGTCGCATCTCATACTCCTTCCCGACTCTATATGTCAGGCCGTCAAACTCAACATTTCTAGGCCTAATACCTCTGGGTATCATACGCAGCACATCCTCTGTGGTGGCCGCCAACGGCACCCTCAGCGCCAGCACGCAAGGACGCGGGTCTTCGGCAAACCGTCTCCAGTCGCCCACGTGTCGGGAATGGGACCCGACCGAGCGGAAGCTGCAAGAGACCTTGGTCCCGAGGACCTTGTATGTGCCTGTGGAAAACCTATCGCAAATGTCTCTGGCGAGGAACTCCGAGTCGAAGCTGAGGAGCGCTACGCGCATCGGCTTGTGCCAGGAGCAGACGACCTTTTTGCAGGTGACACGATGCGTGAAACCTGTCGTACCTTTCGAGGCCGGAACCGCAAGAGCAAAGACTTTAAAGTCTGATGGGTCGTGAATTTTAAACTCGCCCGAATCGTATTTATCGCAGAGTGATTTGGCAAAGTTTGGGTCTTCGACTCTGACATCCGCGACCATTCGGTTGTCTGGCTCTTGGGGTCGTATACGGATACACGTCAGGGGAACGTTGACCCCTACACTCCCGAGGAGATGGGACACGGAGGCCGGGGTGCTTCCGGCAGGCAGACCAGCGATTCTTGCAGTCGAAAAGTCGGACGCGAACGAGACTTTTTCAACGGATGCTCCCGGGCCGAGAACGACCCAGGCACCTAATACTTCTCGAGTCAGCCTCTCTTCGATCTGCTCTCGAGCCTGTAACTGGTTAGCAAGACTACGTTGCAGTGTTTGAGAGAATACCTACCGGTACATCTTCAGATGGCCCAGCGGCGACAGCTGCATTTTCATCGTGCAAATAGAGACATTTCGTCCCGTTACGACAGTTTCCTTTAGCAAAGAAGACGCACGGAAATTGTGAACGGGAATCGGCCGGCGGAACCTGCGCCGGAACCGCCTCATCAGGTGCTTTCGAATGGGAAAATGCGCATTGCTCGCCCTTGTAACACGACCCCTGGATGAAGAATCTACAAGGCGGGTTTTCCCGTCGAACTGGGACGTCCGGTTTGTTTCCAGGCGCTGTTGTCGCTGGCTTATCATGGACATAGACGCAGTTTTCCCCCGCACGGCAGAAACCTTGGAGATGGAATCGGCATAGAGTAGTCGGGTTCCGCTGCGGTGCGGTCGCTTGCGGTCTGATGCTGAGTTGGCTGAGCATCTTCGTGTCCGTTTTGTCTTGTCTTGTCTTGTGTGTGATGCGGGGCTATTGTGTGTCTATGTCGAAATATTTCTTCGTGACTGAATGCGGCCTGTGGTATTTATAAGAGGTATGATCAGGTTACAAGTCGCCGTATCATGGGAATCAGGCAAATGCTATTCGATCGAGGCGAAGAGGGGTAGGTTGTAGGCGCCCAATGGTGCGCCCAAGATTTTTGCTGCCATCCTGTGTCGAGAAACTCTGAATATTGGTTGTCCTGTTACATGTCGTTGGGTGGTACATGCAGGAGGCCGGCCGCGGCATGGGATAAGAACGAATGAGATCGATCTTGATCGGTTGGAACCACAATCAGGCTGGTCCAACACGCTTGCTGCGTACCACAACAGGGCTATCGCGAGAAGCACTCGGAAATCAATCCGAAGTCGTGTCACTTTCACCAATAAGAGCCAGCAGGGTATTTTGAGATGTGTTGGTCTAAATGCACTATGCTACCGGAAATATCCCAAACCGAACCAAGTTGTTAAATCAAAAAATGCAGGTATCAATAACGCCCAAAACTCGCATCGCTCACTTTGTTTTTTTATATACCCATAGAATTGACGTTTCAATCCACCACGTGAGGAACGTTCTTCCTCCACTTGAGCTTCTTCCCGTGCTTGCTCTCGTGATGCCTCGACACATTGTCCCTCCGGCTCTGATAATCGCATCCGGGGTGGGGGCACTCCCGGATCTCGGAGCGGACGTTGGCCTTTTGTGCGACCTCCGGGTGCCGCGCCTGCAGGTGCCGCTCGAGGTCGCGGACCTGGGCGAACTTGTGCTCGGTGTGACGCTCGGCACGGCAGATCGGGCAGACGAGGGCCTTGCGGTGGACGCGCTGGTGCTGCTTCAGTTGGGCCTCCTTGCGGAAGGTCTTTGTGCAGTTGTCGGTGGTGCAGCGGTAGGGGTACTCGGCGTCCGAGCTGGAGGGGGAGGTGGTGTTGACAAAGGGGGAGCCGGAGACGCTACCGTAGGCGCTACCGTAGGCCTGCAGAGAAGCGTCCGGGAAGAAATCGAGGGATGGCTCGAAGGGGGATGTGTTTGCACTTCCAAGGTAGGAGGAGACGGAGACCTGGTCAGTGCCCGAGAGGTAGTCCGAAGTCGAGAGGTCTGGCAGGGGGCCGTTGAGAGCGAACAAGTCGCCCTGGAGGCTCTGCTCGACGTCAAACTGGACAAGAGGGTCGTTAAAAATGTCCTCTGGGGAGCTGATGGTCTGGGGGTAGTTGGTCTCCGCTGGGAAGTTGTAGTCCATGTTGTTAAAGTCGCCAGTGGCGAGCATATCTTGCTGCATAAGCATGGCCCAGTCGTCCGTCTCGTCCGGGGCCTCGTAGAGGTCGGAGAGCGGCGAGCCTTGTACAAACGTGTTATCCATAAGGTCGTGGGGTGCAGCACATCTCGGCTGGCCCGCAGAGGGCCAACCTGAGGGAGTAACTGCCATGGTGGTAAGAATGGCGTCAATCTCGGGTTGGGTTGTAGTAGTATCGCTTAGTTGTCTGTCACCGCTAATGGTTGTAACAGACATTTCGGTCAACTCCGTCTCAGAAGTTGAAGGTTGCTGGTAAAAGTGGTTATAATGGTGGTCGTAGATGGTAGTGTACTCGGCAATCAGCTGAGCGTAGTGGTTCACAAATGGCGATGGTTGTGTGTGAGCGAGTAAGCTGGTGTCATCAAGGTTAGATGTCCCCTCGAGAAGTTTTACGACGTACTCAGGTCCTTGGCCAACCTAGGGGATCGACGTTAATTACATGTCACATGTGCAATGGACCTGGCGAGTCGAGTATGGCATACCTGCGCGGATGAATCACATCATCTTCACCAAATTAGACAGCAACCGACAAGGTCTGGGTGATGCCATCGAAGTGCTCCAACAGATTGGGCTTTGGAGACTCGAGGCAGTGTCTTCCAATCCTTAGATGACCGTCTGTCTCCTGCGTCCAAACTAGACGCTGAGTAGGCCGAAGCCACGATGCAGTAAGGATTGGGTCCTTGTTGGCGACGTCACACATTGTGAGGTCGTGGTCTGAATCTCGGAGGGGGGCATCCTCGGAGATGATGAAGGCGTCTTGGTTGCAGCAGTTCGGCATCCATACAAAGGGGGATGTCGTTGCAGACAACTGAGGCTAGGTAGGGAGTCCTGTCAGCCTCTACATTCTAGTAGAGCATATACGATCTGTGATGTTAACCTACTTGGTGCAAAATTGAATGCTTTCTCAAGGGAAGTGAGTAGTCGTAGACGACAACATTGTGTGCAGACGGCTCCATTGTCAAGCGGCTCATGTCATCAGACACATCTCGAATCCCGAAAAGGTTCGGAAAACAGTCCGACATGGCGTTTGGCATGAAGACTTGGCTTGGCACGTATTGGCCAGGGTCGTCATCGAAATCGTACTGGTCCAAACGGTCAAAGACCGGTGGATCATTCAGGCGGGCCATTTTGGCGGCGGGGAAAGCTGCTTCTACAACCAGCGCATCGGATGAGACAGGGGAGGGTGCTAAGAAAGCTTGAAAGGGCGTTATCGATGATCCAAATCGAAATTCAAGCTTGAGCGATGAGGTGAGGTAAGGTAAAGCTAGGTATGAAGAGATAGATTGGTAAGTCGGATGAGGATGAAAGATGTCAAGTCGAGATGCGCGAGGGATGCCTGGGGATTTGAACGATCCAGTGACCGAGGCAGGCGCTCTCTTACTGGCTGGATGCGGTTGCCTGTGCCGTTTCCTGGAGGGGCGCAGTGATTTGGCCTCAGTGGCCCGTGCGCCGACCGCAGCTCATAAGGAGACTTTGGAGTGAGATTAAATGTTAGGTCCAAGAGTTTTGCGAGGGGATTATACGCTCCGAATTTATTGTATTCTCATATTTAAAGATTATGTCAAAAGATATACTATCATTAAATCCTCTTAAGTCATCATGAAAGTTTTTTTTGAAATTTTCTCAATATTCTCTCGAATTTCATACTCTCTGGCAGCATCTCAGCGGCCACCCCTCAAGTATCTCAAAAACAAGCCATACGCTAGACGGGGCTGAATGGAGGGCAGATTTCTTCCAAAGAGCACTATTGGTGGGCGGTTGTTACTAGAGCCCCACTCTGGCGCAGAAAAAGGTACAAGATACTTGAGGCCGCCGCGGTCTTCTCCACCACTTTTTCCATATTGGCGGCATTGCGCATGCTTCATGATCGAGTTTTGGACGGGAAATGATGCAACTCCCCTCGGGGCCAGCAATTGAGTCTCTATAATTGGTCGCCTTACGTTGAGTCAGTCCGGCGGGGCTTCGTCCTCGACCCCTCTTGCAACTACAGATAGGGTCCGTCGTGGACTTTGACTTCCTTCGTCATTTTTGTTTCCTGTCTGGAGTCACCGACGATCGCTCACCGGGCGGGAGTCAGCCTTCTTGCGGCGGTGGCATCGTCGGTCACGTACGATGGTTTGCGCCTTGACAATGGCAATCTTTGGGAGAGTCGTTTGAAGCCATGGTCGCCTTTTAGTCACTATCGTTGTTGCTGTCCTTCGCCCTCCCGCTCCGTGTAGCAAGACCCGGGTCTCTACCAAATCTCGACTGCAATCGCGACCATCGAACGAATATGAATGATGTTTACCAAGTGTGGGGCATCCAGATTGTGTTGCCTCGCTCATGTCTCGATTGGAGGAAAGAAATGTCGTATACAGATACTAAAAGCGTTCAATGCGACGTCGTATGGCATCAGGCGCTGTATAATCTCAAGCAGCATGCAGATTGACTGTCAGCTGGCTGGTTTGGCTTGCTTGCTTACCCATACGAGCAGCATCTTGGCAAAAGAGAATACGAACTTTGCTGGAAAGTGCAAAAGAAATGCGCCGAGGGGGAATCGAACCCCCGGCTCCCCGACGCTGCTGGATGGCAACGGAGAATTTTACCACTAAACCATCGGCGCTGTGGTAGCTGACTCAGCTGTTGAGGGGATTGGTTTTTTACGCGCCCAAGAAGCGTTCAAGGTCTAGCGCTCACCGAGTTTTCACCCGATCGGTCGAGCCCGGATAATAGACGAGACTGTGATGGGCGAGGAAAGAGGGCGACGGAGGGGGACGAAAGGAGACGATAAGCTAAGAACACAAAGAATGCTACGAGCATGGACAAGAGATGGGGTTCTCATGAGAACGTTGAGAGATTGGAGAATTACAACTAAGCTGATCATCTACGTCGAACACGGCATTTATCGAGACAATCAACACGGCGAAAGAAAACGACGAATCTGCGGTGGGAGTGTGGTCAAAATAGGGCCGTTAGCGGGTCCAACCAGACAGCTTCATCCTCCGCACGTCCCCCGTCTCGGTCTTTGCTCGATGCCAGACGACCAGATTCATGCCGAGGCCGGTGGGGATGTTGCTCAATGCATCGCGGTGGCAACAGGTCCACTTTGCTCCGTGACTTGTCCGGTCGGGACAAGTTGGCGTTCGGCCTCGGCCTCATGGAAATCTGATAAGCCTGAAGACGGTACGATACCCACAACGAAAAAGGTTTCGGTGCGGAATGGAGCGGTGATGCTCCGGACAGTAATCAACCATGTCCATTGAAAACCTTGACACCCAGCAAGACCCCGAATGTTACATACTCAAGCTAGACCTAAGAACACACACAGGACCAGAGAAACTCATCTCTCCATTCCATCTCCAATACTCACAGAGACCCCTAGCTTGTGACACACCAGCTCTCAGCCAACCCCCAACCAGCCCAGCCTCCCATGTCATCAGCAGAACAGCTCTCCCTCACTCGATATCGACAAGTCCCTTCCACATACAGCATCTTGGCCGGACAACAAAACAAATCTCGCTCATTCCAGCCATCCCCAACAGCATCCTCCATAACCTTGACCCCCCGTCCAATCCGCGCAGCGCGTTGCCCTCCTCAGCATCCCAAGCTACCGATTCGGGCCAGAAGTGCGGGAGTTTGAGCAAGATACTTGCAGCGAGGCACCGCGCTAGCGCAGCCGGCCCTGCCCCGCCATCTGATTCGTTCCACCCAGTCACCGTTCCCGCCTTGAGCCTCTCCGTCCCGAACATCACATCAAGCCCATCATCCATGCCCAGTTGCTCCCCTCCAGCGCTGTCAAACGTCGAGAGCATTTTTTGCAAAACTAATCTCGCCCGTTCTTTTGTCACCCTCAACCTCAGACAGCTAGCTGTTCCTCTCGCTAAACAAACAGGGTTAAGCTAAATAGCTACTACTCTAACCCCCCCAAGCAGAAATAAACTTGCTCAATTGGCGCCCTCCATTGGCTCACCTTCCCATTGCAGGCCTCCTTTGTGAATCCTCTTCCCCCCTCTCTCACTGCCATGAAAGCTAGACAGCTTAGGACCACGCCGGGATGGGGATGTGATTGAAACGTGCCGCATACCCGCGAAGCGGCGCATTTCCATAGGCCACCTCACCTGCGAGTTCATGTTTGCATAGTGGCGTTCTTTGAGCAGATTTTCCCACGGGCAATGGTGATGATCTGGGGCTGGACTCGGGGGCTGTCCTTTTCCGTGCTAACGCTAATACCAGCTGCTCCTAAACCCCACGAGCCCGTCTCTGCAGCTGGCATCCTTGCCGCATATTTTCCCTTTTCTTTCACTTGCTTTCCTCCCAAGGGTAAGGATAAGCTACCTTTAAGGCGTCTGCAAGCCTGAAATGCGGGGACAGCTCATGGAGGAGGACGAGGTAAGAAGGAGCTTTTGGAAGGATATATAAATTGCAACTAATCTCTCGTGTTCTCCCACCCTTTCTCTCTCCCTCTTCTTACCTCCTCCCAACTTGCACCTCCGGTATCCACGTCAAAGCTTCCCCCCCAGACCCGCCGTACAGAGTTTCGTAGATCAACAAAAAAGCCAAGACCAGACAAAAACACAATGGCCCCCAACACGATCCTCCTCGCCGCCCTCGGCGCAGCGAACCTCGCTTCCGCCCACTTCGGCCTCACCTACCCCGCGTGGCGCGCCGACACTCTCAAGGGAACCAACGTGACGGGATACTCGCAATGGCAGTACCCATGTAAGTCTCCTCTGCTGTGCCAGATTTTTCCCCGACCCCCATCTTCAAAATCTGTCTGACACCCCTATCCAAAGGCGCCGGCGTCCCCTACGGCAAGGGCAACGTGACGGACTGGCCTCTCGACGGCGGCTCCATCGAGCTCGACCTCCACCACGACTGGACCTACGTCTTCATCAACCTCGGCCTCGAGTCCAACGGCAACGTCACGACGCACAACATCACCCTCACCCCGCAGTTCTGGAACGCCACCGGCGCCGGAACCCTCTGCGTGCCCAAGCTCAACCTCTCTACGCCGGCGACCGAGGGCCAGAAGGGCAGTATCCAGGTCGTCACCGTCGGTGACTCTGGCGCTGGTCTGTACAACGTACGTCCCCTTGGGAAAATCTTTCCGTCGTTCCCACACAAGGTCTTTGGGGTTTTGGGTTTAGGAGTCCACAAAACTGACATGCCACGTAGTGCGCCGATATCCGCTTCACCTCCAACGCCACCGCCCTCTCCGGCGACCAGTGCAAGACGGAGGGTGTGACCGTGTACCCCATCAAGGAGCAGAGCGCCAACGGCACCGTCGAGGGCGGCAGCGGTAGCGGTAGCGGCAACGCAAGCAACGGCACCGGCAGCGGCGGCACCAGCGACGCGTCCGGCCGCGGCGCTCACATGGCTGCGTTGACCTCCGTCGTCGGTCTTAGCGTTGCCTTTGTCTTTGGCATGAGCCTGTAAACAACCAAACGAAGAGATACGACGGACGGACGGACGGATAAGGAGGGGGGGAACCATCACGGCATGAGAAATGCGTTTATGTGTGTGTGCGTGTGTGCCTTCTAATGTACATGAATGCTTTGATACCAAACCCATCCCACCCGTGGATGCAGAATAAAACGTTAATGATGCTTAATGCTGTTTGAATATGGGGATGCTCGCGTAATAAGGCAGGCAAAAATGCAAATGTTGACAGTAAATAACCTGGGTCCGCGTCAACGTGGTGATTTGACTTGGACAGGACAAATGTAAAACAAGATTATAAAAAAAAAAAAAACCGACTTACTCATCATGCAAAAAAATAACAAAAATAGAAAAACAAAAATCAGGCTCTCCAACATCAGTGGTATCTCTCGCAAAACAAAAATGAAACAACATCCATCTCGTGCCGTGGTCTCTCAACGGCCTCTATCTGTAAAATAGAAAAAGCCCAAACCAATCCAAACACAACAAATCTGATATTAAATCCACAGACAATCATCACTTCATCTATTCGCGAGAGTCTGTTCAACGTGGAACAGCTCTCGCATAACCCTTGCCATCGTAATACGCTGGTTGGGTTGGGGAATCAACATATCGGAAACGAGCCGCTCGAGCTTGTCGCGCGGGTACAACTTGTCCCGAGCCTGCGCGACCTCGCTCAGCCATATGTACATCATGTCCACGGCGGAACATGGCGGGGCGCGCTCTCTCACGGCGGGCATGGGGCGGTTGACGTCGGCAATCATCCAGTACAGCGGGCGGGGCCCCTTGCGCGAGCGGGCGTCTGGGAAGGGGATCTGGCCGAGTACGTAAAGCATCGTCACGCCGAGCGCCCAAACGTCTGACGGTGGACCGCGGAGCTTCTTGCCGATGAACTCGGGTGGGATGTAGTAGGGCGTGCCGCCGGTCGTCACGGGCCCGCTTGTGTGCGTTGAGAGGCCAAAGTCGCAGAGCACGGCGCCGCGCGTGGGCGAGTACAGGATGTTGGCAGGCTTGATGTCGTTGTGCACAAGCGACTTGCTGTGAAGGTAATGCAGCGCGCCGCTTATGTCGCGGAGGATGGTGAAGGCGTCGGCGCGGTCGCCCAGGAAGCTGTGGTCGATGTGGTTGCGCCACACGCCCTTGGCCGAGAGGTCCTTGGCATCGACATGCTCCATGTACAGCGACAGGTAGCGCGCGTCACCACCGTAGAGTTTGACGATAGACTCATGCTGAAGGTCATCCTGGGACTGGTACTCGCGCAGCCACATGTCGGCCTGACGGATAACATTCCGCTCGTTATTGTCCTGGGGCTTGGCGCTCGGGTTTAAGGCGCGAGTCTTGAGGACCTTGACGGTGACGATGCCGTCCGGCACGTTGGAGTGCTTGGCGATGTAGACGGAGGAGAGCGCCGTAGACGCGATCTGGTCGCGCTTGGTGACGGTATACTCATCGATCTCGCATCCGCCTGGGATTACCACTGTATCATCATTCTGCATGTCGAGAAGGGCATGGCCGCTCGACGCAACGACTTCCCTACCCTTGGCTTCGGTAGGGAGAGGGAAGACGAGGGGCTTGGCTGCGGGGCGGAGGAACATGATGACGCCGTCCTCCTTCTCCTCCTTTACGGTAGCATCTTCCACCGTGCGCGGCTTCTTCTCGGTCCTCGAAGCATCCTCGTCAACGGTAAAGGACCGCTTGCCGGAGGCGTTGAGCGCATCTGAGCCTGAGCCCGAAGCGGCCTCTTCCCTGGGTTCGGGGTCCTCCTTCTTGAAGAAAGCGGGCCGCTTCTCTAAAACTCTAAAATCGAGGACTGAAATGTCTCGAACATTGATCCGCCAAGTGCCTGGCGAGAGGGCCTTGGGGGTTCCCGGATTCACTGTCCAACTGGCGGTCGCGGCGGGCCCGTCGGATATTCTAGTCAAGGATATGGGCACCTCGGAGCGATTCAGCAGGATCTGATTGTCGCTGGCCGGGTCATAGTACAGCTCGCACCACAGCGGAGGACGCGGGGTGTCATCGTCGAGCCGCTCCGGCGGAATGCGCACAGAGAACTTGATATCCTTGGAGGTCTGTGTCACGGCCAGCACCTTGTGCTGGGGCTCCTGCTCGGAAGCGACCTCGGCGCGGAGGGCAAGCCATTGGCAATTGTAGTTACCGGGGCTCACGGAGCGGCTCCGGGTGAGGGGTCGGACGAGGATACGGATGCCCTGCTTGTGATGATGCTCCTCGACACGCAACAAGTCCAGCGGGACGGCGTCGGCTTGGGGGAGGTCCAAGGGCTCCTCCACCCGAATGCTCCTCAGGCGGGCATCGATCTCGGACTGAGAGAAGGGTTCCGTTCTTTCCTCCGAGGGCTCCTCCGAGCCGGGAACCCGGCGGTGATCGCCCATAAGGGTAAAAGAAAGAGAGGGGGGATGGGATGACGATGCTGTGCCTAGCTGTCGTCGTGGTCCATGCGTGGCGCGATGGCGAAAGCGGTTACGAAAAGACTCAGACTCTCCGGGTACACTCACAGGGACTGTGAACAGTTGGAGTGAAGAGTCGTGCAGTGGCGAAAGGTGGGTAAATTCAAGCCGGGATAGGATTGGTTTGAGTTGCGAAAGATGTGGTCTGTCCGGGGATAGGTCGGCCAGGCAGAACAGGCAGAGAGCAGAGAGGGCTGACTGTGCGGGTTTGACAGGCAAGGTGTGCGTGGTGAGATTTCGTTTCGCAGCAGCGAACCAGGGGGGTGGGAAAGCCGGCGGTTATAAAGGCTACTCAGAGTTGAGGCACAATAGGATGAATGAGGAAAGGGAAAAGACAGAGAAAATGGGGGAGAAACAGTAGATTAGAGGCACAAATGCAGGAACAGCACGGAATTAATGAGCCGCCAGGGCACCGTCAACGGTAAAAGGCACCGTGAGGAGTTGCAATATTGCGCAGGCCCGGACGTCAGATGAACAGATGGACAGATGAGCCCAAAGTCAACTGGAAATCAGCGACAGTCAACGACTGACTGACGGGGGGAGGGGGGGCAGATGAGAGAGAGAACTGGGGACTGAGCTGAGATGGGGCAGGCAGACGGGTAACGGTGTGAACGGGACTGAACGGGAGTGAACTGGGAGGGACCTTGGGACCTTGAGGAGGGCCTGCTGATGGAGTCTCAGCCTCAAGTAGTCTATCGGCGGGTTCCCAGCAGAGAGTGACTGACAGATAGTCCTGACCAGCAGAGAGCTACTACTGGCAGGGCACGATGATATCGTAGTGAGTTTTGCGGATAAGTCAGTTGGACCGCATAGTAGTTGAGAGTTTCCAACAGGTGGGAAACAGAGACAAGATATGTTTGTGGTTGGATATGAGATTTGGTTTGAGTGAGTTTGAGCGAGGACTGTAGCTTTCAGGGCTGAGATGGGAAATAAAGAGTCATCGAACCCTGTAGAAGGACACGGGTGCCTGGGGTTCGAGCTTGGCCTCTACTATGTAGTAGTAGGTAGGGGTCTTGGGAAGAGAGGGGAAGAGAGGGAAATGCAGCACAGAGAGGGCTGCTACCCAGGGAGGGGAATTAGCGCTGAGGGGGGAAGATCATAGTCCCCCACAGTCGAGATCTTCTTGTCTGTCATGGGAGAAAGTATCCTGGCGCACATCTTCCTTGTGGAGTGACTTTGCCACGAGCGCAAAGTGACCCTGATAATGGCCATTCGGAGGCCAAAACGGAAGCTATGCTGACCATGGCTGAGCCACAGCGCCTCTTTTTCCAACGGCCAGAGGAGGACTCCCACATGCCCTGCCCAGCTACTCCGAGTTAGTCTCTTTCTTAGGCGAGGCAGTTCGACCAGTAAGGCCACCTGTTGGCATCTGAGAGTAATCGGAACATCGGCGTCACCTCTGCAAATAAGTTGGTTTGCAGTGCTCGCCAGGGACCTGACAGTTGACCCGATCTGACGGGGTGGGACAAAATCACTTGATCCAACTGTCTTTCCCGGCTTCACGAGTCGAGGGCCATGAGGAGATAAATCGGAAACATAAAAGACAACGGACCGTCCATGACTCGGGTGGGATGCGGTCGCAGATGTCTTTATGAAGAAACAGTTTGTTCGGGATCAGATCGGGTATCAGGCTGGCCTTACAAAGACCAAATGCCAAACTGATGATTGTTTCTCGAGTGTGTTTGCCTTACACTGTTGGGGGTGCAGAGACAATGACGAAGCAATGGTCGAGAATGAATGCGTGGTGAGCCCTGAATGAGGATGGATGAGTAAGAATGAGCATTAATCAAAGATTCACACGGTGATTGGTCCACGAAGCGAGGCAGGATGACTGAGAAGGTAATGACCCCACTTTTTCTGATTTCGAGGTGCTTCCTTCCCTGACGAATTTACAATTTCCACTTTCTAAACTCTCACCTCGACCACTCCTTCCTCTTCCCACCTACATGGCAGTAGTACCTGCTATCTTGGGGGGCCAAAACCAAAATTCAGGCTATCATCACTGGAAAGTGCGGTGGTGGCATGGTAACCTGTCCTTGCCTGCGCCCAGATAAAAATTGTCGTCTCGTGGCTTGCGTGGGTGGACAACGCTGTGACACTTGCAGGAGTAGCGCCCTCTCCTATTGGTTGCATCGTCAAACACCAGGCCTTCCTGCATTCGCCCCGCTTATCCCATTGGTTCGCTAGAGTGGCGGAGCCTGAAGTGGCAGGGCTCGTGTTCCGATTTCGTCGGCCACGGCAGGGATTCAGCTGCAGTTACAGGGGGCTGTCCATGCCGCTAGCGCTCACCCAGCCGCTGGATCCCTGTGCCCACCCGTCATTTTTGCAATTCTTTCCGATTTCACGTGACTTTTGGCGATGTTTTGAATCGGCCTGATATTCGTCCGACTCTGGCTTCACCACATTGCGTTCCGGCACCCCCCCGACCAACTCATTCCCGCACTCCTCAGTGTCTCCACGCCCTGAAACTGTCCATTGTCATCACCATCGAGCCCAGCAAACCCAGTTCTCAGCGTCCTCGCTCTTCGCCGAATACTCAAACCGCCGCAATGGATACTCCTCCTGTTCGCCAGATCTAGATGCCTCTCATGTCGTCTCCAATATCCCACAATAGTTACAATATTGCAAACCGAAGCCCACGGCCTCACCCCATATCCTCCTCCTCCTCCTTCTCTCCTCCGCCCTCTCCCTCTCCCTAGACGACCTCCACTCCCCATCTTGAATCCCCCGAACGACCGACCGATTCTCCCCCCGGATCGATAACACTCACTATTCCGTCCATATAATATGGACGACCCGTGTATGGCATGGCCGTTTTGGAAGTTTGGGATGAAGAGAGACGATCTCTCCACCAAACTACACGACCAATACAACACTATACCCTCTAGCATTCAGGACCCTGACGCCTTTCACCACGATGTTTTCGAGGTCTCCCGTCTCGCCGATACCGCCGACGAGTTCCACCGCCTCATGGCAGACCGCAAGGAGCAACGCTTGAAGGAACTCAACGCGTCGCTTGATCTCGCTGCAGTCGAGATCATTGCCAACCCCAAACTCGTTGGCACCGCCCAGTGGTCTTACGCCCTGCAGCTCTTCCGGACGCGTTCCCTCGACTCCCTTGTCCGGCTCTTCTCTAGCTACCTCCCCGACGACTACTGCAGTCGCCAGGGCTACTATACGGCCTCGTCCAATGGATCTTCTTACAGTGACCGCTGCAGCGTCCGCACCGCGAGTACGAACCTCAGCAGCCTCGACGATGTCGACGGTCCTACTTTCTTTCACGATGACGATGACGAGAAGCCTATTATGACGCATGAACCTCTACACATTTCCACCTCCTTGTCTTCCGCCGTCGTCACTGATCTCCCCCCTTCTCCTCGCTCCATGACCACCCACTCCGAAACATCGGTGTCCTCCCCCATCGATACCGACAACGACGACTACGTCCTCCGCAACCTCACCCCCGCACGCACTCTCTCCTTCTCGGGATCCGAGTCCGGCAGGTTTGCTGGGCGAGTCCTTCAGTCTCTCGACGACGAAGAGGAATACACCTCGCAGTCCGAAGACCCCGACTCGCTAACGACCTCGCTCTCCGACCTCGAGAACCGCTCGACGCGTGAATCCAGCGTCGAGGAGGAGCAACATCCCGATTACACTCAGTACCCAGAGAGTGCGATCGAGGACGAGTACGACTACGAGGACGAGTTTCCCACCACCCAGCTACCCTTCGACCTCTTCGACGACGACATTATGGAGTCCTCGGAAACCCCCACACCGAAACCAGGGATCACTATCAGTACAGCGGCGGCGTCTTCTTACCTCGACAGCAAACCTTATTCTTCACTTCGCTCGATACCCGCAACTTCCTTTCGCAGTTCCTCACCAAAGATACCCCACCTCCGCCGTCGTGATGCCAGCCCGGCAAAGACCAGCACCAGCAGCAGTAGTAGTATGATGAGTAGCCGAAGGAGTCCTGAAGAGGCTTTGAGCCGCATACAAAAACCGCAGCCCGACGCGATGCGCGGGGCGCGGGCCTTGGCGGCCAAGGGGCGTAGGAGAGGACTGGACTAGCATGCAGGGCGGCCGGGGCACGGCAGGCGGCGTCGCTGTATATATGTCCACCAAGTGTACATACCACACTGTATCATGAGTTCTAAATTTCGTTTTTTTTCTACCTCGACTTGATGATTGTTTCGGGCCGCTGTCATTTTTTAAAACACGCGGATCACTTGCTTCGTTATCTGACATGGCTCCCATGGGTTCCTGCTTCTGACTTATACTCATGCTCACCCACGATCGGTATTGACATGGTAAAATAGGGCATGATATCGCGTACAGTGGGGCCCGTAAAGTCCGCGTGCGAGACCAAATTACGTCGATTCTTGTCCCGTTTTCCTTGATCCCGTTTTACCGCGTGCCAACAGGTGTCGTGACGCGTTACGGTTTTTGTTATTTTTCTCCCAGTATGTTGGTAAGTTGATTTATCCCCCCCTCCCCCTCTGACCGCGTCATGTGCGCTGTCTTTGTACACTGCCTCATCTGGGTGGTGTCGAGTGACCTCTGCCCACCACCCCCTTAGCCGCTACCTCTTGTTTAAAATTGTCTCTTTTTTTTGTCTTTGACAATTATGACGTCGATGAGAAATTGAGGAAACGAGGTGGGTTTCTAGACGGTTCGATAGTTACGTTGGTCATGTGTTTTTTTTTTTTTTTTTTTCACTTTTTTGTTTTGTTTCTATCCTTGGTGCTTTTGGGATGAGGGTATTCGTGAGCGGTGGTGTCGTTTTTCATGTAGATTGCTGCTGTGCTCGCGCACGTATTTTTTTGTAGTATTAATGAATCTAAAATCATCTTCGCGACATTATTGCCCTCGTTATGCTTGTGGATGAATGCCGTCTTTCTTGTCGCCGCGTGCCTGGTTATAGTGAACTGTATGCGTGTTCGTTGGGCTGCAGTTGAGGTTGTGGACTTGGGCAAGACCGACTGTATGAGTATCGGTTCATGTAGAAGTTCTCTCTGAACCCATACTCTGCCCTTTGCTACGTTTAAGGATTTCTTACAGTAGGAGACAGTCTTTCTATCTGTGCTCTGTGTACGGTGAAAAATGTGTTTCGTGAGGATGTTCGTCATCGAGACGGATAGCCTGTCGAACACCCTCTATGCAAGCTGGTTCTGGTTCGCCACATCAAGAGGATATGGCGCCATATCAGCGGGTTAAAATCTCTCATGAGCGTCAGTGTATTCTATTAACCTGATTTCGAGTCGCCATCTTTCTGGTTTACCCTTACTGAGCCTTCCAAAGATACTAGTGCGTCTACAGAGGAGAGTGTATATCTTTTATAACTTGGTCCCGGCGGAGCACGGATTGGATTATATGTGGAATCTTCCCGTGCCTGTCCGTGAGTACATCTCGTTACCTCTGGATCAAGTTTTATTCATAAGTGAAAAATATTGATTACAATGAGTGTCGTGAATGGGCAAACACCAAACGCCTGATGATTTGTCCTGATGGTCGTCCAAAAAAGAGACATTCAAAAGTCAAGGTCTTATCTCTCGCCACGCAACATGTCACAGAAGGGTGGGATTCTAACGAAATAACAAAAGAGCAGGTATATTGCAAGAGACCATGCCGTGATAACCGAATATTCTATTGAGCTGTAAGTACATGGATCATTCCAGACCGAGGACATTTCTCGTCTCGGGATTTCCCCGATGTATTCAACAGGCTAAGGTAACTCATAAAATATTCAACGCCACGTTCCGGGACTTCCATAGGTTTGACCCACGTCCATTGTTTGAACTAGTTCGTTTCCAAACCGGTAATGTCAAACACAACACTTCTCTCTATCAACCTACGCCATGGCGCGATGATGGAGCATCCCGGAGAACAAACTCCTCTCGCAGCATCCTATCGTTCACGTTGCTGCTCTTTCTTCCGCATGATACAGTACCCACATGAAAGGCACGCTTCCTACCTAAGGTATCAAAGTTTTCTCGTAGAGTAAATGGCAGTTCAGAGACGACGTGGCCGTCAACGGTTATCTTTTGTGTCCTTGGATGATGAACACACATATTGCTTTCCTTCCAGAAAAAAACCGCGCCTGAGGCGAGTGGGAGTGTATAGCACCGTATGAGGGTAAGTGAAAGCGAAATTTGTAGAGAAACCTCTTTACGGATTACTACATCTTTCACGGTTACATGCCCAGCCCATGGGCATACCTCCCGAGTTGCCAACTCGGGTCCGAGGAACCTGCCTTGGCGCTGGTCTATGCCCAGCAATGATGCGGCATACCCAAGACCAATCTGCAGGATTAATGACATCCAATCCAATAATTGCCCTCACTCCCCTGCCAAGAGGTTGGATCGCTCTGGGAGATCCAGGCTGTGAGAAACAAGTACATGTTTTGCTGGGACGCTTTCATAGTTTAAAACAGTTTACATCTTCATAAAACATATCTCTTCAAGACCCCATAGATCAGAAACCTGCTAAACACTGTTTCCTTAGCCAACATGAACTATCCATCCTTGCTCGGGTTTAAGCCGAGATTGCACTGAAGCCTTTCACCATCGACTCGGCTTTGCGGTGGAGCGAAAACCTCCCCGGACCACTCCCATCCCCATGCGGGGTAGGATTTAGCAGCAACCTTTGTGGAGGCCAAATGCCCGCAAGAGACCCGCGTGTAAGTCGGGGTATTGGGGATGTGCTGCCACTAGCGGAGAGACATGAATAAGGGGTTGTCGTCTTTGTCCGGGGCAAGTCCACTGTCAACGACGACAACCCATGTATAAAAAGGCCATAGCCCTCGTCGACTACTGTGATATGAACTCTATATACACTCAATCTGTTCTCTGATCAAGCAATTACCCGCAGCTCTTTCTGCAGATTGCCGTCATGGAGCCTGAAAAAGTTGCCGAGCCCAAGGTCGACGGGACGGTCGACATGATCGAGACCAAAGAAGCACTCAGCCAGAACCGCTTGGCTCCTGCGCAACTCATGTCCAAAGAGGAATTTGAGGCTGCGGAGAAGCAGCTAAAGCGGAAGCTTGACATGAGATTGCTTGCTTGCGTGTGGTTGATTTTCGTTCTCAACTACCTGGATAGAGTAAGTCACCTTCTTCTTTCAACTTCTTTCAACGATACCTATAACTCCCCAACAAGCCCAGAGGCTGGAAACACTGCACCATTTCAGTTGATCAAGATTAAGTTGATGCTAACTGTGAGATGATGGTAGAATAACATCGCCGCTGCCAAAGTAGCCGGCATGGCCGAGACTCTCCACCTCTCCGCAAACCAATACGCCACGGCCGTTGCAATTCTTTTTGTTGGCTATGTCCTCATGCAGATCCCATCCAACGTCTTCCTGGCCAACCTAAGGCCGTCGATATATCTCCCCAGCTGCATGGCCATGTGGGGTCTCCTCTCAACCCTGACCGGCGTTGCTCACAACGCGGCCGGCCTCTACGCCCTACGATTCTTCCTGGGGTTTGTCGAGGCTGCATTCTATCGTGAGCCACCACAACACAGCCTTCGCCTACTTACATCGTAAGACTGACATCTACTCAGCCGGAGCTCTCTTCCTCATCTCCTCCTGGTACCGACGATCCGAAATGGGTTTGCGAAGCGCTGTTCTCTTTTCCGCAACTCAACTGGGCAGCGCCTTCAGCGGGCTCATCGGAGCCGGCATCAAGGAGGGCCTCGAAGGTGCCCGCGGACTGGAGTCGTGGAGGTGGCTCTTCCTCATCGAAGGCTCCATCACCATCTTCGTCGCCATCTGCTCCGCCTTCGTCCTTCCCGACTGGCCCTCAACAACCCGGTGGCTCACCCCGACAGAGCGCGCCGTCGCCGAGTGGCGACTCATTCAAGACGCCGGCCAAGTCGACGAGGACGAGGAGAAGTGGAGCTACGGCTTCAAGCTCGCGTTCCAGGACTGGCGGATCTACATCTTCGCGGCCATGTTCTTCTGTCTCCAGGTTGCTGCCGCCACCTCCAACTTCTTCCCTTCCGTGGTACAGACCCTGGGCTACAACCGCGTGGTCACTCTCCTCCTCACAGCGCCGCCGTATATCCTGGGTCTCATCATCTCCGTCGTCAACAACTGGTCCGCCGACCGCCTTAACAACTCGTCCTTCCACGTCATGTGGCCGCTGGCGCTGGCCATTGTAGGATTCGTCGTGGCAGCCGCAACGCTGCAGGTCGGCCCACGGTACTTCGCGATGATGCTCATGGTAGGCGGTGGCCACGGAGCGAATGCAGTCGTGCTCGCGTGGGCGCAGAAGACGATGCTGCGGCCTAGAATCAAGCGCGCCGCAGCTGTGGCGTTCGTAAATGCTTTTGGAAACATCTCACAGGTCCGTTGACGTTTGTCCCAGAGCTTTCTTAGTATCAACGCTGACAAACCCCCCGCTAGGTCTGGACGTCTTACTTGTACCCGGACACGGATAAGCCGCGCTATGTGCTGGCCATGTCGGTCAACTCCGGTTTTGCGCTGGGAACAATTATTTTGGCATTAGTGATGCGGGTGATCCTTCAACGCGCCAACAAGAAGCTCGACTCGGGAGCGGATGTGGCCGAGGTCATGAAGGGAGAGTCGCAAGCTCAAGTGGTGGGTATCTCGGAAGAGGATCGCCAGGCAAATAGGGCACGCTTCCGTTATGTCACTTAAGAGAAAGTTGTGCACGACGAGCGCTTGTCGATGAAATGACACGCCTGGCAGTGAGAGGGATCCTTGTCGGACATAGGAAGTTGCAAACAGCCTAGATAAAGTATGTAAGATGCTCTGTTACACACCTTCCTAAGTAAACCTAGTCTATGACAAGAGTCGCGAATATTCATTATAAGAAAGTTGGAACTTTTGTAAGAGGGTCAACCATGCCTTCTCTGATCCATGATGTAAATCCGCCATGACGCGTGCGACGCGTGCGTGAGTGTTAGGCCAAGACCACTAAGGAAAAAAGACGCTTGAGAACATTATCTTCCGGTCAAACCACTTGAAGCTGGTGTTTAAAGTCTTTTTCCATAATCCAGCGAATCCATTATCTAAGCCAATGATGAAATTCTACACAAGAGTCGCGGTCTATCCATCTCCATCGCCCAACATGCCCTGTAGGGTTCAAGTCAAATATTACGTGATGATTCATTCTGGCGAGGTCAAGAAATCATGTGCCGGAGGTAGGGAGAAACTGCGGCTGGGGAGGGTTTTAGCGGAATTGCTCCAACGCTCCCTGCAGATGGATGTGCGCGTGCCACGCAGCTGTAGGGACATATGCACGCCAATGCCCAGGACAGCTGCGTATATAGAAGAGCCCCTTGAATCAAATGGGAAAAGGAGGATACCGGTTCTCCGCGGACTGCTAGAGTTGGAACGGGATACTAACACTCTGCCCTGCTGCAAGTGACGGTCGGAGACTGATGTGTCTGAGGAAGACTACACAGCTACAGTTTACAATGTGTCAGGTGAACATGGATGAGTGCAAATTGGGGCCTCTGACCATACAAATGTGACGTTACGTACCAAAAGTTCAAAAAGCCTAGAGCTTCTGTCAAGTCTGGAGTAGCACTACCAGGGGCAACTCAGCCCTGAACATTCCAGACCTGGGCTGGTAGGCCTAGATTCTAGTTCACTTGAGCATTGTTAACCTCGAGTTAGTTTAGCGCCGATTCGACGAGCCCCCTGAAAATTCCACGCTACTTCGGGCGCAGACAGGGTTCACGCAGGGCATACCAACGTGTCGCACCTGCGTCCCAGCCTCCACTGGGCTGCATTCAGACCACCTGAGGTGATGATAAATGATCTGATAGATGTTCTCACGACCTTTTCCTCTCACCATGTATCGATACGAGAGGGACCGCAGATTGAAGAGCCATAAACTTTTAAAGGCTGTTCGGCTCACGTACAGATCATCTTCTGTTTATATCCTTGCTTGAAATGTCAGTGAGATGAAGCCGGATAAATCTGCCAAATTCAATACTTACATCAAAGGAATTAAATCGATGTCAGGCTACTTGAAATATTACTGAGTTGCCCTTCTATATGAAATTGTAAAAAGAAAATTCATATAGATTAAAAGAAGAAAGTACCACTAAGTTGTAGTTTAGGTTGGGAACTGCGGGAGCCTGGCGTTGGAGAAATACTGAGTTGTCTACTACCTACATATTCACAGTTCATTTTCTTGAAAAAGCAGACGATAAAAAAAAAGAACACATTGTCATACCACATGCTGTACATATTGCATTTCTGAAATGTTTGAAACCTTCAAAGTCAAGGTTTCTGACGGATATTTACAGAGAAGCTAATCATAGAAAATGAACACCGACCGAAACGCCTCAGGTGCCCCTCAGTCTAGCAGTATTCGCATAGGCACTCTGGCCTGGGTATACAAAAAGAGCTTTGAAAATGACGAATAACAAAGTAAATGTGCCTGTAACCCCGTTGTAAAACTCATTTCTATGAACAAAGGTTCATCTCGACCAGCGTCCATCAATAACAATAGTAGAAAACATGGTTGATGTCGAAGCTGATGCGGGAGCACTAAATAATTAGAGGGCACTTCTCTAAGATACCCCAGAGGCACGAGCTGGGGGATCTTCTAACGCAATGATTGTGAGATGGAATTGTAAGAGGTTCAATTCCGGCGGCGTGTTCGTTGGTAATGCTTGAGTCCTGGGAGCCTGACTTGAAAACGAGTCACTGCCCGTTGTGGATAATGAAATAACTGGTGCTACTGTAGGTGAGGCGGTGGTCAGTGATTGGGTGTCCCTACTGATTAAGGATGTGAATGAACTAGGCCGTGTCATGGATATTGGTAGCGTGTCGAACGATGATGATGTTGATTCACTACGAAATATGACAGCGGTGTTCGGGTTTGAGGCAGTAGAAGTTGAAATTCGACCAGTAGAACTAGCCAAATGGGATGCCGTAGTTTGCTGACCAGTCGTTGTATCCACAGTAGATGAAACATGACTTCTTGATGTCGTACTTGAGATGGACCCTGCTGCTGAGACCGTCAGAGCGGTTGAAGTTGACAGCGTACGGGAAGATGAGACCAGAGTAAAAAGGGACCATGTCCATAGGGATGATGATGATGTTATTGAGTTTGAAGACGAGATTTGGCTGGAAGAAGACGAAGTGCTTGAAGGACCGGAGAACAAGGTCGTGGTAGACGAAGAACCCGAGGAATATGTGCTCAACGAGGATTTGGTGCTCGATGAGGAGACGGAGTATGTAGAAGTCGCAGTTGTTGAGGTTATTGTAACGCTTGGTGTGACAGTAGTGGTCCGTGAAGTGGTGGATGCAATTGCGGATGAAATGGCAAACCCAATGCGAACATACAAGTTGTAGTAGAGTTCGCTACCGCTACCACCGCCACAGGCAGCGGCGGGGTTAGCAGCACAGGGTATGTTGCAGTCGGTTTCAACTGGGAACTTCACAATCCGGATGCCATCATTGTTAAGAACAGTTGGACTGCAGTAGCAAATATCACCCCTGAGAGCCGCCGCTATAGCTCCGTTGAGCACGTTGCACTGATACTGGCAGGTCGCTGGCGCGTTGGTACCGGTGTTGTTGTATCGTGTGCCATTTCCAAATGCTTCCTGAAAATTTTCAACCCAGCCGCAGAGGGCATACGCCATACCCCAAGCCGAGAACTCATCTTGGGCAACAACCCTGGTGGCCAGATGAACGATTGCAAGAAGATGGAGCCGAATCCACATTCTCATCAGCCTATTTGAGTTTATCACGGCCGGTAAAGGTGTTTGTGGGGTGAGCGAGTAAGAGCATTAGGATTGGAAGCGAAGTGAGAAAAAAGAGAACAGTGAAAGCTTGCGCCAAGCAAGTACTCGCGGGTGCGTGAGAGAAGGGTATAATAATAAGCGAATCGGCCTTTGCTCGTTTAAAGATTGGATCAGAAAGGGTTCAGACGCGATGAGGACTAAAGCGGCGAGCACGTGGCCAACAATAGACGCTCTTCAACGCGGTCAATGACCAGAACCTTGAACACGCCTCGGAATGAGTATGTTACCCCTGAAAATAAGACCGCTAGAGGGTGAGACATGTACCACCTCGAATGAGACGGTCTGTACAATGCCAAAGCGTGCCAAGGGAGATAAGATCAGAGCATACATGCCGCCCCCTGGCTTAGCCCTACTTATTCGGGTTCCGAGCACTTATATTCTGGTGCAATGGGCGCTGCTATTCTCGCTCTCTAGGGAGAAACTCGGGAAATTCCGTTAGAATTCCTCGTCTCGACACAGAATTCATGTGGACCTGATTGTTTGTCAGGGGCAGATGTCTAAATGCGAAACTCTCGGGACGAATGACCAGGCAATTCACGTATTCGGGTGAATTTGGAAAAAGAAAAGGAGTAGCCAGTCAAAGACGGACCGAGGAAAACTTTTCGTCTCTTGGTTACGGTCCGAAAGATTATCAACTGTGCTTAGAACTGAATAAAGTCCAGACATAAATGGCCCTCCCAGGACCGTGCCTGACTATCGTCTACCATAGCACTGCCGTGAAGGTTTTCATTGGCGTCTCGTTGTTCAGGTAAAGTACATCTGCAAATAGGAATGTCCGCCTCGCCAAGGCTTGCAGCATTGATCCAAAAAGCCTTGACAACAGATTTTACAGCCAATTAATAGAGAGCTGTTTAAACCAGTGGCAGAATATAGTGAACAGGACAAGTGACTTGGTCCAAAGGAGGGCACCGATGCGCAGGTAGGGGGACACCAATGTGTCGAAATATTTAATGGGAAAGATATCTTTCAAATTCTGAGGTAGTAGGTGGTGATCTCAATATACTTCAAGAGGTAAATCCAGGGAAAGGTGTTGTTGTTAAGGTGTATGAAAAAGACAGGTTTCAAAAGTTAATTTTGAGACCATGCCTGCTGTTAACGGGGGAGAATTGGCTTTTATAATGCTTAGTTTCTCAGCGCATAATGGACGTCGCAAAAGCTGATCTTGAAGTACATAAATTACAATTGGTATATAAAAAGCAATGCAAAAAAAGAATACTAGCACATTTTCCATCGCGCGCTCGACATAACATGGGATAGCTATACCAGAAAAATTTCATATGTCCTAGCGTGACAACGCCGTGCCCCTGCCCATTTTCCGGTCTCAGTATCCCAATGATAAAACATGACAATGCCCAATTATAAACAAAAGGAACCAATTTTAGTTGATTCCCAGCATGGATGATTTCCTTCGATCGGCCTTAGCCTCCAGTTGTCGCCTGAACGAATCAAGCTCCATCGTAGCCCATACTACTGCAATCTTGCCTTTATCAAAGCGGTACATGCAATGCTCGTGGAACTTGACGCTCTTGCCGTTCGGTCGAACGCCGGCAAACTCAGAGATTGGCGTTCCCGTAATTTCCAACCGCGCCGCAACCTGCTGAGTGTCCTCGTCAACCAGCAACTCCTGGATCTCGAAATGGAGACCCGAAATCGCTTCGTGACTCTGCTCCATAATGCGGCCGTAGTTTTCCACGGAAAAAGGTCTGTTGTTGTGCCGTACCTCCTTCCTGCATAGCTTTGGGAATTCGCTACCAGTGGTTCGGTTGTTAATGCTCGCAACGTAGGCGCGGTACAGAGCCTGAAGATCGACAGGCTCATCTGGCATTTTGCGCGTCAAAAACTTTGGTGTAGTCGCTGCCGTAGGGTTTTGCGCGCGGATGCCATCGTTATCCTGCAAGGTTACGATCCTCGATATCTTGCCCTTCTCATCGAACCACACGTAGCACTGCTCATCGAACTCGAAAGACTTGCCGACAGGGTCAACATAAACCATGGCCTCCACCAAAGTCATCCTGTTGATGTATCGCGCGGCGACGGCCTGCGCTTTCTTATCGACCAGCATCGTGTCGATCTTAATCTTGAACCCCGCGAGACCCTCGGTTCGAGACCTCAAACGGGAAATGTGGTCTTCGCGCGTTTGAGTGTGGCCATTGCGCAGGATGTTATCGGCGAGATGGTTACCAATGACATCCCATTTGCAGTTGTTCAAGCAGTCGATGTACTCGCGAAGACGAGCGCCGATATCGACCTGGATCCCTTTTCCATCCCCGTTCCACCGTCTACCTGGACTGTGACTCTTGCGGATCGGGCTCAGGCTCTTATTCTGGGTGATGTTTGCAGGCGGAGGCGCGAGCATAGCCTCATGGGCGAAGCATGGTGCTTCTGATTCTTGCATTGTTACTGTAGTCATTTTCATTATTGGAGTGAGATATGACTTTTTCTCAAAAGAACAATATAATGTGTGGTAATTATATGGATTGGAAAGGAATACAATATTTATGAAGATCGGCCTTGATAGCTGTAGGCCGACTTTTAGAGACTTGGGGAGTTTGAGACTGAGGCTATCAAGAAGGACAACAACAAAATCAGGGGTCGATTGATATATGAATAAAGTCTGAGACCATATTACTTCAACATGACTACACCAAAAATAGCCTCTCGACACACAGATGTTATATGATACTTGGGGGGAGCAACATGCCATAATCGGCAGCGAATGTAGCCACGGATAATCGAAAAAACGCGAGGAATCGGCGAGTCTTGCGCCACGTCCAAACGTGGATGACGTACAATTCCCCGCTAATCCTGACATCAGTCGATCACCGTGGCGTGCCCAAAATCAGATCCTTAACCGCCAAGCGGGCCGCGCGGGCCTCCCAACCAAGGAAAATTCTCACCTTAAATCAGCGATGCGCACTCGACCACTGACAAGTTTAGGAGGAAATGGTCCGCCACGCCGAGAACCCGGCCTACTCCCGCCTTTTTTTTGATGCCTGATATCTGGGAGTCCGGGGTCGGAGATGTGTCCCGCCACTGATTGAAGGTTGCTGAATCATTTGCACAGACTGCTTTGCTGGCGGATGAACGGTACCTGTAACGGGAAGTGGAGTCCGGCTCCGGTTTTTTTTAACAGGTGATCGGAGCCGGGCCTGGATGGCACGGATGGTCAGCATATGTTGAATTCCGGGACCGAAAGACAGAGCTTCAAAGGGTAGGAGTGAGACCCCCAAAACAGGGCAACACATGAGAAAAGCGAGAAAATCAGTTTAGGAATATTGTAAACTGTTTACCTGGGTTGGTATAACTAGTCGGTGTAGGCCAGTACGGTTGGAAGAGAATGCCCGGGTCTGTGGACTTGTAAGCTCCGGGGAACGACACCCCGGACGGGTTAGTGTTCCCGCCACCTGACAGCGAGATTTGAGCGCAGGCGACATAGAACTGCGCTCCGCCCTCAGTCGCGGCTCCGTGCAGGGCCAGGTGTTCAACGCGGAGGAGATACTCCCCGGATGCAAGACAAGTAGGGATCTTGGCTGAAAGAGCCGGAGCATCTGTGACATGGACGTCAGTGGAACGAAGCTGAATCAGCCCTACGACTCACGACTCAAAAGAAAAAAAAAAAAAAAAACTCCCCACAAATTATGAAGAATGATCTTCTTTTTTTCGAAACCTTTGTCTTCCCTCCCGAAAAAACCCTTCTTTCACGACCCAGTATTCCCTCCAGAATTCTTTTTGATTCTGGAGCTTCCTGGAGAAATGACCTGGAAAATTGGATACTCACTGAACGAGGCCCACTGCAACCCACTGCTCGTAATCGTCGGCCTCTCGTGGTAGATTTTGAACCAGACTGCCCCGCTGCCGTCCCACGTCGCCGCAGTTTGACCCGCCGGCACCTTGGCCATGTAAAAACTCGCAGGCCCGGGGTGCCCAACGATGCTGTTTGACGCGAACCCGATAGTCGAGCCTGCCGTTACCGGGAGGGTTGTGACAGTGCCTCTATCCTTGGCCTCGGCTTCGTAGCAACGGATTTGCGTCGATGATACGCCGTCGGTGGGGCCGTTGGACCAAAAGTTGAGAGTCTTGCGCACGTGCTGCCATTCAGGATAGGTTGTGCCGCCGTAAATCAACCGGCCGAAGGTGTCTGCGGAAGAGCTAAGCTTAGTATCTGTCATGTTACTGAAAGCGGATGCGATGGAGTTCCTTCTTCAGTTGAGAGCGAGTTGCTTACAGTGAGCTTCGACTGAGGCTGCAGCTAGCGCAGCAACAATAGTAGCAGAGAACTTCATTGTTAATTCTGGATTGGATGTATCTGTTTTTGTCTTGTCTTTATGACTTGAGCTGGAATTTGAACATTTCGCAAATCTCAATTGAGAGCTCAACAATGGTTTAAATATCCCAGAAGCAACAACCAACTACTCAGATACTTCGCGGTCGAGTCTTTAGTCTTCCTTCAGTCGAAAAGCGATATTAGTTTAATTTAAAAGGCAGTAAGCTCCCCCGCGAAACGGTGAAAAAATCGGCTTACATTCCACGAATCTCCGTTGCCGAACCCTGCCGCGCCCGGAGACCAGCCTCCGAGGTAGACAACAAAGCTCTCGTGGTTTCAAGCCAACATCTGCCAAGGCCATTAGGACTACCGCCTGACAGCTTCAAATCGGGGTAGATCAAATGAAAAATGAAACCCATCCCTTTCATTCCTCGGTCTTGTGTCGGCAGTTCTGCCATGGTGTGTTGCATTTTGCAAGCTTGTATGCCGCTTCCCCGACAAATACTTGCCAGCTATGAGTTGAGCTATCGCTGGGTCATGGCTGATAGGTTGGTTTCCTTGGCCACCTTCCGTTCAGAGAGTAGTTTCAGAGGGCAAAACGACCTCCAGATTCCTTCACGTGGCTGACGAGAAATTGAAGTTACACAATAGCAGATTGTGGGACGTCTAGCCAAGCATCTAGAAGAGGTCAAAGTCTTTCCAACACCTCTTTCTTGCAACAACAACAAGGTTTGGAAAGTTGTTTGTGGTAACTTTCAAATGATGTACTTTCCATTTTCCACCTATTGCTGCTGCGGCGATTGACATGGGCCTGGTTTCGAATCAGCTGGTGTACCATCTTGGCTGGGCAATTCCTCTATTATCTTTTTCAGTACAGTAAATCGTTGAGGACGCTTATGAAACACACTCAAATATGTCTGCGATGGTGAAGATGAGCTCAATGCAGAGTTTGTGGGCCGAGGTGGAGGTCCAGGGTTCCCGAAGATCAACCAGCAGTGCCTAAGTTTGTCTGCCTTGGATGTTGTGACAGCTACGCAAAGCAATAAGCTTGTTCTCAATTAATAACTACTAAGGTGATGAGTTCAGATGAAGTCAGTATCACAAGCATCGTGGCGGCCGATACATAACCTTTCAACAGCAAGTCCGCAGTAAAGAGGTAAAATCAAGCCACTTCAAAAGTCTCCTCATTCCACCCATAAGACCTGTTCAACCGTTGCGCAATGATGAGTGATAGGTATCCTTCAATCTGAGACTTATGTGGGCGGTGCACTGTAAAAGGCTTCCTGATAGCCATGGTCTCGGGCGGAAGGAAGGTGAAGACTGAGCCGTACTTGGGAATAACTGAAAACCCCAAATCTGCCATGGCACCCTCAAACGCCGCCCAACTAACCGAGCGCCGAGACTCAGATTTTCTGAAAATTGCCGTAAAGACGTCGGCAGTTGCAGAGCTGACCTTAAACTTCTGCGCCGGGGATGGAGCTTCTTTAGAAATAGGTGCCTTGACTGCAGGACTAATTTCGTAGGTGGATGAGTTAGATGGTCGAGTTTTCTCCTTCATTTTGCGCTGCTCAACCAGCTTCTGCCGTGGTTCTGGCGCAGTGGCTGGAAGGGGCGTCCATTCTTTGTCTTTATTCCCCGCCTCAGCTTTAGCCTCGTCGTTTTGGCTTTGAAGAGAAGAAAGACAGTCATTGATCAGATCTTGATACAAGAAGCCAATCTTAGTGCCAGTTTTCTCGATAATGAATGTATCGAGAGCCTTGAGGGCGCCTTCAGCCATGCCTGGCTCCAAGAGGTTGCCAATAGGAATTGCGAAATCGCCAAGGTCGAGATCCTTTTTGAGCTGATTTAACTCGCCTTCCAACTCCTGGTGCTGGGAAATGAAAAGCTGTCTCTTTTTTCGAGAAACGGAAGGCACAGTGATAGCCGTATTCATGTCCTGGATGAAGCCAACAATAGCAGCCAGGTTGCAGAGAGACTCAAACTCGCCTTCAGAGAGTTTCTCTCTCTCGGTTGGGTGCGTATGATGAAGCGCGCCCAGTTTCTGCGCCCATTCAACCGCCTGGGCGGCGTTGGTGCCTGCGTGACACAGACGGAGGATGTAGTGAAGTTGAGGATCGCTCCTTGTAAAGCTGTCAGGTTTGGCTTTCATAGTGAGACGGGCGTTTCCGGCCTTGTCGAAGGTGTTGGAAATTCTTTTGAACAAATTCGAGTTCTTCGCAACATGCCGCTTAAGGAGAGATTGGGCCCGAGTGAACTCGAAATTGCAAATGTTGGTGATCTCTTGAAGAATAAGACTTCGGTAACTCTTATCCGACCCCGGGCTCTCAAGACGGAGCAAGAGTTGTTCGATGTACGCCCAAATTGCAGCACCACTCACCGCGTTGTGAACTGCATCGAGAACGGCGCCGCTGATGTATCTATCGGTGTACTGGGGAAGGCGTCGGCCTAGCTCATCGGCGACGAGCTCTGGACGACTAAAAAACCAGTGGTTGACATCATGGGCAAGAACGACAGGCTCTGAAGACACCAAAGCGAGGTAGCCCTCCAGCAAGGTCTTTTGGTCGCGGGCGCTGGCGACGAGATCAGAGAGAGTCAACTGGGTCGGAGCATCTTGGATTTTCAGCTTAGAGAATGCAGCTGTAGTTCCGTCAGCGGGTTTCTTCTTAGCCTGCTGCGGTTTTCGTGTCTTTGACCCTTCTTCCAAGATATCTTCGATGATGATGTTGAGGTTTTGGAGAGTGTGCGTCTGCCTTATTAAAACCAACTCTCCGGTTTCCTGGGGAATGATGTATTTCATCTGCATTGCTTTCTCAAAGCCTGACATCGCCGATGGATCATTGGCCTTGTATGAATTGCCATACTCGTCAACAGACAGGAAGAATGACCAGCAGTTCTTGAAGGGTTCGGTCATGTGCAGGTTTTTGGTTCGTATCATCTTCTCGATGAACTGAAGATCTCCGAGGGTAGTAGATGTCCCCAAATACTGTTCCATCAGGTCATTTTCAGTGCGGTAACGAAACAATTCCATGAGATGATCAGAATCAGGCTCCGTCAAATCTCGGAGGTTCCACTCAGGAATGAACTTGTAGACGTTTCCAAGAGACCTGTCCATAGAGTGCTTCAGCACCTGGCCGTCTATATCACCTGCCCTGATGCATTTCGTTCGCTGCTGTTTGTCGAAAGAATGCCAATATTTCTCAATTGTAGGCCCATGTTTTCTGAATTTCCGTACAAGATCCGTGTGGAGCTCCTTGACCATACCTCCGCTCGAAGGTTCTTGCATTTTATCGCGTTTCTGGTTCTTGACTGACAATTCTCTGCTTGCTGCTTGGAACAAAACATGAACAGTGTGTTTTCCGTTGGTGACTGCTGCTTTCGCTTGTAATCGTTGTCGAGTTTTCCAGCTGATGTCAATCAAAAGACCACAAACGAGATTTTGACCATAGGGAGAGAACGAGAGAAAACGTGAGGATGCGGGGTTACCTTAGTTTGGCCTGTTGTTTCGATTGCCTCCATTCGGAAACCACCATCATGTGATGTGACTTCAAGTGAAAAGTAGCGACCAGTTCGTCTAAGCTTGGCATCGGCTCAGGCACCGGCAGATAAGGTACACCAGGCAACCAGGACTTAATAATTATCGTCCTTCTGATTAAGGTAGGTAGCTTAGAGAGGAGTCGTACCGTTTACACCTATCCAGTGGTAGTCTCGTTAGGCCTGGGTGGCTTACAAAAATTTGGCAAAGTGCTGCCATTCTTCTCTAGTGACCTCGTGTCGTATACTGGCTCTGGTCTCCCAGTTGACTTTAAGATCCAGAGCTCTATCAATGGCAACAGGTAGGGTGATTCGATCACTGTAAACAATTGCCTTGGCGCTCGCTCTGGAGAAATCTAGATAGTTGCTTTTGCATGGAAGTTTGAAGTCCCATGCATCCGCGTTCAGGGTTCGAAAGTCGGTGGCGTCGAAGCCTCGTCGGCATACCGCATTCAGCTTGCAGAGTTGCAGGGGTATGAGTATATGAGCATGCTCTGGATTCAAGGCGCCCTCGTGATGGGTAAGCTTATATTTTCTGCTTTCATAGTCCTACAATCGGCATTCTCCATAGCCGGCAGCTGAAGAAATTTGGATTTGGCCTTACTTGACTACCTACACAATACGACAAGCTCTACTCAGTCTTGCCATCCCTGTTGGTCTCGAAGCGGTATCTGATAAGAAAAGGGTATCATTTCCTGAAAAAAGGGCCCAGTTTACTGTTTAAGATGATGATGGTCTCTAAAAGCCATCTTATATGAATAAACCATAATGCTACGTATAGTGAAGCCAAAATATGAGTGGCATTCCTGCAGAGCGTTTGTGGGGGCTAGCCACAGAACAGTTCCAGAACCACGACAACAAAGAGGACTCAAGTTATCCGCAAGCATGATTGAATCAATAAAGAGATATGCTTCTTAGTCAGCCACTAGGCTCGGCAAATAACCTACTATGGAAATAACAGTTATTAAAATGGTTTATTTGCTAACCGTTTTCACCTTTTGTTGCATCTTTCCGGTTTACCTTCCCATTTATGTTCTATATATTCCTGTACTGGTTGTAATTCGGCTGCGCTGAGCACCATTAAAGACGCAATAATTACTACAAGAGCTAATATAAAGTATTATGGGATCAGGGGAGTTTACACACTTTGTTTTCATCCCAGCCAGCCGGATAGAGCTAAACTCATTTTGGTATTTTACCATCCCTCATACCAAGCCCATGTGGCACCCCAAGCGCGCTGTGCCTGGGCTTCGTGAATCCCAAAATCATCGTCATCTCACCGCAGATTTTCATAAGCGTCACGTTGGAAAAGGACTTCAAAATTAATTGCACCGAGTTTTTGAGGTATCAAATATATTCTAGATCTATGAAATATGTCCCACAGTGTCCTAAGAATAACAACACGCGAACCTAAGACCTAACTGCCGAAGGTTGTGAAAGATTTGATGTTTCATTCAGTCATTACAAAGAAATAGTGCCAGCACTAACCCGAAAAAAGAGAGAGTATGTTCCCGGAATATGTTCCCTTTGTGGACAAACCACATAGCAGTTGAGGTAAATGTACTTTCAGCTGCCAAGGTCCAAGGGGCGTTATGGACAAATCGTCTCCCCATCATGCTGCCCCCAGCTGGAATTTCACCAACCCCGACATGCATTCGCCGCAGGGTGTAATGACCTGCTTAAGCACCGTTGCCGTTGTAGGCGATCAGGTTCGGGCTGCCGTTGAGGTTACCGCTGACCTTGTTGGGGGTACCAAGAGCCTTGATGCGGGCAATGATAGACGCCGGGGTGGTCAGGCCCTCAACAGATTGGAGGTAGTTGACGAGGCCAGCGACGTGGGGAGAGGCCATGGAAGTGCCTGAGAGGGTGTTGGTCGCCGTGAAGCCGCCGATCCAGGTCGAGAGGATGGCGACACCAGGAGCAAAGATGTCGAGGTTCGGGCCGAAGTTGGAGAACGAGGCAATAACCCAAGAGCTGTCAATAGCGCCCACCGTGATAGCGTTGGCAGCATTGGCGGGAGAGACGTTGGCGGCGTTTTGGCCCTCGTTACCGGCAGCAACAACAGTGACGACGCCAGCGTTGTAGGCCGCGTCTACAGCGACGGCCCAGACGGGAGAAGAAGGGCCACCAAGTGACATGTTGATGACGGACTTGTTCTGGCGGCCTTTATTGATGATATCGTTGACAGCCCAGTTGTAACCATCGAGAATGATGGAGGTGGCGGCGGAGTTGCCAGCAAAGACCTTGACGGAGATCAAGCTGGTCTTCTTGGCGACTCCGTAGGTGTTGGAACCGATGGTTCCAGCAACATGGGTACCGTGGCCGAGAGTATCGATGTGAAGCCCGCCGGCGGCGTTGTAGCCCAAAGAGGCACGGCCGCCGAAGTTGAAGTGAAGGGTGTTAATTCCAGAGTCGACGACGTAGGCAAAGGTGCCGGTGCCTCCGACGTCGTTGTAAACGTAAGAGGTAGAACCGGGGGCACGATGAGAAACGGTGCCTAGGCCCCAAGGCGCGCCGTTCTGAGTCGTGATGGCAGAGAGTGTCCAGAGCTGATCTCGTTCTACGGCAGCAACCTAGGAGCTTGTTAGTGATGATGTTTCCGTCGAGGTTGTGAAGCTAGACATACAAGAGGGTTGGCCTTGATAAGCTCAATGGTGACATCGTCAAACTTTCCAGCGTAGCCGCGGAATCTGCTGAAAGAAAACGCTCGCTCAGTGCCTCCGAACAGGAGCTTATCAAGACTGCGGGAGTGGACCTGGTCTACCCAGTCCAGGTGGATGTCAAGGTCAAGGGCACCTATGCCCTCTTTGAGGGTGATGATCCAGCTGTTAGGGACGGTCTGAACTGTGAAGTCGGCACGCTTCTCCGTGGGAGCAGCGAAGCCAATGGTAGCCGCTGCGAGCAGGGCGAAGCGCTTGAACCCAACCATGTTGATGAATGATAGATTGAGACGTTGGGGTTGAAATGAGTGTGTAGTCTTAAGAAGATGAGTGTGGATACTGAATGTAATATCAACTATCGCCGGCTCTTGTGGAATACTTTATACATGTGGCTCGTTCATTTTCGATGCATGCAATAACATCTTGAAGGTTTCATGTTGTCTAAAAGCGGATTGGGCTCAGAATTCGCCGAGAATGCTGACCTTTGTTAGTATCAGCTAGGCGTATTGTTTGGTTCTGGTCCATCCTTTGAGAATTTGTACGTACCATTTTAAACCCCCCCCCCCCAATTCCCACCCACTGTCGCAAATTTCGGGTCAATAAAAGAATGCTGTGGGACTCAATATTCTAGCCGCAAGGTCACATCTTGTTTGAACGAGTGCGACGAAGCTATGAGGCGGTGTGAAAGGGTGAAGCATAGCGCGAATAGCGCCAGGTGATGACATCAACCAGCATCCCCAAAAGCTTGCTTACCCACTTCAGAAGGAGAAGCTGACAGTTTATGGTACTTTTGATGGAGCATGGTAGATCAGAGAGGCATTTTGGCACATAACTGGCTCTGTGATAGAGCCGCCAGATGGCCGCGTAGGAACTCTTAGTCAGGTAGCAGCTGAAATTGGATACACGTAGACTGTTGCAGCGCCAGACGACACTACCGGCACTTTTGATGAGTCTGGTCGGAAGCCCAATAGCGACAGAAAAAAAGGCAGCTAGGCCAAATCCGGTGAACCAAGACTATGGCTCGGCAGGCGTTGGAACCGGAGTATTGGAATTTTGACAGACTATGTACATACCAGTAGCCATGAAAGTCTCACAGCAGAAACAGAAGCACTTGACAAAGACGCCACCTCATTCTGAAAATCGGAACGTGTCCGGTGGCCGACATCCTGGGCTACGCGGCAGCGCCAAGTGCTCCTCATGGGTTTAAAAAAAAAGATCGTCTCCCACTATAATGTTAAACTCTTGTTAGTTGCCTCGAACTGAAGGCGTCATGACATAACTGACACAAAGATGGCAATAGCCTTAGAGTATGCGGGGTCGGGGGCTAGTAGATAGCATTCACATCCTTTGGCTGGCTGTTGTTTTCTCTCCGACCAAGTGTATCTCCACCTTATCTTGTTAAAGTAATATCGCGTGCTTCTCTGTTGTATCTAACAGCCCAGGCATGTGATACACGATGCCGCGGACCATGATTAATAGTTGTTCTTTAGATTGAGTTCTACGGTGGAACAGAAGAACGATCTCACGCTAGCTTTCCCCGCCAAAGATTCGCCATGGTGTGTAGTGGTAGACGATGATCGAGGACTAATGAGACATTGGAAGATATCGGAGGGGCTTGCTGAACTCGCTAAATTGAAGATGAGGGGTCGTTGGTGTATAAAGGCGATTGAAGCGCGGATGGCGGTCGCGGCTGACTGAAGTGCCGCAACGCCACATTAAGATGTTAAACATGGTGGTATAGATGTTCACGGACTGAATCATGGTTTAAGACTTGGAAGTGAAGAGATTGGCCACAGATACTCGTTGGTTAAGATCGATCGGATTGTCTGGCTGTGTACTTGGAGACTCATGTGAGTGGAATTCAAAATTGATGAGTGTCTCAATACTGTAAATGTAACTATGACCTAAACTGGATAAATTGTCTTCACCAAGATCGCTAGTCCTTAAGTGTAGCGACTGGGATCTTTTCATCTTGATTATCTGAAAATACAGGTTCAGACAAGCCCGTTAAGCTTTGATTAATGTCTTGAGGTTGTTGAAGAGACGAACACCAAGCGATGGAAGATGACAGCAGATCTTCCACGCCGACGGCAATGAAGGCTTCAACCTCCCGCACTGAGTTTCTTCCATTTTTCAATTTCTTCATCCTCACTTTCAAATTGTCTTTATGGTAACCAAACGGACTTCATCAGATCTCCGCGGATGTTGGCCTCTGCCGGAAAGCGGATGAATTGAAAATTAGATGTTAGTCTATTCACTCAATGAGATCTTAGCGCATCGGTTCCCCGCTCTTCGGGTCCCGGCGTTCATGAGAAAGAAGCCTAGGTACCTTTCCTGAAGGCTGGTACACTAAGCAGCAGGCTAAACCCACTGTTTTAGGGCCACCGCGAAGGTCTGAGTCAATTTTCAGCCACCTTTCTTTGGTTCCAGCTTGGGGCCCCCGTCTTCCTTTCTCTGGACTAGAAGGCACCACATGGTGTCGGGACCAAATAATGCCTTTCAAAGATGGAAAACAAAACTTCAAAAAGCATGAAACAGACAAAGCTCTCACATTGAATGAGATAATGAATATGGCCCAGTTGCTTATATCGGGACCAATTCCAATCCAACGGGACCACTCTATATTTCCCTGTCGGCAAGTGGGTTCGGTCAGAGCAAACCCAAACTCCGGATGGCCTGAGCTTTTACCGATACACGTACAAAGCCTCAGTTCCGACGATGTGCTGGCAGTAGCAAATACCTAGTTGGAACCGCCGATCTCCGGCCTTGATCTAGCTATTCCACCACAAACCAAATTCACCGGGCATGATCGTCGGTTTGAAGAGGGGACGAGACCTGAAGATATGATTTTTTTTCTTTTGCTTATGGTGATCCCCCGCTCTCCTCCTCTTGTAGTTCTGGATTACGATCGCACTCCCTCCCCAAATTGAAAGCTCTAGGTCACACTCAGGAACCTTTCATTCTTCTTTGTTTTCCCATGTAGAAAGTTAATGATCTTTGCTAAAATATCACCTGCACTCTGGACCCGTTCTGCGTGCTCCATTCAGATGTCCGCCACGCATCTTGCTGATGGAAACTGAGTTCTTATTTTGAATATTTGTACTTCTTCCATACTTATAGAATAAACACTTTCGTGTAATGATAACTTTCGGTTCAATCCCGAGAACCTCTTCGGTAGTGTAATGCAATAGGTACTTATTTACTCGAAAGCGAACTAATTGTAGTAAACTCTTTTCCCTTGTAGCGCCCGGCGTTCTTATAAGGATAGCCAAGTTTGGGCCAAATTTTGTAATAAACGTTTTATTTTTGAGTTTTCTAGCTGTATAACAACAGTTTGATAGCTTCAAATAAATAATTACTTCACAATGATATTGTAACGATTAACTAGATTCCCACAAAGTTGACCATGATAGTTCACTCCCAGAACCTTGGCCCAAGGTAGGTAGTAAGCTCCGCACCCTTTGCCGAGGAAATAATCGATATATGGGTATATAGACCTGTCTCTCTCTTGTCCTTACTTTTTTTAAGTGTTAGTATTAATGCGTATTTAATCGCTCAGGAATAGCAGGATAATACTTACAAGGCGGACTGGACAGCGGCTCCAATATCGTGATTCCCCTTCATCCCCAGCGTCTGGAGTATGCGCTGATAGCGGTCTATAATCCCGGCCTCATCATGCGCGTACTGCCAAGTGGACACGTACATTTTGATTTGTGGGATTGCCTTACCTGGCACTAGCGAAAAGGCGAAGCCGAGGCCGCAGTACCGGCTGTCTGGATCGTTCAGCGGTTTTTCCTGGCTGTCCATATTGGCCTGGGGTACGTCTTCCATGTTCATAAGCAGGGGCCAGACTGGTGGTAGAAACTCGGCGGAAGAAGGTGGAAGAAGGCCGCCCAGGGTGAGGACGTGGCGGGCCGAGGCGAGTGAGTTAAATTTTGTTTGGACGTATACCTTGACGCGAGGCTCCTTTTCGGGCGCCAGGCAGTCGATAGCAAGGAAACCAATGTCGATATTTTCGCCGTTGGAGTCGAGAAACGTTGTAAGCAGTTTCCATGCGGCTAACATGCCCTTGTCGCCATCGGCAAGTCTTAGTATGACGGAATCCGTAACGTCTAGCAGCTTCCGGCCCGTTGCAAGAGCTTTAAGTTGCGGGAATAGGTACGCCTTCATACCGATGACCGGTTTCCCATTCTCGTTTTTGTCAGATTCGAGATCAAACGAAACAAAAAAGGGATGCCGCGGTAGCGCACTAGCAGTACTACCACCGTTAGACTTCTTTCTAACTAAGCCTTCCTCCTCGGTAGTGAGGAAAACAGAGTCGATGAGACCATCCAGCCACAATCGGTCTGAATTACATGTTGATGCTAGGCTCTCTAATTTCTCGCGTATCTCTTTCTGCCCTAGGGGGTCATCGTCCGTAGTGTTTGGATCCAGCAGCGGCTGTACTGCAAACCGCACTTTAGGTGATTTAAAAGACGTGAAAGCGACGCTTGCTTCGTACACCCCGTGGTGGTGCGTCCCAAGGTATTGCAGCCTGTCAGCCGCGACAGGCGGCAACTTAAGGCAGGGGAATACAGCTTGACGCAAAAAGGCCAGATGGAAATTCTGTATCTCAGCTGGGTAGGAGCCCGTCCAGTGTAGAAGCGAGGCGAGACTGTCATGGATGGTGGAGAGCCATGAAGAGACGAGAGGGCTTGCTTTAGAAGGAATGCAGGGATCGGCTACGTTGGATATGTTCCTCTCTGTGGTGCCATGAGCGTCATGGACAGCAGTTGAGTGGTGATTTTCCACTGCAAGGTTGTCAACGTCCATAGTGAAATCCTGTCTGTGGAGCTAGTGCTTGTATTCGTGACGCCTATTTTGCTCTAATGGTTATTCTTTCTCTTTTGGGGTCTAATATATTCTGAGGTCCCCCTCAAAAGGTCACTTACGTTACTGCTGAAGGTATAAATGCATTGGATATCAAGACTCGTAAGTGATGCCTTTTTGACTTTCACTGCGTCATCATGGATAAAATACCTTTTTTTAGAAGTTAAATGATCTTTAGATAACCTTACTCTTTAGAAGCAAAGTACTTTTAGGAAGCGAGTACGAACACGGTGCGGGTGCAGGTAAGCTCAACTGACCAAGATGTTTGGGCAGTTGCTGGCGAGGGTGTAAGGTTGTCTCCTACATGTGAACCAATGCTGTCAAATGGGATCTCATTTTGATGTTATTCGTCCCGTCTTGAAATTATGGCATGACAGGTCTAAGATGCCCGGGCTCAAAGTCTAAAAAAAGGTTTCATGCGGTGAAGATAGGGGAAGGTAAGGTTTCGCTTAGGCTATCGTAGCGAACTCGTAGGATAATTGAGGTTTTATGGAGCGGCTTGCAAATACGGGCCCTTACTAGAAAGAGGAAGCCATACGGTAGAAGAGGATGAGATTGGGTAAATAATGTCTTCCCGCCAACGCGTTCCACCCCTCCCGCACGGGTTCAGTCTGGCTCGGTCGTGTCGGCCTTTAGGTTTAGACGCTGTAAGTTGTCTCCGTCCCGATGAGGTAAGAGTTATGGAAATAAGAAACAGAGTGACTGGAGAGGAGAATCCCGACACGGTAAAAAGCATGCATAATCTTGCATTTACTTGGAAATATCAAGAACGAAGGGAAGATGCAACGCAACTGCCATAGGAATGCGTTCGCCAAAAAGAGTGTGTCCTTGGCGTGGACCATTTAGACACCATGTCGTCTGCCTCAGCTCTGTCAGACTGGAAACTAGAGCTCATGGAAAATGTGTATGAAGAATTAGTTACATGATGTCCTTGAATCTCTCATACTCCTGTACAGCCATGGAAAGTTGCAAAAAACATCAACGTAGAATTCCCCAGTAGGACTTGTGAAGAACAAGCGTAATCTACCAAGCCTCATCAGCCACGCCTCCACAATACCACTAGGAAATGTTTGAACTCAAATATTTGGCGAAATCCATTACGCCTTTACTGTAGTAATCGCAGGGTGTCTTGGGGTACCAAAAGCGTGGTGCTAGGACGCGAACACACACATTAATAGTATAATCTGAATCAGGATATCGATAAGGGCCGCACCGCTGTCAGGATCTTACTCCGCCCGAAGGGCCCAAGCACCGCGCTATTGTGCTCTAGTCAATAGACACCTTCTCTTACTCATGTTCGTCTACCAAGTCTTCCAAGATTGAGCTAACCACTAGAAGTCCCTACATTGACGCCCAGGATGGTATATTTGAGAGGACCGACAGTTAGTTTAACGTCTTCAACATCTCGAGCGGCAACGCGAAGTCACTCCAAATACCCTAGATGGTCAAGGTGATAATAGCGTAAGTGAGGCATTCGCAGCAGCCATGAGCAAAGCCTCATTTCCCAAGGTCTGACGAGTCAGGAATTACCCTAGTGCATCCCCATTGGCTGTCGTCAGGCGCTACTCAGAAGCGTCACTTGCTAAGAGAAGTAGGTAAGTCTCAAGTGATGTTTCCAAAGTATGCATGTTGGACGAACTTGGCGGATTAGCCGCGCATTACCGCTTCCAGGTTACAGTATCCTTCTTCTCGGCTTACATGACACATTTCTTCGCGGCGTGGGCAACTAGCTTACTTCATGCTGCATGTTAATCGTAGCCCACCGTAGAAGGTCTTTTCCATTGATGACTTGTAAAAGCTTGGCATTTTACTGTTCTAGTTGTCATTAAATAATACTGAAGCATCGCTGCAGTTGTGTTCACAAAGATGTTAATCTGAGTAAACCAGCCGTACCCAGCTCCGCTTTGCGAAAAAGAAGACGCAGAAATGTAGCTGTGAATTGTCTATACTTGCAATCAACCATATTAAGGTTTTTTTAATCGATTGTCTCACATGATCTGGAGTGTCAGCCGCAATATACTTGTAGTACCGTGATGAGCACCGTGGCTCAGGGCCACATTGCTCGTATGTGTTGTTGCGTTGCGGCGTCAATCACGGATTCCTTAATAAATGGATTTAATCCGTCTTCAGGTTTGATGAGAAAGTAGCGAATTAAACCCAGGATGCAAACATGGACATTGAGTCAATGCCACAATGGATTCGGAGCTACACATGGCTGCAAGTAAGTTCCCTTGTGTGTCCTGCTCAATGAGGGCTTATTGTCGAGGTGTGCAACGTATAACCAAACTAATTTAAGACGCCTCGTTCACACGGCATAAATACCTTTTCATTTTTTCAATATGAGAGTAACACACACCAGAACAGTTATTCGTCCAGGTACGGATTAGGTCCGCATGTCTCATCATCGAAGCCTATATCCTGCGTTACTTTCCTAAATGAATGTTTGCCAATATAATAACAATAGTATGTAGTATTTGATCAAATTTATTGCTACAAAGTTTCAAATGCTTACATCATGTGACCTTAGTAAAATGTGGAACTTGGAAGGAAGAAAGTTTTCATCGCAACCTGACTTTGCTGTGTAACTTTCGGCCCAAAGACTTTCCGTCAATCACGATGATGACTAGTGAAGCGAAAGAGCCCATCCCATAGATGGTTCTAAAGGATGAAGGTGGTCTGGAGGGGGCCATGTTCTTGAAAGTACGTTCGACAGAGGTGGGCCTCCTGCATTTAAATACTGACATCCTCAAGTGAGAAAAACGAGCGATAAGATTTTGAGCTGTTTGGGGGCTGCGGAATTCAAAGGTCGATGAATTTCCGTAGTCCCCATCCTCTGGCAATGCAGTCTTTTAAAAGAAGATATTCAATGCCACCTACCTCATACACCACCATCTCCGATGGAAAAATCGACTACTCTAATCAATCAACCTCGAAAATACTCCTGATGAGCCTCAATCATTATGCCTCTCACTCCCCGAATGAACCCATACACGCGAATTTTGGCCCGATTGTATGAGGCCATTATATCCCTTTGGATCCTACGGCGTGTGAACGGTCCTCATTTGGTCACTTACCTAAACGATAACTATTTGCAGGGTGTCCGCCGAAGATTTCTCAAGAACTTGTGCTTCTTCTGCGATTACAAAAAAGGGGGAGAAAGTACGACAGCATTGGGCTTAGAGGAACAGGAGGGATCATGCGTTTTTTGGATATCCTCAAACGAGGGTGTAGGCGATCATGTTGTCCTGTTTCTAAACAATGTCCTCGCGATGCTGAAAAGAGTCGATGAGTCGAAGAAAAACCGGGCAAGCGCAGTAGCAGATCTGATGGCCTACTATGCCAAATTCGCCGCCCCACGAATGAAGAAGGAAACCAGAATCTTACACAACGCTATAAAAAGGTGCCTTGAAGTTTCAGAGGCTTCTTCTCCCGCAGAAGGTACATGCGAGTTTTCTCCTGTAACGAGTCTGGGAACAAAGAACTGAGCGCATTTAGGAAACGTCCTGATTCCGTGGCTGCTCCACCTTCAAGATTCAGCATTTGATAATGTTGTTATGTGCAAGAAAGCCTATCAAGTTAGTCATGATCATCAACTACAACTCCTTAAGCGCCTGGGACAAGAGCCAGATGACTCCATTGGCCAAGGTCCCGCGGCCCAGGCCTTCCGCGATGCAAAACACATGATAGGCCGCTTGGCAGCACATGCGCACGCTGTTCATGAGCTTTTTGACGATTCGGAACGGCTACAGAAACTTCTTGAATCATATCGTGTAGACAAAGTCGATACGCCTCTGCCCGCATCGGTTCCTCCGGGTGACTCTCACACAACCTTAGCCGGCGTTCTTAAGCGCCTTTTACCGGCGAGAGATGACCGTTACGAGTCCTACCTGTGTTATCTCAAAAGAATGGACTCTCAACTCGGCATTGAAAATACTCTTTGTACCAAGCTTAAACCAGGAGCATTGAAGCCTTGCGTTCATGCCGAGATTCAAATGCTACATCACTTTCACGACACCAATCGTCAATATTTTGCAAACGATCGCTTTGTTGCTTGCAGCAAGTTTGCGTGCATACTTTGCGAATCGTTCTTCCGAAATCACCCTGCGAGGGTCATACTTCTTGACTCTCACCAAAAGACTTATCCGAATTGGGGTGCGATACAACTTCCAAGAGGCGCGAGTGACCCAGGCTGGCAAAATTGGCGCAAAATCATGAATGATGTGATACACGACATCAAAGCTATTGTTGTGGATCAAATTTCTCAGCAACTCGTGTCAAGTATGAACCATCCTGACTCGATTTCCCAGTTTACGGCCTCTGTGGACGAAGCGCATGACTCTACAGGCTCAGAAACAGATTACTTTGAATACTTGAGTAGTGAGTCAGATGATTGTAAGTGTCCCATCTCTATGGTCGTGTTCTTAGTAGTTAACCAGAGGATAACCACAGCACATAGCTCAACCAGCACCGAGCTGGCTGTTCAACTAGCACATACGTCTGTCGAAGATCAACAGTTTTCAGACGACGACGATGGAGAACATGGCGCTCCGCTTAACCAATTTTGCCCAAATGTATAATTTGTTATTTGAAAAGAGCGACTAACTGTCAAATCGTTTACACTTCCGTACATTTTTTGAGTTTCTCTGGTGTTCAGTATAGTTATCTCAGCAATTTAGTGAGTGATGAGAACGAAAAAAATTGAAAAAGAGTTGGTGCAAAAACACAACACCATCCTACTTGTGCCTCTGTTTTGCTCTGATGTGTTTTTTTAGATTGTCCATTCTGCTGAAATCACTGTTGCATCGACAAAAGTAGCGAGGCCTCAAAAAATGAGTGTCGTAGTGGGTTTGCATGTCTCTTCTCCAGGCAGATCGATTTTGACATATTGGGCATATGACAGGCTTGAAGTGAGATCGCAGGTGTTTCCTGGCATGATTGAGCATGGTAATAATTTTGATTCGCGGACATGACAGACGGACCTTCTTTTGCCAGGTGTGGGATACTCTTTTTGACAGCCCCGCCAGGTACAAAAGTAAACACCATTGACGAAGCCTTCGTGATCGGGAACCACTGGCATTGGTTCCTCGTCAAATTCCTGCTTCAAGGTCGCCGTTTCACAATCTAAAAATCCAGGAACAGTATCAATCACTTTTTTGACGAAAAAGTGTTCCGGCTCAGCTGCTGACCCGCCAGTTTCTGAAGGAGTCCACTCCTGTTTATAGAGGAAGTTCTGACTGCTGGGCGACCCCTGGCTCTACAGAGTTGAATGGGCTTCGCCTAAGCCGGGTACCTCCATCTGATAAGCAGGAATGTTCGGAGAGTCTGGCAACTGGGGGTTATATAACTGATATTCCTTCATCAGTGTACTGTCAGCAATGTTTCCTAGCAGCATATAACCAAGACCGACCCCGCGGACCTGTGCTTCACTGACCGGCTCGCTGGAAAGCTGCGCCGTAAAGGCACCTTCTTCACAATCACTAGACCCCAAACCTCCGTACAGTACCATAGGAGAGTTAGCTGAAGTTTTTGAAAGGGGTTTTTAGGAGGAACAGACGATGCTCACTCATGACTGAGTCCTTTCATACTAGTCCTCCCCTTTCTTTCTTCCCCCACGCCACGCAGATCAATTTCGAAGTCTTCATTAGAGTAGAGGCTTAATATTTATTATAAATAAATGACATGTGATATTCGTCTTACCTGATGTGTATGTACCCATGCCTGGGTGCTCGTAAGGTTGACCTATAGCGTTATGCTTTTTCTTTCTGTTGGGCAACCATTACGGTGACCATCAAATCACATTCTCTGTACATATGTGCATCAACAAACCTAAGTCCAATGGGGTCTGTGCCGAAGGTGAACGCATAATCAAATTTCACATCACCAAAGTTACACTTTACGGGTGATGACTTCTCCTTGATGAAAGGTTCAGCCAATGGTGACAGGCATCAGCGACAACATATGCCTCAAGTATACATATGTTCCACAGGGTTTTGTCAGAATAAGCACTGGTATTATTATTTCAAGAATTCAAGATAACCAGCAGTTCCATGATTTCGTCGCTTGCCTGTACAGTTCTTTTGGGGAGGTTGTATCCAATTAAATGCTGTCGAGCAAAAAACACAATTCATGAAATCCGGTGGAGCCGCTACGCTCAGCCTCTATGACTGACCTTGCGTTTTGAAAAATCAGCAACCAATAGGCGCAGATCCGGAATGGTGTAATGGTCAACATTTGACGCTCTCATCCGAGAGCTCCGTCAGGCTCGGGGTTCAATTCCCCGTTCCGGAAATTTTTCACAGGCTAGCTGTGAGGCTTGGGAAATTCGTCTATGAGTTCTCTTTTCTCCTTTCCGTTTTTCTTTTTTTTTCTTTCTCCTTTTTCACGCTGAAATTAGAAACGTAGTATTTGATATTGTAAATGAAATATGATCTGAATAATTCGTCATGGGAGCAGATGCGAACCCCGTTGATTAGCGAGTAATGGAAAAGCGGCGAAGCGAAGCTGAAAAGATGTTAAAATGATGTCAAAAACACTAGCAACCCTCGAATTACATGACTATGAGGCTAATAAAAAGACAACTTTTCTAGACTTCGTGTCAGAGAACGGTAAGTCATTAGCATCCCATTGAGTACTGACGAGTAACAGGTACATCGCATGCAGGGCACGAGCCACTTCGACACTGGTAGTACATCTTTTTCTCGAATAATGAGTGTGTTGTAGTTCAGTATTTGGAAACATATGGACCTCATATTGGATCACTTTGTCCTTGTTGACAGTCAGGACTCGATGGTACAGATGTTTTATTCTTAGGTAGGAAACAAAAGCATCGCTGTTCGAGCTACATCTAGGTCGCCACTGGCAAGACTGGGGCCGGGGGCGGCAGAATTTTCGCAGCATATCACTGTAGGGGCTGCACAGTATTGCTTCTCCTTGCATCTAAGCAATATGATCTTACATTCAATCTCAGGTCTCTTGCCACTTCAATTATTTACGTTTTGTCTTAACAACTGTGAGATAGAAGTCGGACTTGCCCACATATTATGGGCCGGCTATGGAGGGGGGTGTATCTCTAGCGACTAGGATGTTAGAGACGGCAAGGCATATTATCGTGGTAGGTAATCCGTGGCGCCTGGGGCGTGTCCTCACAGCACTGCCTCTTATCCCATATTAAGCTCGAAATCCTGACCTCAATCATAGAGCCCCTGAAAAGATACAGATGCTGCATGCAAAAGGCCGAGATTCGATACCCGAAGCCATATTGACGAGGGTCATTATAAAAGTGATTTAAGTGAGGGCTAGTGTTCTGGTGTTCGGCACTTTGTCCAGGCCGAAAGGCTAGTCTGCTTTGGCAGGTCCAGCAGGCAGGTTGAAGAGTTCCTGAATAGAACTGCTGTGATCCGCGGCTTGCGCTCTTTGTATCTATTTGATATCTTCAACGCTACGACTGCGCTTTGATTATCCAATGATGGAGACAGGAAACCGAGCTTGTTAGGTAGCATGGTGGTAAAGAGACGTCACAGTCTAGCACTACATCTGTTTGAGAAACGGATTGCCTTAGCTCTTGTCTTCTGCCAAATCTTCTTGTCAAGTCAGCTTTTTTTTTTAAAAAAAAGAGAAAAAAAAAACAATAGAAAAAAAGAACCCTTTCAATTGGAGCATAAAAGATTCTGCCACATGCGTGTTTGTGTTGATGTTCCAAAATACGAAAGACGACTTCTCGCCCGCCAAGATGTAACGAGGTGGAACAGGAGACGACGATAGGCAATGGCAAGGCATAATATCGATAAACACCATTTTGTGAAGGATTGTGTAGCATTAGCTTAGAACTACTTCAGGATATGATTAGCAGTTTGGCATTAGAAATAACTAACATAGAAAGATGGATGATGCGCCACTTATGATCTGGGTTCTCTCGCGTGCGCTGGTGGCTATGCGATAACAAGACCTGGCCAGCCCCTCCATACTGCCCTGAGATCGTGGTTCGCGAATTCGGTCAAACAAGCATGCCTGCCCAAACCAAGAACCTATGTCTTCTGCTAGCTAAGTGATCGACTCTTGAAGCAAATGGTCATGGTGAGGGGTTTCTGAAATGGATATGTTATATCTTCGAAGTTAGTCAAACACAGTCGGTAAAAAGGAGGTACACGGTTTGGCTCAAAATCATCTTTGAAATGCTTGAGGCGCTTGCCCAGGAGGTAAAGGTGTTAAATCAAATTCTTGTCTCAGATAACGCCACACCCGAAACTAGAAGCCGCACACATTGCATTCTCGACGTTTTTGCCTCGTTCAATGAAAATTTCGCTTGGTCGTTTGTAAAACTCCTCGCTATAACACCCCATTGTTTCTATTCATCTTGGTTTATCTGCCCTTTAAATCTTTATCCAGTAGTCAAAGTTACGTGTCATGGTAGTCCAAACTACATCGTTACTGAGTATCCGTGAGAGTGAGACCACCTCCTCTATGTCCTCTACCGTAAGTGATTTACTAATGATGCTCAACGCCTCTGTCTTATCCTGCCGCAGCTGCCTACATCACAAAGCAAAAGCTCCATAGGCACAAGCTTCGAGAGCCTTCATCTATCTCACTTTGTCTATTTGCACATAAAACCTCGTTGTCCAGGGTGCGATTGGCAACTCTCCGAGAAACCCTACTGTCTACATCAATACAGTGAAGCTTAAACATAGGTGCTCTACAGCTCCCATTCTCGTTATAGTTGGTGGCTGTTCTAATATTCATGAGAATAGAAGCTGGGATTATATGTCTAGACGGACCTCTCATGTCTTCAAACCCACAGGCAGGCTTCTCAACCAGCAATTTTGTCTAATCTGAATCCATCCAATTCTCAACATTAAATTAACAGTTCATGTGGCACTCACTCACAAGTCGCTTCACGCAATACGCCCCCTCATGTCATGCTATGCCGTGTTATGTCATGTCTACCCTTCACCGGGCCGCCTTTCATAGGCACGGCCGCTCCATGCTATTACCCAAAGTAGTAAACGACGGCGTCCTCGCACTCCGACACAGCACCACAATTATCTCCCTTTCCTAAAGCAGACGACGGTGTTCCCGCACACCGACATGGATTCTCGCTTTCGCTCTTGTCGCTATTAGACTTTATATCGGCCGGGCGAAAACAGCTCCTGCTGTAATGAGTCCGTGGAAGAAGCTAATGATTTTACATCCCCCGTTCAAGTCACCGGATCGACACAGCATCTTGCGCTTAGGCAAAATTATCTTCTGTGCCATTTTTTGCTGCCGTCGCTGCCGAATTTTCTTTAGTTTGGCTCCAGCCGAGTTTATTTACTTTAATACATTCTTTTCCTTTGCCATTCAAGATTTCTGTTCAACGTAATTCCCAAGCTGCGTATAATAGACTTCTCACTCGCCGACCAAGCCCAGAGAATAAACAGCAAAACAACATGTTGCTCTCATATCTAGTGGTGCTGACTGCTGTCGCCGCTCCAGTTTGGACGGCAGATTCCGCGAAGCCAATCGCAATGGGAGGCCTAGATCACCGCGCCCTCCCGGACTCCCCCTCAGGGGGCTACGCTCCGGCTGTGGTCGACTGCCCGTCTGATCCTCCTACTATCCGGTCCGCCGCTTTTCTTTCGCCAAGCGAGAGAGACTGGCTTCCACGCCGGCGAAATGCTACTATCGAGCCTATGCGCGAGCTCCTTACCCGCGCCAATATCCCGAACTTCGACGTTAATACCTACATTAATCGCGTCCGCTCCTCGCCCTCTCAGCTACCTAACATTGGCTTAGCTGTCTCAGGAGGTGGCTACCGTGCCCTTATGAACGGCGCTGGGTTTCTTTCTGCTGCAGACAGCCGGACTCCTGACTCTACTCGGGCCGGGGGAATTGGTGGCCTCCTTCAGTCAGCAACTTACCTCTCTGGACTTTCTGGTGGCGGCTGGCTTGTTGGTTCTATCTACTCGAACAACTTCTCCTCTGTAGTCGATCTGCAACGCGGCTCCAAGGGCTCTGCTGTCTGGAAGTTTGAACGCTCCATCTTCAAAGGGCCTAAAGAACCTGGCATCTCTATCCTCAATATTGCGGACTACTGGGCTACAATTGCCGAGCAGGTTTCAACTAAGAATGCTGGTTTTGAGGTCTCTCTTACGGACTATTGGGGCCGCGCTCTCTCCTACCAACTCATCAATGCTACCAATGGCGGTCCATCCTACACCTTCTCCTCTATCGCCGATCAGCCAGACTTCAAGTCAGGCCAGCAGCCCCTCCCTATTCTGGTGGCTGATGGCCGCGCCCCAGGCGAGCGGATTATCTCTCTGAACGCTACTGTTTATGAATTCAACCCGTTTGAACTTGGAACATGGGACCCAACCGCTTATGGCTTTGCTCCGCTCCGCTACCTCGCCTCTAACTTTTCTGCCGGTCGTGTCAATGGGTCTTGCGTCCGCGGCTTCGACCAGGCAGGCTTCGTGATGGGCACATCTTCCTCCCTATTCAATCAATTTATACTACGGAACTTATCATCAGAAGGCGTCCCGGAATCTCTCCAAGACACAATAAAAGAAATCTTAAAAGCCCTAGACCAGGAGAACAACGATATTGCCCAATACGCCCCTAATCCCTTTTTCGGCTGGAACCCAAGTACAAACCTCAATGCAAAGGAGAAGCAGCTATCCCTGGTTGACGGCGGTGAGGACCTTCAGAATATTCCGCTTCACCCACTTATCCAGCCTAACCGCGCTGTGGATGTAATATTTGCTGTCGACTCGTCCGCAGACACTATGAACTGGCCCAACGGCACCGCGCTCCGTGCGACCTACGACCGCATAACGCACCCTATTGCAAACGGAACAGTTTTCCCATCTATCCCAGATGCAAACACCTTCGTCAACCTCGGCCTTAATAGGCGACCTACCTTTTTCGGCTGTGATGCATCAAACTTTACCCTTCGCGTAAATCAGCGCGTCCCGCCGTTGGTTGTATATCTCCCTAACGCGCCTTACGTGGCCCATTCTAACGTTTCCACCTTCGACCCGGACTACGAGACCAACCAACGCGACGCCATAATCCAGAACGGCTATAACTTGGCTACCCAAGGCAATGCCACCGTCGACCCTGAGTGGCCGCGCTGCGTCGCCTGTGCTATTATATCGCGAAGCATGGCGAGAAACAGCGATAAGGTTCCCGAGGCTTGTAACAGCTGCTTCCAGCGCTACTGCTGGAACGGCACACTCGACACCCGCGAGGCGCATTACGAGCCTAATTTCATCATTGGTAATATTGAGACCAAGAGCGGTGCAATGAAGATGAGCGGAAGCTATTGGACAGGCTTGGTCGGTGCCGCTGCTGTTGCGATTTTGATGTCGGCCGTCTAAATATGTGCGTGGGTAGGGGGTATTGATGGTGTATCATGAAACCTGCTTTCATACCACAAAGACTGTTGTATCATTACTCCTCGAATGGAATAACCAGTATACTAGATAATATAACAGTTTGCCACGATGTTAGATTCCTACATATTCGGCACCAAACACATGGGTCCAATTTTGCAGCTAGAAGTGTAACCAGCATATCAAACTATCTTAACCTATCTAGTTACTGAATCGAGACATAGCGGTATAGCGACCAAAGCAAGACAGACACTGTAGACGGACCCCTCAAACCAAGATCGTCTTCATTTAGGTGTCAACGATTGCGACAATCAAGGCTTAAACGTAGTGATTATTTAGTAAAAGGGAAAGAATGCTGCTCTGAAATTTTTCAAAAAGCTTTCGTCGCCATGCTATATATAATATGGTCATCCATCAGCTCTAGCCAACCAAAGCCCTCATGTCTGTTCGCCATTGCTCAACAAATTGCTTTGCGAAACCCTTCTTTAGGGTTCTATTGTCATTAAGCAGCGCGCTGATCATCCAATCATCCGTAATTCGATCTGGGTCGCTGGCACAACGCAGTTTGTTCTGAGTCGTTGTAGGGTCGACGAAGAACTGGAACACTTTTAAACGCTCGTGAGAGTACACATCGAGAATACTGAGCGGATTTCCCTTGTTAATTATGAGTTCTAGTGCATCGGACAGCGCATCCGCATCAAGGAGTCCGTTGGAGAGACCCATTGCTCCAAAAGGCTTGATGGGGGAACACGACGTCAGCATTGTGACAAGGCATGGCGGGACAGGTGCACACCCACATTGTTCAGATGCGCGGCATCTCCGGCCAGCACGCATCTTCCGCGCCGGAACGTAGACGCGCAGAGTTGGTGAATTCGGTAGAGGGCAACATGAGTCACTTCAGTTTCGAGCGGTCGGGGCCCGGGCACCATCTTCTCCATGAGTGTTTTTGTATATTCCGCGGATATGAGCTCCTCATCTGAGAGGTCGTCTTTGGGGTCCACAGCAGCTGCAACCCTGAACTTGCTCTTCTTCCCAATTTCGAAACGGTCTAGCGGGGTGATGATGCCAAAATGCACGGGGTGAACGATAAACGAAGTAGGCATTGCCGCAATATCCGGGGGGGTCTCGAAGATGCAGTCAATGGCAACAAGCCTTTCCGGCCAGCTATGGCCTTTGAATGGTATATCGAGGAGTTTGCGGGTAGCCGACTTGGCCCCATCGGCGCCTACCAGAAATGACGCCGTGTAGGTTTCTTCTTCACCAGTATCGACTCTTTTGACGCGGGCATGGATCTCGTCTCCGTTGTCCTCAATTCCTATTAGTTCACAACCGAATTTTACGGAAACTCGGCCGGTCAATATGGCTTCGTCGTAGAGTAGCTTCGTTAATTTACACTGCGGAAGGAGGAGAGCGGATAGAGGCTTCTGGCCTGGCCCGACTTCGATTGGAGGAAATGCCATTTTAGCAATGATATCACCTAATCTTTTCCCACCGTTGTCGTCGTCAGCCAAAGGCTTCCTCCAGCAAAGACTATTGCTGTGGGTACCAATAGCCACTGCTTTGTCGAGAACTCCAGTTCGAGCCAGGGCAACCAAGGTTGCGCCATAATAGCCGGCTGCTCGTGTTGTGGGATTCAGCCCGATATTCTTTTCAATCATGTCGACATGGATTCCGGATTGGGCAAGACGCAAGGCAACGGTTAAGCCAACAGGACCTGCTCCGGTGACAAGAACTTTGCTTACGGTTTCCATATTGTGATGATAAAATGATGGAAGTAACTGATCGTTTGGACAGAGCATAAGCCAGAAAATTCAAGGGGGTAAGACCGTTCCTTTGCAAAAGAACTATATACTCATGGCTTAAATACATCTGTTAAAGGCTGTCGGAGGGAGTGGATTCCTAGACGGAGCGTTCTCGGGTAGTCGGCGTCACACAGGCCGGTGTCCTATTCTTCATCAGTTAGATCACCTGTATAGTGCTTGAAGCTAACTGTGCAACATCAATACTGAGGACAATGTTGATTTGGAAGAGTTCTACTTGCTGCATTAGAACTCCTCTGCATCTAGCCGTTTGTAGAACCGCTGTCAACTGGGCTAGCCCCCTGGATGCAACACTGGTGGAGAACCAATGCATGATCTGCGCGTGGAGCCGGAAAACCGGCCGGTCTTCGCGCTCAAAAAGAAAAGCCGAACATGTTAGACGTGATGGTACTTGTCTTAACCCCATTTTTTGCTACGCAAAATGGAGTGTCATCCAGCAAGGATTTCCCTTCGTAGTGCTCTTAATCCCTTCTCCGCACTTAATATCTCAGGTTTGATCTACCTCGTAGCCGGAGCTTCTCACCGTCTAGTAGCAAGATCCATGGAACAGGGATAAATGCTACCCCAAGGAACCCCAACAGACTGTTACCCCAGCCGAGTCCAAGGGAAGCGTACATCTTTTGTGTCGCCAGAGGTTATAAGGCGCCGGCGAACGATCGCAAAATTGTGTTTGCAGCTAACGCGGAAGCAGCAGCTCCAGAGTCGAAGGTGTCCACAAGGTATATCATAGTCGGCATATACCCCAAATTAGCTGTTGCTGACCCGAACCATGGTCTTTCACATACCATAACAAACACAAAACGACAAATGTTGTTCCAACAATAGGCATCATCCATTGTATTTTCTTTTCCACTCCCCAGCCATACCAAAACATGGCAATAGGAATCGTAGGGACCACACAGGCCATTAGGGGAAGCCTATCTTCAGGCCTAACTTGCCCATTCTTCGACGCGCGCGATTTGGCGATTGTGTCGCTTGCAGTGCTCTGAACTAGAACACCGGTGAGCATGCCTAAGCCTGAACCAATATACGCAAGACCGGATGTAGAGGTGGAAAAGCCGTACTACCCCTGGAACACGGTTGGAAAGCTCGCAAAAAGGAAAAACATCAGCCCGAAATTAAACGCCACAGCAAGTGAAAGACAGAGAACAACAGTAGATAAAAAGAGGATTCTGACGGGTCGTAAGACGCCTTGCGAGAAGCTCGTTCCGACGGCTGAAGTTGGGAGGAAGGACGTCTCATTGCTGATACATATGTTGCTCTGTCGTTGATGTTTCCGCGCAAGAATGATTTTTGGTGAGGTTTCCCTAAGAAAGAAGACGGCGGGAACGGCAACAATACCACTCTAAAAAAGGTCAAATTAATTAAAAACTCGATTCGAACATGCAGAACTTTTCTTTTCAGCTTACCGCAATTGCCAAGATGCGAAAACTCCAGCGCCAATCCAAATCCTGCGCAATGAAGCCGCCTGCAATGGGGCCAATAGTAGGACCGAGCATGGGCCCGAGGATGATCATACCCATCCATCGGCCTCTTTTTTCCCTAGGTATAACGTCCGCTAGAGTACCACCGCTCAGAGCTTGCGAAGCTGCGGCAGCACATCCGCTCAGGAACCTGAAAAGGATGAATTCGGCAAGGTTCATGGCAAAAGCACAACCAGTCATGAAGGCGACAAAAATATCGCTGGTAGCCGCGTAAACAGGTAAACGACCGTAGATTTCTGAGAGCGGCGCAAAGATCACAGTCCCCAGTGCGAGCCCCAGGATGTAAACGGCAACGGTCATTGTGCTTAGAGTCTGATTTGTGAAACCGAACTCTGTCATAATCTGCTTTGCTCCCGGAACAAACATTGTAGCGGCAAAGTTACTGTCCTTCCAGTTTCAGCATGGGCTCGTAATCACAGTCAGAGTCAGATATATGGAATACTCACCCTATCAGCAATATCATTGCAACAATGATTACCTGCAAGTGCCGTTTGCGGACAGGCCAATTTAGAGGATTCTTTGGATCGTCAAACCCATCCCAGCTTGGCTGTTCGGCAGCTTGAGAAGAAGCCACGGCAAGGGTCCCATATTTACCATCTCTTAATAAATCTGTGTTAATTTAGCATCACTTCCAGGCACGACGCCGAACTGCCCATCTTTGTCCGACATTTCTGATTATAGGTCAGTAAGGTGATAAGCTGTCCAAAACGACATGCCCGTCTTCCGATCTCCCGAGCTGGAGTTCCACAAATTTTAACGAAACGAGGGGCTCGTCGGACTTTTCGCTGTCCGAAATTGACATCGGGCTGTGCCGTTTGCAGAATTGCAAATGTCAATGATTCGCCATCTGTTTGAGCGCTGTGGTGAATTTGTTGGCTGATTTGAAATCTTCAACACGCGATTTTGAGCAAGTTGAGAAATCTGTGATTAGAAAGAAAACATATTTAAGGCCAATACCTCCACAGGGTCTACAAACAGTTGCCAAAATAACCGACCTCCATATTTCTCGCTCTTTGCTTCCTCATGGCTGTCTCTCCTTGCTGCCTTAAAGCCTTCGAATGGGACGGTACTCCCTCTGGTCATGAGGGAACCCTTGCCAACAGAAACAGTTACATCACTGGCCAAAATCCCCACGTGGCGGTGTTAATCATTCATGATATCTTCGGGTGGACATTCAGCAACGTACGCCTCCTCGCTGATCACTATGCTCGGGAAGCAAGTGTCACTGTCTACGTCCCAGATTTCTTCGGGGGCGAAGTACTTCCGCAAGAACCTCTCCTCGCGGGTCGCCTTCATGAACTTGACCTCGACACATTCCTTTTAAACAACTCCCGAGAGGTCCGTGAGCCGGAGATATTTGACTGTGCCAAGGTCTTGCGGCAAAGACACAAAAAGGTCGCTGCTGTGGGGTTCTGTTTCGGGGGCTGGGCTTGTTTCCGCCTCGGCGCAAGGGAGCACGCAGTTAACGGCAGCCCCTTGGTGGATTGTATATCTGTCGGTCATCCTTCCTTCCTGACGGAAAAGGACATCGACGAGATAGCTGTTCCAGTCCAGGTGCTGGCTCCTGAGCTAGATCCTATGTATACCGCCGAGCTTAAAATGTACACCTTGAAGACTCTTCCCAAGCTGAACCTGTCCTGGGACTATCAGTATTTCCCCGGTCTTGAGCATGGCGCTCTAACTCGTGGTGACCCGAATAAACCTGGAGAGCGAGATGGAATGGCCAGGGCCAAGGAAGCCGTTGTCAGCTGGCTGAAGGTATTAGTACAGGGATAACGAGGCAGAGATTGGGTCTAAATTCTCTTTTCTAGTGACATGTCGTTTCACTTCTTCGGTATCTGGTTGGCACTGAAATTTTTTCAAGAATTACTTGGATAATATCATCAATAATGATGCCTCATGCTCAACAGGCCCTCTTGCTAGTTTACTTATAATAGATGCTGGAAAGTCGAGAGCTGTTCTGCAAGAGGGACATTCAACTCTTGATGACAGTCAACTACCTATGTTTTAATTTTAAGTATAACGGGGCGGGGAAGGGAAGCCTTTTTTTTTTTGCTTCAAAGGGAACTCGCCAGCTTGTTAGAATAAATCGCTCAGCGGCGTTATCGCGGAAACATCAAGGCGACGCCAGTATATTTGTGATCCACCTTCTAACTATGCAAAATCGTTTATATACAAAAGGAAAAAAAATAATCTCTGTAAAAGATTGAAAAAAATTAGAAGTATTCCGTCGTTTCAGTTTGTCTCGTGGCCTACGCTCCCTCGATACTCTGCGCCTCGCACATCTTGCTGTACATGCCTCCCTGGCGGATGAGCTCGTCGTGCGAGCCCGCCTCAGCGATGTGTCCCTCGTAGAAGACGAAAATGCGATTAGCCTGACGAACCGTGGATAGACGATGGGCAACGGCGATGGTGATGCGCTTGCTCGAACCCGCAGCCTCCATAAGCGCAGCCTGAACAATTCTTTCCGAATCAGTGTCGAGAGCACTGGTGGCTTCGTCCAAGAGAAGGACATTGGGGTCGCGAATGAGTGCCCTGGCAATTGCAATGCGTTGTCGCTGTCCGCCGGATAGTTGACTGCCGCCGGTAGTGCCGCATGGCGTATCGAGGCCGTCAGGCAGCGAGCTGACAAAGTCCCACGCGTTAGCGGCTCGTAGAGCACGTTCTAGTTCAGCATCGTCTGCAGTCGGGAGACCCTTTGTAGGCGCCGACTTGGTAAGGTCGAAATCCTTGCCCATGGAAACATTGGCTCGGATAGAGGCTGGAAACATGGTCGGTTCCTGTTGCACCAATGCTATGTTGCTTCGATACAGCCAAGGATTCAGGTCCTTGAGGTCATCCTGCTCATCAATGATGATCTGACCACTGGTAGGGTCGTAGTAACGTTGCAGCAGCGAAATCATGGTGCTCTTACCGCAGCCTGTTGAAAATGTCAATATCTCTGACGATCATCAATGGGTAAAACCATAACGTACCCGATGCACCAACAAAAGCCACGAATTGGCCAGGCTCAATCTTGAGATCGGTACCTTTCAGGACTCTATTGTCCGGGGCCAAGGGATATGAGAATTTGACATCCTTGAAATCATAGCTGCTGCAACCAGTTCGAGGAGCGCGGTCCTTGTTTTCATCCGTCTGCCGAACGGTTGGTTGGAGACTAGTTATCCAAAAATAGTAGTTCGCCGCATGGTTTGCTTTCGTGAAGCCTAAAGAAGAGTGTCAGAAATTTTGGAATCTGTCGAGCGTGTGATGCTTAACTCACTGCTGGCAAAGCTAAAGAACTGGCCGGCAGCCTGACCCGAATAGAAGAGACCCATGAATGAGACGATAAACTGATAAAAGGACACTTCACCCCGCGATAGAAGCACAGATCCCCACCTGGATTTATGTTAGTAAGTTCTTAGGGCAATCATAGTATCCCGCTCATTGACTTACCAGAAGCCGAGTGCGAGGACAAAGTGCTCAATAGCCTGTGTCAAGGCAAACCACACCCTCATGAACAACGTCGGACGCCTAGACCCAGCAATAGCATGGTCCAGTTCGTTCACATACTTGTCCAGGAGTTTGCGCTCGAGAGCAAGCGAAGAGACAGTTCGGATAGCCATAATAGACTCGGAAGCGATGGATGCACTATGAGAGAATCGCTTGTCAATGTCCGAGTCCATCTTCGTTTCAAGACGAAGCTGGGTCCATCCAGCAATAAGCATAGGTGGTACGGCAGCAAAGACGCCAACAAGACCTAACTTCCAAGCGATGACGATAGAGATAATGCTCGATGCAACAAGGTTGATAACCGCCATAAGAATGATTGCGATTGTGAACCCCATGAGCTCTTGAATCGCAGCAGGATAAGATGATAGTCGGCTGTTCATAGCCCCAACAGTGTTTTCGCTACGGTCATAAAACCGAAGGTCCTGACGTAGAAGGCTATCGAATATTGAATCTCGGAAGCGTTGGTTGAGGCTCTAATATGGATGTCAGCAAAATGTGATCTGGCAAAAGATAGACTTTGTTCAAGCTCGGGCCATCCAAGTTCGCAACAGTGAAAACTCACCTGAGCAATCACATTGGTTGACCAGCCTAAGATAAAGTAGACCACCAAACAACCAAGGGACATAACAAAGAACATAAGAGATATGAAGTTTCCTCTTGGTACCATGTCCGGGGCCGTGAATAAGTCCATGACACCGGCCAACAGGAAGGCCTGACCTGGATACGAAGCCGCTGGCAAGGAGTTAGAACACAGACCTCCTCGTTGATTTTAGTAGGCGTTTAGGGGGAAAAACTTACCACCTACGGTACATGTGGTGGCAATAAGAAGGTACCACCATCGGAGGTCCCAAGATGCCAAGATCACCTTAACAAGCGTCCGGGCGAGTGACGTCTTCTTGTAAGCATCAAAGTCTTCCCTGTCCTTTAGCGAGGCTAGGTGGTTCGCTTCCATGGTCGTGTACTTGGCTAGTGACTTTGTCTTCTCAATCTGTTCCACAACCTCGTCCTCTTGACTCTGCTGTGACGAGTCATCATGAACTGTTGGTGACAGATCTTGAACTTTAACAAGAGCTGAATAGGTGCTAGCTTCTGCCATAAGCTGTTCATGTGTGCCCTGTTCAATGATCTTACCACGGGCGAGCACAACAATATTATCAGCATTACGAATAGTCTTTAACTTATGCGCGATAACAATCGTGGTTCTGTTCCGAGATGCGCTGTCCAGCGCCTGCTGTACAATACCTTCTGCGTGAGGATCAAGGGCACTGGTGGCCTCGTCAAGGAGTAGGATCTTAGGGTTTGAGATGATACTGCGTGCGATAGCAACTCTCTGTTTCTGACCGCCCGAGAGAAGACCACCCCTCTCGCCAATTGGCGTGTCATACCCCCGAGGGAGTTGCCTGATGAAATCATCGGCGAAGGCGGTGACGGCGGCTTGCTTGACGAGCTCAAGTTGCTTGACCCGTGGTGCAGACTCCCACTCGGTACCGACAAGGCCATAGACGATATTCTCAAAGACGGTCCCATTAAAGAGGACGGGTTCCTGTGAAGCATCAGTACAAAAAGGGAGAATCACAACGAGACATCCACGGCTCACGAAGCCAACGGGAGGAACTGACCTGCTGCACCAGCCGGATGTTAGTCCGCAGCCATAGTAGATTAAGATCCTTGATGTCGACGCCATCCAGCTTGATGCTGCCCGATAACGGGTTGTACCAGCGCTCAAGAAGGCCAACGACGGTACTCTTGCCTGAGCCGCTAGGTCCCTGGTAAGACAAAATGTTAGTTTCTCCCGTCTCGCAGTGGGCATTCTGCAGAAGGAGATGCGTACCACCAATGCAGTGACCTTGCCAGCGGGCATAGTGAGAGAAAAGTCTTGTAGTACAGGATTTTTGGGCCTTGTTGGGTATGCGAAACCCACGCTGGAGAAGTCGATAGTGCCCGTGATGCTGGTAGGCTTGTTGCCTGAGCTAGAGAAGGGGTTGATCTCAGACTCCCTGTCGATAAGAGCAAAAAGCTCATTGGCAGCTGTGCTTGCGCGGCCGAACGAAACGAGATGAGGGGCAAGAGCATTAATCGAAGAAGCGGATATAATGACCGAGAATAGAACACTTGAGAGCCAAGTCAGCAAAGTTTAGAGAACCCCCTAGATCTGGTATCAAGGACTCACGTGAAGACAGTACCGAAGCCAGCAACCTCACCACGGCTAATCATAGCAACACCTTGCCAGAATGCAAGACCCATACCTGCGAAAATAATAAAGTACTCGCCGCCAAACATGATACCATAAAGCCAGTTCTTGCTTTTGCTCAAGTCGAAGGTCTTTTGGGTATAACTAGCATACTCACGTAATAGTCGAGGTCGAAGGTTGAAGGCCTGGATCGTTCTAATGCTTCCGAGAAGGCTCTCTGAGTAGGCGTCAGTCTGCGCGTTATTCTTGATAATCTTTATTTCGCTTTTGTAATCCAACACAGACATGCTGCCAATAACGATAAGAAGAGCCGGCACGATGCAGATCAGTATCAGCGTTAGTTTCCACTGAGTGACAAAGGCAATGATGAATGCCCCGATGAAGGTGGCAATCGCTTGAAATACTTGGCCGAGCTTCTCGCCGGCGCCAGCCTGGATGAACTTGCCATTGGCCACTGCTTGTGCTGATATGGAGCCGCCTAATGCCTGGTCGAAGAAGCCAATTTCCTGAGAGAGGGCGGCGCGGAAGTATTGATGACGGATGTTCCGGGTTAGGTTGAAGGCAACTAGTGTCATCAAGGTCGAGTAGATGTAAGTCAAGCCGAACCTCGCGATGCCGATATAAACAAAGTAGAGGCTAAAAAATGACCATCAGCTGTGTTCTCGAGTTATCGCTCAGAGTCCCGGCTTACGAAAACTTGGAGACCTGGGCCATGTACGCCGGACCCAGATTCGGTTGTGCCCCGGTGGCGCCAGACAGCACGTTGATAAATTGTCCGATGACGAGGTTGATCAGCGCCACAGCCACCCCAGAACCTATGGCAGCAATGATGGCAACGGCTTCCAAGATGTAGTCGGTGGAGCTGCCATATTTGAAGATTCGCTGTTCTAAGTGGAATGTAGAGTCAGCAATGTTTCTGTGGAAGGGGGTATTGTCTTGCGAGCCTTTTCTCGGACGTACCCAGTAGCCTCCCCGGTCAGGCGCGTCACCGTCTACTTTCTTCGTCTCTTTAACCGGCGCGTCTAGAGCCTGATTCTGGGTCACCTTGTCCATCTCCAGCTCCGCCGTCTTTTCAGACCTAACGTTCTGGGTTCTTGCCATTGTGGTTGTGTTCGTTGCTTAGGAGAAGGTCTAGGACGAGGACACGGGCAGACGTAGAGGATGCCAGAGGCAATACAGCCTCGCAAAAAAGGGACCACGGCACTGTGCGCTCTGCGTCCTAGAAAGAGAGGTCAAATGAGGCAAAAAAAAGTTGGCAAAGTAAATGTTATGGTCGGAAGCAGGCTTCGACTACAGGGCTTCGAAGTGGTTGCAGGAGCATGAGAGCAGTCTTAACCAGGGGAGGGAGCTAGGTTTTAATGTTGGGTACACACGTTCCGGAGGGTATTATGTGCTACGTTGTAAAATACAGTAAAGGGGTCAAATGAGAATGCTGACTTGGCATTCTCATTTTCTTGATGTTGTCTTGGCTTGATCCTGAACGCGGAGCTTCGGTGGTCGGTGCACGCGGGCGCCGGCGGCCTACATGGTCTCCGCCCTCCGCCCTCCGCCCTCCATTCGTGCTTCAGTCCCGCCTAAATCAGCGATTTCAGCAATAACCTGCCACGATGATCACATTCTATCAGAAAGCCGACCACGATACGAGGGGTTACTTTTGGCCTGGATTGATCGTCATCATCGCTTGGCACAGTGGAGCAGACATCCAAAGTAGCCCTTCCTGTACCCAAATGTCCTCCTGAGACTTTGAGCGGAAATTTAGACAAGCTGGGCTTGATAACACGGCATTACCGATACCAGCATTGACCCACTGCGGGATCTGTCTCGCCCGCTGTCCGCGGTGGAGGTGACTCTATTCACTGCTGTGGACACTGAGTGGGATCCGTTTGATACTCTCCCTTCGGTTCGACTTTGATGGCCAGATCGCATCATGTTAACCCAGACAGTTCTTTGTTACTACGAATCGGCGCAGATGGCGAAGGTCCGAGGAAATCTGAGGCCGTTTGAGCGGTGAAAGCTTCTGGGTGCTGTATATATAAAGAGGCTAAGAGTCAGGGCTAACTTTGCTCTCTTCCATGACATTGTTTCCAACTCAACGCCAATTTCAAAAGAAAAAAAATACAAAGCAAACACACGTATCTTCTCCAGTAAGTTCGCCGATATTCAAACAAGAGGAAGTTGTGCCATCAAGTAGGCCCCATTCTGACGTATCGTGCACCATCTAGTACCTACCTGGTCATCATGTCGTCCGACGGTCCTACTCCGACTTTCTCCCTCAACACCGCAACCAAAGGCCCAGCGGCCGCCGAAGCCTTCTTCCAGGCTCTCGGCTTCAAGGTCCTTGCCGACTGGGGTGACGCGAAGTTCAAGGCCTTGCTACTGCCCCCACCTAACGAGAACCTCTGCCTCATGCTCCATGACCACAGCCGCTTCAAGGAGTTTATTCGTCCCAACACCGAGATCTCCGACGCCAGAACATCGACCGAGGTCGTCTTTTCTATTGGCTTAAAGGCCCGAGAAGACGTCGACCAGTGGCTTGCGAAGGCCAAGGAGGCCGGCGCCACACTGGATCCGTATGTGTCCCCAAACAATGCGAAGGACATGGGCACGTATTCCCGCAGCTTTACGGACCTGGATGGACATATCTGGAAGCTTATAAGTGAGGCAGCGTAGGACGGTGAGAATGAGTAGAATTGGTTTGAGCGAGGAGAAAAGGGGGTCAGTGGTGCCCTTATCAACCTCCTCCAACCATTGTCCTAGTCCAACGAGAGAAACCCATACCGTAGCAGCAATATCAAGAAACGCGGCCAACATCTTCACAGAGTTGTCAGCAGGTCTGTGGTGCCGCGGACACGCTCAGAGATTTTAGCTGCCGTAGTATTAGTATCGCGACTATTTCACAACATTACAACGAGTGAATCACTTTCATTGTTAGCAATGGTGAACCTCTCTTATAATTTCTGAAAGGTTGGGCTAGTGCCTTAATCTCCGCTCTCTCAGGGCATCTCATCGTCCTGCCGTGGACGGAACTCTGCATGTAATGTAATGCCGCGCTGCCTAAATCAAAGTCTAACCTGATTTAAACTTGGGCTTTTTGTCAAAAGATAGTGGGTGATCACTGAAAACCTTAAACTTCAAATGCTTGGATTGATCATGTGATACTAGAACCTATCTCTGCCAACGCTTTCTTTTTGGTATAGAATTTCGCTCAAAGTCGCTTGCGCCGCGTGTTGGATAATTCTTCATTGTTCCTATGCTATCATTTCCACTTGTCGAGTCATGCTGCTGACCTCCACAGTTATCATGAATAGGCAGCGAAAAGAGGACCGGTGATCTTGCCTATGTCATGACCTTCGAGTCCAGTAAGTTTAGCCACAATAGAACGATCAAATACTTCCATCTGTATCAGCTGTACCAAAATGACAAACTAATTAATGTCCTACCGTGTTAGTAGGTCTTACAGTCTTGATGTTAACTGACACGCTAAATTCTGAACAGTAGGGCTTAGCGGAGCATTCTAATTGGCTGCGTCGTAAAAGACTAAACTTGGCGCTGTTTAAATAACTTTATCGAGCGATACGGGGCAAAACAGCAAGCTTGGCAGCTATTTCCCCGGTGCCCGAGGAGCGCGTGTGCTGGCTTAAACATTCAACGCACCAGCGCAACAACGCAATGAATCGGCACCATGCATCACGGTCATCTGTGTCTTTTTTGGGACTTGTTCTAAGGGCTTGATGTTCCCCTTACATACGTGGCTGAATAGTCCCAGACTTTGATATCTCAATGCCAGCGGTTACTAACTAAACTCTGAAGTAGCTCCATCATTTACAAGCCACTACTAGAATGCCGTCGCTAGAGTGCTAGGATTATCGCGGATCCTTCGCCTGTTCATGACTACATCATTCTTTTCTGCTGTCTATCTTAGTCGTTCACGAGATTTTTAGGGCTTAATACGTTAAGGTTTTTCAACTCTTGAGATTAGGGCCAATGATAATAGCATTACTTTCAAGCCTCAATTGCACACCGGCGCAACCTACTTTGAGTTTCATGTTACAACAAATTTCTTGTTGAGACACACTTTAAAAAAGTTTCTGCTAGCTATGCTTTCAAGGAATTGGTTCATCGGGCGCTGCGGCCGCCGCGACTGTGTCCCGATAACTACGCTCCGATGTGTCTAATGTTAAGGTACATCAAGTAAGTAGGCACTCACATCATGTTTCTCTGGGGTCGGCTCCAGTCATGTACAAACAACGTTTTCCGTAGCTAAGTCTTATATCCGGGGTGGAATAACGTATTCTTCATACTCTTTAAGAGTATTAAAGAATAGATCTTCCTATTCTGTGTAAGGTCGAGTGAGACAGTAACATTTCGAGGGAACACTCAGTGTCGGATATTTCAACGAGTCTTCCCCCAGGGTATGTGATCTAGCTGGCTATGTTAACACTGGCGCATCTGTATATTAGATCAAGGGCTACCATAGAAAAGAAAAATCGACGGTACACAATACTTAAAGGAAGTGGCCTCAACTTACTTGACCTTTGTGGCTAAAGGCAATACAGTAAAGTCTAGCGGTCGTAGCATATTTACTACGCAGTCGGATGTGAGAATCTTCAGGGTGATCTATGTGGCTAGTTGTCCCTCCGTCGACAGGCTCAGCGATTTCTTCAGTGAGAGTCCGGACCACAATGTTATATAGTTCTTTCAAAGAGTGGGGAAAAGTCGCAAACAAAGGGCTCCAACCACATTACATAAAGCTTCTAAGAGAACCTTCTGGCGGAAAGAAGAAGTAGTCACCCTCAAGAAAGGGCCCTATATTAGTGGAGGGTTTGAGAAAAAGAACCCTGAGGCAGCAAGGCACTTTATAGCCTATGCTGCAGATTGAAAATGAAAAACTCATGAAGGATTGTGTAGATTATGTATAAGAAAGGGGAAATTAGGAGATTCTCGCTAGAGGTAAAGTTTAACCAGCTTTGGGGCCTATTCCAACTTATACCCTTAACCCCTATATTAGAACAAGCTTCACAATCTGAATAATTAAGCTTAGCAAACCATCCATGTGCTAAGCTGTTTAAAATTCTTAAAGTCTGCTTCTAAGGACTAGAATATCTTACATTATCCTACAAAGGAGCTCAATAGTGGCGATTATCATTTCTGCAGCACCGACTTTAACCAAGATATGAGCAATCCAACCATCTTCTATAATGAGATACTAACTTATTAAGTCAAATCAGACTTTGAAGTTCCTACAAACATATATAAATAAGGCATACATATTGCTGCAGAAAAACAAGTTCTACCCAAGGAGTACAATTCTGCTACGTCTACGCTAAATGGTTCATTAAAGAGGAGAGCCATAGAACAACCACTATCATCTAAAATCTCTACCTCCAGCCACCTTCAAAGACCTACAGCTCTATAGAGTTGCAGCATACAGTAACTCCGTCGGCTTACTGCGAGACTATTAATTATCAAATCAGGATTAATTGTGTATATCTTGTCGTGTCTAGCTTTACGCCTAGAGGGACCTGAGGGGCGTTGGAAAACACCTTATCCCGGCATCGGAAATGTTAGAGCGGTTCTCGTGGGGCCTTCTATAATATAACCAAGCCCCGCAAGTACTACGCTAAGCTTTGAGATGCTGGGATAGATGTAGGGGTAGGGGGCCCCCGGCCCGCCCCGGGACCGAGGTTCCGCCGACCGCCCCGTTCTAAAACCCCGTCTTCCCCGCGACAGGTCAATTGATCTCTCACCTCTCACTTCATCTCATCTCACCCTCATCTCACCCTCGTCATCAAGAAAATCAAACCACCTCATCCAAATGGAACAACTCATACCCTTCTTCACCCGAGTTCAACTCGGCCAGGACCAGCCCTCGGAACTGATTGCCCGTTTCCCCCAACTCGAGGCCGCCATACTTTCTGGCGATTTGACCATATCCCCTTCTGACCTTTTGCTTATCCTCGACCGGCCCTCACCCGCCTCCATCGCCAGCTCCCTCGCCCAACTCCAATCCTCCTCCAGCCCGGACAAAGCCGCCCTCCTCCACCGCGCCGTGCACACACCCACAGCCCTGTCCTCGGACGAAATTGAACTCCTCCGCCGCCGCTTCTGGCCCCCCCATGAATACGACGGCTGTCAGGCGGCCTGGGCTGGCGCTCTTGCCAAACTGGAATCAGACACGTCGGAGGAAGAGATGGTCGGCACGGTAGCGAGGTTGCGCGCAGTGAGGGAGAAGTTGGCGGGAGAGGAGGAAAAGGCGTTTGAGGCGGCGCAGCAGGAGTGGATTCGGCGGCTGATGTCGGGGACAACTACCACTACGACGACAACAACAACAAGTATGCCAAAAGCGGCGTGTTGGGGATACGCAATCTATTACGACCCAGAATCAGGAGCGGACGATGAGGATTTCCAAGTCCGCGTGAGTGCGTCACTACAATGGGCACGCGATGTTTCGGCTGTGGCCAAGGATGTGCAGGGGAGTTGGACGTTGCATCGAATGGCATGGCCTACAGGGGCGGCCACTGGCAAGCACAACAAACGTGGTTTGTTCGAGAAGCTGCGGAAGGATTTTGAAACGGTTCGTGATGGACTGCCTGAGGGGATCCTTCATAACGTCTTTCTGGTGGTGGACCGGGATTCTGTGCACTCGGTGTTGAGCGGGCCGAAAGGGGGAAATGTCTGTGATGACATGTGGGTGTGGGCCGTGGATCCCGAGTATCACGACGACAAACAAGAGGGCCAAGACACGGTGCAAGATCAAGAGGACCGAGAGGCAGCAGCATACCCAGGCTACGTGCGCGTGCGGCTGCAGCAGCTGGTCAACAATTTTTACGAGGCGCGGCGTTCGGACACAAACAACAGCAACATGGTGCCTCTGGAGACGCTCTGGAAATACGCGCAGAAGAGCTACCAGAGGGCGTTTGTGTCGGTGCGAGAGGAGGACTTTCAGAAATGGGTGCCCAATCGCGATGTAGGCAGTTGTTTGAGGCAATGAGAGGAGAGGCCATGGAAAATAGGGGAAGAAAAAAAGAACTAGGGTCAGAGTTTGGTTACACATGGTTCGCCAGTCTAGATCTAGGCGTGATTGGGGAAGATTACACCGATGATTTTGATGCTTGGATCAAAAATCATGAACACGCACCCCCCTCCGTTCCCACGCAATACGCATACCCCGGCCACAACCCCTGGCACTCGCCCGCATCCGTGTTCAGCGCCGGGTTTAGCTCGTACAGACACGACAGGTTAATGCCGGCGTTACTGGCCATGTCATAACAATACACGCCGTCCTGCTGCAAGATCCACTTGTTGCAATCGGCCGCAATGCCAGCCTGTGTCGGGCCAGGCGCTGCTGGGGAGCTGCTGCTGCTGCTGCTTGTGGTCGCTGCGCTTGTTGTTGTTGTCTTTGTGGTTGCCACGGCTGTTGTTGACGTCGAACCATGCGAGACACAGACATAGACATCAAGCTGCAGAAACTGGCAGTCGTCGCCCACGTCGGGGTTCCAAGCGTAAAAGTCGGCAAAGGTGATGGCGAAGCCGTCCAGGATGGCCGCGCAGGTTGTTCCGGTGACGACCTTGTAGAAGTCGGTGCAGCCGGTCGCCATCTGGGCCTGGTACGGCGTGGGCGTCGGCTCGGCGGACTCGGTGACGGGATAGGTGGCGACGGGGGTCACGGGGATCGAAGTCCAGTTGCTGGCCGCCGTCGTGGTGGCGCTGGCAGTGGTGTTTAGGACGGGGAACGTCCACGCATCCGTGGTTGCGTACGTGGTGGCATAACAGCTGGACGCTTCGGCGACGGTTGTGCCGCCCACACAGGGGTTGGTCGGACCGCTGCCGCCGTGGTAGCCCGAGTAGGTGTTGATGTCGCCGACGGCGGCCACGCAGTAGCTGTATCCCAGGAACAGGTTGTTGCACGAGGTCGTGTTGAGCTCGGGATTCAGGAAGTAAAAGTCTTGCAGCGCGATGCCCTGGTTGGTCGACACGGACGCGCACGTATCGTCGAGCTTGACCTCGTAGTAACGGCTGCAGCGCGTGTTGGTGCCGTCGACGACGTTGGTCGGAATGGGTGCAATAGTTGCCGACTGCGGCGGAGGCTGTGTCGTGGTCGTGCTGGCTACGTCTCCTGGGAAGCTAACACAGATCTGCGCACCCACGAGCAGTGCCAAGTTGTCGCAGCCGCGGCTGATGTCGACATTCCACGCCACGAGTTGTGACTGGGTGAAGGCGTATCCAAACTGCTGTACAAGCCCTGCGCACGTGTCGTTCTGCTGCACCGTGTACGTCTCGCATGTGTGCGGCATGCAGAGCTGCGTCCCAGCCGCGGCAGCCGTGGCGAAGTCGGCGCAGCCTGCCTGGAGATTGTTGAAGTAGAGCAACTGGTTGAGGGACACACTCTGGGCTACGGCGATGGAGTGGCAGTCGACATCGCTGGCTTGGACAGTGTAGGTGCTAACGCAAGACTTGTCAGGCTCGGGACTTGTGCTTGTCGGAGTGGCCGCCGTGCTCGTGGGATTGCCGCCCGTCAGATAGATGGCCGATGGCGACGTGACGGGGTAACCCGTAGCACCGCACGACGATGTCAGGGCACTGAAGCTCGCGGCCAGCTCCTCGTCGTAGCCGTAGGCATATCCAAGCTGCAGCTGGTAGGTCCCAAGCACGCAGTCAGAGCAGCTGTTGCTTGTTGGTTCGCCTTCTTCGCCGCTGGTGTTGTTGTTGGTGTCACTGGCCCACGCATCGAAAATAGGGGCGCAAAAGTCTCCCGTTTGCGTGTCACGACGGCACGTGTAGTTGTACACCCACATCATGGTGTCGACCGACACGGTCACGAGTGCAGGCTGGCCGTCGACTATCAAGATGTCGTCGGCGCACTGGCTTGTTTGCGCCTGACGCAGCGCCTCGAGCGCCTGAAGGCAGTCTGTTTGGCACATGTGTGTCAGCTCTTCCGTGTCTGGGAAGTAGCCGCCGTAGGCCATGCGAGGTAGCGTTGTATCACACGTCAGGCGTGTGGAAAAAGTCGAGTTGCACTGGCTTGAGATTTTGTCGGGCGCCGGGAGCGTGAGCGGAATGCTGCTCTCGTCACTATTGCTACCAATAAACACTTGACCGAGGACCAAGTGGTTCAGCAGCAACAGCAGCAGCGACGCCAGCCAAGTGCCGCCCAAGGTCTGTAGAGAAGACATGATGTCGTTGGCGGCCAGAGGGCTTCAAGAGCAGGTGAGGAAGCGAGAGAGTGAGTGGAAGAACGAGCAAGAGAGGGGGCCCGGGAAGAATGGCGGCAAATATGGTAAGGAGGTACGCCTTGGATCACGACCCCGTGATATCCGTATATCAACGCTACTACTTCCTGTCCTATCCTGCTATTGACGCGGCCGTCAGGGGAAAAGCTGACCGGTGCCTATCTAACCTTCGATGAACGTCTGTAAGCTATGCCGGGGCTCTAGTACATGCAAGTCCAGAATCATCTCCGGAGTATCTCCGGAGTTGTGGGGTTGCTACATCCTCCTGGCTAGATCCTTCAACTCCCCTGTTATGCATACAACCCTACAATCTTATATAAGTTGGTTAGTGCAACCCAAACAGCACTACTGCCAGCGTTACATTGCAAAGCTTATGTCGGCTGTTGGTTGGAGAAATTATTCCGCGGCTGCTGCCTATCACATCAGCGCGTGATGATTTGAGCTTACGTGTATGAATGTAAACCCACAGACACTGCTACCAATATTGGTCCCCTGCTCGCATACTCATGTCCGCTGGAAAGGTTTTCTAACGACGGCTACTATCTGTTACAGCGCTATAACCACCGAAGGATCTAAAGCATGCAAATTGCAGATAGTTGTACCTTACATTATGCCCTACGGGGTAAGAGGGGCCGCATGGCAATATGCAAGGGAAATTATTCCAAGACGGGTCGGACCGAACAATGACCACCTCGAGACACGCGTCTTTCTTACGGCTGACATTGAAGAGGGGTTAGGCGCACAGGGGAAGAATGATAGCACCACCACTGGCAAGAAAGGCAGTCAAGTCAGTCAGTCAGTCGATCTCTGAACCAAGAGTCCGTCCTTGATGTGATGTCTCTCGCGCGTTCCCTCGCAGTATTCAAAAGTGCTCGTACTTGGAAGTCCCTTCATCTTCTCACTCATTTCCTCCCAGTCGTTCTCTCTTGTCTATTCAGGCCTTTCCTAACTTCCTCGATAACTTAGTGTTAACTCGAGTTCTTCATCGTATCAATCATGACTGGACCGCCGGCCAAGTCTGGTGGTTCAAGACTTTGGTCTTGGATCTTGCTTTCACTCCTTTCGGCCGTTGTCATACTTGGCCTTTTAAACAGAAACCAACGTCATTCTTTGTCTTCCCAGTCCTCTACTACTTCTGCTTCTTCTTCAAATGGCCTACTCCCACCTCGACATCAACTTGATACCGAGTTGCTGCTGGCCCGCACCCACGACGGTGCCTCCCCCTCCATTGGCAATGTCAGTCGTCATCTCCATGCCTTCCAGAAGAGGGACGAATACACGTGTACCAAAGACAAGCCGTGTAAGAACGGAGCCTGCTGCGGTTCGTTCTTTGGCGGAGACCAAGGCGTCTGCGGCTACGGCGAGACCTTCTGCGGCAGCGACTGCGTGTCCAACTGCGACGCCCACGCCGAGTGCGGGCAGTACGCCGAGCCAGCCGGCAAGGAATGCCCGCTCAAGGTGTGCTGCAGTGAGTTCGGCTTCTGCGGCAGCACCGAGGAGTACTGCACAGGTGGCTGCGAGTCCAACTGCGTGGTCAACCCGCCCATCCCCGCCGGCGGAAGCGCCATCCCCGTGCTGGAGAACAAGGTGATCGGGTACTATGAGGCCTGGTCAGCCCGACGATCGTGCCACTCGTTCCCGCCCTCAGGCCTCCCTGTCGAGGGCCTCACGCACGTCAACTTCGCCTTTGCCTACATCGACCCGGACTCGCTCGAGATCACCACCATGGATTCCGAGACGGACGCCGGGCTGTTCGCGCAGGTGACGGACATCAAGAACTCCAACGCGCTGGGCTCGGACCTGCAGGTCTTTGTGGCCATTGGCGGCTGGACCTTTTCAGACAACGACACGGCAACCCAGCCTGTCTTCCCGGACATTGCCGCCAGCGAGGAGAAGAGCAAGAAGTTCGCAAACAACCTGGTAAAGTTCATGACGCGCTACGGCTTTGACGGCGTGGACCTGGACTGGGAGTATCCTGGGGCGCCGGACCGAGGCGGCAACGAGGAGGCAGACCGACAAGGCTATGTCTCGATGCTCAAGATCCTGCGGGAGACCTTCCTGGCCTCGGCGCGGGGCAACTACGGCCTGACCTTCACCATTCCGACGTCGTACTGGTACCTGCGCTGGTTTGACGTGCCCGGCCTGCTGGAGTATGCCGACTGGATCAACATGATGTCGTATGATCTGCACGGTGTCTGGGACGAGCACAACCCCATCGGCAACATCGTACAGGCGCACACCAACCTGACAGAGATCAAGCTGGCCGCCGACCTGCTGTGGCGCAACAACGTCGAGCCAGGCAAGGTGGTGCTCGGCGTGGGTTTCTACGGCCGCTCGTTCCAGCTCAAAGACACAAGCTGCAAGACGCCCGGATGTGAGTTCAAGGGCGCGGCCGACAAGGGACCGTGTACCAACTCGGCCGGCACGCTCGGCTACTTTGAGATCATGGACATCATCGCCGACCAAGACCCGGAGGTGGTACACGACAAGGTGGCGGCAGCCAAGTACATTGTCTTTGGCGACAAGAAGGACCAGTGGGTCAGCTACGACGATGCCGACACGCTACAGGCCAAGGTCGAATGGGCGGACAGCGTAGGGCTGGGAGGTGTCATGATCTGGGCCGTCGACTTGGACGACAACGATTTCTCGGCGTTGTCGGGCCTAACGGGCCAGAGCCTGGCATCCTTCGAGCTCAACCTGAAGCGGACGGCAACGGCCGAGACGGCACACTGGTCGACGGTCAACGGGCAGCAGTGTATCATCAGCGACTGTCTGGAAAAGCCAGACGTCCCGGCCGGCTACGCCATCGCTCCCAACGGCAAGTTCAGGGACAAGTGTTGGTGGAGCAGCCCGGTGACGGGCAACGTGCCGCTGCACAAGTACATCTACTGCCCCGTGAACGCGATGCCGCAGTCGTGCGAGTGGCGTGGATCGGGATCCTGCCACGGCCAGTGCCACGAGGGCGAAGTCACCGTCACCCACTCCCCTCATGGCAGCGTATCCTGTCTCGCCCCGGGTCAGCAGGCCTTTTGCTGTAAGAGCAACACGTGGAGTGCCTTGGTCGACAAGTGTGACTGGGCCACCAAGTGCGAAGAATGCCCGTCCGACGCTCCCCACGAGGTCAGCAGCCGCTCAGTATACAAGAGCTTCCTGTCGACGTGCACTCAGCGCTTCTGCTGCCCCTACGCCTTTGAAAACTGCCACTGGATCGGCAAGGGAACCTGCGATGACAACGAGTGCTCGGCCACGGACGTCGAGGTGGCGCTGGACCCCGAGGGAGACACCGGTTCTTTATGCGCCAGCGGCTTCAACTCGCGTCAAAAGGTGCTGTGCTGTAACTCGCCATCAGACCTGAATCCCTTTCTGCCAGCGTCCTTGGAGGACTTGTTTCCGACCCTGCCGCCGGTCGAGGGCTACGTGCCGGCCTTTGACCAGGACATCTTGTCCTACAACTCCACCCCGGGGCCCCAGGCCTTCTTCTCCGTCGTCGTGGACGGGCCCAAGGGTACTGTATCCAACGTCGACAAGCGTGATGGGAGCCACCTCGAGTTCCTCACACGGGGGAACGATACGGAGTTGGAGCCGGGCCAGACTCATGTGACCCATCTGGTGTGCATGGAGGACGATCCAGCCATCAGCAACTGTGATGACATGCACGACGGCGGACTCGATGGAACCATCCTCAAAATGCCCGCGGGACTTGGCTTCGCCAAGTATGTCGTCGCCCACACCCTCCATGAGACCAACTACTCGCTGCCCGGTCACCTGGTCAAGCGAGCACCGCAAGGGGCCCGCATCTGGGAGCTCGCGTACAGCTACGACTTCAGCCGGGTCAAGAAGCGTGACGGCGACGGCGACGTCTACTTCCGCGTCGACTATGCCAGCACCAACAAGTACTACACGGATATTGTGCAAGCCAAGCACCAGAGGAGGGGGATGGATCTGCAGCCGCGCTTCTGGAGCAAGATCAGCTCTGTGTGGAAGACCATCATGGACAACATCCGCGGCAAGGATAGCGATGACAACGGCAAGACGGGCTCGACGTCGATCAGCAAGAACGACTTCTCCGTACTCATTGTCGGCGACGACGGGTCTGATAAGGGCTGTGACGGGTCCGGCTTCCTGAAACTATCGCTGGCCGGGTCCATGAAGAACGAGATGGACTTTGGCTTCACCCTGGTCGGCACGATCCAACCCTACAAGCTTGAGGAGGCCTTTGGCTACTTCGACTCGGACATGTTTATGTCGGCCCAGCTCGACTTTGACGGTCGTGGTGAGCTGGACGTGAGCACGGGCGCGAGCAAGAAGCTGTTCGCCAGCCCCATCACCGGCTACGAGGCCTCACAACCAGGCTTTGTGTCCTTCAAGCCGCAACTCAATGCCGAGGTCTCCATCGTCGGTAAGGGCGAGATCGATGCCAAGTTCTCCGTCAGCTTTGAGTCGGGCACGTCCAGCACGGCAAAGACCAATGCACCTCCGGGTCTGGGCACTTTTGGCGGTGGCATCTTGACCAACATTGTCAGTAACGCTGCCGACGGGGCCGTCTCAGTGGGATCTTCCTCCTCTTCTTCCTCTTCCAAAAGGGCCACCACCTCGGACAGCGTGTTTGCCCTTAATGTGATCCTCGAGGCCGTCATGGAACTCAAGGTGTTTGGCTACTCCACGCCGCTGCAGGAGGCTGGAGCCAACTTCGAGGTCCTCGTCCCACATGCCATTCGCATCGACGCCAACAGTGGCGACGTTATCGACGCCCATCAAGCCGGCCTTCTGGACGTACTTCAAACCGGCAGCCTGATCCAGGAAGGATGGGAGGACGGTACCTCGCACACGTTCGGATCCGTGCCAAGCCCTCGCGTCGTTCTCACGGGTGGCGATACCCCCGAGGACCGCGATGCGCCCGAGATCAACGGCTACGCTCTCTTCGGCGCCAACCAGTTCATGAACTGCGGCAGCGACAGCGGCAACAACACCGGCGAGCTGGTGTGCTTCTACGACCTTGTGGCCTACAACGATGAGCTGGTCCAACCCGACCCTCCCTACAAACTCAAGCGCGAGTACCTCGAGCCCCTCAGCGAGCTTGAGCTTGAACGCCTCGAGCCTCGCGCCGGCCCCTCGGACGGCAACGCGCAGAACTACCCGACGTATGAATACCCGGCCAACCCCAACGGGGCCACCAACGCCGTTAACTTCCGCACGCCGACCTACCCCAACGGCGACGACGGCGACGCGCTCGACGACGAGACGGGCCGCAACGAACGCTGGGCACGCGCTAACCCGGGCAACTGTGTCGACACCAGCGTCACCCAGAACGGCGTTCAAGGCGTTCACTGGACACACGTGCAGTCGGAGCACCCCGACGACCGCTCCATCACTCCCAACCACTTCCTCAACTTCGTGCAGAGCGGCACGCTCGACCTCGCCGACGGCAACGGCGGCACCTTCACCACTCAGCTGCCGCTCTTCACCTGGAACGAGGTCTACAACAACTTCTTCCACGACTACCGCACTTGGGTGCCGGCCACCGTCAACGTCCCCATCCCCGCCGGCTCCGGCGCCGAGGACATGGCCGACGCCCTCGGCTCGACCGGCAACCCCACCGTCATGTACAACCTGGAAGAGAACCTCAACGTCGTCAAGGGCCGCATCTACACCACCGAGGGCAACCCCATCTCCGACGACCGCATGCGCACCCTGATGCAGACCCCTAACCAGCAAAACGCCGAGGCCGTTCTCTCGGTCCTGGCCTCCACCATTGCCGTCTTCAACGTCATGAACAGCGCCCAGGTGTCCGGCCTGCGCGCCCAGGTCAACGACGGCCGAGCCGCCGCCGCCGGCCAGTTCGACACCATGTTCGCCGCCACGTTCCCCAACAATCCCGCCCGCATGCGCCCGCTACTGAACGAATTCATCACTCAGTGGAATATTCGAGCCACCAATTTTGCCCGCCGCGCCGTTGACGTGAGGTTGAACGAGCTGCAGAATGCATATGGCCCCCTGGCTGCGAACCCGGCGAATCCGGCAAGGCAGGCCATGGCCCTGAATGTACTTAATCAAGTGGCGACGCTGAGGGCGCTGGCTGCGGGGCAGATTACTTTGTAAAATGAAGAAATTTAATTTGTATATATACATAGAACCAAGCTTGGTTTATTAAAATGTTTAGAGAAACGAAACCCAGAACTCAGATTCCCTACTACAGTCGTTGGTCTTCTCGTATGTAATAACAGAGAAGTCATCACACTTCCTGCGAAGGGATTCAGCAGTGCAGACTAGAACCTAGATCTTTATAATTCCCCTTGGAAAGGTTGTTTTACTGCTGAGCAAATAAGACATATCAAACCCAATCTGATGACTCCTATATCATGGTTATCCTCGTAGACCTAATCAGGCATCCTAGAGCTCAAAAATCGTATGAGGTTATTTAGATATTAATTATAGATAGTTACTCCCATGGATGTAAAGTATACATTACAATATAGAATTATAGCTTTATATAGTAGTTATGGTTTTTATATACCTCTTATAAGTTTTGTCTTTGTTCTATCTTAATAGCAAAGCTTAATAATATAACAACCTATTAACTAAGTAGCCTTTTTAAATTGAATTCTTGAGTATAATAAAGAGGTCTGCGAGATATTTGGGGGTATTAAAAACAATGTTTTCACAAGTGCAATCCCTCTGTGTGTTGTTGCAAATCATCATAACGAGCCAATTTCTCAACGTACCTAGCTGCCAACGATTGCCAAAGCTTTGCACCTTCAAGGTATAAATAGCACCGATCGAAGAAATAGGGTATTATTTTATCGCGATGATGGAACATGGTACGTATTCCACAGGAAAACCCCTGGATACCGCTTCATGACTACTTAGGAGTCTGTTATGACCATATCTAAACTATCGGTATTTTGCAGCCACTGAGAGGCATTGAAAGTTTAGGAAAGTCACCGCTCCTCAATCTGCGTTGATCTTTGTCTTATTTACGTGTATTTAACCCTTAAGCACCCGTGTTCTCGTTATAAACCAGCATTAACCCGTGTTACCTACCAACCCATGGCCTTGAACTTTTGAGCCAAGGCTTCCATGTGAGCACCTTTGTCATCATCCATTGCAAGCTCATAGTCGCCAATCACATTACATACAATCTCACGATCATCCATCTCATGGTGTTTACCTCTAGAGCGCATCTCTTCCAGGAGATAGGCTGTTTCCTCTGAAGAAAGCAGATTATGGGTCATCGCCAGCGGCAATAGGCCTTGTGCTATTCTAAGAATCATGGGGTACCCGACGTAAAGCTCCTGCCAGTACCGCGCACACATGATGATGTAGAACCTCCTGTCGACGTCGCATGTGTCCTTGATGACAACGTTGGCAATGTGTAGAAGCGACGTGTTGATGAACGGACTAATCGGGTTCGATGCTTGTCTGGAGTTGTAATTCAGCGCCAGCCGCTTCAAGTGTTTTACAGAAGTGGTGAATATGGATTTTGGGGTGCCATCTGTGGAAGCGAAGGAGCCGAGGCGTTGATCATTTTCGTCCTGAACAAAGGGTCGAAAAATGTCGATTGTGAGACTATGAAACCACATGCTAGGAATGATTAGCAAAACACGTCAAATTTTCTATAGCAATGCACATCATGGAGGACATTGACCTACTGAAACATCACAAGGTGATCAGGGCTATTCTGCTCGCGGGCCATATCTGATTTGAGAGTGTCCATCCAGGAAAGCAACTTTTGATACTTGGCTTCCGCGAAGCTTAGGGGTACGCGGTCCTTTAAGGGCGTATCACTTGGAACAAAGTACATCATGCCCACCTCTTGTGCAATAGTGAAGAGTTTGCACATGCTGGGGAAGGTTGACCCCATCCATGGCGGCAGTGGGTGAGGCGGCCATTTTCCACCCCCTGCTGTCTCGGTGGTTGTGCGATCATCAGGCGCATGGTCGGCTGTGATCCCTGGGATGGGCAAGAATGGGGAAAATTCTACCGGTTCATTATGGTAAAAAAACACGTGGCTACTGTTGAAAAGTCAGCTGGGGCTACCTCTTTCTATGAAACCCACTAACGTTAGCCAGTTGTAAGTACCCCAAGCGACGTGAGAAACGGCTCTTATCTCATCTGGCGCCTTATTTTGGAATTTCTGAATGTCGGAATCCGTTGGCGGATATCCAAGGAGGCGCATTTTCCAAGCAAGATGGCGACTGGCTCTGAGGAGTTGCTGGCTCAGCTTGTCACGACCATCAAAGAACGCGCCTAAACTGAAAATATTCATTGCTGCCAGTGTTACGTGAGATCCATCAGAGATGTCGGCAATCCACAGCAGCTCTACCTCTTGTAAAAAGGCTTGGGCTAGGTAACATGTACTGGCATCTGTCGACGTGTACATCACCTGCGGTAGCTCCTGTTAGCGGGGAGAGCATATGTCCGGAAGTGGGTGGCTTACAGCGCCCAGATACAAGACAGCATTTACAAGAAATGAGGAGCAATGCCTGAGACGATGATCGACGAGATCTTGAATGAAGAGGTCGGCGTCAAAAAACCCCAGATGGGTGTGGTCGGTCTCAAGATAAAGAGAGATCAGAGCAGCCGCAAGATCGTTAGAGATTGGCACTCTTGTCCAGCCATCGATGACCAACCGTCTTAGTCGAGAATCACAGTATTTCGATTGTGATTCCTCTCTAGACATCGTTCTTGCTGAATAAAAGCATGGTTTGGCCACAGCTAGCGAGGTTGTTTCTTCTGTGTTTCTCGCAGCAATGTTGGACGCGGTGTGGGGTAGTATTTGAGTCCGGATACCGAAGGAGATGAGATCTACAGGGCATAAGCTTAGGATATGCCATGGCATGACGGGCTGATAATTCAAATTCAAAGTTTGTATCGGTCGGTGGTGCGACTGTGCGAGCCGTCTGCAAATCTGAAGGGCGAGCCATCTCATTGGCACGTCCTTCAAGTGAGGTTATGAAACTATTGAGGTCGTTTGTAGATCGGATTTGACGCAGAAAGTCAGTAGCAGCCTCATCCGACATGGTCGCCAGAATCTCCAAGATGTGACTCTGGTGGCCTATGTTGTCAGAACTACGCCCAAACCTGTAGATGCATTGCGTAGTTCCTCGTCGTCGGCACTGCCTACAACTTGGACGCTCGCCATCGCACTGCACAATATTTAGCAGGAAGAAATCAGCCACGTGCTGTCAGGGTTTCTGCGCGTATTTAATAGAGATAAATGTACCTTTACTTTTGAACGACGGCATGGCTCACAGGCTACCTGTACCATCACAGGCTTGCGCAGCAGGGTTTGGTTGCTGCCGCGGCCTTCACTGCCATCGCTGCCATCACCTCGTTGACCCTGAGCAGGGAGAATCTGCCTGTACGGACGCATTGCGACTGAGTAAGGCTCCTTTCGGCCAAAAGGCCTACAATTATGACTTGAAGGCTTTTATTAATCTGTATGGAAACGGAAAGACTGTCAGAGATCGTCCAAACACATCTGGCTTTGTTATCACAAGAAAATCATTAGGGCGGTCTGGCTAATGAGACCAGCCATCCGCTTGCCAGGTGGCGAATCCTAGCGCCAGCTGACTAAGGACTCGAATGCCCCCTTCTTGTGTAAAACTACAGCTGGCACCACTTGAGAAACAAGCTCACGTGAGCTCCGCCGGCTGTCCTCATGAACAACAATCCAACGTCCGAAACCCCCTGGCTTAGTTCTACACTCAAACACACTTGCACAAGTGTGTGCTCATACACAGCACACGTCGTTCCAGAACCCGTCATGACCATGATAGCCTTTAGGCGCGACTTACAATGTACCGACCTTCCAATATTAATATTGCATTGTACTGACCATGCCGGACGATAGCCTTGGTTCTTGGCCATGAATTTCCGGCCTCTGCTGCCGGCCATTTCCTCTAACAGCGAAGGGAACCCTGGCGGTAGATTTGAAAAGAAGCGAAACCCTCGAAAGCGCATGGGATTTAATGCGTGTGATGGGTGTCGTACAATCAAATGTCGCGTGAGTCCATTCGAGCATGCGTCCTGGGCTTTAGCAAGCCAGCCTAATACCACTCGCAGTGTGACGGTACTCGTCCCAGCTGCGTCCGTTGCCTTAAGCGACGGGTAGAGTGCGTCTATAGTGCAGACGCCAAAAAAGAAGCCGCAGAAGTTCAGAAGCGCCAGGGCGACGTACTTCATCTTCTGCGGACTGCGCCTGAGGACCAGGCTCTGGATATTCTTCGACGCTTGCGACGCGGGGGGAGCCCGCAAACTCTGCCAAGATCGTCTGTGCCGCAAGATGGTATCGGTGGACGACATCAAACTGTCGTGCAAAACTCGCCAGTTGAGTCAGTAGCTACCTCATCAACGCTAGAGCCCCAATCCACGACAGATAACGACTTGTCGGACTCTCGTTCACTTCCAGCAGACACGACTAAGTCCAGCCTAAATTATGTAAAGTCTGCAACGCTAGATCGTCAGCAACCGACTTCCAGCTCTAAAGAGCGAATCGTTCATGGCGAGAACCGCCTCGAACGCCTCGATATCAACTACTGGACAACAGTGCCCATTCAGAGCCGAGTAGGCATGGTAATCATTTCGTCCTACTTACAAGAGGATCATCCATTATGGGGCTATCTCAATTTAGACCTCTTTATAAGGGATTTAATCGAGAAGCGATTTGAATTTTGTTCGCCTTTCCTTGTTAATGCTATGCTCTTACGCACTTCTGTGAGTTGATTACACTGAGTTCCAGCAAAATCATGCTAACTGGATTCAATAGGAAACGGGTAGCCTTTTATGTCTTGAATCGTCTGTAAGAGTTGCTCTCCTCCGCCAGACCGAAATGTTATGGCGCGCCGAACGGTCTTGCCACACAGTCCTTAATCTTGCTGCGATCCTCATCTTTTGGCGTAACTTAAGCAGCAATGATTCTAACGTAACCCTTGTCACCGGACTGCTGGAGGACGGGCGTCGGATGGCTGAGCGGGTTCAGTTGTTCGGCGCCGTAGATTTGGTTGAAGTAGGGAGGAGATTTAACGCACTGCTTGAAGAGTGGAAGAAAGCATATACGCTGCTACCCGATGAGAGCAGAGTTTTGAATCCGCTGGGCTGATCACTGCCTAATTGAAGGCCATAACACAACCATAATCTCATAGCTCTTAAATTTCCTCATCGGGGTTCATCACAGCGACAGGTATTCAGTCTTTGCAGTCTTCGCACGGAAACACAAATTAGTATCAAGGTGATCGAACCAGAATGGTTTCGAAAGAAATAAGTTAGTAAGGCGCGTCCACCATTCTCGCTGCGATAACGCGAAGAAAACTTGAGATTTTGCAAGGCTTCATTTCTGCAATGCATGAGCGAAATGAAGTTAATCAAGGTACTATCAGATCCAATTGACTATGAGTGCAGGGCAGAGGTAGTGTCTTGTCGTTTGGTCATGGCCTTGGCAGTCAGTGCCAAGAACGACTGCTATCTGAGAAAGCCACACCGTTTTTTATTCAAACCATCGGTTGGGCTGAAGTGGTGATGCATATATATGGGACACCCTCCCCCTGGAGCATCGGATAGCCTCCGGTCAACTAAGAGTTGCTATTCGACGTTTGGTGAACCGAATATCCGAGACTTAGCCGCGGCCCCGCGCTAATCAGATTTTGCTATGTGGCTGGATCTATTCGCGTCTGCTTTGATCATTAGCGTTGGATGTGAATTAACTTCCGCCGTTTACCAATTTCATCGGACTCCACTACCTCCAGGTATTCATCCATATCGATCAATTGGCTGGGTCTCCTGACCGCGCTAACCCCAGATGTACAGATCTTCAGCCCTGACTCCCTGTCCATGAGCAGTAGAAGTTACAGGCCACTGTTGCCGGCCAACCCCAGTAGCAATGAGCATCAAGGATCAGGCGGCAACACGCCACCAAATAGGCACATAGAACAGCGGCGTCGAAAACGAAGTGGATTCTATGCCTGCGACGAATGCCGCCATCACAAACGCCGGGTAAGCACGCGCTCCACCGTCTACTTTGCTTGAAGCTCGGGACTACCAGCTACCATGAATCCCATGTTCGCGGACTAATTGTGTGATATTCCCAACAGTGCGATGGCGGCCGCCCCGACTGTGGCAGTTGTGTGAAATTCCGGCTGCAGTGTATCTACAGCGCTGATATCAGAAGAGAGACGGCCGAAGCTCAACGGAGTCGGCAAGATATCCTCCATGTTCTGCGGACGGCGCCAGAAACTGAGGCTATGAGCCTTCTTCGGCGATTGCGAGCCAGCCGCAATCCTCTAACTGCATTAGCATCGTTGCAAGGGAGTATGAGCGGGCAATATCAGCCGTCAACTATCCGATTTGCCCGGTCTGTATCCTCGCCTACTTCTTCCATGCTAGAGTTCGAGTTATCAGCCAGTCATAGCTTGCCATATCCCCGGCTGTTCCCAACAGATATTGCTACGATCAGCCTTGCGCCTCTTGCACCCCTAGCCGGCGTGTCGAATGGAAGTAGTAAACGCCTGCTGCCACAACCCAATAATACGGAAGAACCATTTTGTGATACCCGACTCGAACAGCTTGATATTACACACTGGACCACAGTACCTATCGATAACAGCACTGCCTCGAGTGTCATTTCTACTTACTTACGGAGCAATCATGCCCTATGGGGCTTCTTCCACGCGGACCTTTTCATCCGTGATCTAGTTGCGAAGAAAACCGATTTCTGTTCGCCGTTCCTCGTCAATGCTCTGTTATTATACGCATGTGTAAGAAGCCTCTTTGCCTGTCTATGTATCTAAACATGTTGGCCTTGTGCTAATCGGAGTCTCAAAGCAAACATACGGCATAGTAGACCCTCAAATACCCTTCCTGAAGAGCCAATTATCCCTTGAGACCGGGAGAATGTGGCTCGCTGGACGTTCCAACGACTCGGTGTTAAATCTTTCAGCCATACTGTTGTTTTCTCTCAGCTGCCACACGACAGACTGCGGCGTGCCGCTGTCGGAATTATTGGACGATGCCAGACGGATGGCCGAGCGCCTTCACTTGTTTGGGGAGTCAGACACGGCCAAAGTGCTCAGTACCTTTTCCACTCTCAGCGAGGATCTCAAGAGGGCGACGGCACACGTTGCTTGGGGCGCCTATGGATGGATGACGTGAGTTTCGATACCCTTCAACAAAAGGCCAGTTAGTATGGATACTAAGTTTTGCAAAAAGGATCAACATGAGCTATACATCTGTTATGACACCTATCGACTGCCCTCCATTATTCCCCATTCCGAGAGTAAACTTGGATCTGTCAGGAGAACATGATCCTGGGTCTCAATGGGTCATTGACCATTTGCCATCATACTATGGCAAAACTTTCACGTCACTTTGCGAATTTTGGATCATCCTACAAGAAATCGGAACGGTTTGTCGCCGTGGGCAGGATCCCGCCGACATACCTCCAGCCTTCATCGAGCAGAAATTCCAAAAGCTTGTACATTGGGCAGACCGTCAAGGAGACCAAATGGTCTTGGACGACAACAGTCCTGACCCAGTCATTGTCTTCCAGTAAGATTGTTCAGATTATTCCCCCTGTTCGTAACTATACAGCCTCGAGGGAACTAATTTAGTTTATTTTTTTGCAGCATGTTTTTCCACTGCGCCGTTCTGGATCTGTTCCTCCCATTCTGGGACAATCAACGAATCCAGCGATTGTCCTCCTTCTCCTCTTTGGACGCATCACCCCAGGCTCTATGTCGCGCGTCTATCAACCAACTCAAACATCTCCTATCTGTATGTCGCACCAGCCGCCACTCCGTCCTAGCCAGCACAGCCACCGCGGCCATCGTCCACTTGTGCCACGCCATGATACGAGATGGCAGCAATGCCCGTTCGCAAAAGCAACAGAACAACTCACTAGCAACGCCTAATGACCTGGATGAAACCGATACCGATATATCAGAACCAGTGCTTTCTTACGACACTGACTGGCACTTTTACTTCCTTCTCTGCGTAGCCAGCTGTCAGGACATGCTGCTCTGCTTTGACTTGGCCGGTCCGATTTTGCGCGGTCTCCTCACAATGGCTCTGCGCGACGGCGCAATGTCGGCGGCTGAGGCTCGCACGCTCATCAAGAAACTCGAGTCTCGAGAAAAGACTCACTCGGCTGAAGCTCTTTATGGCGACTCCGGAGACGTTCTTGTTGATCTTGGGCTTGCGCTTACGGCGCCGGAGGAAGCGCATGCCCGGAACCTCTCCCAAATGTTTGATTCGCTGTTGACATTTGAAGAGTTCACACAGAACGAGGATTATAACGGATGATTTGGCAATGATTTCCATTATGGGTCATGACGGATTTGCGAAAGAAAAGGCAGAGAAAGATCCATTATTGCAGTGGACTCAGCCCAAGCCTGTCAAGTGTCACTTTACACCGAGCATGCAAAAGTGGGCACAATGTTTTTTCTTCTTGGTAAAAAAAAAAAAAAACACGGCCATTGTTGCCAAAAGCATCTTCTAGGTATACGGAAGGCATAGCTGGGAAGAATGCTTGAAACCCCTGAGGGTAGTCTTTCTATAATTGTGACTGTTACTGCATTAGAAACAAACATCAATCGCCTGATTGGCTTTGTATTAAAATACTCAGAAAAGAATATTCTGGATGGTGTTCAGTCCTCTCCCGTCTTCAAAGAGCTTTTGCGAATCGTTTACGAGGACGACAACTCACAAGTCTCTATTGAGTCTGGCTTAGAACTGGGCCAGCCGAATTTGGAAGCTGTGGCATCCAAGGTGAAAACGACGTCATCTTCACCGGCTTCTTAGTACCACACGAAGTTGACGACGTGTGAGGATGTAAAAAAGTAACATCAGAAGGGTCTTTATAACTTCATTCCTCCCGGTTTTGGATTCATGATATGTCGTCAAGGCTTTTGGCTTGAATTTCCAGCCGTGTAGCTTTGGATATTTTTGGGAGACCATTGGGCGAAAAAGAAATGTGGGAAGCTAGATAAGACGAATGAAGGTGACCAGGATCAGATGATTATCTGCGATTTTCATCTCTTGCAAGTAAGCTTTGGTGCCACTCTGAAGGACGGAGAGACATCAGCAGCAGACCCCCGGATACGCTCTTGGCATAGGAGCCTTAGGACAATTGTGACTGCCGCGCTTTCATTTTCCGGAGCCCAATCTTGCTCTGGAAGGCTCTTGGTATATGCAAAAGCAACAAAGGCTTCGGGAAGAATTTCAAGGCTTCGAAGTTCGTGAAAGATCACAATGAAGCTTTGGTCTAACCACGACGATGGTTTAAGAACGTATATTTAAGGTTTGTCAGCATCATCACATTTTCTTTCTTTTTTAAGTTCATCTAGTCTTTTTGAACATTTACTTCGTTTCTACAAAAGGCAATGAGAGGTTAGGTAAGCCAAAAGCTGAAGACAATAACATCTACACTGCAAAGAAATAAAAGAACTCTTTGAGTTTCAGGGAAACTTATCAAGTTGTTGAAAGGCTGCTTATTTTTCATCTACTCATTTCACTTTCATTGATTCATCTCACGGTATTTGTTTGTTGGTCTCCTTCCAAGCACAGCGTTATCCATTTTTGACACACCGAGGCAAATGATACATGGCATCAATTATTTGAAACACCCAGAACCAGGCTCCCATTGTGTCCCGCAGATGAACGAATGGTGGTGTGGGGAATAATAACAAAAAATGCAAAACTTTGGCTCAAGGGATGCCGTGACACCGCCTGCCATTGGCCGTGTTTTAAGGCGGAGATGGCTACTGCAGGAGGCCGGCTACACCAACAACATATGGATGGACGGGTCAAATAACTCAGAATTCAATATTTAAACCTTTATTATTCAAAGATAATCCCCATATTTTCATTTCTGTACTTTCCTCGCTCTGTAATGAAGCCACCAGGAGCTCAATCATTCCTCTTGTACAATGGCTTACACACTGGAGGAGGGACAACGAGTTTATCAGACCTGCAGAGCGATTTTCAGCGGCGATGCTGCTCTTTTTCGCAAACCGAAGAAGGTTAGAGAAACCCTCATCAGTAACAAGGATTCCCTGAAGGCTATTTTCGAGGAACTTGGCGAAACCAGACTCGTGGAAATCGCGCGGCATTTGCTGGAACACCGCATCTTCGCGTCCGAATTGAGAGCAAAAGTGGCGTTCCCTGACGTATTCCGCACATCTACCCAGCGCGAGGCTGAACGAGAAGCGTCAGAAGCCGACGCCGCAAGATCGGTCGCAGAGTATCTGGAGGATATTTCCAGCCCTGAAGGAAAACTTGAGGAGGCTCTCGCTATCACAAGCGAAGATGCAGACTTAGAGCCCAGCCAAAGTTCGACCATAATCCAACAGAGTACTGGAGGTAAGTTTTCAGAACATCGCGTTACTTAATGCAACTGCTAATAAGGTAGTGTTGACCGTCACTTCATGCTCACCTCAATTATCTGTACCATCGCTGTATCCGATATATGTCCCATACAACACCCAGCACTTGATTCTTACCACCGCTCAAAGGGTGTTGGAAGATTGCTGTTTTGACTTCGCGGCTAGGTGGTTCCCACAAGTTCTTCAGGAGCATGGCTGGAAGTGCGCTTCTGCCGTGGAATTAAACAAATGGGCCAGTGTTCTCAAGAAGAAGTTGCCCAAACTCCCTTCCCACGCGCTTGCTTCATTGACCGACTCCTCTGCAATCGAGATAATGATTTCGACCCACCAGTTGAGACACACCGCCGTACACAGACTCCCAACCACCGTCCGCGGAATCAGTCAGTTACTGCAATCGGCCGTTCGGCTAGCTGAGGTTCTCCAAGACGTTACCCGTGCCGCTCAGTTGGAGGATTTGGTATCAGAGGTTGACAGCAAGATCAAGGCCATGGAACTCAGTAAGAACTCATTGGAGAATCGAGCTATCGCTCATCTGGAGGAAATCCGTCGCAAAAGGGAGCAACTTGACCAGGAAGAGAAGAAGTTGGTGGAAGATATGCTGAAGGAGGACGACGAAAATAAGGCTCTAATAGGACGTCTTCTTGAAGCGTCCACCATAGACATTTTTGAAAGGCCAAGCAGTCCGGAAGAGGAATGGCTCGAGTGTGCCGACGTGGATGATGGAGCAAATGGAGTCAAGCTAAACGGGCATGGTGCTTGTGATTGCGAGTTGGAAACAGTACCGACTCCAGTCGCTGACGTCAAACAAGCGTAGTTTGAAAAGTCGGACGCACTTCATCCAAAAACTCAGACATATGATGTACTCGAATCTGAAGACTATGGCAATTGAGATAGACAAATTTTATGTAAAGCTAACATATACTATGAATTCGATCCCACGAACAGGTTCAAGCTCATGTTGACTGAGAAATAATAGAAGAGTTAAAAAGCGCTCCAGTCAACGCTGACCTGTCAAGGCGAGAGTTGCAAAGCCCTGGCCATACAAAGTAAATGTTGTAGAGAAGAGTACTTATAATTACGGCCCGATCATTTGAATGAAATATTTTTGTGCAAATACAAAATAGTCAGCAAAGTATATATGCTGCCTGCTTTCTCGTCATGCCGTGATGAAATGATGGAAAGCCTGCGTTAAATGAAACCTCTAGTTGTCTTTTTGAATGGGGTGAGCTGTGCGAAAATTTGACAAGCTAAACCCTTTATGCGAACGTGGCTATGTAGTTTGGGGGCTTAGGCCGCCGATAGGATGATGATTTTACGTGGATGGATGAACTCGTAGTTGCTGGAACTGAGCAAATCGCGATCTGAACTAAGGTAGGACCATGAGCCTAACGAGCATCGTATGATCGAGCTTTCAATTGCTGCCAGTCATTCTGGCTAACTCCTTTGGGCAGGCAGAAGCATAAACTTTCGATCTCAACAAAAAGCTTGGCACGTTGCACGTGGAATCCCTCGAGCTGATCAACATGTTCCAAACCAACAAATGTGGTTTTCAGCCCCCAGAATGGGCTGTTTATATTCCTTCAGGCTCACACATGCACATGCAGGCTTCGCCTTGTCGCCCGACCAGAAAGCCCTACCAAAAGAAATGCAAGCCGAGAACAAAATTGAAACAAAACACAGAGAAAAAGAAAACAAGAACTCCAAATTTAATTCACACCGACCGATATTGTCGTCTACTCCTTTTGGATGTTACACCGCGTACCAAGCCTCTTCCAACTCGTATCGATCCTTGAGATGCAATTAAGACTCCTCAGTAAGGAAGTGAGGAGGCCTGGACGGCCCTAGGTAACACCTCGATAGACCAGCTGTATTCGCCATTCAGCACTCACATACACAATATATAAAGAACCTAAAAGACGCTCGTTCAGGACAAGAAATTTAACAATCAAACAATTACAACTTCAATCGTATCTAGCTTATCAACAACACCTCTCACTTACCATCAAACATGCAGTTTAAACTCTCTCTCCTGGCTCTTTGGGCCACAATCTTCTCAGGCGTCCTGGCTAATTTCGACGTTTATCGCGTTGAGTTTCGAAACGCCAGAGGTACTGACATTGGCTGGCAATTTTTTGAACAGCACAGCAACTGTGACGAGGCACTCGATGCTTGGTCCTTCCCACAGTCTGATGATGTCAGTGGAAACAAAATCGGGGTGCGCTGCAAAGGTAGCGGCTGCGGCGAAAGGCCGCCTCCCGGAGACATTGAGCAACTGGAGATGCACTTCAGCAACAATCCCCTGTGGCATTTTAGTAACTGCTCCCTTCTCAAGAATGAATCATCATTATGCTAACAAAGTGCAAGCTATCTACAAAAACAGGAACTATGAGATGATAGGACTGTAAGTTATTATATCCACCTTTGAGCCCTCAGTACCATTGTTTTAGTATTCGATGAACTTGATTTAGCTAATGCTGTCCTTTAGAGATGGGAACTCTTATGGCCGCTGTATAGTCTTTCCCGATGCCGATTTCTTCTGCAACGGGCTTCAAGTCAGAGTTCAGGCCAATCGAAAGTTTCGCTGTAAGAACCACTACCAGTCTCAAATCTGACTCTACGCTGGACTCTATTAACAGTATATTGATATTCAGGCTTGACTTCATTGACAGCCGCTCAAATCAGTCATGCTCGAGATATTGGCGCTTGAAAGCAGTTTTTGTTGATAAATAGTAGTCGAAATATGTCTTCACCAGCCACAAGCTAGCGCTGCAGTCTCATATAACGAATTATCAACGAAAAGGGGAGAGAGAAGGGGGGGAAGCAGCAAGGAGTACAACTGTAGGTAGAACAATACCAGTACAATTGCTAGATCAAATACAACCTGAGAAAATGTAGGTGAAACCTTGAGGTCTCTATTGTATGTGAAGTTATTTCTGTGTCATTTTCATGTAGACTTATGCTCATTGTTGTACGTATGTGACGAGATGCGGAATGATTGTTGCTAACCCCAAAATGCCTCAACATATCTTTCAAGGAATCGATTCTAGAGAATATGTCAAAATACATCTTTCTGGATAAGAAAAGCTTAAGTCACCACATTGATATGGCACTTCCTCAAGACATAAATCTAGGAAGCGCTCGATCTCCTCCTAGTTGGCGATTCCTGGATCGTTGGTGGGTTTATATAAGACAATACCGCGTGATTCTAAAGATCCGTCTGTAGACGTAAAATTATTTTCAAGAGACCAGGATAAAATAGTACGCCTAGCAACTTGATTTCATTCAGGAGCAATGTGATATCCGTGTTACTACGCTATGGAGGAGATCAGCTTCATTAAACCGCGGATAAACTCTTCGGCTCCCATTACTGTTTTTTAGCAATGGAGTATTTGGGACCAGAAGCTTCCTAAGATCACGAATTTCAAAGGTCTGCCAATTGTCATCACACTCGCCCACGAGGACCATATGTAGTTGGCCTGAATGGTAGGACCTGCTAGTTGAAGCTACAGCAGAACACAAGTAGGTTATGGCACATCTTGAAGAGCCAGTGTCCCATAGCATGTGTTAGAAGGCCAAGAGGCTAAATTGCACAGTAATAATACTAGAACCAGTTCGAACGTGAATGAGAAAGTAAATTCTTGAGCATTGACTACCGGAGGTCTATAGAAGAAGCCTTGAGTGTATGTCAGAAGTCAGGGGATTATCCCATGTCCGAGATGACTATCTAGATAATGTATTTGTCCACCCTTGAACTTATCAGAGGCCTTCAGTTCTATGCTCAACGATATAATTGAGCTGCAAATCCTTGACTGTCTTGCTTCACTCATTGGTGTGTTGGCTAGCTGAATCCCTCTCTCATTTTCTTGTCGTCATGATACCTGGATTCAAACTTTGCATAAACGAATCCGCTCTTGAGAACTTCACAGCTCAGGAATCCAATCCAGCCAATGAGTAACGAGATCTCAATCAGCAGCTCCGGGGAAGACACGGTTGCAAGAGAACCGGGTGAGGGCAGCATGTTTGGCGGCCTCCGGAACAGGGGGAGCAAATAACCTGGCGAGCGACAACAGTGTTGTCTTCACTGTCTGCGCGAGACTCCAGAGGCAAGTCGCCCAGGACCGGAGCAGCGGTAATGGCAACAGCACACAGCGACAAGATGACGGCGAGCTTCATTTTGTCCACAATCGAAGATTTCTGAAGGTTCCAGTGAGAAAACTGATTATTTCGGTAGCAGGGGCTCTCTAGACCATTGCTCACCTTGTTTTTAATAGTGAAAATTGTCAAAGTGAAGGGCTGGGGTGTTTGATATGAGAGGTTGGATAGAGACTCTTCTTGAGGAGAAGATCTATTTCTTATATCTTTTGATCTGCCAATACGATCGCTGCGATAGTCTGGTACTGTTCCCTTGAGAAGCTTTCACAAACCATGTAACTTGTTGGTTGAAAGTGTCAAGCTGCCTCGACGAAAGATAATAGAAAAACTTGGCAACAATGGTCATTGGCTTAGTTTTAGAAGTGAGTGAATCCTTCGACGCCTAAACGTCATACTGAACTGAGAAAGCCTGGTAAAGATTAGGCACAGGGTGGTAGTCGGACTCGAGAAAATTTCCGAGCACCAGATTCATCTTTAGGAGATACCCAAAAGCCTTGTCAAACCGATGATCCTTGAGAATTCTTGCTGACTGCATCGAATCCTCGTAATGTAACCATAGTGTGCTGGTTGTTTTGTGGGACTCGGACTTGAGAAAAAAGCCGCTCTCCCGTTGTGCGGGCATAGTATGTCTTGGATATTCTACTCAAACATAAACTCAGCTGCGGTCTACAGTACATCGTAAGGGCTGATTGGGCGACTGAGTATAGGCCAAGAGCGGGAAAACTGGATAGGGAATGAAGGAGGGGCTAGACAGTAAGCAGCAGTTGATACGATAGGGCATTAGTAATTGTACATTATGTCCAGTAATATTAACTCTACGCTTAGGTGTATATCATATTTCCTTGGTTCACAGACGATTAGGAACTGAAGTCGACGTTACAATCATCACATTGAAAAGATAGAGAGTTTGAAGCAGGCTTGGGGCACCTGGGTATTTAATTTGGAAGATGGGCTAACCCATTTACGTAAAAACTTGATCCTCTGCAAAAACCGCCGTCATTGGTCTCGTTTGTGAGGTGAAAGTGTGACTTTTCACTTGTAACCCTTGACATGTTCTAGAAGCCGGCCGACCAAGGCATTCCAGATATCTTGATTGTGCTTTTGCAGCGACACCTGAATCCGACATTCATCACTGGCACCACTCTCACATTATGCTGTAGTACCGACCAGATCTGATTCACTTCACTAGCATATGTAACTCACGTAGGGGGCGCAGGCTTACTAGGAAACATCGGCTGTGCTCGAAGCAGTAACAATCCCGGGGTTGGCATGAGATTACTCATTTTGATTTCAGGATTTTCTCAAGAGAAAGCCTTTGAAGTGGCTTCTGCCTAGTGGGATTCGTGTCCACTCTATTCCAGACGTACACGAAGCGATCTGTACTACATTTGCTAACTGTAGTGTCTGGTATGGTTTTCCGTTCCAAGCTGGGCCATTTCCGGTGACATTTCATTCGCTACCTTAACATACAGTCTTGGCACTTGCATAACGGTATCGAAACACGTACAAGGCTTCTGGGCTACCACCTCCTCGATAAGCTGGACACTGTTATCCATGGGCGGTAAGTAAGCAGTGTCATTGGAACTTGATCTCACCAGGGATATCGGGCATCCAGATGCGCTTGCGCCATCTGTGGACTGAAGCCCAGCGTCCAACCCCAAAGCCTAGAGATGCGGTGGATATGAGTATCCACAGCTAACCGCTGCCACCGGAGACCGATGCTCAGAAATCAATGCGCAAATTTTGGGCCAAGATCTTGATAACTTATCACTCCATTCACAGCTTCTTCATCGGTGGCATTAGACATATGCTGTAGGTCCTACTTTGCGTGTCCTTTTCGAACTTGCCGTGGTAATTCCGTGGGGATCTTGGGCTTGCAATTTTGCAATCCCTCTGGCCGGAGCTCCAGTCGAAGCTTTTACTCAGTCCCTCCACAATAGAGTCGTAGACAGATGCAGAGTCATATGTCGGCTCCATACTGTGGTATGAGGCTGTAGAGAGAGAATCATCAGGGGCCATCTCGCTGAACTGCGCTTGAACGACGTCTCTCCATGGAGGTCTTTTAGGATTTTGTGGGCCCAGGTTCGCACTCGCTTTCGCTAGGAGAGGAGAATGCTGGAAACGGCATGCCGCCAGCGCAAGAGGACCACGTCTTCCACCTTTTGCCTGCCAGTAGGTTTTCCGTCACAGCCAAGATTTCTTTGCGTCCTTGCTCTTGATGCTGAGCAGTGAGGTTGAACTTCTTCTCGACTATAGTATTTCTCGTTCTTTTCTTGCCTTATGTTTGCGTCAACACTGCCTTTCATTCCTGTTGGCAGCTGGCCTTCCTGTCTGTTGTTAGGTATGTTTGGTTGTTCTGAGACAAGCCTTAAAGCCTTGCCTTTGCTGTTGCAGCAGCTGCAGGGCGTGGCCTGACCATATTATGGATAGATTTGGTCCGTGATTCAAGAGTCCCTATCGTTGCGCCATGCTTCAAAACCATAAATAAATCATTTGTTGTGGGTTAAAATGATGGCAGCCAGGAATGAAAAACAAATCTCACCAGATCAGGCGCAGTAGGCACTAAAAGAAGCCATCCCTTGTGTCTATCTTTTGAGGGTCGTTTTCCCTCTTTCAATCAGTTTCGGCATCGGTCCGAAGTCAGATGCAGGTATTTCCGGTGCATGATGCGTTGTTCCTCTTTAAGAGAGCTAGAAATGGATGACGTCGATTTATCCAAGTTGGGGGATGAAGCCTTCAGCCCTTGACACCCAGCTCTAGTGGAATTTGAGGCCTCTAATCAATGTCATGCCATACTAAGAACCCTATTTTCAGTTAAATCCTACTCCAAAAACATCGCGCTGGTGAAAAAGAGGGGCTAGGCTCCATTGGTGACATGAAAGCTTGAGGCTGCTCCTTCAACAACAAAAGTCCGTCTCCGTCAATAGGAGGTAAAACAGTTGCACACTCGCTAAACCAGCTTGCTTTTTTGTGAGTCATACCAAGAACGACCGGGTCTAGTCAGGGATACATCCACGGACAAGGCAAAACGCGAAGTACCGAACAAACAGCCCGTTCTTCCACCCTTCGAAACCGTTCAGCGCACCACCAGCGAGTCCCTCTTTACCTTGTTGCATCGTCACCCCAAGGCACGAGACTGAGAAGTTAATGTCTGGTCTAGTTTTATCTCATTCTCGTCTAGACGCGGCCTGGTAGATGCGCATCTTAATTATTGTATTTTTCAAGCCGAAAAAGTTCCGACGCCGTGAAGGCTTCCCTCGAGCCTTGTGGGCTGTTGTTCATCACTTGAAATGGACTCGGACGTGCACAATGAACAAACAGACCAGAATGAGAAGGACCTGAAATACACTCTTTTAGGGCCTATCATCACCAAGGCAGGCTATGAAGGCGTCGACAAAAACCAGGTGAGTTAGACAATTGGCACTTGTGAATATCGCCAAACATGTACCGAAATATCTGCTGACGAAGAATCATTCTTGAGATTTCGGAATTTCTGCACAAAAGCTCCAAAGGGTCGCTTTTCTTCGACCACCAAGCAAAGTGCGATCGAGATTTGGCTGAGAAAACCAAAGACTTGGTGCAGAAAAAACGCCAACTCGAGCTAACCGACTTGTCCTTCGAATTTCAAAATGCTGATCAACTCATCGCCGACTTGGAAAAAAGCAGAGATCTTTCACAGTTCATTGTCCACATTGACTGCGACTGCTTCCATGCCTCGGTCGAGAAACTGGACCACCCCGAACTTGAGAATGCCCCTTTTGCGGTGGGCGAGGTAGTGATCGCGGCATGCAACTACGTCGCTCGTAGTTACGGTTGCCGGAATGGCATGCTGAGCTCCGTGGCTTTGCAGTTGTGTCCCGATCTGAAACTGTTACGGCCGAACCCTGCGAAATACAAAGCGAAGATGGACCAGATTCGACAGGTCATGGCCAAGTACGACCCTCGATTCGAAAGTTCTGGAGAAGACGAAGCATACCTGAACATAACGCGATTCTGCAGCGATAACCAAATCAGTACAACTGAAGCTGTGAAGCGCCTTCGACTTGAAATTCGGGAGACAACCGGTATTCCTGTCGCAGCTGGTGTTGCGGCCAACACACAACTTGCAAAGATTTGTGCGACATTTGCTAAGCCCGACGGGCAGTTCCACCTACCCAATAACAAAACAGAGATCATGGCTTTGATGGAGAGTTTACCAGTTAGAAAGGCTATTGGAGTCGGCAGAGCGATGGAGAGGCAGCTGGCAGGCTTGGAGATTCACACCTGCGGCGAGATTTATTCTCAACGTCACTTCCTGCGCTCCCTCTTTGGGGAATTTGTGCGTGGCTTCTTGATCGAGTTGTTCCTCGGCTTGGGCAGGACGGAGCTGAAACCTCAATGGGAGAGATCACGCAAAAGTGTGAGCCTTGAGAAGACTTTCCCCGAGACGTCGGATACAAGACAGATTCACCAACGGCTGAAGGAACTCTCCTCAGCTCTAGAAAAGGTCATGGTAGAGCAACGTTGCAGGGGCCGCACTCTATCACTAAAAATGAGGCTGAGAACGTTCGAAACATGCAGTCGGCAAATTCGATTGCCCAAACCGACGAGCAGCGGTGAGCAGCTCTATCATCTTGCTGAGATTTTGCTGCGAGACTTTTTGCAGAACAGGCCAGGCGCGAGCATGCGATTACTCGGGCTGCGGTGTACGGGCCTGCTGAATGACAAAGACTCGGATATTACACGTTTCCTCACCAGTCAGCGAAGTAGGACTACTGATGATAAATCCGATTCTCCGCAAATCTCATCCGACTCGTATACTGACGCCAGCATTTTCCAATCGGCCACGGAAAGCACAGATCGGGGAGGATGCATACAGCTTGGAGGCACAGCCGTGACCTCGCCCATCAAATCAGTGCCAGAAAGCCATGACCGAGGGACAAAAAAAGATCTCGGAAACACTAGAAACGCCGACTGTGATGCCGCCGATCTTTCGAGCGGAGATATATTGTGCCCTGTATGCCACAAGGTCCAGCCCAATGGCAATGTCTCCTTTAACCAGCATCTGGACTTTTGTCTCTCCCGCTCGGCTATTCGAGAGGCCATATCAAATGATGACACTCACGCATAGCTAGCCACAACTGAAGTTAACTCTTCAACTTTTTTTACTGATTGAAATGTGTATTCCAGAAAGGGACTGATGACCCGCTTCCTATTCGGCTGTCAGTCTCACTTCTAATATCAGGGCGCATTGAGTCCCCCGGTATAAGAGGTTGAACTATTAATGCAATCATAAGGTCGCCACTTCCACTTGTATCGGCTGGTGACTTGGAGCTTCACGAAGCCGTCTCCTAAATCCACAACTCCGCTCAGTTCAAGGGCATCAGGAAGTATTTAGATGAATCTGGAATCAAATTCACAGCTGGCCACTGGTTCCCTCGCCCAGGCCTTAACTACCTATCTCAGACTAATCAGCTGGAACCACTTAACGAGGCTGCCCCCTCGACTGCTGGCAACCATGAGAACTTTGTAGCACAGAACATTTCCGTCGTTGGAGTGAACATTGTCTGCATGGACTCCCAGTCATCGAGAGTGCCAGCCTTCACGATTACCACTCCTGGTACTGCTGCACTGCTAACAATGAGTGGAGAGCCGCAATTTCGACAGAAATGTGATGTGCCATCTTTTCCTGTATCTCCCTTGCTCACAAACTGTGCTGGCTCGCCCTCTTTGAATTTGAAAGTCGCTTCAGGAACGATGAGGTTGGTGCTGAAACTGCTGCCGTTGGAGCGTTTGCATTTCAGGCAGTGACAGAGTGCCTATGAAGTCAAACTCGTCAGCTAAACTGGAATACGGTAAGGTTAGGATGACTGGTTCTGTGATCCTTGCCTGTGGAAAATGCTCGAGTATAACTCAACTTCACTTTATACTTACAGACATTAGAGGTTTGCCCTGGAATGAATACTTGATCTTGCCGCAGGAACACTCCCCAGTGGTCGTTGTCGATTCTTGTGATGACGCCATAGCGAGAGTATCAAGACCTTTTAGTAATCAGGGAAACCTATGTAATTGAAGACTTGATGGTGCAGTCTCGTGATTTTGTGTGTTGTGGATTCGTTCTCTATCGCAACCAGTGCACTTGTGAGGTGCGGCTTTTGCTCTGGTGGATGTAACGATCGGTTTGGTTCCTGTTATCCTAGTCCTCGCACTTTCGGACTCCGACAGAGCGCTGCAGTTCCCGAGAAACTCGGACAAACGGGGTCCAAAACTTGGGTTTCATCCGGACGTATAGGGCGGTTGTAATCCCTCGAAAAAGTAGCTTTTCCCACTTCACCTACTTTCCGACAGTTTACCAACTCTACAATCCACTAAATTCCTGAGGGCATGTTTCTCCCATGATGCATGGTAAGACGAGAAGACGCCGCTTTCGTTCTGATCATCTCTGCACCACCCCACAGTACAGTTCCAGGCCAAGTCTTCGGAAGGACGATCGCAACCAAGCTCTTCAACCTCTCTACTCCAACGGTTCCATCATTTGATGTTTTCCTTCCAGTAAGGTTTCGTCTCATTCCAAACAGGATGGTCTCCTTTGTCTACCATGACCAAGTCTGCGCGAGACATCCGTCTAGCCCTGAGGTGAAATAGCCTGAGTTTGGAATATTCCACCTCTGACACCGTTTTCCAAGATGTTCCCGAGCTTCAGCAATCAACACTGGCCTTACATTTGATCGCGCCGACGTCTTAATCAGGCATGCGGCTGTCTTGCTTCGCAGTATATGTGTTCTCCACGGCAGATGTTGAGTGCAATATAGCCCCGAGTGTAAAGGCCGGGCTCCCAAAATAGCATTTAGTTCAAGTAATGACTATTTTTTGTCAATACAACATCGGTTCAATACTGATCGGCTCCTCTAATCTGTTCCTGTGGTTCTAGTTTATATGACAGACCTGTATGAGCAGCAGAGCAGTCCACGCTTCACGGCAAGCCTGGTTTCTGGCACTGCACTACACACACCAGAAGCAAGAAGCTCATTATCTTACCCTCCAAAGCCGTCTTCTATCCTAATCCAAGCTGCTGCAAATATTGGGCGGACACTGGGGAGCAAGATAAGACTGGCCAACTTGGAGAGGCATGCAAAATGCACATGGATTCCATTATCGTAGTCTAGGATAGAAACTCGTTTCATAGGACGCCATCTTTCTTCACGCCATATTCACTTCCCTCCCAAAATAAAGATTAATGTAGTCTAATGCCTAGCTACGACACCTCTCACGGCACGAAAGTCGTTTAGTAAACGTTAGCTCAGAAGCCTAAGTTATACGGATCAATTTGACTAGAAAGCTTGTGTGTCGTGTTGTGTATGATTGTACAGTGCTGGCGCGGGATAATCATGGACCTTTCTCGCGATGAGTCTTCAGTCTTGTAAAGGATGAGAATTTCTAGGGTAGGACACTGATATAGGTTTATGTAGTTCAGTTTCCGAACTTTGAATGTCTTAGGGACCGATCGAAAAGTCTTCCTGGATTACGATAACGTTCATGCTGAGGCCGTTTTCTGGCTGCAAAAAGCGGCTGGGAAAGGATTTCCCGATATGGGGCACCTATGACCCTTTCTTGAAGTGAACCCACACTCATGTTAACAACGCAATAGTTCAACAGTCATATCGGTAAAATTGTTGAATATGTGCTTTATGTGAATAGTTATTCTACATTGGAGTCCATGGCGAACGTTGGTAGCCCTCCTGCATGCTTCAGGTTATCGTTGTACAAACGAGGAGCGGGCAAGAGCAAAAGAAACCGTTGGCGTTGAAATGGCCAATTGTAAAGCTACTCCATTCTTTCAATATAAAGCTGCAACTAAAATCAAATGAGATATTTAAAAATCCCTTCATTTTGAGGAGAAAGTTACCCTTTGCTGAGTGGTTGTTGGTTAAAGCCTCCATAGCCCGAACACTAAATTTTGATATCCAATACAATGCTAACATCACTTATTCGCAGTAATTGAGCAGGCACGATCAATCGAATAATTCCACATCTCCACAATCAGAATTTACAGAGGCGAGACTAGGTAGTTTCAAATATCCAGCCACGTGCGAACCCACGCGTTTTGGCTTTCGCTGTAAGAGGAAGTGACTTTCGCGAGGTTTTTTTTTTGGCAGATCACGTTCCAGCCAATTCGCGCCATCAGCCAAACGTAAAACATGACTTGATGCAGATTGACCTCCAATGTTCTCCTCACCTATTTTATTGATTCGCAAGACTTGTGGTCTGTGATGACTAGTGAAGAGAATATGGAAAGGGGGGGGGGGGGGGGGGGCGTTATTCGGGAGGAGTTGAAATGGTCTTTGCAAATCCTTCTGGAGAGAAAAAGTTTCGTGTTGATCTCTGCAAAGTGTGACTACGGATAACTTCCCACCAGAAACCACGTCGACTCAAGTCTAAAGACTTATAGACATTTGCAATCTGCAATTGTAAAACTAAGAGTATGTCAGATATGGAGAATGCAATCATGGCTACAAGACATCTTTGTACATTTGGATGTCAATTGCTCCATCGCCCTCGAGACGAATGGACATAACACGATGGAAGTGACCAAACATTCGCAGACAACTTTCCAAACACAGACTATTACATGCAAACCACAGTATATCTCAAAAGCAGACTACGCACTCCCCGTACACAGACATCACCTCCCGCTGCGTACGCGGAAATGACGCTCATTCTGGAATAAGCAGCAACTCAAAGTGGGCTCATCCGCCGTCACTCCAAGACACGATTAAAGCTCCATCAGTCCCCCTTCTGCGCCCGATGATATCCATAAACAATCATGTGCGCGGTCCCAGGCTTCTCAACCGCCTGAGAACCAAAACAAACCCCCACAGCGGCGTTTTGGACTATACGCCTCACGGCGGCAACTTAGCCAGACTTCCAGCCAGGTTACATCAATCCAATCAACCCTCGCAACCGGAAACAATAAAAAAAAAAAAGCAAACTCACGGGAACGGAAGCTTGAGAAGAAGAAAGCGAAGAAACGAGACTAATTGCTACCTCATCTTCTGATTGGTCGTGGGGTAAACCCTTCTTTGGGAGTGATTGGCCGGGTGATCTCAGCATGATATCACATCTTATCTCCCGGAGCCATCCTCCTTAAACGTCAATCTATCATTAGGGAGCGCATAGGGAGATGCGGAGGCAACAGTCCGGGGTCTTCATCTTCTTGGATGCTCATCTTTGTAGCTTTGAGAACGAGATTCTGGTGATATGCATTCAACTGACGTCTCATTGAATCATCTCACAAGTTAGTTCCCGGCGATACCCAGGCCAAGTGTCACTCTCGGAAAATAGTCAAAGAAAGACGGTGGGAGAAGTTTCCCTCCGGTTACGGAGACGGCGTGTAAGGTAGCACAGGCAGCATGACGGCATGTGCAGTTGAAGTCCATGCCATGTGCCCGCTCCCCTGACAGTAGGCCTTGGACGAATTTAAGCCTTGGATGGAAAAGGTTTCATCCGTCATGGCTCTGGAGCTTTGTTCAACGACATGTGCTGTGAAAGCCATCGTCTGGCCAACTCAGTAATGCACCGAACACTAATGACAACGGGCATCCAATTGGCGCCTTTTAGGTACTATGTAGTACTTTGAAGCATAATCTGTGGGACATCTTCATACGTATACAAACAGAACGGTGCGCCTTGGTGCTGGGTTATGGCGACTGCTCCTATGTGGAGGCACCCCTGAGACACGGCCTTGGGTGGCGATCGGCAAGATTTCAGGTTGTTGGAGCGGCTAGGGTTCCGTAATTCCATGCTAACGCCGCTACTCCAAGATGATGGCCTGACTGTATAAGTTAAGGTGTGATGGCTTGAACCAAGAGACACCGTTTACAGGAGCAGCTTTGAGGAAGGCGTGTGCTCTGGGGAAACAAGACAGATGTGACGCCCTGACCACAATGACTTCATTGTGGACATTACGGACTCGCAAATTGTGGAAACGGTTGATAGCGCGTCTCGAGCTGCAGCAGGAGAGCCAAGACAAACGGATCTCAACATGACAGCAGATTACAAGGGTCGCGGCGCTTCGCGTAGTACACTATGACTGGGAGAGACGCAAGACGTCAGGGAGACGAGCGGCGAATGTGACTGGCTGGCCAATGCCATCCAAGCAGTATCATGAAATATGATTCAATGTCGTCTGCCTAAGACTGTGTGGCTTAAGCTTGATGTTCTTGCTCATCAGGTGGCCATCCACGTGCGTACGCCGGCCTTTTTCCACGTCCCATAGAAGCGTGCGGGAAGGCATACTGGTAAAAGGGTGAAATGACGTCAAGTGTTGTTTTGCATGGTGAGGGAGGGAAGGAAGTAATCTCGCATTTTGGGACACTTGCAGCACTAGAGAGACCAGGTATGTGCGCTACACACCGATGGGGCTGCTGTAATAGACGACGATCATTTTGTGCTAGAGGACGAGATGTTTGTTTGAAGGGCTGGATACGAAGATGTATGCTGGGGTTTAAGAGATGAAGAGACGTTCAACGGCTAGGCCTGGTCGGGACCGTTTTGACCGATTGAGATCCTTATTGGATCCGAGTTTAAATCAACTGCGCGCGATGGGCTTGAAAGGAAGACAGGTGCCGCATGACTTGTCATGTAAAGTCCGTCCGGCTGCTGCCAAAGCCTGGCAGCAAAGCGGATGCCGTCTCCAGGTGTGAGGTCACACGCATTGGGCAGCCAAGGCAGACCGAACATGGGTGCAATGGAAGTATGCTACAACCCGGAATCGACAACCGCAAATCTGAGCGCTAACGAGCGGAGGCAGCATGGGCGGCAGGGGCCGCCTAGTACCTGGTAGAGACCAAAGTTCTACATGTCCCAGATTCAAGGGATGGGTGTTTGTTGCTGGAATGTGGACATGAACTGTTGGGTAGAAGTGCTTGAAGGGGGTCGGAATGGCTAGCAGCCTGCCGGGGCTGGATAAGACCAAGCAACGTTGAAAGTAGCAAGACACCTGCGTTCGGGGGCGTGGCTGGTAGATCGGAATGTGGCTGCTCTGCTGCAGAAAGGGACCTGGCAATCCAAGGCAGGGCAGGCATTTCGGGCGGCGGGCGAGAAAGACGAGGGCCAGGATTGATGACGGAACAGGATGGCTCGAGCGGGGCTGGGTCTAGACCGATCTATGGCGGCAGTCCCGACGGGCCTGTCTCTGCACACGGAATGCTGAGAAGCATATTTGGTGGCATTCATTTAATCGAGCATCGTGAAGCAAATGATTGCTTTCGATTAGATCGTGATGTGGTCGAGAATCGGTTTGGTAGTCACAGTGGTTTGCCAGCTGCAGGTCCGAGGTAGGTCAGGGGTCTGGCCGTAAGATGAACGAGTTGAGCCACGGTGAGATGGATTGGAGACAGCAGTTTGGAGAAAGATCTAGAGGCTATGAGGTCATGTAAGATAGAATCATGCAGGTGAATGTAAGACGGACGAGGGGGCAGCAGACTAAAATCCAAGCGTTCGTGAGGCAGAGCCGACATGGTTCCCGCGTCGCGTGGATGACGGCGGGAGGGATACCTAGGAGAAACAGTGTAGCTCGGTTAGGACGGGCACGGAGGTGCATTTCCAGGCATGTAAATGGAAAGGTCAGCGTAAACCTAGACAGCGGGAGAGATGTTGGTGGACAGGAATCGTTTGGTGAGAAGATGGTGGCGTGCGTGGCTTGCACATCGTCATTTGGAGGCATGTGGTTAGCCGTTGTTTCGGCGCGGGTAAGGATGAAGAGGCAGAAATGATTGGTGGCGTTAACCAACAAGAGGATGCAGGATGCTGCGGTAGGTATTAGAGCTATCCATCCGTCGGCGGAGGATTGGGAAAAGTACGGATACTATTAGAGAGACGGAGAATGCCTTTGCGAGAATGGGAGCGAGGCAAAGACAGGGAGACAATTTGGGAAATGACCAATCCTGGCAAGAGCGATGAGGGATGGGATGGCATGGTCCGTAAGGGGAATGAACGGAATGAATCATGAGCCATGAGTGGTGACTGCTTAATGGCCTCAGGCACCCGGTCTAAGCCCCGTATTTACCCCCCCAATGATGTGGTGTGGCCAATGACGGCATCCACGAAAGGGAGAGGATATGACGATGAAGAAGACGTCATAACGGGGGCCCCGCCATCCAAGCGAGTGGGACAGCCCACCGATCATGGATTGTGTTAAGCACCTGGCCCCCTTGTGAGCTCCTTGTTGTTTCCAGCTGCAACCAGCGGCTGGGGAGAGGGTTATTCAAAGTACAAAAAAAGAAAGAAAAAAGCATGAGCGCTGCAGCCAATTCATGGAAATGGACCTAGGAAACATGGGGAGGGTGCAAAATAGCACATGGATTGTAGAATTTCCCCTGTTTGTTTATTATTATTATTTTTTTCTCTCGTCGTTTTTCTCCCCTCCCTCTCTTTTTTCAGATCCCTGGCCCCTGTGGTAAGATGCTGTATCGGATATTTGTAGGGCATGACGGGGGGGCGGGTTGTCACTATGGCTTCTGCTCTATCTGACACTGCCGTCAGAGGCGTCCGTACTGTCAAGTAGCTGGTGACACCTCAATGCATTCGGCCGGCACGAACGGAGAACTCCAGCGCTAAAGGCGCCCCCTGGGAAATCCGGTACCTTGGCACAAGAAGGCAGCGATGCAGAATGGACAGATTTTTGTTTACAGAGTATCCGTAGCAGACGGCATGATACCGCATACGGATGTTGTTGCCTCGTCGTCTCAAGTCAGCTTTGTGCTTGACCGGGCCCTGATACCGAACCCGCCCTCCAAAACCTGCTTGGAGGTTAACGTTGAAGACTCTATGCACCAAGAATCTGTTCCTGACCTTGATTTTCGGCCGCGGGGAATGCACTGGCGGTCCCCTCCCTCCAACTCCATGATTGCTTGCCTGTACCCTGCCCAACGAGCCCAACTCTGGGTCTTTCCCGGCCCAGCGACCGAAGAAGTCTGGGGTTGGAGGGACGATGATGGAAGGAACCCAATCATGAAACGGCCGGCCTGACTGAAAACATCACGGTGCCTTGATACTCGAAAGGTTGAAGCTTGGGCGGGGAAATAAAGAGTCGATCTAGTGGACTACATACAGTATGTGACTATGTGTGATGGATACGTACCTCTTTCTTCTTTTGTTCTGCTTCAGCTCCTACTACGTTGCAGAAACCGCAAAGGGTAGGTAGGTACGCCCAGCAGAATTACTGCCCTGGGAAGTGTTGTTTACCACTAATTGATGCTTATACTGTATCCGTACTTTGGAGCTTCTTGGACAGGACCTGCCTCCCCTCATTCTGTTTTCCTAATTCTTATTTTTTTATTTTCTGGTGTTTTCTTTTTTACAGGAACTGCCCAGAAGCAGCCTTGCTTGAGCCGCTCAGCCGTCAAAGCGGCCAAGGATTGACCCGCTTTGGGGCAACGCTACAAGCGCAGGCGGCAGGTGCGCAGTGCAGCCCACTAACCACACCTGACTTTGACTGACGGAAAGAAGGAACGACAGGAGGAAGAATTAAGAATATGGAAGGGTTTCTGTCTATTTCCCCTCCCTCTTCTCTCTTTCTTCCTAACAAAAAGGTACCCTGATAAATACATAGTAATTAATTAGCAGGGAGCTTGCTGTTGTCCTGCCCGTCTGTGCGCTGATTGATTGCCGCTGCTACTGCTGCTGCTGCTGCTGCTGCTGCCGCTGCCCACTCCACTGATGCAATTACATGGTCTAAACCTGATGACTGCTGTCTTCCACTAGCATTTGCTGCTGAGTGAGCCGCCTTCGATACTGCCCGTTGAGCCACTTTTTCTCCCATCAAGCTACCTGAACCCTTTTTTCCCCTTTTCCTACTCCTCCTCTCTTCCTCCTTCACCTTGTCTCTGCCTCGTCTTTGTTGATGTACTTTGACCAGCTGGCTTTCCGACCTACGATACTTCACACCCTCCCACCTAACCACACCTCATCTTAACTTCTTCCCACCTCTGTCATCATTGCTTGCCGTTACCGAAGGGTGTAGATCCAGCTTTCGCGCACAGTACGCCGTCATCGCCAGCCCTTTTTCGGCCCTTGCTTGACTACTACGGCTATTACGACTACTACTGCTACCACTACTACCTACAGGCCTGCTCAGTCACACACACCCCTCCCCCAAAAACCTTCCACCACCCTGGTCAATTTCCTCCTACCTTGTTTGGGTGTCGCTCCCCAATTACGCTACGATACCTACCAATCTACGTACTCTGCACACACCTTTACCTCATCTACGCTACCAACATTTTCCTTGCGCCACGCCTGCTTTTGGTACTGTCCTAGACGTAGACAAACGTGCTGCAGCCCGCCTTCCCGCCCGATCGTCCTGTTCCTCCAACTTCCGTCATCCGAGTCCACGTTGCCCCTCCGCCAACATCACCACTGCCGCCCGTAGTCCACAAATCTCTACTTTTCGCATCGATTTCTCCCTTTCAGCCGCCCTTCCCCCCCCCTCTTTCACAAAGAAACAACCTTGCATATTCTCTCAACACTATTTCCTTCCCTTCCGTGCCGTCCTACAATCCACTACCTCTTGGTATATTGCGCCGACTGCATCTCCACGACTCGTACCTCGTCTCCGCATTACCAATCACTGAAAGAGAGCCCCGTATACCCGGGCCTGCTCGACTGATCAAGCCGCCATTCCTTGCGACTTGCTCCCTTGAGATAGAAGCCCGCGACCGTCTTCATATTTCGTTGTTTCCCCTTGGAGACCCTTTCTAATCACCATGTCGACGATACAACAGCTTAAGAACTTTATCCGACACGGTATGTCAGCCCTTCGTCCCCTCAAAACCTATGTTGCCTGTCTTTGCCCTTCGACGAAACCTCACTTCCATTGTCGACCTTCTTTTTCAACATTAGTGATCTCTAGCTGACCCGATCTGCAACAGGCAAGCAAGCCCGAGTCGCGAACAATGACGAGCCTGTAGCAAAGTCACAAAATTCACCTCCCCCAAAGGCACGCATGGGCGTCTCCGAACCCGCGCACGCCGGCGCTCCTCCCGCCCACGCCGTCCCAGACGCATACTCAGTCGCAGCCGACGGACAGAACCGTGCCGCACAGGCCGGTCATGCCGCCGCCCACGCCGTCGAACCCGCTCAGAACAAGACTTCAAAGTCGAACAAGAACATTGACAGCGCGCATCTTGCCAAGCTCATTGCCGAAGAGAATGAGAGCAAGAGCAAATTCCCGAGATACCCCGGTTTGGAAAGATGGGAGTTGGTCGAGAAGATGGGCGACGGTGCCTTCAGCAACGTTTATCGTGCGAAGGATACCCAGGGCGAGCATGGCGAGTGCGCCATTAAGGTCGTCCGCAAATACGAAATGAACAGCATGCAGGTGAGTTGATGCTTGGGTGGTTACGGCCGCAACCATGATTTTCTTGTTTCGAGCACACATTTTCTGTTTTATTTTTTTTCTATGTCGGGTTTCCAATCACTCCATACCAACGAGGGTCGATTTTTTAGGGAAACAAGCATTTACACCCGGACTTCAAGAAAGTCCCCAAAGCTGCAGAGGTGCGAAAACTTTCAATATCTCATTTGTCTACTTGTCGAGCCGTCCTCATTTCGTCGGACCTTTTGTTGCTCTAGCATTTGTTTCGAGGACGGCTCTCCATTCAATTATAGACACCGTTACTGACCTCAGGCCAGAGAGCGAATATCCTCAAGGAGGTCCAAATCATGCGCCAGCTGGATCACCCAAATATCATCAAGCTCATTGATTTCTCCGAATCGAGACAGTATTACTACATCATCCTGGAGTTAGCTCCTGGTGGTGAGCTTTTCCACCAGATTGTCCGCCTTACCTACTTCAGCGAGGAGCTGTCAAGGCATGTCATTGTCCAGGTAGCTAAAGCCTTGGAATATCTGCACGAAGAGCGAGGCGTCGTTCATCGGTAAGTTTTGCCTCAGAATCTCACTGCGTTTCGTGATATCAGGGTGTTGAGGGGGCAAATTGTCTTACTTTCAACATTCTGACGTCATACAACGTTGTGCCACAATCGCTGACATTTCCCCTAGTGACATCAAGCCTGAGAACATCTTGTTCAGCCCTATTCCTATTGTTCCTTCGAAGAATCCTAAGCCTAAGCAGCCCGGCGACGAGGACAAGGTTGACGAGGGAGAGTTCATCCCCGGTGTTGGAGCAGGTGGCATTGGCCAAATCAAGATTGCCGATTTTGGACTGTCCAAGATTGTCTGGGACAACCAAACAATGACGCCATGCGGTACTGTTGGTTACACGGCTCCCGAAATTGTCAAGGACGAACGGTATTCCAAATCAGTCGACATGTGGGCCCTTGGTTGTGTGCTGTACACGCTTCTTTGTGGTTTCCCTCCATTCTACGATGAAAGTATTGAGGTTTTGACCGAAAAGGTCGCCAAGGGACAGTACACATTTTTGTCACCCTGGTGGGATGATATTTCCAAGTCTGCCCAGGACCTTATTTCTCACTTGCTCACCGTCGACCCCGAGAAGCGATACACGATCACCGAGTTCCTCGCGCATCCCTGGATCAAGGGCTCTGGTCCTACACCCCGCGACGAGAAGAAGACCCAGCCGGACATGCTGCGCGCGTTCGACACCTCGAGAATCGTCGATGGCGAACGCCGCTACGACTTCCGCTCGCCAGGTGCCGTCAACCTGCGTGAGGTCTTTGATGTTGGTTACGCCGTTCACCGACAGGAAGAGGAGGCCAAGAGGAGGAAGCAGATTGGCACCAAGGGCGGTGTTCCTGCTCGCTTCCTAAACAACCTGAACGAGGAGTCAGAGGATGAGGACCAGGAGATGTCCGACACCAAGGATGCGGAATATGTCCACAAGCCTTCTCAAGCCACACAAGCCCTTGAACAGAGCATGCGTAATGCCCAGATTAAGGACCAACAAGAGCAACAGCGCGGACGTGAACGCGAACGACAAGCGCACCACACCGAGAAGGGATACGGTCAGCACTCTGCTGCTGTTACTGCCGCTGCTCGCCAACAGGTTAGGGATCGGAACAGGCAGAAGGGCGCTTTCGAGTTGAATCTCGACGGCGCAACTCTCCTCGGCCGACGGAACAAGCACCCCTTGGCGGCGCAAGCTGGCGGGGTATAGGAGCTCCGCAGCCCAAGCTGCGGTTCCTTGAGAGACGATGATGCTCTCGAAAAGCCGCAGTGCAACGAAGTAGATCTAGATGGAGGCACGGTATGAACCAATGCGGGGTTTCTGGCGTACAGGGTTTTAAGGGAATGGCATTCCTTGGTCAAGTGGCTGAGGACTTTAGCGCAAGTCATGAAACGGACGTCGTGGATATCCAATTGTGTCGAAGTCGGTTATGTTTGTCATTTTTCTTGGGACTGATTAGTTATGACACGTATCTTGTTTTCTTTCGGCATCATACATAGGCCTGGAGTTTCATTGGCAACAGGAACATGATTCCTCTGCATTCAACAATGAATGAGATTTGCGATTTCACTCTTTCAAGTACATGTTCTCAAAGTGTGTGTGTCCTATCATGGTGTTGGGAATCCAAAGCCAACTTTTTGCAGTACAAAGCAAAGCTATTACTGTTCGGGCTGCGTTTGGAGCGAAAGCTAAAAGGGAATAGAAACCTGGGTAACACCAGGAATACTATTAAGCTTCTTCTCCCAGAGACGTGGACGAATGCTGAATATCAAGATAACGTATGAGCAATTATCTCAGTGGTGAAACAATACTGGACGACATCTGTAATTATTCGAGGTAGCGGCACCCAGAAGTGTAGGCACATCCAACTACCTTGGACAAGCAACCCAGATCTTACACCAACAGGAACGTATACCGTGGATAACTGGGATGGTAAGAGGAGGTCACTCGTAGTATCCTTAAGCGGCGGCAAAGGGTGCGGGTCCTTTTTGACATGGGGGCAACTAACTGCCTTCCCTTAGGACGCACCTACACCGGCCTGTGCATGGCTGTTTCTTTATGGATTCGTCGCTCTCGCCATCGTTTGAGGAAATTCATGCTTGGCTTTGTGGGTAATATGCGGCTTGAAGCTTTTGTCTTGAGCCAAGTTTCTGTTGCACTCCGTCTTGGTAACGTCAATATTCAACAGTAACCGCTGTGAGTTTTCCCGGCTCGTCTCCAGAGATATGTGACTTTGTGGGTCCTCGCAGTGGCATTCATCCTTCTGCGAGGGAATGCTTTACCTTACCTCAGCTTCATACCATGGGATACCTCCATGGCAGGAATACGATCTTTATAGGACGCCACGCCCGAAGGAGGCCGGTCAGATGCTGAATATCAGCATCCTAATGGAAGGTGCTTATTGGGGGACGAGTACTTGCCCGGATTGTTGCAGAGTTTGTTACCCATGACAAGACGATTAGCTTTGAGCGAACATGCAGCAAGTTGACGGCATGTTTCCATCTTCCAGCCCGAGGTCTACACGATGTAAAGCGCCTTGGAGCATTTTGATCCCGTCGTGGACAATCGAATCACTCGCTCTCAGCTCTTGCTCCTCTCAAAAGACCAAGGTGTTGCTTCAGAAAAGCAATAAGTCGGCTGCTTTCCAATGACAAATCCTTCGATCATGTCGGCGAGATAACCGCTTCTCAATTCCAATATTGATAGATATTCTAACACATGAATATCTCTTTTCGAAGGCACAGGTCGAAACTGGCAGCTTTCTACTCGCACGTCGACGGCTTTGTGGCGTTCGGCGCGTCATCTGCAGGTGGCGCATTGGGGCTCTTGCAAGCGGCATCAATCGAGTCGCCTCGCTAAACTGGCCTTCGCAGCATAAGGAGAGCATGTCCGATCTTTGACTGCAGCATGCGTATAACCCCATGCAGTCTACACCGCCCCAACATCGCGGCAACCGGGTGGCTACCAGCAGCCGAAACGCATGGAGATAATTACCCCCGTCTTTCCCCAGCCGAACCATGTCATCTTGAGACGCATGACAACTGAGGAGGTCGGAACGGCCCGCACACGAGGCCCCGGCGGAGGATTGATGGGGTCTAGGGTCCACGAGTCCGATCGGATCTGGATCACGATCTCGGTGACGGCGCGTGCCCCAGATGGCGCCATTATGGGGCCCTTGGCGCGATGTTTGTCGAGTCGGCTCACAATTGCTGTTGATAAAGACCCGGTTCCCCGACGACACCTTCGCATTGGGAGGAAGATGAAAATTGTGCCGCCTTCTTATTGTGGTACTTGTTGCGACTTCTTCGAGGTTTTGGACTTGACATCGAGGCCTGGGAATGTCCACGATAAAGGGCAATGCTTTCCTGCTAAACCAAAACGTATCAGCACCTGTTTTCTCGAGAGGTTCTCTTTCTGTTCATATTGAAGAGCTACTGGCTCTCGAGAACTCATGTTCATTTTGAAGAGTTACAGGTCCCCGAGAGCTCATGATTCACTGGAATATCCGATGACAATCGATGAACCAACATCGTCTGTAGAAGGTCAATACGGAAATACACATCGCCATGTGTACTACAGTTCAACATAGACGTGTAGGGCAGCGATGTGCTCCGTTACAACCTACTGCAAACTTCCATTGTCAACTCTGGAAACGGTTTCGCTAGTCGTTTGACGGTTTGATGCTTGAGATGCACATAACCACCGTTTGACAGACTTGCATCGCATGCACCTGACGGCGACTCGAGACGTCATACTCTCGCTCGAGACTTCCTTTTGAACAGCCGACACTTGGCTTCGTCAGTTATCGGGTAAAACGAAAGATGCTGCCCCCACGATTTTGCTATGCAAACACGATAGCGTTGTCCCGATTAACTACACATGAGAAAGTTAACCTATGACTATCAGTCTTGACAACTAGCCAAGATTTCGGCATTTCTCAACGAAATAAACAGAGTTTACTGAACATACTAATTCTAAAAAAGATACCACGAATCAACGCAACACTTTTGCGAATAATCACAAGAGAAGGAGTTGAGAACCTTGATGGCTACATCGATAAGAGGCCGCATGATGTTCCATTCAGAGCACCCGGATGGCCAACCTTGATGGCCACCCATCTCACACAAAATCAGTCCGTCTTCTCTCTCTCACCAACCATCGTTCGCGATGTCGGTAAATGTGCGCAACTTAGCCAGCGCACCCATCAACCTTGGTTTGGTTAGGCGGCAGGACTTGGGCTCGCCATCAGCGATGGGCGACGGACGCTGTAAGTCCGCTTGGTTGATGAGACACTTGTTATCAGCCAGCTCGCGTTCCGTTGATCCCCGCCTGTGGGAATGTCGCTTCTCCCTTCCACCGCCATTTCAAGGTCATTGGGGAAGCCGGCTGGGTTGAGCACATAAAAGGAACCATTCATCCTGTTTTCCCTTCAGACAGACTTCTCCGTCATCTCTTCATTCCACCATCTCAACAACTCAGTTTCGCGTTGATTCCGGCGCTCCGACCGATGGGAGCCATTCAACTCATGCGGCGCAGTAAATCAGACTGGGAAGACCGAGAGAGAAAGAGGAAGGACATGGAGACAGAGGGAGAGGGAGAGACGTACACCCCGTACAAGTCTGACTCTTCTCCTTGTCCTCCTTGATGGCTAATGTTTGCCTTGACTCTCGGGCATCGGCTTCTCAGCTGGGGCAAGAGATTCGCAAGCCCCCACGGTAACGAGCCCAAAATCTCTCATTTGTCTCTGACTCTCTCTTTCTGTCTGCCCCTTGCCAGTCTCTCTTCCTGGACGCCGGACGTATCAGCTGATCGGGAAACCTACCCCTTCGTGAGCGGTTCCGTCATCCGCAATCATTCTCAATGATTGGATAACCCACGCTGGTTAGCTAACAGTTATCCCTCATCTTTGTTCACGGAATTCACGACATGAGAGGTTTTTTTTTTTTTGGTTTTTTTTCGTCCCCGTCCCCTTCTCTGCTGGGGTGTCTGTGTTGCTGGCAAGGTTCTTTTGTTGTCGCCACCGCCGTGGATCAAGTCGATGCATGGCTGGATTATAGGGTAGAGGCTATATTCTGACTAGTGAGTCCCCTCACTGAGTTGTCTGCCAACATGGACACCTTTACTTCACATGAGGGTTGATGACAAGGTCATCTGGTTGAGGTCGTCTTTAGAATTTCTTCAGCTCTTTCATCTAGGGCTTATTGATTCAAAGCTTCTCTAGACCTAGGTCTGCCTAAGTAGACAGATCCCGCTCGGCCCAATTACTAGTCCCATGTTTGGCCAATGCGGTATGGTCGGGTGCATCACCTGAAGAGTCGGGTGTGGGATAGCACAAACTCTGTTTCGCGCGGGTGCCGCTGCCAAGGGTATCACAGGCAGATTTCCCTCTCTGTCGTCCTACATACTGTCATGCATACATACACACACACACACACACACACATGCACACACCAACCAGGCCTTGACAGCAGAGGCTGGGCCGCCTCTTTCTTCAGTCTACTGGTCGGCTATTCTCAGAGACGGTCTTCAATGCTGGCCTCCCCCAAAAGGAGCTGTCGCACACCCGATAATCCACAAATTCCAAGCCGGCTCTGCCCACCCTCCCACGCCCCCCATCCCGTTACCGAGCGTTTGACCGATGATGGGCGGGGCTAGCCTTCTCGGGTTATTCACGTCCACTCACTTCACGACGATCCTACCCAGCCCGCCTGGAACGACCCATTCACACGATCATGGCAGCTCATGCACGCCCGCCCTGCCGTGGCTTTCAATGAACGTTGCGCGTGGATGCCCTGCGCACTTTGCTACGCCCAATCACAGTAATCCGGCTCTCCGTTGTCAGGTGGACCCACCGCCGAACGTGGCACTCTGCCACCGTCTACCACCCGGCCACCACGCCTGCACCCGTGGACTCGGACTCGAACCCCGCTTCTAGACGTCTCCAACCCACAGCCAACCTATCACTGGGGGGGGTGTGGGAGCTCTATGGATCAAACTATGGGAGTGCCAGCCTGATGCAGTATCAAGCAACCGCCTTGCCAGCTTCTTCCGTCAAAGAGACACCGTCGCGGCATTCGCGGTAGCTTCTCCGACTATCCTAGCCCGACCCCCTGTTCGACGGCCGCCGTACCCCACGTAATGGCAGATGATATTGCGCTTTCCTTGAGATAACACCTGATGTCTGAGCTGACTGTACGTGGGGGATTTGGCTCGAGAACTGGTATAAAAACCCCAGGACATCTCCTCTGGATTTGGACTATTCTCTTCATCGACTCAACAAGCTTCCAACATCACTCAGAATCAAACACACTTTTCAAGCTTTTCGCTTAAAACCAACCAATCTACCAAAATGGCTCCCTGGTGAGTTAATCACTCGATGCCTCAGAAAAGCGGCGCAGAAGACATTTGAATACTCTTGCGAGTATCAGGTTCTTTTGAGGTCCTAGCTCTGGGGCGAAGATAATGTCTCTCAGATAACTTGACTAACCTGCTTGATACAGCACCTGCAAGTCCTGCGGCGCTACCTGCGCTGACTCCTGCTCCAGCTGCTCTTGCTGCTCCGTAAGCTCTCCCTCGAACAAATGGTGCTACGGTTCAGACACTAACACGATATCTCTCTCAGCACTAAATTCAGCATGATTCTTCCGCAGAACCACATTTGACAAATCTCCAAAGAGGCTCGCTCGACCATGGCCAAGACATCCTCCGAGCTGCGTGCCCCCCTACGAAAACGGACCGAAGTCGTTATCTGACGGGATTGGGGGTTCAAGGATGACTGGGAAAGCGGGACTGATCTTGCTGGATTTACAGACCGGCTAATACCTGCCGAAACGGGGCTTTTTTTTTCCTTGTGGAGAACGAATATGCAGGGAAGTTCCGTGTCAAGAAACGGCACTTGTTGGTTGGACCTGTCATGAAGGGTGATGAACATTGTGTGCGTTTTCGTGGTTTGACTAGTTTTGTTTGACTTGAAATTCAACTACGAATATAATGATTCCCGGGAACTCTCTTACTCTTTTGACATGATTGCACGTTGATGAATGAGTGATTAATCACCAACTTTTGTTTGTTTCGTTTCTTCATGTGACTGTCATAGCCGGGGCTCCAGTAATTACTACCTCATGCACCTTCTGGAGCGGGGCTCGTCAATACGGTGAGGCATGAAACGTTATTTCATGGCGTACCTACATGTATGTTTGGGCAAAACTCTAGAATTCTTGAACCTTGGAGATGCGAAGGTCTGGTAGGTGGTGGGGTATATGCTGATGATCCCGGCGAAGCAAGCCAAACCAAACAACGCACACCTCTGTCCAACCCCCCTTTCGAAACAAACATGTACACTCTTCTCGGAGAAGTTGGGTATATGCGGCGCATGTAATAAGTATAATACGCAGCCAGGGGGGGGGGGGCGGGCAGAAAGACCTGTCCGGGCAGTTAAAAAAAAAAGACGGAGACTAGAAAAGAGTGGGTGGGCAGATAGAAAGAGAAGCTGTCAGCTGATAGCCCGCGGCGGAGATCGGTGTAAAAATGGGGTGTGGGGGACGGATATGTACGTGCTGCCCTTCTTGGAAAAGTGGTGGTGTGCTTTTTTTTTTTTTTCGGAGCCGTGGAGGCGTTTATGCGGAGGGGGGGCGGCCTAGCTTTGGAGGTAGGTGAGGGTGAGGGATATGCTGGTCTTGTTTTCTTGCTTGGCAGTAAATGTTACGATGGTCTTTGGCGTCTGTTATGAACTGGGCTTTTGGAAGTTGTTGATCCGATTTGGATCGTATCTCTGCTTGTTGGAGTGTGTTGATTTGCTTTTGGTGTAAAGCGTGCGATCGTCGGAGGGGGAGGGGTAGTTTGGTGAGCGGTATTTTCGTGTCGTGGACAGTGACGGGTTGATGATGATTGTAAAGTATGTGGTCGGGGGATGTCGGAGGGTCTGATGCATTGTTCTGACTGGTATTGTAATACGCAGTATATATTGAGGTTGTTATATATATCGCGCTGGGGTCCACCTAGTTGCTTGTTATTTGCGGCCCAGTTTGCTGGTTGTTTGTTATGCACCCTTTTCGTGTAAAGAATCTTGGAGAAGGCATTGCTGGGCTATCCGATAGACGTTGTTTCTCTAGAGTCTATCCAGCTGGCATAATTACAGTCGTAAGGCTTGGTAAAGGAGGCAAGGTGAACCCTGATGGCTGTATTGACATAAAGAATAGATGTGCACTGTGTTATACGTGAATTGTGTCTATTGGTACAGTGTTGGACAGGCATGGTTGCCTGATACACTGTCTTTATTTCATCGTTGTGTATTCTCCCTCATACACTGCCGATAGTCTTGCTTGACAACCGGACTGATTCAAGAAGTTTCAACGTAGCCAAATCCATGTTCTATTTCTTCAATCTTAGGCAAGTTATTCCTATGTTCATCGACCGATAACCGGACAGTCAGTATATGTGAATAGTTAGTTAACAGCACACAGCAACCTCGGAAATGAAACCACAACCAAAGCAACAGGACCTGAGGTCACGACATAGCCAAGACCCTCATTAGAATAAACCCCTCGAATCCCTTGACCGACAACAAGAGAACCCCGCTATCCTCAGATCATGCCGATCGTAACTCGACGACCTCTCTGCCCACAGTCGAACGAGCCCAACCCGGATCGAACGAATACAATGCAAAGCTCCAACTTCCCACAAGACAACATCAACCTCCCCCCAAAAACAGCGCCGTCATCGGAAAGCTAATCTAGGCTTTGCCGATTCCCAACGATGGAAGCCCGTGCTTTCCGAGCCGCGGGGTTCTTGCTGCGCTGTCACCTCTTCTTCAACGGCCCTCAAGCCACGCTGCAAGGAAGATGCCGGCGCGAGCACACGCCCCTCCTCCAAACATACCCAACCTCCCCATGAAGAATGGACGATAAGCACCAGCGCTATTGGCTCAAGTTTGACGACGGACGCTGCGATGACGCGATCACATGTTCATCGCTTCTTTTGCTGTCTTGTTGCTGCCCGAGGGGGGTTTATCCCCGACCAGCAGAGATAGATAGGGGGATACGACGGCACGCACCTCAGGGCGGGAGCGGGAACGGGAGGGAGGTAAGCAAGACGTGTCAGATTGCGACACGCGATACCCTTTTTTTTTTTTTTTTTTTTTTTTTTTTTTTTTTTTGGGTCTGGCTTTCGTTTCCTGGTATCTTTGCCTCGCTGTGTCGCCGGGCGCGTGATTGGCGATGCGGCATATGCAGGTTGAAGAGGATCGGGAAATTCGGCGCCGGATAAGGTATTCCCATGCGAAAGGGAATGGGATTTTGGGGAGGTTGCGCGTCTGAACCCCCCGTTGGAAGAGCGTGGGCTGGCTGCACTTATTAGTGGTCGGAGCAAATCCTCGCCATGTGGCCTTGTCTGACATGACCACCACCCTTCGAGCGTCGCACGGCGGCAAGCAACGTTGGATGCGATGCTGGTCCGCGTTGGTCGAATCCTGCATTCAGGCTGATGGCGAGTGCCTTGGCCACTTTGGATGGCGAGTGCGTAGCATGGCATCTGCGTTTGGGTAGATGGGTTTAATCGTGACCTGGATCGACTCGAGTGTGATTTACCCGCAGTTCTCTTGAAGAGTGTTTGTTTTTGTTAAAGTTGCGTTTCGGTAATCAGCTGGATGATCAGTGACCATGAGTAGATGTCGGCAAGCTACATTGGAGACATTCACGGGCTGTTGGCAGTACTCGAACTACAGCAGACATTGAAGATTTTCGATAGTCCGAAATGATTAGTTCGTAGATTTGGAGTCTGAAATTGGTTCGCACCCCAAAAGGATGCCCCTCCTCCCTTGAACAGGCTCCATTTAGACATCTGACCTTTGCTATACGTGGATGAGCGATGGTGACCGATGTGGTGACAGTTTTGAATACCGCAACCTTAACTCAAGATGGCCGTAGTTTCCCTTTCTATGCAACACCCAAGTCAGCGGTACAAAATCTTCTTCTGGCTGCTTGACCTGCTGTGTTGGAAACGGCCAAGCTGGTTGATCAGACCCATGCACGTCGGCAAAACGAAGGGCACAATGGACATTGGAACTGTCGATTTCCTTAGTCATAACGGATGTCAAGTACGCTGTTAAAGCTTTAGCACTGCATGACTAATTCAATGTCAAAGAGACCTGTAGAATACTTGGTCTTGCGCGGGGTGGCTATCTGTGAACTCTGGTGAAATGTACTCTTTATGGAGAACTTGTGTGTTTGCATAAGGCAATAATATATAGATATCAGACTTTGTCAAGTTAGTGGTTAAGCATATAGAAAATCTTGTCAGCAGTTACCTGTAGAGAAAATGGACTTGTGGACGCAAAGCATTTGATTAGTTGACGTTCTGGGTACCGATTACTTAACTACTCGGCTCGATGGCCTTTTGATCCATACGACATGCTCTGCGTATTCTATGCTCTCAGTATTACCGTGAGTAAAATTGAGACTAGAGAGATTTAGGCTTCTTGCAGCCATTCGATGACCGCAGAATGCCACCATATCATTTCACTCCTAGAATCGGCTGCCGAAGGAATGTGGCAGAAAAGCGATGAATCTCACAATGAGGACAGGCTGCTTGCTTTATTACTCAGGTGCGATCGAATTACCCTCTGGAATGGTTTATCAAGCTACCTTAATTAGATTTTGCGACATGCCCCAAATTTGTTCAGGCAGGTGAACCCCAGGCGATTGTTATAGCCACTGTGACTGGTTGAATTATGAATCTACGTAAATAAAGCATTCGGACTGTCGAAACAATCATCCCAAGCTTCCCCAGCGGATGCATAGAACCTCTCAAGAACACCCTTGGCAGCAACCGGTAAGTATATGCCGAGCTGTCGACTATCCTCCTCCATGTGCCCCAGAATAAATGCTCTCATTGAGGGACTCCCGGCCTTTGCTTCGAAACCAGCCACGATCATTGGCCATGTTGTACACATTCTGAGAGCTTGGGAGGCAGTGGACTTTTTAAGAAGAGAAAAAAGCCTCTCGATATGACTGTTTTTGACAACCATCCACTCTTCTGATAATGGAATCGCCCTGGCACTTTGCAATGATGAGACACCAAATAGAACTACAGCAGACTGGTAGATCTTGCCCATCATCAGATATTCATTGAACAAAGCTTTCCCTTCAACTTCCATTGTATTGATCCATTCGGTGAAAGAGAATTGTAACATCTTCTTCAACAAGGTTTCTGCTTCGGATTGGATTCGCCTCATGGTATCTTCTGGCCTCTGATTTATTGCCAGGGACCGCAAACGGTTGATCTGGATAATGTCGATGAATAAATCAACAGGGCATGGCAATTGGGGATAATATCCTATTGAATATACGTCCCTCATCAAAGCCCTTATTGTAAAGTTTGTAAGTGGTGATGTCTGATCGTGCGCTGGACTCGTTGTGTTGGCGAAGTTTTCGACGCTGTGAGTGACGGTATTAGCACACAAACGACATGCAGTAACTGGTAGAAGGCCCAAAGAAGGGAAATCATGAGAAACTTGCACTTTGCAAAAAAGGACTAGAGACTTGAGATGCGGTGATTGTTGACAGAGCTTTTCCCAACCGCCACGCAAATCGACCAACGCTGCAAACCCGTTTATGTGAACACGCCAATTGGGCGCCGTTGCTGCTCCCATCAACTGGATACCTTGTTAGTAAGAAGAATACTAATTGCAATCAAGAATACAGTTGACACACATCGCCAAAGAGAAAAACAATCACGCCACCTAGTGTGGCATCGGAACATCTCGTGCTTTCGTTCTCGATCTCCTTGTTCAGGGCTTGGATCGCGGTGAAGCGGTGCTGGTAAGCTCTAGCTCTCACCTCGGCGGCGTAGGGGTCACCTTTGGATGGTGATAGGCGCGCCATGCGGTGCTCGATTGCCATGGTGACCAGGCCATGCCTTCGATATGGTTTCATGGTGTGAATGTTGGAAATGGGTACCACCCATGGGCTTTTGGTCAACTGGTTTGAGTAGAAGCAGGGGTAGACATATTCGTTCCCTAGGACAGAGTAAGTGGTCGGCCATTACGCATTTGCCTTAAGTAGCGATTCAAACATGGTCCTATCGTACACGAACAGGATTTTGACGTACAGTAGTGCGACGCCTCGGCGATGTCACATGTCTCTGTCCGGAGCTCTTGACGGGGGAAGATATGCATAAGCTGACTATCATAGATGGCCTTTCGGGCCGCCTCTTCCTTTTCGCCGGGTTTTTGGTCCTTCTTGGCGTCTCCGAGTTTATCAAATGCCGGTCTTCTGCCCCTCCACGTCCGTGCCGTAGGCTTATTGGGAGTAACCCAAGTCAACGGCTTTTTGTCCTCGTATCCGGGGCACACAATGCCGCTGGCCATACACTTGAAGCAGACGGGCCGAGACGCGTCGCAGACATATCGCCGACGTTGGCACTCCCAGCAGACTCGTCTGCTCCCGCCGCTATCGACCTTCAACAGTGTCTGCGCTAATGCCGAGGCGGCAGTGACGGGCGGATTCGGTGTGTATGCCATAAACCTGGAGGAGGAGAGGATGGCGTGACGAGACGAGACGACCTGTGTGTTTTTGGGCTATTGAATTTAAAGATAGGGTGATATGAAGGATGCCCAGTTCAGGATCAGCCTAGTGCTTGGGTATATGTATCTCACTGGGCTGGGCAGGATGTCCGCCCTGCGTCCCACCATGGATGTGAAAGCGAGACAACGAGTGGCGAAGTGCAGCTATTGGCCTCTTTACTCTCAAAATAGGCGAGTCCCGCCGCGTAATCTTCCAAATTGAAAGACATCAACCTGACACGCCCCTTGCGACTCTGGGTGAGGGTGCAGACTACCAAGCAGCAGTCTGTTGTGCCACCACGGGTTAAATGCACAAGAGCCTGAAGCCAACCAGATGTATGAAAATGCAAATAACAATCGCCTATTTTCGATCGTACAAAGAAGTGATCTGCGGAATATCCTACAACCTGTTGGTTGGATATCTCTAGTTGCCTTTCTAAGCATCGCTCTGAGGGTGAATCACAGCATTAATGTATATAATCGCGTCCTGGATGCCATTTTTTGGTAGCACAAAGCACCTTGTTTTAAGTACCCAAAGACACCCGCCCCAAGTACCGCTTTTACCAGCAAAATATACTATCCGGATCCTGAAGTTCGTATAAAACGACAGAGAAACATGTTGAAGATGATCGTATCTAACCAGCCAACTACAAAAAAGTGCTTTTTTCTGTGCCCTTCATACAATACGCCATATTGAGAATGTTAAAAACATACAAGTGATTGCTACGAAGAGAACCCCCCCCAAAATGAATGGAAAGGTTCAACTTGTGTCCCATTTGAAAAAGAGGAATAAGATGCAACGATTATCAGGTAGAGTCCCTAAACGAAAAATGTAGCAGTAAAACACGGCCCGACCCACCACCAATAGCTACCGTAGACCCTTTGACGGCTACTGTAGACACCTTTCCGCCCGAAATCACCGGCCGGTACTCTGAAGGCAACCAAAGTATGTTTCGGGAGTCTTTTGTAACCCATGCGCCGTCCACAGAAACACCATAACCAAGAAGACAAGGCGTCTCGATTGATTGTTCTTCAGCTTCGGCTTCGGAGAACGCGATGGTATAAAGCCGACGGCCTGTATCAAGCGCCCACTCCCATAGGTTGTGACCAATAAATTGAGGCGCCTTAGTTGAGGTAGCCGACAGTAGAAGATTAGAAGACGTTGCTGGTTGTACTTCTAAACCGATGGTGCCAATGTCCGTATGAAGCTGTAATCCGGTTTCGGAGAATGCTAGTTTATCAACCCGCCGGCCTAGATCAAACACACGCTCATAAGAACCCGTAGCTGTATCCTGGAGCGCGATAATGCCATATGATGTCGCCGACGCTAGCTGGCGGCCATCGTGCGAGAAGGCTACTGAGTTAACCCAGACGCCGGGGCCCTCGAGCACCTGCTCACACTGGCCTGTAGTTGTATTCCAGAGCTTGATAGTGCTATCTTTTGATGCTGATGCTAGCTTACAGCCATGGCGCGAGAAGGCTATTGAGGTAACTTCATCGCTGTGGCCCTCAAGTGCCTGCTTATACTGGCCTTTAGTTATATCCCAAAGCTTAATAGTACCATTATCCCATGCTGACGCTAGCTGGCAGTCATCATGTGAGAAAGCTATTGAGTTAACCCTGCTACTAAAGCCCTCAAACGTCTGCTTACACTGGCCTGTAGTTATATCCCAGAGCTTGACGGTGTCGTCTTGTGACGTTGATACCAGTTGGCGGCTATCATATGAGAAGGCTATGGAGATGATCCAGCCGCTATGGCCCTCGAGCGTTTGTTTACACTGGCCTGTGGTTGTGTCCCAGACCTTGATAGTGCTATCTTTCGATGCCGATACCAGCTGGCAGTCATCGTGTGAGAAGGCTACTGACCAAACTAAGCCGCCATGGCCCTCAAGCGTGTGCTTACACTGGCCTGTAGTTATATCCCAGAGCTTAACGGTGTGGTCAGCTGATGCTGATGCTAGTTGGCGGCCATTGCGTGAGAAGGCTATCGACAGGACTGAGTCGTGGTGCCTATCTAGCGTTTGCTTATACTGGCCTATAATTATATCCCAAAGTTTGATAGTAGTGTCATGCGACGCTGATACTAGCTGGCAGCTATCCTGCGAGAAGGCTACTGAGGTAACACGATCGCTATGGCCCTCAAGCGTCTGCTCACACTGGCCTGTAATAATATCCCAAAGCTTAATAGTACCGTCATCCCATGCCGACGCCAGCTGATGACTATTATGTAAGAAGGTGACTGAGTTAACCCAGCCGCCATGACCCTCAAGCGTCTGTGTACACAGGCCCGTAGTAATATCCCAAAGCTTAATAGTACCGTCGTGTGATGCTGAAGCTAGCTGGTAATCATCACGCGAGAAGGCTACTGAGGTAACCCAGTCACTATGGCCTTCGAGCGTCCACTGACACTTACACTGGCTTGTAGCCGTGTCCCAGAGCTTGACGTTGCCGTCGTACGATGCCGATGCCAGCTGGCGGCTGTCATGCGAGAAGGCTACCGACTCAACTGAGCTGCTATGACCTTCAAACGCCTGCTTACACCGGCCTGTAGTTGTATCCCAGAGCTCGATAGTGCCATGATCCCATGCTGACGCCAGCTGGCAGCTATCATGTGAGAAGGCTATTGAGTTAACCCCACCATTGTGACCCTTGAGCGTCTGCTCACACCGGCCCGTGGTTGTATCCCAGAGCTTGACGGTGGCGTCACTCGATGCTGATGCTAGCTGGCGACCATCGTGCGAGAAGGCCACCGACTTAATGGAAAGGTAACGGCCGCTCTCGAGCGTCCGCTCACATTGGCCCGTGGTCATGTCCCAGAGCTTGGTGGTGCCGTCCCACGACGCCGATGCCAGCTGGCAGCCATCGCGCGAGACGGCCACCGAGACGACCGAGTTGTCGTGGCCCTCGAACGTCTGTAAGCATGCGTTCCATTCGTCCTCCACTCCTGGTTTGATGCTTATCCAGCCTGGCTCTTCAGTCCGATATTGTTCCCTGATAATGCTACGCGCCGGACTGAATACGAGTGCCGAGTTGTACACTTCTAGGGGGCTGCTTTCAATCCCCACTCGGTGATACCGAATAAATCGCAGTGCGTCTCGAATTAGGCTTGTAAGTATAGGCGACTTGAAGTGAGACTTCGTCTTATCAGTACTGTCCTACATTTCGCGACCTGGTTGCCAAAACATACCTCGGCTAACGATAAAAGCTGCGACACAGCAACAATCCCCTGGGACAGGCTCCGCATGAGACTGAGAGCTTCCAACCAGTGAAGATAGTGACGTCTCAAAAACACATCAACAGAACCATCGTCTCGAATCTCGCTGTGCTGATGTCCACCAGTGGACGCGTCGATTAGATGATTGACCCAGTGGAGACAGGAGTACCGCACCGGCGCCAGCGGGTCGGGGTCAGGTGTCTCAAAGTGGTCAATGGCAAACCCAGGAGCGCCCAGGTTGTATGCGTCGCGTCGAAGCGTGCGCGACATTACCTGTAGCGACCTCGAGAAAATTGCGTCATGCTCGTGTACGATGCCAGAAGGAAAGAGAAATCGATCTGCCTTCAGGAAGTCCTTCGCTGACTGGTGAATAATATAAACGATATCGTCTCGTATGGTGAGAAATGATCCGCACATGGCGGCAATCTTAGTCACATTTTGTTGCGAATTAGAAATGTTCGGCGGCAGGCTTGTAAGTACTCGAAGCTCTTCCAGATGCATCGGACGATACGCTGTGACGACCGTCGAAAGGAGCTGCTGACAAAAGTCGGGATTCTTCCGTCCTAATCGCTTTATCTGTCGCATCATTCGTTCGTAAAGCTCATTAAGCCCGACAGGTACTTCATCCATGACCTCCTCCACCTCCCAACTCTGTGCTTCGCGAAGCTCTTGGACGACGAGAGCCACCCATAGGAAAGTCCCATTGGCTTTGTCTTGAATTTTACGCCGGATTTGATCTTGGAGATGCGCGTCTCCTTGCAAAGCCGAGAGCTCCGATACACAGCGGGTGATGTAGATTTCGATGGCGCGGGACACCTGCTCAGCGTTCTCCTTCAGCTCCAGGCTTAGCATCGCTCGGGACCCAGCGGTTTGTAGTTTCTGTTCAATACTCGGCCAATTGCGGCTGGACACGATCAGCTTCGCCTGAGTCGATGAGGATAGCTCAAGGATCAGATGGAGCAGCTGGTCGAGGCCTGTCTCGCACTCGTCGAGCGCATCAATAATGAGGTATGTATTACGCAAGCTTGGGTCCTGCAAAATGACAAAAAGCATTCTAGATAACGCATCCCAGCTGTTTACGTCTTCAAACAGCGATTTGCCCGCATGATCATACTTCTCGCGTACTCGCGCGAGGAGTGACTTCCTCTGGCAAAGGAGGAGATATATGAGGCCTCGGAGGACAGCCGCCGCGTTGTTCAAGCGTACGTCGGTCGCTTGGCAGAAAAAGTAGGCCAAAAGGTGGGACTTTGTAGGCAGTTTGCCCAGCTCGTTAATGATACCACATAGCAGCATCGTCTTACCCTTGCCTGGGTCGCCCTTGATCCAGAGCAACCGACTCTCCTTGTCGTCGCGCCATCGGCGAAAGTCATCGTGGTCGATAATCCAGCGGTACGAGTCGCGCAACAGCCCTCCCTTTGTCCGCTCGATACGCGCCTTGTCGTCGCGTGGGTCGGTGGATCGCAGGTCGGCCAAGAATCGGGAGGCCGGCTCGGAGAGGTCATGGACGCCTATCGACTGTCAGTATCGAGAGCTTCCGTAAGGTGCCAGTTTATTACCAATGTTAAGACTGCCGCCGACGTGGAAATTGCCCGAGTTCTGAACTCCCTGCCCATGAAAGTTGGACCAGGCTCCAGAGCTTGGTCGCCCTGCGGTGTGCCCATCTACTTCCATGGTGGGGTACCTGCTTTGATCTGTTTTGTCGCTCTACTACGGCTGAGTCGAAGGCTTGCTCGTGAAGACGTCACCGCTTGGGTTTGTCCCACGAGGTGTTCGTAAAGACGATTATGAGAGGGTCATCCACGCAGGCGGTGCTCTTGGACGCGCGCCAAAGGTGAGAATCAGGCTGAGCGAGAGCCGATTGGCGGGCCATGTTGTTGACGTGGGGGTCGGCGACAGCAAATAGCTCAATTGGCCGTATGAGCAAGCCTTGGCAATCACCGTCTCGGGAGCTGGTTAAGATTTGACATTGCCGGCGATTACAGCCCGCCGCACCAGAGGTCTGGCCAAAGGTTTGTTCCTCCCGTCAAGAAGGCTTTCAGCGAGCAGCGGGTGGCGGTATATCTTGGCTCACAGCCAGAGTGCAGCGGGGGAAGAGGCATCTTGGCATCCAGAGAAAACCGGCCTTGCACATGCAGCACATGACCACTACGATGGCATCATCAGCACAAGTCTGCTTTATCATGTTGGACAATAGCCTTTTTCGATGTCGTCGCGTGCTGCGCCTGTTGACCTTGCGGAGGAAGAGATAGGGACAGATTCGTTTCTCGCAATGTTGATTTTCGCGCCATTAAAAGCTTAGCGTGCATATCTTGCCGTATTTGTGGATTCAACAAACCTCTATCATTGTGCTGGTAACGCAGTCTTTCAAGCTTTGCCGGCATGCCAGACAGTCTTTACACGCCTCAGTCAGAGATCAAATCTCGGTATCCAACATCCGAAGCGGTCACGAAGCAATTCTTTGCGGCGTAAACGTTACCGTTGGAGCGGGTTAATCCCGATTCTGTACAGCTTACATGCGGATATCACGCGTTGCGTGAGAAGCGGAAGAGTGGCTCGGCTGTAAGCTTCGCCACGAGGCATTACAACACGTGGGAACTCACGAAGTCTTCGCCTGAGGCAGCTCCAAGTAAGTCAAAACATTCCTGGGCTCTCCGATAGCTGCTACGACGTGATCGTCTGGATCACTGAGACGAAGCGGGTGGCACGGATGGCTCGCAACCAGAAGTTTAAAGCTCCCAGAAGACAGGAACAAATGATGTACAAGGAGAAGTTTAATCTTGACTTACTGATACATCATAGAGCCTAGAAGTGCAATTTATGGCGCCTATTTGTTGTCGGTTTGTTGGTTCGGTTTGCGGTGCCCAGAGTACAGATGGAACATTGAGAATATCCTCAGGACCTGGAGTTAGCAGAAGTCTGCATGCCATGGCGAGCCCACTTAGCGAGGCCCACTTTGTGAATTGAACAATTCTATTAACAACTACCGTGTTTGAGTCGAATTCCGCAAAGACAAAAGACGAGACAACAAACATTCTAACTGTATTGACCAAGCGGGTCTCTCAATTTTCTGCATTCCAACTTGTAAGGTATGCAATTACAAGCTAGCCAGTATTTGATCACCAATCGGCTCATGCTCTCCATCAAAGGCCGCAAGGCTGGTGTGACGAAACTTCCCAGGAAAGGAAGCTTGTGGTTCTGAGTATGTGCTTTGTACGCTACGAGGATTCCATCTGCGCCCGCCGTACCTCGCTCGTGGACAATCCTGAAATCAAACTGCGACGTGCATATTTGTGCGAGAAGAGGAAACAAATCATGATTATCATGTTATTGTGTGTGCCTCATGTACCTTATATGTAAAAGTAGCGCCTCAACAATGGCCCGTCCTCTTCTGTCCCCCTTTCTTACCTGTATCTACGCTATCCGAACGGCCAACACCACCCCAAGCCAAGATGCCAACCTGAATCCAACCTAGAAGGCACACTAGCTTTCCAAGCATCGATGTGCAGGTCAAATATTCGGCGCTTTGGGTCCATCCCGTGGCTGCAGCTGATGCTGCATCTGCTTCTGCTCGCCGAAATCGCCGCTGCAGCTTGCACTGGTTACCAGGGCACGTTTGCCAGAGGGAACGCCATCTTCCTGGCATGCGCAATACCACAGGGTGTTAGTGGTAACGTTATTGTTACGGGTCTGAGTGGTGCCACTGTCGAACCCGATATATGCCAGCAGATCTGCTTCGAGCAGTTGAACTACCCCTTCGCCTTTTTGATCGATTCAGCTTGCTACTGTGCCCCAGCGGACAGTAACAACGCTTACTCTTTCGCGCTTTCAAATAGCTGCACTTTCTGCTGTCCGGGTAACGCCAACGCTCAATGCGGTAATGGCGGCGTGGGTGCGGCCAATGTCTACTACGATCCGCAGAGGCCGCTGCCCACGACAACCTCGTCAACCGTCTCCAGCACTTCTTCATCGAGTTCCAGCAGCTTCGAATCATCCTCTAGCAGTAGCATCTCTTCTTCCACGGCTACCACCAGCTCGTCCACCGTTGAAAGTACCAGCACTTCTTCAACATCTCCTACATCCAACAGCAGCAGTACAAGTGATACAGGAACCAGCACCGGCATTTTCATGGGGTCTTCAACAAGCACACCCGCGCCGACAGCTTCCACGAGCGTCTCATCTGGGTCGTCGAGCACCTCTCTGTCAAGTCAGTCAAACAGTAATACGGCCTCGATCTCGGGGGCAGGCTCTGCATCGACGTTGAGCATGCCTTCTTCCAGTCTCTTGAACAGCGGCACCTCTTCTCCGGGTCTTACTCCGAGCACACTCTCGTCAACTACAGCTCTGGTTTCAACAGCTCCAGGCTTGGCTTCAGTGTCGCCCAGCTCGACTTTCACTCCGACCATTGCCTTGACCGCAAGCAGTCCAAGCGGAAGCCAGTCGCCTTCCACCTCTTTGACAACGAGCGTGTCTACGCCTGCGACCCCGACATCTGCTTCCACGATACCCTCGGATCTGGTCGGGATACCGGTGTTCTTCACCATTCAAGTAGCTGGATTTCCACCAGGACCTCAACCAACGGGCGAGGAAGCTAGGGACGGTCGATGATCCGATTGCCCATATACGGGGATTAAATAAAGAATAGAAAATTGGATGATGATACTGTACAAGGCAAGTAAAGATGTATAGTAGAGTGCGGAGTTACGTACACAACATATGTACTTAATTAATAGTGAGATAAGCTTCTAATATAAAAGGAAGAAAAGCCTTAGAGCATAACACAGTGAAGTGTTAAACAATCGTTCGAAGCAGTCATGGATTCCAGAATATAGCGTTTTACCAAGCGAAGTATTAATATACTGTTTTACCCTAACGATAGGATCTTTAAACTGATACTAAACATATCTTGGGAAAACTTTTTAATGATCTCTGCTAGCATTTTTTGTAAATAGCAATGCTACGAACACTTACATATAAGTAAGGTAACCAAACTCACAGGGCTCAGCGGTTAAAACCGGATATTTGTATGCAGGACATGGGAGCAGGTGATAAGGAACCTCGGAAGGAAAGTGTTATCATTTAGTTAAGCGGGGTTGGGGATCACTATAATAAGATCATTACCAGCTAAAGGCTGCTTCAACATGTTGGACAATAGCCTTGTGCGACGTAGTCGCGTGCTGCACCTCGCATGCCATCAGGTGCAAGCTGAAGCCGAGACCCTCTCCTGAATGGACAATTACATCCACATCTCTTCTTCCTACCCCGCACGTCTCCATTGTGTCACGTTTCCCTGCAATGTCCCTTTACTCCTAAGAGTCAAGATACACAAACACGCCCAGCTAATTCGAAGCTCATGAATCGCAGCCATGGCAAACCGCGAGTTTGTCTTCTTTTATGCCCCTACATTAGATTACCCGCCAGAGGGTCCAATCAAGCTCGGGAACATTATCACATCGGTTAAGAACCCGCATCGACCCCTCTCCTGTGTTGCACCACCCGAGGACTCCAGCATATTCAGAACAGAGAAGAAGAGCGTGCATTATACCAAGGAGAAACTGAGAAGTGGAAAGTTTTCTATCTTGACCAAGTTTCTGAGTGTTCTAGGGTTTGGAATTGATGTGGGGGCTGAGATCGATAACCAGTAAGTATACACTTCGTAAACAGTGTGCAACATGAATAACTTGTGATCGTAGTGACGAGGAGAAGTACATCTTCAATACTCTAGAGACAATCCAGTTCATTCCTACACCAGCTTATGTCCAACAATGTGTCGAATCTGACAACGTCCGCCGCTTTCTTGAAACCTCTCGATATCGTAAACCAGTCTACATCATCACTGGAATCAAAGTTGTCAACGGGGCCGAGGCCAATACCCTAAAGTCCCGCACCGTGGGCGGTACATTCGCCGTTGAAGTCGATGGCACATTGTTAAGCGGTGGCGCTGTTCCTATTGGTGGCGGTCCTGGGATAGAAGGCAAAGTGGGCAATTCTGTCAGTACAAGCTGGGCTGGTAGCAGCGATTTTGTGTTTGCGTTTCGCGTGAGCAAAGTTTATGTGGGAAAGGCGACGGGTCAGGTACTCAAAGAAGAAGACTATCGCAAAGGAGCAATGCTTGGCGACGAGATTGAGGAAGCCCATATTCCACAAGTCTCTGTCCTCAAGGTTGAAGATCCCGACGCCCAAGCTGAAGGCTTTGATAGAGAGGAATTGAGGGAAGATGAAGATGTGGTGCGGTGTGCTATTCCCAGGGAGGAATACTCAGATTATTGATATAAACTACCTTAGAGAAAGGGGGCCGACTACATTATTGACAGAGTTTATTGAGGAGAAGAAGTATTGAGCACACGTCTCTCAGATTAGCCCAAATGATATCCACAGCAATACGTCAACTATCTGATCAATGCGTTCCGAAACTCACGATTGATCTGTTCCAACTCCTCGCCAAACATGTTATGCCTAAACAAACTCAGCTGAACATAAAAGAATCCGTCCCTCGGGTCATAGTTCGGCCCACGCTCAGCACACCTCATTAACAAAGCTTCCATGTTCTCCTTCCTTTTAAGGGCCGCCGCTATATCCGGTACATGCAAGCGTGCATATTGCAAAAGGAATGCGGCAATGCCTGCCAGGATGGGAGTCGCGTATGAGGTACCAGACCGAGAAACCAAGTAGTCTTGGCCAGGTGAATCCTCACAAAGATGCGTAGGCCAAGCTGCTTGAACAGACTGGCCTACTGTCGCAATATTAATGTTGTTTTTCTGAGCTGTCGGACTGAAACGCGACCTGTTTCCCCACGGATCGGTTGAATGCACACATATGACTTGAGAACTGCTTGCCGGGTATGCCCGAGGTAGATTCGCACCGCCGTTAGAGGCTGCAGCAAACATCAGGATTTGCTTGCTGTATGCTTTATCAATCGCTGCTTGAAGCTTTTCTTGCCCTGGGAAATCTGATGATGGCCATCCAAATGACATTGAGATTATGTCCACATCCCATACATCTACCGCGTGATTGATGGCCTGAAAGAACACAAAAATTAGGGCTACTAAATCAAGGACGCATCATGATAATATCAACATCTTTTTTACTTACATTCACCACGACCTGTGCGTCAGGTCTCATGTTCTCTTTGCCTGCAATTTTTATGACGTAAAGTTCTGCATCTGGGGCATAGTCAAGTATCAGACTTGCTGTAAACGTTCCGTGTCCATTCTCGTCTGGTACGGCTTTCCGGGATTCATCGTAGAAATTGCGTCTCCCTTTCAAGTCGTTGTGCGCCTCAATTAAGGGATGGTCACGTTCAATGCCTGTGTCCAAGATAGCAATTCTGACAGCAGTGTTCGATGGAGAATAAGAAAGGTGTTCCTCGATGAACTTCCGGTAGACATCCTTGTATTCAGCTTTCCATCTCTCATACTTGGCGGTTCTATGTATCAAAATCTTAGTTATCATTATCATAAAAGTAAGTCATGATATCCTCAATGAAGCATCGTGCTCCAGCTGAGTTGAAAAGCTGGGGAACTTACTCGTTATGATCACCATACTCACTGTCAAAGAAGCTACCTGGTTTGACATCGAAGTTTGCCTTACGCATTAAAACCGGTGCAGATGTTGCGGCTAAGGGCCATTCATGAGGCTGCATCCAGTATGCTGATCCGTTCAGATGGACGCCGTGTTGATAGGCCGGGGTCTGAGCAATTGTGATGCTTGGGGGAGGGGTTGTTCCTACTGGCGTGAGCAGATCCGACAACAATAGACCGGCGTGGCTATCTTGCTCTCTGCTGCTTATAACCTTGCCCCATTGTGCAAAGTCTATCGCTCTGGCGTATTGATCGATGCCGTCAAGCGGTATTTGGCTGAACCCGCGGGATAGATGAAGCTCCAGTTGTCGAACTACCTTCTGGTATATTTGTGATCTGAGTAGTTGGGGGTCCAAAGGCTTCCCTTCATCGTCTTCCCATAGACTACTGTCCATGCAATTATTAATGGCATCAAGAAGATGCTCTGAATCTTGGGGAATCTGGCTCATGCAACCTTCTTTTCCTTCCTCTTCGTCTCCGTAGCATACTTGATAGGCATCAATAGAGGCAATGCGGCCCCTGGGATCTTCAATTAAGGGAACCTTGTAGATCTCGGCCAACTTTTTGAATGGCTTGACGAAGTAGACTTCGAGTAGGACCACAGCTAGCGACAACAATGCGGGGCAGGGATGGTAGAACAAATCTTCTTCGTCCAATTCGTTGTTATGAGAACCCTTCTCTTCATTAAGTTGTGTCTCGATGAACGGTCTTAATGGAACTTCATGTGACGCTGTTTGAAAGAGCTTGATATTTCCTGACCCCCACCCTGGTTGGAGCCACGAAGTGTTGTCCAGGTGGAGGACAGTATATCCAATAATAAGCGACAAGACTCGTTTGGTTTTCTCAGTGAAGCAGCTGGGCCACTCTTCGATACAGTGAGCAAGAGAAACAGCTTCAGCAGTCTTGTCGATGCAGAAGTCCGTCTTCTCAAATCCCATTTCAAATAACTGATTACCCGCAAGCTTTAAATCAAGACGTTGTAACGGATTAGGATTCGTTGTCATAACCTGTGCGCAAAGAGTCTTAATCCTTTCGTGTATGCTCGCAGTATCATTGTCCGTATGAGGCAAGGGTACACCATCGGGAAGGTTGAAACCAAGTCGAGTCTCCCTCATAGCATGAACCCGAACTTCGTGCCATATTCTCTCCCTGGAGAGAAACATATCAAAGCCCAGACTTCCGGCTGTCTCATCTTTGCGCCGACGTTTTGGTAACCGGGCCCTTGTAGGCTTCAATGGCTTTTGGTATGTGCCCAGTTCGAGTTTCGCCCCGAAGCTATGGGGACAAGAACAGTTGCACTTTGTGCAGTTCAGTAATGCGTCGAAAATCGACTGCGCTGTTTTCCACACAGTAAATGGTGGTTCTTCAACTTTGGAGATAAGAGATTTGGCTCCAATGTCCTTCCACCGTGGCTGACTTTTGCTAATTTGGTCCACAAGACCTTCCAAGGTGCGATCAAATGCATCCTGTTCTTGCTTCGACCCCTTCAAGCGCAACCACCGGCTGATGAAGTGAGCCTTTTCACCACCGCCCAAGTTCCTCCATATTTCCCAACGGAAGTTGATTGTCCTAAGTCGAGAGTCCCTAGTGGCGATGTAGGGTAGTACTTCATTGAGACTCTCATCGGGAACCAACAAGTTGAGATGCCCAAGTGTGAGATGGATCAGCTGGCCGTCAATGTGGGCGTCAGTTTTCAAACAGTCCTGCATTCTAATACAATTGAAAGACAGATGACTGTAGAACACCTTGTTTTCTTCGTCGGAATCACTGAGTCGAGCGACATCCGCCATCTGCGAAAATGTTTCCGACGATGCCAGCAGCAAGTCACGGCTCTCAGCATCGTCGGCTGGACTCATGTTCAGGGATATGTCGTCGCTCTTGGAGGAGCGCATTACGATATGCTTTCCGATTGCGGTATCAGTTTTATCCTGTAGAGCCGTTTGCGAGGCTTCAGGCACCTGTCAAGATGCCACCGATTATGCCTTTGCTGGTCGCCTGCTGCGAAACGGCTGTGATCAGGTGACCTTGGTGAGATAATTAATTGGCCATAAGGGCGCTGCGGCTGAACAGATTATTGAAAGTCCCTTAACAAATCGACCTGGGGTGCTAACATCCTCGTTCTTGGAATTTCTGGTTATATCACCAAGTCATGCCCTAGCTTGCCGATTAAGACCCATTTAGTATATTTAATCTTATCAATAACCTTATAATCCCAATACAAACCTAACTTAAATATAGCATGAAGGATAAGTTGGGTTCTAGTATTAAGTTCTAGCGAGAATTGCTAGTGAAAAGCCGATATAGGTTAGTGCCCCCTCATTCGATGAACCCTGTCAATGATTACGCGCCCCTCTGGTCGCTTCCAACTTAACGATTCTTTTAAGTGATGTTCTTAATCATTTGTTTCATTCTCAGGGCGACGGAATCAAAATTGAAAGTCAATCACGTCGACAGAATTGGTGTGACTGAGATGTTTTATCACACCCAATTCCCGCTCTAAGAGTCAGCATCATGGCTACTAAGGATGCATTTAACGAAACTTCCGACTCGACGAGGTCGACTCTTGAGGCTTCTGCCAAAAGATGTCTAGATGCATTTCAGAAGAGTCTTATACGAGCCTCCAAAATTCATGCCCGAGAGCTGTCAATGGTGGAGGATCAAATGGCAAGGTTTTCCACCTGGGCAACAGCTATGGGGGTCTTCGCAGATGAACAGGCATCCATGGACTATTGTCTTCGATATGCTTCAGACGTTCGAAATGCCGTACGTGGCATACTTGAGTCTCTATTCTACCGCATCATAGTGTGTGAGTTTCATACATCTGTTTCTTTCCCTTGGCTCATGTCATGAATTTCCTTAGCGAACAGATAGTTGACATCCTCTAGGCTCCAATTGCCTCGAAATACTCGGGACCGGCAGAATAAAGCAATCTTTGGATGCTCAAGTCGATCGACTGAAAGTTTCTTTTCTCCATATTGGGACAGAGATCAGCCATCTCAATAAGATTTCAAGCACCATCCGGAGAGCGAGCCACGTACCTCAAATTCAGATGTCACGCAACTTTGCGAACAACGATGATACAGTTCATGATACAGAACCCCTACTTTTTACCACTTTTGAGCGTCATGTTAGCAATCTTTTCCCTAGAATCAGCGAAAACATCCGACAGCGACTTGTTCATGCCATGTTATTGCGACGAAAACAAACCTTGTATCGCAGACATCGCCAAGGGGTTACCGTCATTCAGTCTCTAAAGCAAAATTCAAAGGCCCATTTTGTAGTGCCAGCCGTTCATCACACATCATCATTAATCACTGCCAAAACGAAACAGAGTACTGAAAAGGCTTTAACTGGTTCAGCTCCCGTATCTTCGCCTTCGCAAATTACAAGGAGAACAGCCTTAGACTCATTAAGGTCAAGAAGTGCTACTTTAAAACCATCCACTGCTTCAAGCAGTAATACAAATACTTTGGATGGCTACGAAACACTCATTCCCCCATCTGACCCTGAGCTCGTCTCTAAACAGAAGTATTGGCTGCTGAAAATTCAACAGGAAGTTGAGTCCGAGGGATTTACCGATGCAAGAGGCGCACCGAAAAAGTCCAAGTCATTATTAGAACAACTCCAGAATCCAGGCCTTGGAGAAGAAGGAGGTATCATCTGCCCGTACTGCCTTCACGTACTCTCCGCTGATGTCGCGTTCAATGAACGGAAATGGAAGTGAGTACTTTTCCTTACTCATAAAGGTGGTGAGTGTTGATTCTATACTAAGCAAAACTCAAGGGACCATGTCAAAAACGATCTAGACCTATATGTGTGTCTCTTTGACGACTGTGATAAGCCAGATGTGGTCTTAAATCATGTGGACGAATGGCGAAAACATATGGACCAGCATGGCATATTCTGGCGCTGCTATTCCCACCATAGCATCGGGTCTTTCTCTACCCGCGACGATTATATGAAACACATCCAGCAGTCCCACAAAGCCAACCTGAGCGATTCTCAGCTGCGCGCTTTAGCGAACCGGAACTGTCGCAAGAAGGCGAAACTGTTCGCAACATGCCCGCTTTGTGCCACAGATGAGGCTGCAGTCAAGGGTCATCTGGAGAGTCACATTATCGAACATTTACGATCTTTAGCCCTTGAGTCTTTTCCAAGCGATCCAGAAGAGACGTCGGGAGAGGTTAAGGGCGACGATGGCTCAACTGATGTCCCAGAACCACAAATGACAAGGACTGCTAAGATTAAAATCGATGCAAAGGATAGCCCTAAACGCGGAACAGGAAAGGGAAACTTAACTTCAGAGGCCAGGGAAAGCCATATCGAAAGTCCCCAAGTTACTACCCCTATTCATTTCGACTCAGGTCAGGAATACGGACAGCAGTCAAGCTCTCATGGTGGTTCGCAACACAAAAGGCCACTGCAAGAATCTGAGCGCTATGCTGCTTTCAAGGCGAAGATGCAGGCTTTCTGCGCTGAATGCGAAGTTCACTTTGAAAACGATATCGTTTTAAAGAAGCACAGGGGCCAGCACCACACTGGGTCTTTTAATAGGATTAACAAGGAGTCTGATTTTATGCCAGAACATGCAAAGCCGAGCAAGAGCAGCGCCGGCTCTACTTCATTATCGAATCTTTTCGAAGACTATGTTAGATTTTGATAATCGATGCTCTTCGGGTCAAGTGCCTGGTGAGAGTCTTGGCATGATCGTTCCAAAGTAGCCTTATGTAACTTGGGGCATGAATCATGAGGGAACCGTGTTCACGACTACCAGAACCACGAAAATCCGACGATTGCATCGCGACGGCACAGACAGCACAACGGCTGCCACCTACAGGCTTCCCAGAATAATCATTCCACTTCTGGCATCAGACAGTTACTCCTACTGGATAAGAGAGACAAAGTGAGAACAGCAACAAATAAGTCACTGGGGTGTCGACTTGATTCGCAGAAATCATGGGATCTCTTGGTCATATTACCTAGGTCATCCTGATTAGAGTCTGAACCTGTTATCAACATAAGATGTATATCTCTTCGACGGAACGAATCTCCAGCTTTGTTTCAGTTCATATAAAGATACGAACACTATATTATCGCAAATACTTAGTTAATCGCAATACTTTCACTAGCTTAAAAATAAAACAATCCAAGGCTAGGTTTATATTTCTCCATGATATATCCCAGGTCTGCTGTGCCAAAAACAATGCTTATATACCTATCCTCTATTGTTTATACCCGGCTAATGCAGTGTCTGCCTTCACTTCATCTCGGTCTCCATTGATAGCCTAGCCAAGGTCCTCGTTGGCACTGAGGTCCTCCACAATCGGGACGTCGTGTTCCGCCAGAATTGCTAAGCAGTCTCCACCCGGCGCATAATTGCCTTGAGCCATTTGTTCTCCTATACAATCTTGTTTTATTGGTCAGTGATCAGACTTGCCCTGTTGAGGTTGCACAAGTCTTACTAACCAGAGAAAACATTATTATAGGTAGCATTTGATGGTCTGGTATGAACACGAGGGCGCTCCACCTCAACTCCACAATTTAAGAATTGGTGCGAAGGAAGAGAAGGGATCCAAAGCCTAGTAGCTGGAGACCACTGTGAGCGTAGTTCTGCAAAGGGCGATGGCAAAGTGATAATGCCGGACGTTTGTTCACAAGCATATTTTGCCGAGAACTTGCTGTCGGTAGAATACCACTCTCATTGTGAAAATTTCACACGATTCATGTTTGTATGTGGCGGGTATGCTGCCAAGGTAATATTGCCGATCTGACATAATGAGTTGTTCTTAATTTCAGCACCCATGTTTATGTGATTTAGGCGAAACGGAATAGTGACCGGCTGTAACCTCAATTTATACCGACCCAATGAACACCAGTAAAGCCCAAGTCACAATCCCGTCTTGAAATTTCTTAGGCATTTTACTTTACCAGTGACGGAATGTAGATAAGGTTGTTTTAAGCTCATCTCATGCGAATCAAACGATTGAGTCGTCAAGTGCAACATTAGGTCCGTTGAATTGCATGGAGGAACCTTTGCAAACATCACCATCCGTTTCATCCATCAAAACTTACTACGAACCGGCAGTTGATACGAAGGGCTTATTAATGAGGGGGCAATCTAAGAGTCATTTGGCTGCAAGATGCTGCAGACGATAGACCAGGGCTGTTTAGCCACCAACGAACACAGCCAAGAAGCTGGGTGGGGTTTGTTGAGTTTTCTCCCGCCGAGCTTCTCTCTTAAATGGTCTTACCGCTAGATTCTTCAATCTATCTACTTGCTTTGCTTTATTTTAGTCAGGCTGAGAGAACCCAGCTTTGATCTGTTACCAAGACTCTCGCCACCAAAGAGCGACCCAACAGCATCATGCATATCTCAACAGCTTGCGTCTATGCCATTTTGGCAGGACATGCAATTGCGGGTCCTTATCCTCGAGACAGAGTGGACCAATTGCAAGATGCAGGCATGGAAAAGCTGAAGGCTTACCTTGCACAGCATCCGCCCAAGTCCGGCTGTACGCTGGAGAAAGCCATCAAGAGAAAAGAATGGTAAATCTTATCTTGTGTTTCTTTACTCTTTCACTACGTTTCATGCTGATTCGTATCTCAAGGTCATCTCTCACTCTGGATGAGAGAAAAGATTACATTTCTGCCGTAAAGTGCCTTGCGACCAAGCCCCCAAAGTACTCCGCCTCAGTAGCACCTGGGAGCAAGAGTCGATACGATGATTTTGTAGCGACTCATATCCAGCAAACCCTGAGTATCCACGGAACCGTATGTTGCATTACTAAACTTACTTTTGAGATGAAGTCTGACTTCGCTACAGGCCAACTTCTTATCTTGGCATCGATACTATGTATGGGCCTATGAGAAGGCATTGAGAGAGGAATGTGGTTACAAAGGATTTCAGCCAGTCAGTTTTGTTGACTTGCCTGACAAACTGGCAGATGCTAACAGTTAGCAGTACGAACACTGGCCCTACTACGCAGCCGACCCTCTAAAGTCACCTGTTTTCAATGGCAATGAAACTAGCATGTCCGGCAACGGAGCGAAGGTCCCGCACCCCGCTATTGCCTTTGGTAGCCTCAGTATACCGCCAGCTGACGGCGGTGGCTGCATTCTGGATGGGCCTTTCAAGGAGTACGTTCTCTGCAATACCTGCCATGCCGTGGTGAGATCATCTGACACTTTGAATAGTTTCAAATCCAACCTCGGCCCTGTCGCCCCCGTCCTCAACGATGTGCCCCGTAACCCCCGCCAGGACGGTCTGGGATACAACCCGCGATGTCTCCGCCGCGACATCAACCCTAACTCGTCCAAGTTCACTTCTGAAGCTTACACGTACAGTCTTATTACTGAAAACAAAGACATCTACTGGTTTCAGACTGTGATGCAGGGTGATATGCAAAAGGGTAATCTTGGTGTTCATGGCGGTGGCCACTTTACAATTTCTGGAGACCCAGGTGGTGTAAGTCGCAGCTCTTCTCCCTTCTAAAATTACCGTAACTTCATTTGTAGGGTAGAGGTTGTGAGCTGACTTTCCCCGTACACTTAAGGACTTCTACAACTCGCCAGCTGACCCCGCGTTCTGGCTTCATCACGGCATGGTCGACCGGACTTGGTGGATTTGGCAGATGCAAGATCTCAACACTCGCCTAGCAGCCGTCTCTGGTACAACAAGAATGATGGACTTTGGAGCGCCGAACGGCACATTGAATGACGATGTTGACTTGTCTGTCAACGCACCGAAAGTAAAGCTTGGGAACTTATTGGACACGATGAACGGGCCTTTCTGTTACATTTACGTGTAGATGACTAGTGGTCTTGACTATTTCATGCCCTCACGTACCTCTTTGCATGTTTTGTAACCTCGTGTCTGAGAAAAGGCCGGCTGTTATCAGCTCTTCAGCAGACCACTGAACGCCCCGAGGAGCCAAGAGAGATGACGGTGCACCCAGCGCCATCGTAAGGGCACTATGTATTAGCTAGAAGTCAGCATGTTGCCAAGTAAATAGTCATTAGGTTTCAAAACTGATTGCCATCGACGTACCCGAGACGGTCTGCAACTGAACCGAAGCACACCATTGACGGTGCACTCATTGCTGCCGACCTGGCAAGTCTGTGGAAGCAGATAAGTTAGTGAGAAGTCATGTTACGTCAAGCTTCCAAAAGAAGCTCTGTAACGACAACACTTACACCACGGGCGGAAGCTTGCCGCTTGTCCACATCAGGAGTGGCTGCTGCGCTCACGCCGAGTGAGAAGACAGCCGCTGAGAGAATAGTCGAGAAACGCATAATGAGACACTGGTAAGTGTTGGTGTATAACAAAGGTTATCCTTGAGGTTCAAATGAGATGATGATGTTGGCATTTAAGGTCCATCTTGCGCGACTTTGATCACCATTTTATAGACTCATTCCTACGGGCTTTGGCTTTGTGATTTTGGGCCACTAAAATACTTACAATGAAAGAAAACTGCGATCGCCATCTTGTAGACTTACTGCCCGGAAATCCTTGCCGCTTCACCGAGATACTAATGACCTTTCTAGATGCCTACATTGTTTCGGACTTGAAATCCCATCAATAGACAATGGCGTGGTTCTGTAAAGCAAAATACTTCTACGTAGACAACAAACAAAAGGAGATCTTCGCTGTTACGAATTGCCCTATATTTGCAAGCCAACGGTTCCTTAGCCCGGACTCCGAGTTGGCATGCAAGTGATGTCGGGGGAGTTACTCCGCTCAGCTAAGTTGGCGAAACCCCTAACTGTGATTATTTGAGTTAGTCAACTGACCACATGTGGCTCAGATACAAATGATTGGTCACTAAGTAGACTTGATAGCTCAGCCCAGCCTGTTCTGCAAGACTAAACGGTTGGGCGTCAGCGCTAAACGGCTCCCCTCCCCTCTTCCCAACATGTCCAAATCAAGAAGTTCGTACGGAACGGGCTTCCACAGCCTAACTGCCTAGACACACATGAAGACCAATTGAGCGGACCAAAGCAGTGCAACGTTTGTCATAGTTTCCTCGGTGGCTGCAAAAGTTTGTTAATATTGAGCTATTGAGTACTACTCAACAGTAACTCCGTTACTGAGGATAGTTGACAAAGGCGAGGCCACTTCAATAGTTATGGCAAAAGTATATCATAACAGGAAAAATCTGAAAGACAAACCCCTTCACTGTTAGAACCGAGATTAGGCTCCTAATTTTCGATGAAGTTCCAGGCGCCTCTCATCAGTGAAAACCCCGCCTTAGATCACATGAGTGAAACAAATAAAAGGCTTACGAAGGCCATGATAACTTATTTACATAACATCACATAAAACAAGAACTGCTGCAGACATTTAGGGAAAGGGCCAATCTCGTAATTTAAACACCCAGAGAGGGTGACTTCCTTCCATTGTTTTGGAAGAAAAACGCACGCCTTCTACAGCATTTGTTATACTGTTTACCATATCTCGTTAAACCTCGCCTATGCTCCACTCGTGCGGGTGTGTCTGTAGTTCTACTCCTTATTTCCATCGAAAATTCTCTCAATACCTTCGACAGTGTATCCGTTTGTCTCTGGAAATGCAAACCACGCAAGTGCTAACCCAACAACAAGGACAGCTACATAACACAGGTAGTACTTCCAACCCAGGTTACTCATAGCGACAGGATTTGCGTACTGCCCAGCAACTGCGCTCGCCATGGTGATGAAGTAGTGAAGAGAAACTGCTTTCGCCCTTAAATAGAAAGGGCAGATCTCCGCTAAATAGGTGGTCCCAAGGGGAGCGTAGCCACTATCGAATCCAAACTGAAAGATGAAAAACATGACAACCACCGCCGAACCGGCTTCCGATCGCGGATTCACTGAGAACTGCTCGGTGGCGACAGTGATGCCTACCATTGCAAGAAGCATAGTAGCCGTGGAAAACAGAAACAAGATGCGCCGTCCGGCCCTATCAACCAGATTCGCACTAAACAACGCAATGACGAAGTTGAAAGTCTGGAGACCCCCGTTGATTCCCGCCTATTGTAATGGCTGCCTGATGCCGACTGATTTGAGTGCAGCGGCAAAATAGTAAGTAATGATCCCACCGCCGCTCCACTGGGAGATGAGTGAGGTCGTTACGATGATGAACAGTCGCCGTCTGTTGCCCGGGGTTTGGAGAAAAGCCATCCAAGAAGTACCGTCTTGTCGCTTTTCGTTTTCAAGGCTGCTACAAATTTGATGGTATTCCGCTTGGACAAGCTCATCTGATTCATCCCCATTAGCGTGATATTTGGACAAAATCTGTTTGGCTTCTGTTTCCTGGCCGCGTGATAGTAGCCATCTGGGAGACTCAGGCACCAGCAGCATCAATGGTAACTGTAGGAGTGGGGGCAAAACCTGCATGACCACAGGTAAGCGCCAACTCCATTCATTCCCGAGGTGAAGGCTGCCATAAGTAAACCATGCTGATGCTGTAAGCAATCACCGTCAGCAAATAGCCGATTTTGTACTTTGTGTTTGCCTTACCTGTAGCTCCTACGTAAAAGAATGATGAGTAAGTTGCGACTAGCGCACCCCTTTGCCGTGGATGGGCCAACTCTGTCAATAAGACAGGGCCTAAGCAAACGATGACAATACCACCTACGCCCATCTTCCTCGTATTAGTCTTTTGATTCGATTCAATTCAATCACAAGGCACCATACCAAGAATCGAGTCAGAATGTAGAGGCGTGCTTTGTAGCAGAATGTCTGTCCAAGCGCTGGATAACGAGGCAGTCAGCTATGCCACTGAAGGCTTGAAATGAGGGTGCCTTGCCTGTAGCAATCATTATAATGTCACCTAGCATTATAACTCTCCGTCGACCTATAATATCTCCAGCCCAGCTTACTGCCCAGAACATGATAGCACCGCCGATTGAGTAGCCCGCAACCATGATTCCAGTCAGATTGGTATCTTTTGGGCTGAATCCGAGATCTAGAGATGGCTTAGAAGGATTGAGTTCAGACTATTGGAGATGAGTTTACCTCGATACCCTAGGTACTCATGTGTTAGCTTTGTATGGATCTAACTTGTAATGCCAATCCCAGTTTTGTGCCTACATTGCGGAACCGTTAAGAGTCCTCCAATCAAGGCTCCATCATAGCCAATCATTACTGGTGATATAAACACGGCAAGCAGCCGTAGGTTCAGCTCTCTTAGACCTTTGTCTTTCCACCATGACCGATGACAATTGTTCCGTTGCTCGCTGACGTTAGAGAGCGCGGTCACGGTATCTTCAACAGATATTTTCTGCATTCGATCGGTTGACAGGTAATAAAATGAGAATCACGGCTTCGGGCGTTTTAGCATACTGCCTGTTGCTAGATGTTGTGGAAAGATGGTGATTAAGTTCAAGGCAAGAGGGGAAACGCTACCGGAGCTCGGAAAGCACATGCGTCGACGCTGAAAACCTCCGAGCCAGAAAAGGCAAATTTCGGCCCCGACTAGCTGTTCTAAGAAACTTCAAATTTAACTTCGTCTTGGTTATTTGTTTCGGCTAACGGTTACTGAATCATGGACATGCATCATATCGCCGAACATCGATTTTTCTTGGCATGCTTCTGCCGACTCCCTAGGTCTCCTTACATTAAACTTGTGCAGATATATCATTAACTCTTATTAAGGATAGATGAGGCACCAAAGAGGATATAGCGCCGCTTAGAGCCACCAAAGTCCGTTGTATCTAGACAGTATGTATCTGACAACGGCAGAATAGCTTACATCGATAATTGTTGTCCCACAGAAAGCCAAGAATGAAATAGGAGTATAGAAGAGCACTTAGCAGATACTCTAAGTTGAACACCTATATTACCTTAATTACCAACAGTACCAGAGCAGGTTGCGTAATAAAAAGAGTATGTTCATACCTTATTCTACAGTCCCAGATAGGTGGGCTTGAAATCCAGGTATTTCTAAAACTATATCTCATGTTAATCCATGGAACGAAGATTCAAATTATTTGAACTCAAATAATTGACAGAAACAATATGATTTAAGCTGTCACTTGATTTCACGTACAACGCATACTCAATGGTAATCTCTCACCAAAAGAAACCACATCATATCACGCTAACATCACCAAAGTCCTATCTTCCTACAATCAACGTAAGATGCGCTTCCAGACTCCCAGTGTTGTCGCAGTCATCCTGATGGCCTTTGGTGTCGGCGCTTGTCCTGAGCTGGGTGTAAGTACAGTCATGCACCTCATTACCCTCGAGTGTCCCTCAAAGAATCCCATTTTCTTAGGTAGCGTACCGCCATGAGGCAGGACAAGGCTAACACGTCCTTTGTATCTGACAGAAATGCAACTTGGAGCACAACTTCTGCCACTGGCATGATACAGACGCATTCCTACCTTGCGATCTTCAACTTCCGGTACGTCTTGGAAGAACTGCTTTTCGCTACGATGTTGATGCTGACGAACGAGTAGTGCACTCACGAACTTGCTACATGCGGCATCCTTCGAAATGGAGTTGTATTTTGCTATTAATGTTACATTGCCTTAACTTTCATGAAAAGATATCGGCCCGCGAGTCCTATGACTGGAGTATTTGGTCCTTTTTCGAAGATGCCTTTGGGAGCAAGACGGTGAAGTTTTTCGTAAAATATTTCAGGGTCTGGCTGGCTGGTGGCTCTCTAATGAACTACTGTCCTTTTTTTGCGGAAAAACGTTGATCGCGTGCGTCAATGAAGCAAATGCACAGTATTTCCAGTTTTTGTGTTGGCTAGATAATATCAACCAAGGCATCTCATTCCATACAAGCGTAACCTGGTCATTGGTAGAAGAAGGTGACGAAATCGATACAAGATCCTTTAAATTGCCACAACACACGAAATGCTGTTGACTTTCACGCAGAGGCACCTTGCCGGCTTGATCCTCACAGGAGTGGCCACAACGTGTCAAAATTCTCTGATTCCAGTTGTTTCGCAAACCTTGAGGCACCAGGGTGGTGATCCAATACATAAATACCCCATCCCAAAAGCCCCAGCTCCCTTACAAGGCCCCGTCCCGATACAATTTGCTCTCCCCCTAACCTGCGCCAATTCGAAAATGCACGTCGCACACATCCTCGCCTTCCCCCTCCTTGTTTACGCCACCGGCTATGCAAAATTTCCCCCTTGGTTAATGGAAGAAACTAATGGCCGATGGCACCGTGGCGTAAGCAGGACCCTCCACGTCCGTTCTCTTCTACAAAGGAACCTTACCATAGAATCTTTACCGGAGCATGCTAACGACTTTCTCGTACGGTAGTGGTGCATGACTACCACCCAGGAATGCTTAATCACTGAAACAGGGGCCGCATACCCCTGCGGCCGGGAGGTATTTACCGAGATCCTCACTGCTTTGTCCCTTTTCACGCAAAAGCGCATTTCTAATCGCGCTTTCTAGTGTCCTTACGATGGCAGGCCTTGCAGAGTCTTGAAGGAGACGGTGGAGGAACCTGGTGGAACGTTTGGATATTGTAGACCCGTCAGTGACCATCCCTATGTCGGGCCAGGACCTGACTGGGATGAATAGTCGAGCTGTTTTCACGTTGTAAAGGTTGGATGGTTTACATGCGGTTAAATAATTCTCAAATTAGAACCCCTAGGATGTATTAGGGGGAGGGAACTGTTGTGGCCTAATCCGATTGATCAAATTTATCTTGCATTCATTTTTTCGGGTTTCTTCAATTGTAAAGCTACAAAGACCTCTTGTCACCTCAGGTGAGCAAGTCTGATAGTAAGAAGCACATCGTTGTACCTCAGTGCATTCCCAGCCGTGAGCAGAGTGTATCCTCTCCTGTTCATTCACTTCCCGCAACCCTCAATGCAGGAGTAACCACTGTCCCAGTGATGATACCACACCTCTACCAGGCCTTTTCTCGAATGCCTGCGTCTACATCCAGATTAAGATGTAACCCATCTCTATTTTGCTTTCACCGCATGCATGCATCATACACAGTCGATCACCAGCTGTAAAGCACTAAAAGCCCCGCCCAGCTCGATAAGAAACTCCAGTCGCCACGCATCTAAACAATACCGTAAAGCTCGGTAATCTGTTTCCTGGGCCACTCAGCCATCTCCATAAGCGCTGGATATTCCGTCAGGCACTCGTCCAAGACGCCCAAGAGCCTCCGCGACCACCCCTTCATGTACCAGAACCTCTGCTCCATCACGCAGAGCGGTACCGCAAAATACGACACAAGCAGAATGCTGTACGGGTTCCTTGATTGGATATCGTTCATTATATTCTCGGGAATGGTATACGGCCAAAATATAAGCGAACCAACCTCAGGAAAAGGACCGGCGTGAGCGACGAGGTAGATTGCCTTCTCCAGCTCAGCTATGGCGCTGAGATATTCCTCGAGGCTTTTCCCCTCTAATGATTGGTGAAAGAATTCTGAAAGTTCGCCAAAGGCCTTGAAAATGTCCTTGGGGAGTGGGGACTGGTGCATGGGCGGATTGCTTTTAGAAGGTCATTAGTTCGATACAAATAAAAAAACAATTGCCATGTTTGCTGGTGCCTGACATACTGGTAATTGGCCTCATGGGGGTTGATGACCCATGCGCCATAAACTAGAGGCGAGAATTTTGTCTGTATCAAACGAGCCTGATACGGTTCTATAACAGCACGGATTCCCCGTATGAAGCTGAAGAGCTCTAGAACATGAGGGAGTGTCTCAGTCTCTCTTGCCGTGCGTAGAGGTATCGACGACACAAATAGAACTACAAGAGAGGAGAAGCTGAAGAAGGACTGCCAGTTGGTGTCGTTGATGTTGTGCAGCTCTGCACGGAAACCTTCGAGACCCGCAGTTTGGTGAGCTGCCGCGAGGTCAACGTATGTCTCCCGCTCGGAAGGGATAAGGTAAGCCTTGTGCAGTGCTGCTAGGGCAAGAATGCCGTGCGATACAAAGTTGCAGTTGTAGCCGATTTCGGGGACCACAACGCGCCACACATACTGCATGTCCGGACGTGTGGCTAGTGAGTCGGCAGTGGCCAGGGTATAGTGATGCATCAACTCCAAGCTGCGATTCCAAACCTCTATATTTGGTGCTGGATGACTACTGCGGCTGGCAGCCACGTCCAGGAACCCATATTTGGAAGCAGGGCTCAGGCTTGGTGCAGATGACGGGGCAGATGGCCGTTGAGGGGTGATATCGCTAGGCGAGCTCTGAGACGTCAATGACAGACTGCAGGTAATACCATGCCTAGTGCAGTTGAAGCAGGACGGGTAAACTTCGTCGCACTGAGACAACCAGTCAGACATGCTCTCAATCCATTGGTAGGATTAACACCCCAGTGGCGCCCAGGGAGGAAGCCAACCTAGCTTCCCGCGTGTTCGGCCCGCGGTATCGACCTTGGAGGAAAAGGGGAGCGAACTGACCTTGACCTTTCTCCGCTTACAGTCTCGGCAGCCATTCCGGGATTTGGTGTGGGAACGACGGGTTGCCATTGGGTTGGGTGTAAGCTCATGCGTGTGTTCCGAGTGTCTGAGATGGGAAAAAGAATTATCGGGATACGACTTTAGATCTTGGACAGGAGGCAAACCGCAACCAGTCAGTTTGCTCGGGGAATACAAAGAAGGTTGGATGAAATCTGGCCCAACCCGCGGGTTCGCATTCAATAAGAGGGGATCTCGCACCATCAAAAACTGACAGTAGCGCCAAGCCACCTTCGTGAATGCGACGGTTCAAGTCTGGGAGCGGAGCAGATACGAAGCAAAAAAGCGAATACGCGCAATTGCGGAGCATTTGTGTCCCTAGTCATGCTAGTTAAGATGGCCTTGTCATGCGCAATCCACTGCCCCGGTAGACCAACAACTGCCCACCCTAATTCGATTCGTCAGCTCCCGCGCCCAAAGAACCGCCAAGTCGTACCCCGGTTTCTCTGATTGGTTCCGTATTGTATACGGATGGGGCCTCCGGATTCCTCCATCGTGGTAGACATGAATACTCGGGATCGTGGGTCCTCCGTGGCGCAGTGAGACTCCCATTCTGCAGATGAACCAGTAAAAATTTCCGTAGAACGATTCGCAAGGCAATTCGGAGCCGCCGTTTGTTCAAGGAAAAGGACGAACACTCGTATCTTTAGGGGTTTGCTAGCTGGCTAAATGTGATTGCTTTGATGTGCCACACACGTGGCTGGCCATTCTTGAGGAGACATAAGCATAAGATTATCCCGCAAACTTTAGAATAGAAATATCCCTTGCCTTCTCTCGTTCACAGTAGTGGTCAGCAAACTCCAGCCAGACCTGATACCACAAAAGTCGCTGTTTCCATTCGTTTTGATACTTTCCTTTGCCTCTAACGACTTCGACGTCTCCGAACTTTCTTTCTCTCTCTCATCAGTCGAACAGCCCGGACAGTCCTCTTTTAGACTCGCCCACCATGGCACGCGAGTGCAATCCCGATTACGTGAACGCGCAATGGTCGTTCTACCGATTCGAGCCCTCGATGGCGGCTGCGGTGTTCTTCTGCATCGTCTTCATCCTCACAACCGCCCTTCACCTATTCCAAATGATACGAACAAAGACGTGGTATCTGACAGCTTTTGTGATTGGTGGATTTTGTAAGTTTCGACTTGTTTCTTGTCTTCGTAGACTCATTAGGAGATAATCGGCTAATGGCGGTCACTCTGTAGGCGAACTTATCGGATACGCTGCTCGTGCTAAGAACACGCAAGAGAAGCCTGGATGCTGGACCCTCGGACCGTACATCATTCAGAATGTCCTGCTTTTGATCGCACCAGCTCTAATGGCAGCTTCCATCTACATGATCCTTGGTCGAATCATCCTGTTGACAGACGGAGAGCAACACGCACTGATCAAGAGACGTTGGTTGACAAAGATTTTCGTCGCCGGCGATGTGCTCTCTCTCCTCCTCCAATCGAGTGGTACGTAGCAGATGCAAATAATTTGCAGACTTCACCTGTTGCAGAAGCTAACAGCTACAAGGTGGTGGCATGATGGCTGGTGCTGGCCCGACCAACAACTTCATGGAGATCGGAGAGAAGACAATTATCGTCGGTCTCTTTGTGCAACTTATCGTCTTCGGCTTCTTCATCATCACGGCTGCCCTGTTCCATCGTCGCATGGCCCTAGTCCCGACCGCCAAATCACACCAGCCGGAGATTCGTTGGAAGTACTACCTTTTGACGCTGTACGTTACCAGCATCTTGATCTGGGTCCGAAGCATCTTCCGTGTGATCGAATATCTCGAGGGCAACAAGGGCCACCTGATGACTACTGAAGTGTACATCTTCATCTTCGACGCGACGCTCATGTTTCTCGTCATGGTATGGATGAACTGGTTCCACCCTAGCGAGATCGGCCTCCTACTCCGCGGCGAGCCCCCTATCAAGAATGGACTTGAGCTCGTCAAACTGGGTAGAACCCACAACAAGATCCGCCACGAGAACAGCAGCATGAGTGCCTAAGGGATTTGTTTTTAGCACGAATGGCGGGAAGTATTGTGTAAATTTCGTGTCTCTCAAACATCCGATGATTATGCCAGTTAACAACCCGGCGCGGATTCAAATCGTCATTGTTGGCATCTGGAAGGCAGAGAGTCATCAGCGTAAGACCTCTCTGTTTGTTAGGCGTTTGGGGTTATAGTCTTATCAGACTTTGGGTTTTCTTTGTTTCGTTTGATATAGAGGGGTTAGGCCTTGGGAAGGACATAAACCTGCCTAGATAATACATCTCAGCTGAGAAATATGACCATTCCCGGAACATGGCCCTGGAACACTGGCGGTAGCGGAACCATGTGATAATATCCAAATGTTTTTTTTTTGGGGGGTAAATGATAAAGTAGCTGAGTGACGTCTGTTACTACCCAGGGAGGGGTTAGGTGCATGGTTGCGAAGGTAAGAGACCCTGAAGACAAGCATCGCCCCGGCACAAATTAGTTACCTCTTTCCTTGCGAATGGTGGCTCTTTCCAAATGTTCTAGATGCAGGTGCTGCTTGGCCTTATCGGAGAGGTTACAGGGTTGAGGGTGGCCGATAAGGCTCGCTTCGTTAAGCGAGAGACTGCACGGGCCATAGAGCCCACTGCGGGGTTCACATTCCACCAAGGTGACAGGGAGTTTGCCACTAAAAACAGGGATCGTCAGCTTACGTCTCCACACGAGCTCGCTGATAGGTCAAAGCTTCGGTGAGCCAATGCGAGCTCTGAGCAAAGCTGCAGCCTGGCAGTTGCCTCACCTCGTCTGGGCATCACAGGCCAGCGACTTGAGTCTGAGACTATTCTGCGTTCCGACTGGACCACGCCACGGCTGATGGCGTCTGCTGTCTGCGTCACCCTGTGCACCTGGGTCGCCTTTGCCTCGTCAGTCGATAAGAAAATAAGGGGGAAAGAAAGTCACACCTACCCAGCTACTTGCTCTGCTCCCTCTACACGGCCCGGCTTCTCGTACTGATACCCCGCCCCCGAGCCGCAGCCTTTCATGACCAAAATCTCACCTGTTTCCAATACCATCGTTTTTTTGTGATCAATCTTTTCTTCAATACGCACTTCACCACTCGATTTCATCTCTAAGCCAAACATAATCTCGACACCAATACTGTCATGGCTCTACACGAGAGCCCTGGCAAAGGGGGCCTGGAGGATGACTGGGAGGAGGTTACTGATAACTACTCTATAGTATCTCTACCGACGTCCGATGACGAATCCACAGAGATTTTGTCCCCAGATCATCGACCATCCTGTTCGTCAGACACCAAGTCATCATTCAGTAGCCAACCGTCACAAAGCGATGATGATCCCACCTCCACTCAAGGGTGCTCTGTCGATTTCTCGGGATCGAAGCAAACCAGCATGCTATCCTACAAGACAACCGTCGAGCACCGGTCTTGTCCCTATTCTCGAAACTCCTTTGATGCTTTCGGACAAACGTCTTTTGCAAGGAAAAACATGCAAGAAATAACAAGGAGGATGGGGGCATCGGGTACAATTTCCGGTGGTCAAGGAACTTTGAATCAGCTGTCTTCACAACCAGAGCATACCGAATCAAGCCCAGTGCAAATACCCCATCGAAAGCCGAGTACAAATGATACCTTTGGCCTGCAGTGGGAGCAAGAGTCTATTACGCCTGGTCAACCTCGTCCAGACCTGGCCGTGCCGTACAGAGGTTTAACGTTTGCGACTGAAGACTCAATGGAAACGACGAATGCCACCATATTCCGCGTTGATTCCCCTACTTTGGAGGCACAAAGTTCGTCCCCGAGGCGAGGCACCATAGGCGAGTCTTTGGATCTCGAGGAGTCCTCAATAAACCCTGTCCTCATCAACAACAACCTACGGGCTCTTGAGCAAACACTCACGGAAACTTCTGACTTGACGGCAAAATCAAGGACATATCCTGATTATGCGACGAAAATCTATACCAGTTGCCAAGATTTGACTTTGCAAGTCAATGAGCTCCTTCCCATTCTAGGTGAATATGCAGACCAATGGGAGAGGCCCAGCACTGCCGCGAGGGATATTCCACTCGACCCTAGCCTGCAGTTGTGGATAGCATCATTGACTCGGATATTATCGGAACTTGGGAAGATCCACAAAGCTCTTGACTCTGCAGGTGACAGGACTAAGGACATCGAACTTGAGAATTCTTTTGCGACCTATGTCGATGCCCTTTCCGATCACTATAGACAGATGAACGATTTCCTTCCTATAATGCAAATGTGAGTCAAGAGTGTAACGTAAAGCGGTATTTAAACATGACCTTAACATTTTTACAGAGACTTTAACGACTATAAAACGAAGTACATGTCGTTCCCTTCACCCACGATCGCAGAGAGAATCACAGGCCCGCGACACAACTATCAAGTCAGCAACATGGGAACGGACCAGATTTATTGCATCCGCCGCGCCGTGTATGCACTAAAAGACGAACTACAACGCACTATCCTGGTCCTCGAAGCGTCACTAAGTTGCTTATCTGATATAAGGCTGATTGCTGTAACCGATGTTATCACTGCTGTGAGAAGGGTGTTCGACGCCGTGTCTCAAGCCTTGACAAATAATGGGTCGGAATGGATTGAGAACGATCTCAAACATGGCAACCGCCAATTGCTTTCATACGCGGAGTTCAGCAACTTGGATCCTACCACCATCGAGGATTTCACTGCACGCATCAAACAGATCAATGATTTGGTACACATTGGCGCGCTTGAGAGCCGTCTGTGGTCGGCCTATATGGTCCAGCAACACCACATCTGCATGCTGTTTGAACAACAACAGCTCGATTCTCTTGATACGATCGTGTCTGTGTTGGAGGAGATCATGCTTCCCAATCAAATTAACACCAGAACTGAACTTGACGACTTTCTGAAGGAGATCTAGAGTCGTAGACTGATGATTAGGACACCGTGGGCGAGTTGCCTTGGAAGTGTTACTTTTGATTACTACCAGAGTGATATGACGGAACGGAAAACAGAATGTGAGTTCAGAATGAGTTGGAAGACTTAAAAAAAGGGAGTTGGATAGTTCACGACAGTCATTGAATAGCGGGCTCTGGGAGTTCTTCATTTATTGTTGTAGTTGTTTACTGCTTTACATTGGATTCTGAATGAATTTCGTCTATAAATCCTTAACCAAATGTGTCTCAACTGCCTAGATTTTCAAATCTGCGTGTACTGCCTTGTATACGTGTCAACGATTTGATCAGTTGAACTCAACACTGTATAGCTTCATGCATACTTGGACTGGAGGAGAAACAAAAGTGGCAGGCCATATGCAGCTTAATGGAAACCTACTCTCACTTACGATTTCAAGTGTCGAATTCCAGTAACAAAGGGTTTGATATGGTCCGCAATGGTTAGAATTTTTGCACTCACAGTCAGTTATGTCGAAGCATACCTTACTCACAGCTATGAGACCAGATGCCCTGGAAAAATGAAATGACCATGCCAAAGGGAAGAGGGGCCTTGCAGTTCTAAGTGTTTCCGGAAGTAAATGTGCCACAATACAGCAACTTTTCATTCCACATTGTCAATCTCGTTACATGCGGACAATGGGAACATGATTTGCCAGATGTAAGCGGGCGAAGCTGTCTATTTCGTAAAAGCTGTTGTCCATCAACCCCGGCTTGCTCCGCAGCATATCGAAGACATTTCACCGACTGATATCCATGCACGGATATGCATTGTCATTCGCGTGGAATGAGAATGACAATTGGCCCCGAGAAAGCTTAACTCGAGGCGCCAAAAGACGCCATGGCTGCGCGTGGTGCCGACGCATAGACAAATTTAGCAGCAAATGGCTCCCCGCCCCGCCGATGCGGGCTTGGGTCCAGCCAACATCTAAAATCAAGAGAGATTTTGTGGGATTTTTGACTAGATGCAGTATGGCTACTATCCGATCTTTCCTATCTTCTAATTCTTAGCGTGTTTGAGAACTTTGGAAAAGCCCCATGTTACAGATGATGCCCAGCTTGCCCCCCCCCCATCAGACGAGCTCGTGCGTAGAGGCAAGGTATTCGGATGGCACACAGACACCCTCCTGAAGCCTCCTCCAGCTCTAAACCCCTGGAGGCTGCTCCTTCCCAGCCTCCACAAGGGCTGTACCTGTTCCTTTGGATGGAAGACATTCTGCTGTTGGTTTTCTGGGATTTGTGGCGTTAGGTCAGTGGTTTTGCCTTTGCTGGGCTGGAACCGACATGGTTTGGATGGCGTACTTGTATGATTTGATAGACCTGTTCCTGAGAGGTCTGGACATGGCGAAATTAAACGTTTCAACAACGCTAAGCACATTCACTTTCTTCCAAGATCTCATTTCCCGGGCTCTTTGTGCAGCATAAGTGGCTAACATTTGCAATGTTATTGACGCGAAGAGTATGCAATCGGCATATCTTGATTGGTCGACACAAGCGTAGCTAACCCCGAATAGCACGGCCAACGGCGCTAGACATAAAGCCGACGAGCATCTCCCAAGATTGCTGTGTCCGTTTAAGAGTCCGTCCGACGCTAGAGACACCGGCTGGGGCAGCCTCTTGAAATTCGAGTGCGCGAGTTTCCTAGAGGTCGATAACAGCCACAAGGTGGCGAACAATCGCGCAAAGCATCAGCTCCAAGAAATCTCCACCGAACACAGTCGTTCCTTAGGTCTCAGATGGAACACATCCAGCATGCACTCCGCACACAACTCAACTTATGCCGCGTTTGATCCTTTGAAGATGGCAAGTTCGGATCTGGAAGGATTCTGCTTATTGTCACCAACACTCGGGCAGGAATGCCAAGACGAACTAGGACGCACCATACCCGGTTACACGTAGCAACCGACTCACAGATATTCCTCCAAGATGCACTCACGTCTCTTCTCCCACAGGCCTCTTGGCAACCTGTAACGCTGGTTTGCTCCCGCACTCCGCATATGCTGCCAAGGAACTTTTGGCCACTAGGAGTTACAACGAGGATGGCCCGCTGCGGCAGTGGCAACGGCAAATGCCTCTCGCTTAAACAACAGTCCCACGAGGACCTCAACTCGTGGTTCGCTGTGGTGATTAGCGCAACAACCTCAAGCCTGCTTCTTGCGCCTTACCTTTAGGTTTGGGAAATTCATGTAGAATACCGCAGGCCATTGGTCGTTGTTGGAAGAATCCCGAAGATAAGGGTTGACGGATGTGGGCTAGAAACCTACAGTTTCTGGATAGCTCAATGGACCTGGAAATCATCTACTCATCAACAGTTGTCAATATGATGTTTAGAAGCTGGTTCCTCCACTATTCATCGTTTTGAACACCTCTTGACTAGATTAGCGCCAACGTCGCATTCCACAGACTATGACTCCTGTCGCGTCTCAGCGAATCCAAAATCAAGACTTGTCTCGGGAGGAAAGACAGCACCACGACTGCCAAGAAGAACTGTCTTCTTCTGCTTCGACCAGTCTAGAAACATCTTAGTCTATTCAAGGTCAGCTGTTATGAAACCGAAGGGTTAGCTGTTATGTTTGGCACCCACAGCACCACTGTCAATCTTTGTGTCAATCTCAGGACGTGCAAAATGAGCTACTACTCTAGAACGTAAGGCTAAGTGATTCTGCCTACTTGTTACAACGGTAAAAGATTAACTAGAAGTGTTTCTTGAAGATATCGCAAGTATGCCATATGCTCAACTACTATCATATCACAATCTTTGATCATAACCGAGCAAAATCCGGGTCTGGTGATTTGAATAATATGAAGCACAAATATAGATACCTTTCCAGGAAACGTTTGTTTCTCTTTCAAAGACCCTAAAACCATTACGTTTCTAGCAACCCATATTACCCATAAACTCAGGGGTAACGACGTGTTAGGGTACCCAGCATAGACCCGACGTGTCCTAAACGCCCCAACCTGCAAGTTTTTCTTGTCCCCCATCCGTAAACATCAGCTTCCCATTCGTGTAGCCAACAAACCAAATGAGAAGATACCGCCAGTGCCACCACCAGAAATGATCCTTTGCGCCAAACCACCCAAGCATCAAGTCCAAATTGTAGCACAAATTGTTGCAAGTACCCAAAACAAGAATGCTTAGAATCGCAACAAAGTGCACGGCTCGATTGCCGTAGATGCGATCCACGATGAAAGCGTTAATAAGGCCACCCATGGCACCGCCCATGCCGAGGGGACAAAAGACGATAGTCCACATGAACCTTTGGAAAATGTCACGCCAGCCAGAAAAGACGGCGATGCTGACGCTAAGCATCACCACTTCGAAGAGGAAGGAGTTGATCCAGAACAGAAGAAAAGGACGCAGGTAAATGGCTCGACGCTTGGAGGCTGTAATCTTTTCTTCGTCAGAGACAATGACAGGTTGATATGTAGATTGGGACATTGCAAAAAATTGATGAGGGAGGTAATTGGTACTTTTCTTTGCAGTAGGATTCAAGGAACGAGACTACATTAATTTGAAACCTTCCGACCCAGTTGATTGATTCTCTTGAATATCTCTTATATGCAATCATCGGAGTTTTCACATGGTCTTCACAATGTTTCAATTTTTGATTCGCGAGGTAGAGATTAGTAAACTCAGGAGACTGGAAAGCCTCGGCGCGTCTGCGTTCAACCGAAACCTGCTTACACTTGATCAATCATCACAAAATCCGGGATGCATCATCAGACGATACCCCGCATTGTATGGCGCTATGCCGATCAATGATTTTGAGCCACCCATCAAAAGGATTTAAAATTTTGGTAAAACAGAGACTTTGTTAAAATTACACGAGTTCGTTCATTAATGGTCATGAAAATCTAATCATACAAGCCGAGGCATTTAAAAAACCATGCACAAGCGTCCCTTCAACTGCTTCGACATGTAGTGTTCCGCCATCTCATTCGCCTGGTCAACGCTAAACGTCTTCTCGACGTAAGTCTTGCAGCCGTTCTTCGCATGCAAGTCAATCATCTCCTTGCTGCGCTCAGGGGTGCAGATCAATGCACCTCGAACAGTCTGCTCCTTAAAGTTCAATGCAAACGAGTCGACCTCAAAGGGACCATCAGCAGGCAGACCGACGTCCACCAGCACACCTCCCTTTCTGAGGAACTGCTGGCAGATCTTCACCAGAGGTCTGGCCTCGGTGTTAATGACGATGCGGTCGACGCCAGGGTTGGTGTCGTAGAAGGCACTCTGCAGTTCCTCAATCGCCTTCTTCTGGTTTTCCTCGTTGTCGATGAGGTATGTGCGGTCGGGCTTGAGGTGGGAGGGAACATCATTTGCCAGGTCGAGGGCCTCCTGGCGGTTGTCGATGGCGATGACCTTGCAACCCATGGCCTTGGCGTACTGAACACCCAAGTGTCCCAGGCCACCAATGCCAACCATCGCCAGCCACTGGCCGGGTTGCGGGTCCGCAGCCTTCAGAGCTCCGTAGACGGTAGCGCCAGCACAGAACAGGGGTGCTGCCTCAGCCCAAGGAATCTCATCGGGGATCTTGCAAATAACTCGAGAATCGGCCTTCATGTACTGCCCAAAGCCGCCGTCGACAGTGAGACCCAACATGCCAGTGAGGTTGTCGCACAGCTGCTTGCCTTTGTTGCAAGAGTTACACTTGCCGCAGCAGCCGTAGGTGTTGATGGATCCCACATGGTCGCCGACCTTCCAGCCCTGCTTCTCAGCCTCGGGGCTGAGCTTCACAATAGTACCGGCAGGCTCGTGGGAGCCGATAAGACCAGGCTTGGCGCCGGCGGACTCGTAGACACCTTCTTGTACTTGCAGATCGGTGTGACAGTATCCTGCAGCAGCGATCTTGACAAGGACATCGTTGGGTCCGAGGTCGGTGGGAACGTTGACGTCCTTGATTTCGTAGCCCTTGTTGAAGTCTTTGATGGCTGCCGCGCGCATCTGCTTGGGGATTTGGTCTGCCATATTGGATCGACGTAAAATATGCTCAAATGGGTATAATAAATGAGTCTAGTTGATGGGATGTGAGAACCTTGAGGCTGAGAACCTTTGAGGACAGCCCAGAGGTACTGCTTCTTATAAAAAGCTGGCTTCCTGGTCAAGAAGCGCTGAGTTCTCAGCATTTGTCACTTAGTCCACGGCTACATAACGATGACCTCAACCATTGATGTCCAAATTTCTGCGTATCTCGAACGTCAGAAGTGGTGGTCCATGCGGCTCTTAGGCTATGGCCAAACCCGCTGTTACGTCAATCCGGTTACGGGAACTCGCCCGTCTACAATCCTATTGAATGCGACCAGCCTTCAGTGCGTGGAGTGCGGGGCGTCGAACAGTCGGAAGCATTAGTTATCTTCCAGCCAGCTGCAGTTTGCCGTCCTAGCAAATTCGGAGTAAAAAAACGGGAACTTGTTGTAGATCATTTACACTAACATCAAGCACCGAAAGGGATAGTGTCATAAAAGTGGACCAATCGGGCATCGCCCGCGGCTCGGAGGCAACTCCTTGTTCAACAAATTCGTAGGGCTGCTGGGACACCGTAATTATCACTTATCGGTAGGACTTAAGAATTCTGATCAAAAAAGGAATTAGGAGAAATGATATATATCACCTATGCAGAAATCCACAGATATTTATGTATGCCCTGTGGTGGTATTTTATTTTAACCGTTCCAGGGTTCTGGACTTTAAAACGTCCTAAGATTAATGCTGTAACTATTGACTTAAGAGGATGCAGCTGCAATCAACAGCGATTAATGAATACCATAGCGGGAAAGCTCCCCGAGATCGTGGGATCAAGCCTGACCACAGGGGGGTAGGACGGAATGTGCTGTCATCAACTCCACCAGGTGGGACCCTATGTTGCCCCCGTTTACATCATGTTTCCGATCGCGATGAGCATGTGTCGGCAACTTTTTGGACAACGTTCCGTCCTGGCCAGAAGTATGATTGTTGTAACATGTGTGTATTATTCAGTAACACTCACTGCGAAACAACGAATCTGGTTGTATAAAGATGCCACGGCAGAAAGCCGCCGATTAGAAAACACTGGTTTACCGGACCACACATTCGTCAGATAGAGCAAATGGGCAGAACATTTATGTTTCCACGATGCTGTTGGTTAATAATCCAGATCTTAACTAAATTAGACGTCATATCTTCCACGATAACGCCCCTGTGGTAAATACTCCACCCCGTTGGGGATGCAGCTGATGCCGCGGACATGGAGCTGGTCAATCGGGCCCGATGGGGATGCGGACGACTGGGACCCACACCACCGTTCCGTGACGAGGTCCGAAGCCGACGTAGCGGGGAAGCCGAGGAAGTTCAATATCTCGAAAATGACAATTAAATTTGCTTTTGATTTCATAAACATCAAACTATTTTAGCGGAGCCAGAGGGTCTCTTCACAGACATGAACTGAGATTAATCGGATGGCTCATAACGCCTTGGGGGTATTAGGACAGAATCTATTTCACCAGGGACCATTTTCAAACACGCCTTGAGGATGAATGTAACGGATTGATTCTCTGAAGTGGCGTATTTGACGATCAAGTCTTGCGCTGCGAGAGTCATGTGTTCAGTGCATCGACAGATGGTTGTATAAACGCAGATCATAGAACAGGGGCTAGATACGAAGTTCTCAGACGTGGCTGATGGCATGAATCAGCCTCATGGTGTAGAAGTCTATTCTAAATATTGGCGAGGCGAACGCCTTCGGTGTTTCTTTTTCCAGCACAGATTCCTTAAAGCTACAGGGCTCAGCCGTAGAATGAGATATTTGTTCGAGAAGAAGAGCCTGGAGCAGCCCATTAGCTCAACACTTTGGTCTTTAGTCCCGTGGTGCCTGAAGCCTAGAATGCGTCAAAGTCTAACATCTCTCGGGTGTTGTAAAGTCTGGATCGTCTCGCGTCCCCCGGCCCAGACCGATCGGCAAGCTGAGGTCAGCCGTCGGGAAGCGCCATGATGTTGTCCTTGACTACCGGTCTCACGGTGCCGGCTGACTCGCTGTCGTCGACGACACCGGGGGAGGTCGAATTGCGGGAGCGGCTGGAAGCTCTGTGCACAATTGTACTAACAAGCATCGCAAGGAACCAGTCTTTTGTGCACAGCTCTCCCGCAATGAAGTTTCCAGAATGGACCGAACTCCAAGTGGATACTTCTAGGGCGCGCTGATTGAGTGCGTTTGAGGTTGTTGGCGCAGAGAGTTAAACCCAACAATTGGGGAGTTGGTCTGAGCGAAGGCAAGTTCCGTAAGGCCTAGGCCTTAAAACCCAGCACCCGAGTGAACGGATCAGTGTCTGACCAGTGTCATTTTTTGAATATGGGAGCCAAACTTAATCCCTGTACAAGCTGAAAATAATCATAGCAAGAACCTTTGAAAGTTCAGCAGGACACCTGCCAGGCTGGAAGCAACTGGGCTGCATTACGCTTGGACCACTTACTTGGATGCCCTTGGCTGATATGGGAGCTCCATGGCAGTAGGGGGTGTGAGCTCGTTAAACTTGCATGCAGTTGAGACTAGCGCTGCAAATGAAATTCAAGGTCCTTTTTACAATCAATTTCTTTGCAGCCTGACTCGAAGGGCGTGCAGTAGGAAGGATTGGCGTGTTCCTGTTTCATCGTCCGAGGTTCGCGCTATGTCTGCAGGAAAAAGAAACGGCTCTGCTAGCGCGAGCCGTGGCGGCCTCACCACGCGCCGTTACTCATTTGCCGTGCAGCAACAATGATGAAGTTCAGATGTTGTGTACGTCCGAGCATGAAGCTAGGGGGTTAGTAAGTAAGTCCACCAGAAAAAATAGCACAAGGCGCCGGCGTTGTTTGAGAATCGGTCGTCCTTCCCGCACATTACCATTACACGTGAGGTTGCATCTGCCAGCTAAGATTATCTGGGGTATCTCAGGGGTTGAGAAGCAAGTCATAGCGATCAAACGCTTTCAAATCACAAATTCCATGAGAGCCATAGGATATATAAACATCGGCCTTGGTCTGTCGATCATGGACTTTTGATCAGCACTCACCACTCAAGCACACAAACAGCCTTACAAACCCAGCTCTTTACTCTCTTTTAACGACATTCGCACCTCGTCTACTCGACATTTCTTAATTTCAACTTTAACCATAATCAATATGAAGTTCTCCACCTCCATCGCTCTTTTCGCCGCCGGCGTCCTCGCCGCGCCCAGCGCCAGCGACCTCTGCACTCGCGAGGAGGTCAGCACCGTCAACACCATCATGACCACTGTCCTCGAGGGCATCCAGTCTCTCGATGCCACCTGCGCTTCTTACACTGGCGGCCCTGGCCAGGAGCTCGTTGACGCTTCCAACAAGATGCTCACCATTATCCGCACCGCCACCAACAACGCTGCCTCCATGCTTCCTCTTACCATGGATGAGGCCATCGCCTTCCAGCCCCTGTCCGACAAGCTCAACGCCGCTGGCGACAAGCTCCTCACCGACATCCAGAGCAAGACCCCGCTCTTTGCCCAGAGCTGCATCTGCGAGGTCACTCTTAACTGGGTCGCTCAAATTGGTAAGGATCTCTCTCTCGACGTAGATTGCCAACGTGACTAACACTAAGGGTAGGTGGAAACGTCAACACTCTCATGACCACCATCTCTACCAAGTTCCCCGCCGGTGGAAAGGGCGGTGACGAGATCCAGCACTTCAACAAGATCTTCGCCGATATGCAGACCTCCCTCAGCGAATGCTCCGGCAAGGCATGCTCCGCTGGCTCCGGTGGCTCCGGAGGCAACAAGGGCTCTTCCCCCACCCAGGCTGCTGCCCCCACCGCTTCCAGCACCGCCCACTCCGGCAAGGGTAACGGCACCAAGGAGGCCGCTCCCACCGGCAGCACCAAGCCCGTTGTCACCGCCGGCTCTGCTGTCTTCACCTTCTCTGGCGCTGCCATGGCTGCCGCCATTGCTGCCTTCTTCCTTTAAATGTGCTGATTTTCAGTGCTTTTGGACGGATCAAGTCATGACGCAACGGGTGGACATTTGCACATATTACTAGTATGCACAAAACTTTTGTTGCCGAGAGCGATTGCCAACACAATTCTGCTCCTCGACATAGTCACGAACATAATGTTTTCATTGGAATATTTGGGGAGGGGTGGCCTGCCAATAATGTGTAGTTCATCATGCATGTAGATATCTATACTTGAAATTCAACAACGTATTCTCAAAAAAAAAACCTGATTTCATTGCATCAAACACAAGAAATAAACCAAGTGCTTCAGAAAGATTCGTTATGAAAAGACTTCCATAGCCCTACCGCGAAAAGTGACGGACATAAACGAGCTAGTTTCAGACAAACTGCTTCTTGTATGAAGAAAACGATATGGGGAGAAAAACAAAGGCGCGCATCAAGGCGGAAAAAGAAAAACCTCCAGGATAGAACCCGGAGGGTGAAGACAATAAACGCACTCCGATTCTATTATAATGAAACCGTCTCATTTTCATTTCGTATTCTGTCTTATGTTTCACGGAGTTAAATAGTAGTTATGGGGAAAGATATTTCCCGTTCAATAGTTCTATCGCCAACTGACTTCCCCCTACATCGCCCATATGATATCGGCTGTTCCGATCCGATCCCCCAGATTTTATGTCGCAGAGTTTCTCGCCTTACTTCGACGATTTTAAAGCTAGAGATGAACCTACATGCACCCGCTGGCGTGCAGCTCGCTTCCGCTTGGAATCATAGTTGAAATTGTCTCTCGGCACGCTACGCGTAGAGCACGACGTAATTTCTCCCAATAACAACTCCAGCCGGTGTTAATTGCTATTAAAACTACGAGGGAACCAATCATTCTTTCCTCTTGCACCTAACAGGGCTAATGGTATGGCCATAGTTGACCTTTGCGTCATCGGTCTATTGCCGCGGCGCCTTAACAGCTGGGGGAAACTTTGTGGAACCCAGCCTGTATCCAAGCGCTCTTGGCTCCCGAGCGACTCTGCCTCAAAATCCCCTGCGGACACATCGCATGTCAGATGCGAGGGAGGGAAGCAAGGGCAGCAGCATGGAAAGTTTGGGCCGCAAAACCACGTCTCTGGCGCAACATCAAGCATTTTCGCCACGTACTAGTCACGCAATTCAGCCGCAAAGTTTATACCTACGGAAATAACATCTAGACACTTTCCGCTGTTTATGTTTCGCCTTTCGTTTTGCTCTAGGTATATCGTGACTTGAATCTGCGTCATTGATTTACTCTCTTTTTACACGTCTGGCCTCGGCCATATCCGAATGACAGTTCATGTCAGACACAGATTGTAACGTAAACGAGAAACATAAGCATGTTGTTGATACACGGGAGGATCATCTAATCTCCGCCAAACTAAATACATGATTTACTCTGCCGCATTACTAGCGCATGTCCATGGTTTTGTTGTTGATGCACTCGCGATGGATTCAATCGACACCCAAAGCCCCAAAACGCAGAGGATGATTCCGACAAGCAGCAGAATCACGGTCATAACAAAGCCTGTTTTTTGCTTCCAGTTGGAGAACCAGTTTCCGTAGTGCATCCACAACCAGAAGATGCCCGGCAGTCCAAAAGAAAACCAACTGGCGAAAGCAGCAGAGACAAGACCCAGCAGGTGGTTGAATACAGGGATGGACTCGGAAATCACCATGCCGATTCCCCAAATCACAAGCGTGATGAGGAGCCAGGCAATGGTGGACACTTTTGTCCTCCTAATAACGTGTTTGGTGTTGCCAAAAATACGCGCAAACACGTACTGCGACGCCACATGGGCGTAAATCACAGCCGCGATGCCAATTGTGGGGATCGCAACGCCCCAGATCGCCTTTCGGATGGTAGGGCTTCCGGCCGCAGACAGAGCCGGGGATGGGACGTCCGGGCCGACGTAGACGTAGATGATGACCGCCGAAATGAGGTAGAGCGTGGTATCCGTGATTTGAAGGAATGCGAGGGCCTTTGGCCAGTCGTCGGGGTTCTTGAACTCGGCGATGACGCTAAAGAAGATGGAATGGCTGGCAAACGCACCGGCGATGTTGGTGACAGCCAGGAACGCAGGGGAAAAGCCGAGCTTTCGGAAGATGTCGATGGATCCACTTCCAATCGGCTTCTCAATGGCAACGTCGACGACGGTAATGAGAACAGCCACGACGATGGATATGCAGGATGCCGCCGACATCCAACTCGTGTACTTCAGTGTTCTCGGAATGTTGAAGAGCCAGAAGAAGATCATTCCAACTGCCGCCCAAACGACTGTGCAGACTGTGCTGTTTGTAAGGGTATTCATGCAAATGGTCCACATGAGAATGTGTCCGCCCATGAGGAAGATTTGAACAATGGTCTGAGCCCATCCAAAGACCTCGCGGAAGATGCCACCCATGCCAATCGGCCTTCCAATGAGTTCAACCGCATCTCCAAAGTTCCTGACAAAGGGATATTGCTTGCGAAACTCGGCAAGTAGTAATCCAGAGTAAGTCGCCAATGCGCTCATCACACATATGAGAATGATACCGGGTACCAGGCCTACCGTGGCAAGAACTGACGGGAGGGAAAGGATTCCCAGAGAGACCGTCTCTGCCACAAGCAAGATACCTCCCTGACTGCGACTTGGTTAGCCTGCTTTGAAATACCTTATGGTAAGTAAGGGCAAGGAGGACCTACAGCCAATTCAGCGTCTTGAAGTTGATCAACTCGCCCTCATCCTGTTCCATGATGCCGCCAATGTGGCTTGAGGATGAGGCTACGGGGAGCTGTCCTTGGGCCAATTTGGAGCCGATAGGCTCGTCGCGCGTTGTTTGGTGTTCGGGGTCGACTGGCGCCCTCATGGCTTCGGCTTCGTTTCCCATGTTGATGAATCTGGGGTGCCCGGGAGATGAGATCGGTTCAAGCCGACTGATGAGAAGCTGTGAGCCAAGCTAGATCGCGATCACTTCGCGAGTCAAAGGCGCAGGGCACGGAGGATTGGTGGAACCGATTCACGCTCGGTGGAGCGTTGGAAGAAGAGAAGACCACTTCAATAGGCCAACATGAAATGCAGGTCGGAGTGGTGGAGATCAGCGTCAGACTGTGACCTGCAGCGGGCGATTTAGCTTTGAGGGGCCCCGGATTCTTGAATCATATAAGGTGTACAGTTCTCGCCGGCATATGTTTAAGGGAAGAAAGTCTTAAGAGCGAGAGTGAGAGCAACACATTATCATCATGCCTCCCGGGCCATCACCGCTCTCCCCCCCCATTGACTCATGGGCATTCGGGCTCTTCCGCGCCACCTGACCCGGCGGCAAACAAAACAACTTAACGTCGGAGCCAATTTTCTGACACAACTGAGGACCAAAGGTGTTACTGTTTCCGGGTACTCCGCTTGAAAATCAGATGGCGGCGAAAATTCAGCAGTTCTTGTTACGTCTTTCTATCCACTTTTGGCCCGCTCTAGACTTTAGACCCCTTTTTGGGGTCCATGAGCTTTGGTAAGGTATGGGCTGAAATTTAACGTCACAGTCAGAAGACGAGAAGGGATTTTACTAATCATGCTAATTCATGATTTAAACGTTCTTGAAACCTTATTAACTTGTCATGGGTAGCTTGCTGGAGGCGTTAACCATCACGGGATGATGTGAAAGTGTGAGCTGACAGCTGTGATTGGGTTACGAGTCATTCATGCAGCGCACTTTATTGCAACCTCCAAAATCTTTTTATGCAGCCAGTGGCGTTTTGTGCAATTGAATAAGCCTCGACAACTTTTTATTACTCCTTCCACATCCACATTCTTGCGTGATTCAATTAACTGCACAAAGACAAGGACATGTGATTCCTTTCAAAAGCCAGTTGAATGACTTTTAGTACTATGGTTCTTGCCATAATCCAAAAGGTCTGGAGTAGGCCTCGCCCTGTTTATTTCAAATCAAACATCAACTGGGCTTTCCAGCGAGTTTAACGCTTTGTTGTCCCATGTTCCGGCGGTTTTCTTGGCCACATTACGAGAAATCAATAATATGGGAGTAAGGAACGAATGTATTCGGCCAACTTATGCTGGCAAAAATGATCAATGCCTGAATCCAAGCAATGTGAAAGGTGATTTTTGTGTGGTGCCTCATCGCTGCAAATGATTTTTCGCTATCCAAGAACAGCCTTATCCTTACAGACGACCTTAGCTAGTTACTCTACTTGCAAAGAGTGGCAACTCTGGACGTCGAGTATCTTCACACACCCGACACATCCACCAGAATTATAGGCAGCCATGCCATGCAGGTTCAGTTAGTAATAGACTTGGAGCTAAGAGACTCACTACTCATTTAGCTGTACTAACTGTGCAGCCTCAAAGATTTTGACTCTGTGGTCAGTGTCCGTCATACGCGACTTTGACTTCTGGCCAGACCGCAGCTGTCAGCAAAAGTCTCCGCACTACACCATTTCACTCTCAAGGCTAGACTCTGCCGAGCCAAAAAATCACTCTCTCCAAAGTTCGACGGCAGCGCCAGAGACGGAAAAGCCATGGTTGCAGAAACTGCCAGAGTGCTGGATGCAAGATTATCAAAGAGCACTTCAAACCCGCAATCGGTTGGGGTTGTAATATCATCTGCTCGGTAGGCATCCGGAAGACCTGGACCTGTTGTACGTTTGCATACTGAAGCAGGAACTTGCGAGACGTTCTGGTCCGCAAAACGCATCACGCGCGTACTCTAGAGATTGCTACGAAAGTTTTACTATGGTGGTAAAAAGCCCAATTCTAGGTACACGAGTATCTTTCTAAACTATCACATTATGAGGCAACTACTTGAGAGCAACTCTAACATTAGCGCCCTTTGTGGTTGACCTAACAATATTCTCCTGACTAATAGTGTTACCACCATCCACATGTTTTGGTGTATAACTGTATATGTCATAGTGAAAGATCGGTAGGCTTTGCTTCGTGTTAGAACAGGATGTTAGGGACGTATCAACATAATTTGCTTTTGCGTTCATTTCATCCCAAAATGAGGAATCTATTTACAACACGCTTTGAAGTAATAAATACACTGTAAGTGGTGAACAGTTTAGTTGAGACCATAGCACCGAAGGTCACCGTTGAAGTTGTCAATGGGCACCCAGTCTAAAAATAGACAGTTAGTAATAATCGCCTGAAAATAATGAATAACACTTACAAAGGTCGATGCTCGTATCGACTCTGCCGCCGCCGATCGTGTTGCATTTAGACCTAAGAGTCCAGCTGTTCGCGATACTGGTGCCGAAGCAAGACCCTCCGAAACCGCCGCTGTTTCTGGTTAACACTGGCACATGCATAACTTTAAGATAAACTTACTTAGCCTGTGCTACCAATCGTCCGTTGGCGTTGGTAATGCATCTCGAGAGGTTAATCTGCGAGCGCTCATAGTTGCCGTTGCTGCGCCAAGAACAGTTAGCATTGTCTAGAACAACATCAAACACCTCTTCACTTATTATGGCTTAACTGAGAGAACAGATTTATATGAAAGATTTCACTTACTTTCTTCTGCACATGCAGACCAGGTAAGGGTCGGGAGTCCCGGGCCCTCCGCCGATGCCGCATTCCATGCAGGTGTCCATAAAATTGGCAGCCGCAGTCTTTATCATTTAGTTTCTGGCGGAAAGAATCACTCGCTTGGAAGTAGCTCAAGGGCAAGACTTACAGAAAGAAGACCAAGGGTCGCGAGGATGGATGAAACCTTCATTGTGGCGGATGTTGGACGTGATACCAGATTGAGAATGATTGATGTTGGAGGTGTAGATAAGAATGGGAAAGCATTGCATGTTGGCAAGGCGTTAATTTATAGTTTAGAGAAGCATACTTGAGAATATGCCATGAAGCCCGTAGTCATGGCCACGTGCAGCGTGTTCGCATATCGGCTGGTCCGAAAGCGAATCGGCGTTGGATGTGACTTGGCTAACCGAGGTGGAGGGAGGCAGTTTACCTTCTAATTCGGAATTAGTTACAAAGTCGGTTATACAATGATCATAAGTTTTTACCTCTTCGAAAACCAAAGATCTTTTCCTGCAGCATGATTGATGGTCAAAGCTGGAGGCTCTGCATCTATCACGGGGCTGGGCCGTGCCTAGCGTGGAAGTAAATCGGTCCTGCGTGCCAGTTTAGGTAGTCTATATCCAAAGTCCCTTTAAAAATGGGGATCACAAGGGTTTACATCCATGTCGATTTAACGATCGGTTAGTGCGGGTGCGATAGAGTGGATAAAATACGGTGAAACTGCCAGATCAAGACACTAAGTCAAGGGTTTATACTACCAACAAAATTTACGACTTTTGCCAGGACCACTTCAATGCAACCAGAACTTTTGTTGCTACTGTTGGCCTACATGTGGGTTTTACTATGTGTGATCAAGCCTTGGCCCTCGTGTCAATGAAAAAGCCCTCAACTATCTATACTCATTCAGGAAAGATAAGGGACCGGCTGGTAGGCTAAATGGGATAGACTGGCATCGACATGCAAGGGTGCATAGTGGCGAATATCATTCTCTTGGTATGTTCACGCCCTGGGTCTGATGCCAACAAGGCGCGCAACTTTTCTAGGCCTACATCAAGAGGCAAGTCGTTGGCCTACTACTCGGCCATTTGCACGCTATGTTAGTGTTGTAACTTACGAACAATGGTCCTTCAGCACTAACTTTTGCACATCTGCAACATTTGGAATCAGCAAACGCGGAAGTATGAACAGGAAACTCATAACACGCTCATAATGAAACCCCACTTTCCACGTCCGAGAGTGCCAAGCCTTGAGCCTTGTCTATGGATCCAGTGAAAAGATCTTTTGCTTCAAGCTGGCTTAAACGAGCTAGTGAGCAATCGATAAAATATTGTATGGTCACAAGGGGTCGCCCGTGCTTGCGGAACTGGGAAATAGAAAGTGCTCCTATGGGAAGAGCGCCTCCTCGGAGTGTGCATGACCTCGTTCTTATTCACTAGATATTTGGCGAACGAGGTTCATTAGGTTCTGGGAAGCTGCAATACATTTGTTAAGTGAGGCGCAATATGGCTCGCAGTAGTAGCTTCATGCACAGCATAATTGTCAGTCGCGCCCTTCAACCTCGCCTAGCGACCTCGTATCATCGAAGAAAGAATGTTTTCATGTTAGGTCAGATTGACCTAAGGATATGCCCGAAGTTGGATTAAATGACCACATACCAGCTTTCAGCCTAATTATAAATCGTTACATTTTCTCGTTGATGTCTTAACCACATTAGAAATCGGTCTTGATAATACACTATCTTGTGCGTTGGAAATACGACGTGCGTCAGTTACTGGCGGAAGCCAAGGACGCGCTGAAGAGATAAGAAGTTAACTTTTCACTGCTGTTGCTTGCTATTAGGTCCGTTATGATTCATGTGCTATACTGGAGATATAATTGCTACTATTCCTTCTGTAGAGGTTTAGAGGCGTACGCCATCTTAGCACTGGTTATTGTTGTAGGCTCAAAACATTGGAAAAAGATTCACACAAATGCTATCCCATCGACTGCGGCACGGCAACAGGTACATAGCCTGAGGTGTACGAACGAATCAGACACGGGTACTGTGACTTTCACTGAAATAGCGTACATTATGTTATTTAATATCTGGAGATATTTGGGCTTTTAAGCGGACTGATTTGTACCTGTTGCCATGCCGCAGTCGATGGGATATCTTTAGACGACCCAGAATCCCTGACCCAAGAGGTACCCAGTTTCAGATACAAAGACTCCATGTTCGTGAAGCCGGATCTCTCCAGATACGGTTTCTTGGGACTGACTCTCGGGGCTTTCAATTAGCTCATTGACTTGTTCGGCATTTCTAAACGTCTTGATGGTGGGTATGGTTACGAATCCTGAGAGGAACGCGATGGTCAGATCGTAAAATGGGGGCGCTCACTGAACCATCATGTTTTTAACAGGCTATCGGCTCTATTTCCTTACCTATATGTGTAATATGTGTAGCTACAGCACACCTCTTTTATTATTTACAAAAAGAAAAACACAAGAAGAACTTGCCTGTCTTCAGCCTTTACATCGGAGCTACAAACTATTTGTTGTTTTTTTTATTGCGTCACATCTAATTGGTCTAACGTCGATATTTCATTTTGCGTGGGGTAACCACGTAAGAACTTAATTATATATATATATATAGAAATCGATAGCTCCTGATAATCAACTCATAAACACGCAAATGTGGTTGTGAGGCTCGACAGCCTTTGGTATCTCTGGTTGCAATCGTTCAGAGCGGCGCGTGCCGTGTCGTTCTTCAAGAGCATCTCCACCGCGCAGGCCATTAAGCAGTTCAGATACGGTCAAATCACTAGCCTCTGTAAGGCCGCGCAATCCGGGGTGAGCAGAATGGGGAAGGTACCTCTTTACACTTCACAGTATTACCTTAGTTACGGATACCGGATTCCGGCCAAAAGTAATCAATCGTGTAATAACGGTACGATCATCAACTAAGCTAAATTCAGAACCAATTCTGGTAAACCGGATTTTAGCCTCAACGGTGTGGTGTCGAATACCTACAATCAAGCTAATTCAATCATCTGAATATCCCCATCTTCCCATCCGGCCTGGTAATAGGCGTCATGTTTCCACATCAGTCCATTCGAGATGGCCTTGAACACCCTGGTCTTGTCTGTGTTCGACAGCTCGTCCTCCGGTGGCCGCATGACCTCGCGCAAAAATGATTCAAAGTCCGGCCATTCCTTTTCTGCCGTTCTACTGACATGGTCCTCGCCAAAGTCTGGCATTAAAATGGGCTGGACCATCGTGCTCTCGGGGATATAGAAATCTGTAACAGTGCGGATCCCCACGCACAGAAAGGGGGACCGTTGCCCGCCTTGAGACTGTTCGAATGCCGTCTGTCCCATACAGGCGAGCACGTTCGCGTCCCCGATGCGTCTTGCAACACTCTCGATAGTCGCGAGCGTTGTGGCATCCAAACTGAACATCAGAAGAGGGATATTCGCACGCCCATCATCCGTGGCCGATGCTCTTGGGAACTGTTCCAGCAATTCTTTCTCTTTCGCGTAGTCATAACGGTTGTTTGCCACGCTGAACAGAAGCTCGACGTCATCGGCTTCCTCGGCATCGCCGGTCCATATTTGAACTTCCGTGGCACCGTTATAGATCTCAAGCATGAGCTGGACCTGCTGGTTTCGCTCCAGGATTGAGGTCTGGTTGATACAAATCGCGCCGATCCATACTCTTCTCTTGACGTCTGGCTTGCGCAGTCTGTGCAGGGCGGAGAAGAGGTTTGCCGTAGCCTTGAAGTTTTGTCCATCGCACTGGATCATCTGAGCTCCAACGTCAGGATCGCCCCAGGTATAGGAAAGTGCCTCGTAGTCCCCCGGCTTCGCGATGGAGACTGTGTCCAGTTCAACTTCGATAGGGGCATGTGAATCTCCAGGGAGTATGTCCAACAGGCGGATTGTGCCGGGCAGCAGTTTTTGATATAACTCGGGCATCATGCTCGGTATTAACTTATCGAGGGAACGGACTGTTCAATGTGGAACGAATGGAAATGAGGATCTCTCCATACACACCAAGACTGAAGACAAATGGACGGAAGGACAGGATTGAAGGTGTGTGAGTCCATGAGCTCTTGTTATATTTCACTCGCCTGGACTTTGTTAACATCGACGGCGCCTTTTTCTGCCTTGTTATTCAGCCATTGGGCCGGACAAGTCCATGTGTGTGCTCTCAGGCATGTTGTGCAAAGACGCACGCAGGACTATAGCCAACGAGCTCCGATGCATGTACGAATACGTAGCAGATATTTAGCCAACAGAACAGCAACGTGTTATCTAAAACTGCCGCCTAAGGCGGGGCGGGCGTCAAGCATCTCCGACCCTATGATATACGTGCAGCACTGAACAGTCTTCCCACATCCATTACAGCCATGATTGTATCTGTTGGGTTTCAGTAAGGGGACTCGAGAGACTAAAAGGATTGAAAGTCCTTCATCATGGGTATATTATCACATATAAGGCCAATGCCAACTTCCCATCTACACATCGCCCCGCCAGCATCCACTGTTAGTGCTGCGCTGGGCACTACACCACAATACTAACATTGCAATCGCAACATCTACACATCTGAATCTCTCGTTCGCACGCGAAGGCCTCGCAGCTAGCTTCGGGCACCCCACGGGCCTCTAATGACCTTTTATCCGCTCCCGCGGATCCTTTTTCCCCTACCTCCCTACCCGCACCTCCAGAAGTGCAGGCTGCCATGCTAGTATAGCGGGCTGCTCTGCGTCTCACTATCACACCAAACAGACACTGCCTGATGACTTGGGAAGTTCCTTGTGTGGAAAGCAACGAAACCTGATTTTGAGAACCCGTATCTGTGTCGAGGCCATCCTCAGACAACGAGGCGATAATAAGCCTCTGGGCAAGTACTGGGCTACCAGCTTCATCAAGCGTCACCTCCAACTACATGTCAAGCTTGGAAAACTCCAGGAAGCCGCCAGACTTGACGAATTTAATCCGAAGGCGGCCAAATAGTACTTCGATATCCAGGAGAACGAGTACGGCGGGATCAAGTCTGAGAACATGGATAAGGACAGCATGGTCGGTAAGTGTCTTATGAATACTACATGGGTTCCCAAAGATTATTTTTCAAAAAAGAAAAAAGAAAAAGAAAAAAGAAAAAGAAAAAAAAAGAAAAAAGAAAAAAGAAAAAGAAAAAAGAAAAAGAAAAAAGAAAAAGAAAAAAAAAAAAAAAAAGAAAAGAAAAAGAAAAAAAGAAAAAGAAAAAGAAGTATATGTGTATATATAAAAGGTTGTTCATAAGGCCTGAACAGCCTTATAAGGTAATCAGGAGTTCTGACCCCAAGAAGAAGGTGATGTTAAAAGGCGTCCAGGCGCGCACTTAGGAACCGAGTCTGCCCCTTTCTGATTCAGCCTCCTTCCTATAATCAGTCAGAGCAGTTGGAGCAGTTGGCCGGCTATCGCTTCTGAAGAAATCTGTTACGGGTGGAGTACATTACAGGCAAGGTGCAGTACGAGATTAAGGAAACAGAGATATAAATTGAGCAATGTGTGGCGCAGCATGGGCTTGGGGAGACGAGGACAAAAAGGCAGGCAATGCATATAAGCATTAGTGACTGGTGACTGGTGACTGGTGCCCTTTCGATTAAAATAAGCCGCCGGGCATAATGAATTTCATAGTCTTGTGTAGCCTGCGCGGATGGCTGGACGGAGAAATTCATATTACCTCGAAGAGGCCTTGTAGTGTTGATGGAGTCAAGGAGTTGTAGCTATAATTGGGTCAGAAACGCCCACCCGGTTTTCTATTGATTTTCGGTCTTACCTAAACGACTTTTGACCTGCTTAGGCTTGGACCTCTTCTGTACCATGTTCCCTGCAGTTCGGCCAGGGTTTGAACGACGACTTCTTCCACGGTTCCTACTTCGTGAGTGCGGGTCCCGGAGGCGCTGCAGCAAAGCTGCCAGATATCCCCCATCTTGTTTTGCCTCGCGCATGTTTATGCGATGTTCATCCTGAAGCGTATAGGCGCGGAACGCTTCGAAATCATCCCAAACCTTGACGTCCTTTTGCACCCGTCGCGCATCAATAAGGTCAACTATATTGACAAGTGTATTCTTGAGGTCCTTCTTGCATTCGACTATTGAGTCCCTTTCGGGTATGCGAATCTCACGACAGAGGCCTTGGTATCCTCTCAATTGTTCCTCTTCGGTCAGCTTCTCTCCTTGCAGCTTCGACTGCGAAAAGTAGTGCAGTTGAAGTTCTTGGCGCATCGCAATGGTGCGTTCCTGCGTGTAGACTTGGGAGCCCGGAACCCAATTTTGAGAAGACGCGAGGCGGGAGAACTCATCGTCGAAAGACGCGTCGTCGTTGGGTGTAAAATTATCAAATTTAGCAAAATGAGACTGGGACATTGGAATATCCGACACCTCTTCCTCTTCTTTAATTGACATCATGAAACTTGCTTTGTAAGGTATTGAAAAGATGGGTATATGAGGAACACAGCTATAAACGCGATACTCCGTAGGTACACAAATGAGATCGTGTTGCTCCTTGTCGTTGTGCACGTGACTGTAAACATTGACTTACGTAACCATCTCGTCTCCAGTGAGCACACTGATGCAGCAGACCTTCTCTGGGCGGACCATCACACCACACATACTCCGTCCGAAGCCAACAAGCTGCACGGGGGATACTGGCGTAAAAAGAAACATTCGAATTGGCATTGGCTGACGTCGATGAGCAGAAATGACACCATCTGGTTCTTCTGGCTCTGAGCCCAGGAGGCGGACGAGACATATTGGCACGTCTTCTGATGAGGGCTCGGAACAAGCCTGCATGCCTGTTGAGCGTAATGGAAGTTGTCAAGACCGACGGATTGATATGGCTTCGGTAGACCTGTTAAGATTAGAGCACAAGACAAGCGGCCGGACTGATTCCGAAGACACAGCGCACCGCCGTCAAACATCATATGACGGACATGGGTTGGGTTACTAGTTGGAGTGCGGGCAGCCGCACCGGTCTGGCGGCTGCTCTGCGTCTTCAATCTGCGAGAAAAGTTCGGTTGCGAGTCGGAGACGATCACGGTAACGGGAAGCTGGATCTGGAGTTGTGTCCGGGGTTTCATAGGTCAACCATGGGTGCGGTATCCCCGGCGTGTATTTTTGTCGTGACCCTATCCAACTGATACGACGTTGTATCGCCGGCGTGGGAGCCTCTGCATTTTGAGATATGCGGAGACGGAACGGTGGCTGGAGAGGACGGAGGCGCATGTCGGTCGGCTCAGAAACTAGATTGCAGTTGCGGCCGGCTTTAAGTGCAAACCCGGACGATACTACCGTATGGCCCGTACCGGATACGGGGCGGCCCATCTCGGTCTTGCCACGGGCCGAGGCGCTCCTGTGGGAAGGTCTCCGTGCGGAGCAAAAGACTAACGGGGCCGTTAAAGCCTACCCACGGCCGGCCAAGTGACTTCCCGGAAGGAGTGGGCTGTTCGAGGCCACGGCTCGACTAGACGCAAGGTGAAGTAAGCCAGAAACGAAGTCAACACCCAGCCCCGTGATAACTCAGTGAAACCAATAATGTCACCGGGCGTAATTGATAAGTGAGTGAATATACTGCAAAGTCGAAATCTAGAAGAAGCTGACATTCGTTGCCACTGCAGCCATGTGTAAGAGATATCTTCGGTTATCGGAGCAACGTGAGCAACGTCCTCCCAGTCATACGGTAAGGATCTACTTGTTGCTGATTGTTCCTGGACACACCCTGCTTTCAGTTCAGGCTGATATTGCCCATAGGCCCCGAAGATTTGCCCATTTTTTCCGCAGGTGGCAGAGTAGTTTTTAATGTAAATGCGATGTTTTGCTTTCTTTTCTCCTCTTTTTGCTCAATTCTTTCTCTCACTTGTTGTCTCTTCTGGGCTGGAGGAACGAACAGCTCTTTAGCCTGCCGAGGAGTAAGAATTTGGCTCATTGTAATGTCTTCGAAGACGTTACCGAGATCATGGTTTACGTAGGAAACAAAACGGATTAAAATTATAATGACAGACGGCAGACAAAAAATAAAGGGTGCAAGGCAATGAGGACTAGTTTATTGATCGGGAAACCGTACTTCCCCGTCTCGGAAATGCCGTTTGCTATGAGTTTGCGACTGGTAAGCTCTCTGGTGATAGAAGATACGTACAGTCTCGGCTCCATTCCAGGGGACATGAGATGAGATAACAAAGGATTTCTTACAGCAGCTAGTTAAATGGTTGGTGTTTGGAGACACCTGCCAGAACGGAGCCAGCTTTTCCGCACTGGCAACAGACTGAAGCTCACTGTACTCACTTGGACTGCGTAGCAACGTCACAGAACTACACCCCATTTTCCGTGCTTGAGCTGGAGGCCGAGGGGCCCCCAATCGCTATTGAAGAGCCCCATCCCGAGCCAGGAGGATATCTGCCTATGGAGGGCAACGTATCTTGCAGATGGCGGATAGGAAGATTTTCTTAGTTTTCGGCAGTCACTAGCCCCGGCATGATCAGCGGCTAAGACGAGCACATATGAACAAATTTTCTTGTGTTCAGAAACCGCGGTATACAGATCAATCACCCAGTTCTATATATAGATTGCCAGGGGCAACATCTCTACCCACAGGCCCAAGATATGCCGCTGATCGTAGCTGTTGGTGGCTTTTCTGAAATGGGTCTACGATTATAGCAAAAGGAGAGGTAATTCTTGGTTGAGACTTCTAGGCGAGCCACTAAGTCTGGGAATTGCCAATATTAAGACCAGGTTTGCAACACCTCGGCGCTACGATCTGCTTCCTATGGTGATGGAGATTCTGAACATCATCGTCTCGAGCCACTTTGGAGACTTGATGTGTGTACGCATTTAATGAAAAGATAACACTCTTGGCTTGCTTGATCGACGCCTGAACTGCGGACGGAGTACTAGAATCGAATTGTGATAGTGGATGGCCAGAAATAGAGGGCAACCTATTTGCGGCATGATCCTCACACACATACAAACCTATTCAACACCTGATCGACTTCGAGGCACCAGCCTACTCTGATTGTTGTCATACTCCAGTTAACGTCAAATCTGGAAAAACACAACCAGTGGAAGGGGTGTTGATGTGTGTCATGTTGGGTTGAGTGGAGCCATCGACGAGTACGTTCATAAAAGATGTGATTGGTGGTTGCCCCCTAAAATGTCCCTTTCCACCAGCCACATTTGATGGCGATCCAGAGATGGAGATCAGTTGATTCAAATGTGAGTCTCATCAGGCATTACTTCCCTTTTCCATAGTGTCTACTCAAGGGCCAGTGCCGGTATAAAGTGGAATGACAGAAGAGCGGAAAAGTAAATCAGCCACCAGCAACAAAGTGGGCGGCCCTCGTCATATTTCATCACAACTCCACGGCATCGTGTTCCAGCGAAATAGAAATCACGAGAACTTTGAATGCAATAGTAACCTGACCTGAGCCGCCAAGCGCGTAGCGCCGAGCCTCACCCAAGAAGCGCCCAGCGCCAGGTGGCCCCAACGTCAGCTAACAACCCCTGCCAGCCAAGCGGTCCCAAGAGCAAAGGGGACCTATTAGGATATCGAACCAAGAACATCCTCTCTTGGCCTCGCTCAACGGTGGTCGTCAGAAAGGCTGCCTATGTCCGGCTTGCGCACTGCTCCACCTGGCGGAAAACCACAACAACGTAACAACAACAGGTTCCTCCGCTTGGCGCCGAGGCAGCGGTGACACCGCCGCGAATTACGGGCCCCTCCGCCGAGAGTCTTAAGGGGGGGCATACGCCTACTTTGACGACATTTTATCCAATAAGGGTTCCGCTGCCCGCCACCCGCCCTGTCCGCCCAGTCAGCTTGTTAAGACACTAAGGCTCTTGTCCATCAATTCGCCATGCTGGGCACCTGGGCATTCCACTGTAAATTTCTGGGCGAAGTTTTGCCCGTATTTCCTCTTAGACACAAAGTTGTTTGCCCTGTTTACTTGTACGAAGCCAGTTTCCAGTACTTGGTGTGCCCCCCCGCGAGTCGGAGGACGCTCGCCCCCATGGTTCCCAACTTCACCCATTTCCACTCCGCCGCCGCTAGACTCGGGTCTTGGCACTTTCGGCGAACAACAACTTCACGAGGTATTACCAAGACGATGACTGATACTGGTCCACCAGCTTCTTCAGCAAAATACCTTTCTCTTAGGACTGCGGAGATGGCCCACGGCCAAGTTACTTGGCCGTCTATAAATCTCTCATGCACCTTGACGGAAAAGTCTGTTCGGTTCTCCTCATGCTCCGCTGTCTCACAGGTGTATCTCGCCTGAACGCGTGTCACAGATCTTCCTGGGGGAGATGATAGCTGTCAGCTTCAACTGAGGCTGCTTTGTCGTGTATACCTCGGTCAAGCTCATCCGGCTATGACATGTTCCCATCTCCAGCTCGTTACTTGTTTCAAATCATCCAAGGATGAAGTGTCCATACATGGTAGCTTGAGGGGCGAGGAGGACGCGTCGGTGACACTATGGATATCTATCCTGAAGACCTCAACGAGGGTGCAAGATATTAGAATCACTGCGTGTAAGACATTTCGCAGCCAAGTGGCCGAGATCGACGAGAAAATTCAAACGACTGTACTTGTTAACGAAGACATCCCAAGGCGACGTTGCATCTTGGATGAGCCAAACACTGCCGCCCTTGGCCCCCTTTTTGCTTTTTCTCGTTCGCGCATTTCCCGGTGGGAGGAGATGACAGTCTCTGTTTCCTCTCCCCAGCTTCCCGTCCTTCCCCGAAGATTCCATTCGTGGCCTCCTCCCCCGAGAACAACACTCCTCTATCAGGATCTACAGGGCGTAACTTGGCCGTGAATCAGAAGCGTTTGGATCCATTATCCCATTTCCAAAAAGGACACTGGCCACTACCGATCTGCGGCCAAGACGCTCCTATTTGGTCCGTGGCCAAGTATGTCCCTGGTAAACATACCACTGTTAAATAGACCGACGCTCGGCGCTGAGAGGAATCGCTTGCCCTTCCTGACGCTCACCAGACCATTATCCATCAGCAGTGCTGGGGTACCGGGTGACCGTCATACCACAAGGAGCATAGAGGACGTCTTTGGCCTTCGTCATTTCAAGTTTCCGCTTTCTTACTTCATTTTTTGCGCGATTTTCTCCCCCTTCTCTAGACGTCGTTTTAATATTTCTTTATCTTCTCTCAAAGACCTGGTTTACATCTCTTATTCTCTTTCTTCCCCTGACATATTTCATGCATTCATCGTATGAGTGGTAACTAAAGAGATCATCCCCCATACCTCCAAAGCCCTTGCCGGCCAAGGCAGCCTCCCTCGTCATCCATACACCATAGCCTCTGGGCAAACAGAGATTCTGAAATTAGAGGAGGTGAAGCCACACAAAAGAAAGCCAAGATGCCTACCCTCAACCCCAGCGAACTGAATGTTGTGCTTGCTATCTTTGGTGGGTACCCCAAGTCTGGGCCGCCTGACATTGACTAATTGGCGCCTTTCATTTGTAGGAGGGTTCATCATCCTCTACGGAATTCTCTCAGTGAAGATTAAGAATGTGTGGTACTTGGGCGAGGCCTGTGAGTTTCCCCTGACGATCTTGCATTGACGTCCAACACTTGCATTGCACGATGCAACTCTGGGGATTGACAAGTCATATGGACTGACATTCCTTTCTTTTTCTTCTTTGTAGTACCGGCTGTCGTTTTAGGCATATGCCTTGGTCCAATAGCGGCGAAGTTCCTCGATAGTGAGAGATGGGGGTCGGCCGTTGATGGTCAAACCAACGACATCACTCTCGTGCGTATAGCCTCGCCGAACCTTCTCACAATGTGAGAAAAGATGGGATCGTTGGCTAGTATACTGACAGGGCTCTTACTTGATAGGGCGTCATGAGAGTGATGATCGGTATCCAATTGGTCATGGCCGGCTACCAGCTCCCGGCGAAGTACCAGAAGACTAAATGGAAGGACATGCTCGTCCTCATGATCCCCGTAATGACGCTGATGTGGTTGGCTACTTCGGCCTGCATTCTCGCCACCATTCCAAAGGTTTCGCTTTTGGGAGCCATGGTCATTGGGTCCTGCGTTACTTCTACCGATCCAGTTTTGTCTCAAGCAGTTGCAAAGGGGCCGTTTTCCGACAAATATGTGCGCCGTTCGCTCCGTGAAATCATTTCCTCCGAGGCCGGCGCAAATGATGGGTTCGGATTCCCGTTTCTCATGCTTGCGACATACCTCATGCGACATGCCGATGGAAAGGAAGCCCTTCATGCCGGTGACTCTACCTTGCATGCTGTCACGCGGGCTCTGTTGCCTCGAGCTGGAGATGTGGCCCGCCAGGGTGGAGGCGTCGGTATTGCTCTTCAAAACTGGTTCCTTGAGACCTGGCTGTACTTTGTTATTATGAGTATTGCGTATGGTGTCGTTGTGGGAACCCTCATCAGATTCGCCCTCAAGTTTTCCGTCAGAAAGTAAGGAGGAGAGTCCGCTGCATTTTGCACCAGAGCTAACAGAATTCCAGAAAGTGGATTGATTCCGAGAGCTACGTTCTTGTACCAACTGCCATTGGTGTAAGTTTCCACATTCCAATTACGAATCTAAACCTGACAAGACTCGCAGCTCTTCCTGATGGGAACTTCTGGAGCCATTGGTACCGACGATCTTCTCTCATGTTTCGTTGCTGGCAGTGCCCTCAACTGGGACGGGGAATATCTTGCCGAAGCGCAAAAGCGCCATGATGAAGTCAATGCCAGTATCGACGTTCTCCTTAACTTTGGAGGTTTCATCTACCTCGGCACTATCATACCTTGGAGCGAGTTCAACTCCGATATTACCGGCATCACCCCCGGCCGACTGTTCGGCCTTGGCGCACTCGTACTCGTCTTCCGCCGCATCCCTGCCGTGTTGCTCACCTACAAGCTCATGCCCAACACCATCAAAAACTGGAAAGAGGCTTTATTCATGGGATACTTTGGTCCTATCGGTGTTGGAGCAGCGTTTTACATCGAGCACGCTCGTCATGTATTCCCGAAAGCCGAAGAAGCCGCTGCCGTAGGTGACAATGAGACGGCCGACATGCTTCGAGCGATGGGACCGGTTGTTTACTGGCTCGCACTCTTTTCCATCTTTGTGCACGGTCTTTCGATTCCGATTTTAAGCGCCATCTACAAGTTCATGGGTGTTCAGCCCATCCAGGAGGATGCAGTCCAGCTTAGACGCCGCTCCCTCCGCGTTCCACCTCCCTCGAACGCAGTTGAAGGTGATAGAGACACCTTCATCGCATTCAACCGATTCTCGCGCCCTAACATGTCCAACGAATCACTCACAAACTTGGGTGATGATGACTCGACAGTTGTTGATGAAAAGGTTCGGTTCCCCGACCTTGAGACAGGGCTTGCCGAAGCCAAGAAAAGGGCACAGCTCAACCCTCGACGGAGCTTCAATGTGCCACGCCTTGCGCCGCCCCGGAGCCTCAGTCGGCCACGGACAAGTGCAAGCCAGGTTCAATGGGACCAACAACCGCACGTTTCGCGAATTTGATATGTGAGGCTGTACAAATGAGCAGACAGCAGGGGATATATGGCGAGGACAGGAACCTAGGAAGGATTTTCATATCTGATACCCTGCTGCCACTTGGTCGCGACAGCGATGAAGTTTTATGTGTGATGAGTTTCGGCGAGAGAATTGATTTGGAAACATAGCAAGCGATGTACTACACAGACAGTCGTTACCCTTGGTTGGCCCCAGTCGCTCGTTTAGAATCTCCAAGAAGAGGAGCCCGATTCTGTGAGCCTGGATTGCCGCAATTAGGGTAGGAAGATAGAAAGAATACTTTATGTCATACCTCAAATATCTCAAGAGTACCATTACTAGGTACCTTCTTCTGAATCATTCATCAATGATCCCCTGGGTTAATTTTTAGGGGCTCCTATTTTGTTAGTGATATGACGACACACGCTAGCTGTCCGATAGTGTTTGTGATATAGCGAGCCATTTGCTTCAGAAAGTGGTCGACATGGCGGTATTGTCAGTTCACTAGTGAAGTTAAAAGCTTTATCTTTAGATATAGGGCAGATTTTCAGATCAAGAACTTAGTTCGTTGACATACGAGCCCACCTCAGTCCCACGTCGATGATGCGACGTTCATGGAATCTACAAACCAATCAGTAATAGTAAACATGGAACTTTACGTTCAACCTCAGCAACTAAAACCAAGAAAGACCCAGCAAACTGTTGGTTGTAAAGTAGGTGCTGGAGCAGGCCAAAGAAAGGTGGTATAAGTACTTTACTTCCGTAACTTACGTCCCATCGGCATAAAGCATGTAATTCCTCGCAGTTATTGCGTAGTTCGGGCTGTTTTCTTGTGAGTAGTGAAAGCTTGCTATTGAAAAGTGAATAGTAACTCGTTCGTGCTAAAACGGTTGCAAAAGCATGGCAGACTTGTATTACTTTCACTTATATCCAACAGAAAACTATAGTGGGATCGCACTCAAAGACGATATTGCTGGAGTAGTACTTTTAACCTTTGTCACAGATGAGGCTGGGCTGAATAAGCATGTGAGACTTCAAACGATAACTCACGTCATCTTACAGCGACTGTTAGTTAGCAAAAAGCACAAGTTATCACTTCGAGGACAGTTGTTCCAAGTATTGAAAAACATATGATGCAGTCCTCGAGGGACAGTTACACTTTGGGTGTCTCGTTATAGGGCACTTTACGTCATTTATCTGCTCTCATTGGCAACCTGTGACAAAAATCCAATTTCAAGCTGACCAAGTCCCCGTTATGCAAAGCAGCAAGATAGTTTTGGATTATCACCATAAGGTAATCAAATGTACAAAAATGCCACGTCGGTAATCCGACCTTAGTCCAGAGGCGAGTCCATCGGCGTGAATCATCAAATTGCAAGGTAGAATGAGTATCTTATTACTTATTATAGAGCACGTTTACGTATATCAAACATCAAACTCATCAACCTGGGATCCCTCCCAAAAGTGGTTTACCATACCTTGGGCATAGTTGGAATCTGCTCGTCGCTAGGAGTTTTGAGCCCAAGCCCCTCCAAAAGACGTTCCTGCAGGGGCAACAGATACAGGATAGCATGGTTGTACCTCCATCCAATAACTGGGACGATGGCGCCAACCATGGCGTCAAGGATGAAATGGTTCGCCGTGGCAACAATGGTGATGAACATGGCCAGGGGCCACAATGGGGCGATGAGCCTCAGCGGGCGGTGAGGCGAGAATCGGCAGATGCACCACGCGAGGAACAGCGCGGTACCGCAGTGAAGGCTCGGCATCGCGGCGATAGTCAGCTGGAACTTGTTGTGCGTCCAAGCGTTACCACCTCCCTGTGCGCTGTGGAGGATGTCGATGAAGCCATATTCGGCCGGCAGCATGCGAGGCGGCATGCAGCGCCAAGAAGTCACGATAAAGAAGGCGATGACATTATCCATGGCAATCGTTCGTCGGATTCGTTGGAATGTGCTCGGCGGGAGGAAGGTGTAGGTGTAGATGATGAAGCATACGCCGAGGCTGATGTGTGAGTAGTAGATTCTGGCCAGGATCGGCATCAGCCAGGGCATGTTGTTGAGGACATATTGCTGAAGTTGAAGTTCAACATCGAAACCGAAGAAATGCTCAAAGTGCAGGATGCTGATGGCATGTTCGCGAGCGCGGTTAAAGACTGCTTCGTTGCCGGCTATCATGCGCGCCGACAATGCGCGAAGGAGTTGATAGACCCTGTTGACAAAATGTAACGTTAGAACACAGTAACACATCAACTGCAATAATACAACCAAGTCGGGAGCACTTCGGCTTACCAGTAGGTCAAGTTCCAATAGACAATTTCTGTAAGGAACGGAAATGTCCGGAAAAACCGTACAAGTAGTTTGCTGTTGACGCGGGACACCTCCGCCCCATCCACACGCATCCCCGGCTTGAGTAGCGGAGAGGTGGGGCACGAGGACGAATCCTCCGACCCACGTTCACACGCGTCTACGTCATCGTCATATTCAGGTTTGCGGCGGTTGATGAGGGAGCCGATGGTGAACGCGAAAACAATGACTGGAGAAGAGACACTGGTTAGAGCTGGACCTGATGATCATAGATCTTCAACAGAAGATGAAGGCCTTTGCTGGAGAACAAATAATCGGAGACTTATCAGTCTTGGTGGAACTTACAAGCCGGCTCGACCACGTTTTTCAGGGCAGCGATCGACGACGCCATTGCAAGTAGCAGTCTAGCTCAGTAAAAGCAAAAGATATAGGAATAGAACTTTGACAAGAGAATCCAAGTGCCCAGGGTATCATCAAAATCCGTCTAAACACGGAGAAAAGGAAGGCTTAATCTCTTGGGAAAAAAGAGACACAAGGAATGATAGAAGAGTAAGAATTTGAAACTGCCAACTCCTCCCAGAAGCTCCAACACAAGCAAGAAAAAGGAGAGGGATGACGAGGGTAATAAGAAATCTCGAGACTGCTGCCTCCCGGGCGGAACAAACCCACCTGGGGGACAGGTGCCCCAGTCTCCAGTTGAAAAGGTCCCAGCATGAGAATCAGCGATAGGGCCAAGCATTGTGAGATCGGCGTTCAGACGTTGGGTATTTTTTTTTTTTTTTCCCTTCTCACCCAGCCTTGGACCACACACGTGCGGTGCAACCACACTGGGCCGTGTGATAGGAGGTGGCCAAGGGGGCTGTAGCAAAGAAGGAGGGGCGGCGGGACTGGAGACTCGACTGACATCTCAGACTCCCATTGGGTCCGTCCAACTTTGTTGTAGTAAGAGGGCACGCGACACGGGCAAACCAAGGCTTTCAACCGGGCATAGTTTGATGCGTGTGACGGATTCAGTAGCACAGTAATATTTCGATCCCGCTCCCCTCCCTGCTCCGCCCCTGGATCCACGTTGAGCCACTGTAATCAGCATGAACTGACGGTGGGAGGATACTGTGGGAGAGCCGAAATGGGATGTGGGAGCCAGGTACTACGTACTATGTACGGGATGAAAAATAATAATTTTGCAGTGGAACCACCCGTCCCAGTTCCATTTCGGGTGCCCCCCTCTCACCCACTTGTAGATTGGACGCAGACTGAATCACTGGTTGTGGTTTTCTCGGCAGCCGGAAGAACCGGAACTATTGACAGGGTTTTGCTCAAGTGCCAAGCCGCGCCCGACAAAAAAAATACAGGAGTTTATCAAATTAGAGTATCAAAAACAACAGAGCACTGTCCATGATCCACTTGCTGGTGCTCTCCAAATGGGATGGTGGCTCCATTGAGAAACTAACGCGTTAGTGAAATGCTTGACGTTTGTGCTACGTACGTTATGGGGGGTGTGTTTGAGACACAGAAACTCTTGACTTTTTTTCTTCATGAACGTTATCGATGTCAGATTCATGCTTTTTAGGCTATTTTAAAAGATGGTATATGCGAGGAATGCAAATGCTACCATTTCCTGTAGACATCATCCGAACATACAACATCAGGCTGAAAAAAAAGGGCCCGAGCACCAAAGAATAGACACACTCATCAGTGGCCAAGCTCCCCGTTTAGGGAAGAGATTGTCCAAGTTAGCAATGCTTTAACAATGCTTAAAAGGTAAACAGTTGTCTTCGCATTGTGCCAGGTTAAGGGGTGAGCAAGGCTTCCCAGAGAATAAGCCGCAGGATCGGCAGCTAAGATCAGAGCTCCTACGACGCCACCCTTGGCGTTAAAGGTGCCAACACATCAGTGCAAATGATTTGGGCAGGGAAGGCACAAAGCTAATGAATGTGCTTGGAACTCCGAATATGCCATTATACTGAGTATAGGGGGGGGAGGATTTGCTTATGTGAGAATGTCATCACTTTGGGCAGACATCAAATAGTGTCGTCAATGGGCGGTCGGAGTGTCAGGTGGAACCCGATATCCCGATGCGAGAGTTCATTGCTTACTAGTGTTGTCATGCTAAATCGATCTGGTCATCACAGGCATGATTCGCGAACGGAAGAAGCCGTGTTTTTTTTCTCGATAAGGCTCGGATATTTTTACACAAGTTGCCGAACTCCATTGGATCCTCGGGGAGATAAAATGTCGGAGCACGGAGTGTTAACTGTCCGGCGTCGGCCGAGGTTGGGTGCCAGGCTAACGGTAGTTGAACTACAAGCCACCGGCGGGTGCGGAGCTCACGACATTTTCAAGCATTTATACCCTTGAGGAGGGGCTTGGCGCCAGGATAGCGTTCACTTAGAGCAAAACAGGCCATTGTCAATACGCGGCAAAATGTCAATACTGCGGGTACCTGAACGACAAGCATTCTGTCGACATGGCTGCCGAGCCATTCTAGGCCCTCCGGATGGCCCGGAACAGGTCTTCAGAAAATGCTAGAACAGACATGCTATCAGAGTTCTTCGACATTCTCTTCAATCTCTGTGCAGTCGAATCCTTCATCGCCGTCGACGTTCTTGCAAAGCCATTTGTCTAGGACGCCATCTTGGGAGACCGGCGTGACGCTAAAATTCTCGACTGTCAAATTGCTGCATCCACCAGCCGCACCGCTGCAGCGGAAGAAGCCCGAGCTTCGTACGTCGTCGTTGATGGTTCCGCTAAAGTCCTTCCAGACAACATCCGATATCTTGAAGGTTGATGAGTCGCACGACTCGCCCGCATGGCCGGAAAAGGACTCGCACTGCGTGATGAACAACGGTTCTCCACGTACACGATCAAGTTTGATGTCGTCCAGGACTATGTTACGAGCATAGCCAACGCCGCCGCCGCCACCGTTCGGTGGGTATCCGATCTGAACACCGGTCCAGGTCTTGAAGTAACAGCCGCGAAGAGTATCGTGCAGCGTTACGTTTCTTGCTAAAAAGTTCTCGATATACTCAAACTGACCCAAGAACTGGCCGATGGAGCCCATGGCGATGCCGGTGCTGCCAAAGAACTCGCTATCGTATATGAAAATGTTGCTGGAATTCGCTTTGACTGCGATGGCATCATCACCATTCACAACGACCCAACGACGAAACACGATGTTGTCCGAATACATGGTGTCTGCGCCATCGGTGTTGAGAGAATTATTGTCGGTAGCCGAAGTACTGTTGACGTAAATATCTTCAAACAGCAGGTTCTCCGAGTACATGATGTTCATTGTCCACATCTGGCTCTGAACGAAGCGCAGGCCCTTGACGACCGAGTTCGAGAAGCCGCGAAAGTTGATGTTCATCGGACGATGAGGCATGTTGGAGCCGCCCTTATTCAGGTCGTACCATGCCTGTCCGTTGCCGTCAAGCGTACCGACGCCGTGGCCTTCCCAGACGACTCGATCCCCCCCAAAATGCCATACGGTGCTCTGGTTTTGGAAGCCCACGGGCATCGACACCGAGAGCCAATACGTGGTGTCGTTGCTCCAGAGGAGCCTGCCACGCTGGTCGATAACCACATCCTCAAGGTCGGTGGTGACCATGGGTGAGTTGATATGGTAGACCGGCCCGGGCAGGACTATTATGCTCTTAGTTCGGCATCTCGTATTGAGTGCTTCTGATATCGTCGACGCGTCATCTCCACCGTCAGCGCGCGGGTCAAGAATGCAGAGGCTCCGACCCTCCCTGTTTGCTCTCTCGGTCCAATCATCAGTGCTTGGGACCTTGACACCAGTCTCCGTCAGCTTACGAGCAGAGGAGACGAGCGGGACTTTAAGCCCCAAAACGAGGCTATTAACCAATAAGGCTAAGAATGCCAAGTGACGCATGATTGATAGGACTGGGCTGGGGCTGAAATGCAAGCGGTTTCCCTACTTGCATGAAAACGTTTCAATGTCGCGAGGTAAGATTGGTGGCCCAGGAAGCTTGATATGCTTTCTTTGAAGTTGTTATTTCCTCGATTTTGTGAATGTTTGAATCGATGAACGAACGAGTTTAAATCAACCGGAAGATGATGTTTCTGTGAAACTACACACTACGTCAGACAGAGAGAATCAGGGGGTTTCTAGCTGCCATCGGCAAATAATATCCGCTGTTTCTAGCGGGGTGTAGCATTAGGGTAGCAGTTTAACACAAGTTCCCCGCATCCCGTCCGTTGGAGATGTCACTACACATGGACACAAGAACATTGAATGAATACAACATATCACGTAAGCACTAACAACCATACGTGCTGCATCAACACCAAATCAGAACACTTCGACAAGATACCTCCAGAATGGGTTAACAATTGAATATCTGGTTTCTAGAGCGATTCAAATGGAAAGCTATATAAGAAGGTTAATTCCCTGCACATTGTGATCTTATGTCCACTCCATTATCATCAAAGTTTACATCTGATTTGCTTTACGAAACCACCGTAAACAATCAGAAACCATGGCTTCAGAAAATCTCACAGAGGTCTACCAGACCATTGAAAAAACTCTCCACGAGTTCATCCAAGGCTATGAGAATGCCGCAAAGCACAACGACGCATCCCACGTCTCCGCGAAATTAGCCCCCGACTGCAAACGCAGAATCCTACCTTCATCCTTTTTCAGAAATCTCGGCGTCCCGACCGACTTTGTCTTGGACAACAAGTCATACGAGGCCAAGTTTGGCGAAGATTTATCTGTTCAAGGCGTGACTAAGACGGAGGTCTCGCACATCACCATCGACGCTTGGTCGAAGAAGGCCGCTGCGACATCTGCCCACACCGTCACGTACATTGACGGGGAGACGTACCTGATGGAGATTGCTTGGTACCTGACTTTCAGTGAAGATGGGACTCAGGTTAAGGAGATAATTGAGTTTATCGACAGCGGAGACTTGCCCAAGTTTCATGCGAAATGCGCCAGTCTCAAAGAGCAGAGGAAAGAGGCTTGAATTATGGTGGTATAGAAGGGTATGTTCTGAGATTAGCGAGGAGGAAATTGAAATTTTGTTGTTCTGAACTGTTTTCCAAACCCAGCCTGACGTGAGTGAGCTAGCGAGCCCATGCATGGATAACATCAAGTTAGCATGGAGGCAGCTTCGACGAGACCTAAGAACAGGAATTTGCGTTAGCGGGCACGTGGCGGAGAAGAGTAACCTGTACAGCTTAAACTGCTGAAGCATATCTTGAGATTCGGAGCAAGCAGGAGAAGAGCCAAGAAACCCTTTTAAAACGTGTTAAATGCTAAATTAGGTGTTGTTGGTGGCCTATACTACTACTTGCAAATATCTCGATTGGTATGTTTGATGAGAAAAAAAAAAAAACCGCTCCAAGTTACACCTACTTCCCATTGTATCGCAAACCCGCAGTTCCATCAAATCTCCCAGACCTTATATCTAGTTACAGGGAGACCGCAAGTACAGTCACAAGCATGCTGACAAATGTAGCCGCAGCCACGCTACATGAGAACCTAACAGATGCAGCGCTGCTAACGTCCTTCGCAGCAGCGGGAATACTCATATTGAAAGCCGCATAGGTCTGTTTCATGTCTTTCTGAAGTTGCTTAATAGACTCCTTTCCGCGGTAGGAGCTCCAAGTATGGTCGAGTAAAGCTAATGAAAAAAGTCAGCCATTAAAAACCCCAAGCCTAAAATGATGGTTGGCAACGTACCCCAAGGTTCATCTCTATCCGCGGTGCCTTCGCGAATGTAATAGCTTCCACCGATAACCCAGACCATCCAGTTTATGCGCTGTTCGATCATGAACTGCATCAGACAAGTGCGAAAGTTATGTTTGAACACGCCGCTGTCGTCGGTCTGGTCATGCCCCCATTCTCCCATCACCAATGGTGCCCTGTTCGTTCCGGGCCCGGAGATCGAAACAGCATTTGAACCGAGCTCGTTGAGTACCCCCACGTAAGACGTGCAGTTGTCCCCGACGAGGCCTGTTTGGTCGTACTGGTGTTGCTCAAAGATGAACTTGTTCCTGAACGGCTGCTCCGCGATGGAAAAGTTGAAGTTGGGCTCAGAGAGGTGCTTGCCGTTCACAGGGGCGGATATGTCGACATCGAGAAGTCGGCCACCGAAGAAGATGAGTATGTCTGGGTTGGCGTTGTGAACGGCGTTGGCGCCCTGGAGCATGCGCGTCTTCCACGTTTCCCAGGTCATCGGTTCGAGAGTGGGAGATGGAGGTGCGATCGTGGCGTCGCGAATCTCGTTCCGGAGGCCCATGCTGGAGAATGATTTCCAGTTTGCTTTGCCCTATCCATTACGTCAGTAAACCTGAATAGGGGTGCACATACAGATGCGACTCACATGCTCTGCCATGAACGATAGACTTCGAACCCAGTTGGAGGTATTAAAATGAATATCGCCAAACCAACTGTTACCGTCTTCAGGCTTACAACACCATCCTGCTTTGGAGACGTGGTTGTCGAGATGAAGGAAGATGTTTTGGCGCGCGAGCTCGTCAGCAACGGCATTCCATACTTCAAGACGCTTCGTGCTCTCGTTGAAACCAGGGTTATTCTTCATGATCTGGTTCATTACCGTCGTACCGTTCTCGGGACCCAGTGCATTCTGCAAAGTCGTCTTCAAAGTGACGTCACCGCCTCCTTCGACAATGTCGTCCACCATCTGGGTTGCAAAAGTCAGACGAACAGAATTGAAGCCGATCTCGGCGATTTTGGTGACGATGTTAGGAATAGACTGATATTGCAGGCCCTCCGGAAGCATGGTCTGCTCGTGTCCAGCCCAGTTCACGCCGACGAAAGCAAAAGTCTGATTCTTCGCATCGAGGATCCATCTATCGTTAACGGAGAGTGGTAGAGGTTGAATATCGCGTTGCGGTACTGAGTCGCAGGCAGAAGTGAAAGGCAGTATCAGCGCACTTAGCAGCGCCGAAAGACTTGAAAATCGACGCATGGTGAGTTGCTAAAGTTCACTTCATGGATCACGTAAAAAGTCGTAAAAAGGGTGTTCTTCAGGCTGACGGGGGGATTTGGCGGGTTGACGTTTTGAAATATGTCAAAGCCAAGGTGGGGAGGATCGAGGGTCCTTGTTGATTGAAACGGAACTAAGCTCAAGGTCGGCGATCAGTAGCTGCAGGCTCGGGCCTCGTCTATCCCTAGACCCAAAGAACTTATATGAAAATACCAGCTGCACGTGCTGCCGAAAGCGTCATCTGATATGTTGACTTGGCCTGTCACCGAGGACGTATCAGGGTGCGACTGGTATTGTGTTGAGGGCTGCGCGTGACATACGCCAGCAAAACTGGATGTAAAATTCTTGTGGTTGTGTGGATGCGATACATTTCATTAGAACCAAGCCATTGGCAAACACTAAGTTTTGATGGTCTACCTCTTTGTCTTGTTATATACCAGAGGAGTAACTACATTGGGAGGTGAAATAATTACATAAAGGATGCCGTGGTCCATCTCGTGGTGAATTCCATCTAGGAAAATTTATAGCCTTGGTCTCTACTATAAATTTCTACTTCATGTTCTGGAGCAGATAGCGGACGCCGGCATACGTCTCCTGGCCAGTGGGAACAATCTGGCTCGCAGGCAAGACGAATCCGTAGTTGCCCGTGTCGCGAAGTTCCTGGGTGAAGGTGTAGTCCGCCTTGACAACGTCGGCTACGTAGTCAACGCTGCTGCCAGTCGCCTTGTAAATGGTGGTACAAATGGGGCCGTATTTGTAAGAAGTACCATGAACTGCCTTGATGGCGGCGACGGCTCCCCTGGCCAGAGACTGCAGTTCAGTGTTCTTGGCGGAAACGGCAGAGCAGGAGTAGCCGTAGGGGGTCATGAAGAGTTGAGAGTACGCGTGGAAGTCGATGAAGAGCTTCAAACCTTGCGCAGCTTTGGTCTTCGCCAACCAGGCAGAGAGAGCGGCAGTCTCTGGGGCATCACCAGCGGAGGCACCCTTGAAGTCGTCAGCGCAAGGGTCGGTCGAAGCACCTCCAGTGGCAGACCACTGGTAGGGCCAGTTGCGGTTGATGTCGTGACCGAGGCAGCTGCTGCCAGAGGTGGTCTGGCGGTTCTTGCGCCACAGGCGGTTGGTGGTTTGCGTGTAGATGAAGCCTCGAGAGATGTTAGCTTTGGCAGCGAACATGAATGGGTTGCGTTACATACCATCAGGGTTGACAACAGGGAAAATGTAGAAATCGTATTTATCAACGAACCCCTTGACCTCGGCGGAGGTGGCGTATTGACTCAAGAGGTTCCAGGCAATGTACTCGTTGGTCATGGTGCTGATCCACTCACGCGCGTGGACGGTGCCGTGGAATACAACAGCAGGCTTGGTGCCCTTGGTGGTACCATGAATATGGAGGCCCGTAATGGTGTTGCCCTGGAGCGACTTGCCCGAGGTCACAACCGCAGCGTTGTTGGGGTAGGACGCCACCATATCCTTAATCCACTGAACATGGTCGGCGTAGGCATGGTAAGAGTTAAACCATGTGGCGTTGGCGGAGCCGACTGCAGCAATCGAGTCAGATCAAAAACTAGCTTCAAAGTGACCGTTGACATTTACGAGCTTAACCATGACTTATGGTTAACTCAACAAAAGCTTTACGTACCGGCATAGAGTTGGAAGCTTGACTCGTCGGCAATTGAAGCACCCAAGTCCTCGTGCCTTGGAACCAATTAGCTTATTGAAAAAAACAGTCGGAGGCAAAGCGATTGGGGGTTTACATTGTGGTCACGTTGAGGCCCACAACCTCGGCCTTGAAGGCGTCGACCTCGGAGGGCGGGACGACGATGTCGGCCAGAGCGCCGGCCCGTGGAGCACCCTTCCAGGTGCTCAATTGCAGCTTGGATACAATGTTGTTGACCCGGTCGACCTCATCTCCGACAGACACGCGGAAGACCTTGGTGCCATCGTAGCTCACGGGCTTAGCGCTCCCCGCCGCAACGGAGGCGGCGGAGACAGCGGACACGATGGCGGAAACGGCAGCAAGGGACTTCATCCTGGCGTGGATATTAGGTACCTTACAGGATGGATGCGACAATTGGCGACCGCGCGTGATGTCGTCGAGTGCACGGAAACGGACATCATCAAAGCTGAGAGCTGCGCCCTTATATGAACTTCATGGGAGAGAGGAGAGAGAGAGGGGAATAGAGTGTCTCCAAAACGTGCACAGGGCAACCAGCGACGAGGATCGGACCGCCGGGGACTACCTGGGTAATAATACCTTACAACCTTCCTTTTCAGGTCATGGCGAGTCGCGGTGAATGTGCGCCCAGGTTGTCAGATGGCTTGTCCAGATGAAGAGGAGAGACCTGCCGGATCTAAACAAGACATCTGCATCTGCATTGGCACAAAAGTTCCCGCCTATGGGCAGCCTTTGATGCCTTATCTACGTAGTAGAAGCCTGCATAGTTTCTTAACTAGCTGAACATCTAGGCCATCTGAGGGGGGAAGGTCAATGGCTCTCTGCTGATGATGGCGGGAGAGCTTCTGATGATTGGGCGCATTGAGCTCAGAGGTAGAAACAAATGGGGGTTCAGTGGGAGAAGCAAATAAGGTGTCAGCGGCACCTTCAGACGAGAGGGACAAAATCCGACCCTAATAATCACTGCACTCCGCAGTGACTTGACCGCTGACCAGACAATCTGGGGCGCCAATGGGTTTCTTCGTCTCTCGTTCGTCCGGCGTCACGGCTTAATTAAGCAGTTCCTTAGGTATTGGATAGAGGCACAACAATTAACATGGAGGTGGCATTCGGAGCGGGCCGCTGCAACCCAAACCCCCGCCGTCCTTGAGCACATCTGGGCAGGTCAAATGCCGGATTGCACGCAGCCGACCTGCCGGAACTGGGGTAGCGTGGCGGTAAGGATTCAAACTTTGGTGATGGCGCCGTTGGGGGTGGGCAGCTGAACAGGGCCAGACTGGCTGGATGAGCCGTTTCCTGCAATGAAGGCTTGATTTCGACTATTACCATGAAGGAATGTGGTGATTGAATTGCACAAAGCAACCAATGCTTCGCAGGACTTGTGAGATGAGGCGCAGGATTGCGTTGTCTAACCAAAACTCGCGTCATGCGTTTTTTTTTTTCTGGCATTGCCCAGTACTTTTGTCGTCTTGCTTTTAAGGTTTACAGACTTTGCCTTGCGACTGAGCCTCGTTTGTTGCCGTTTCCCATGGAACAGGGTTCATAGGATTATCAACTATGCCTATGAGTTCATCCCTATCTCCGTAGATACGGAATTTTGGCCATGGAAAAGCTTACTCCGTATAGAGATACAGAGGGGGGAAAAGAGTACTAGTCAAACCATAGATTGTGGGCATTAGACTAATTGCCTAGCAGCAGTGAAGCAATTAACACATAAAACATCACTGCCATCCAGCACCGTAATTTGTAAATGCCAATGTCGCTGCCAATTAGCGCACAGCATAGGCGCCCTACAGCAAAAGCTACAGTAACCTCAACTAGGTAATTCACGCATAATGTTCTCTAAACAACAAAACCATGACTTGACAACGGATGACAGCAAGACAATTCACAAATATATAACAGAGAAGCGCAAATGTAATTGATAGTGAGGCATTATCATATCTTATTTCTCGGTTTACTCTCCACCTCTTTTTCTTCAAGGACCGGGAGAAAGTCACAAATCTTTAATGAGGGTCCCTACCAAAAAGCCAACCACTGGTCCCACCCAATGACCCCATATTGAAGACCTCTCAATCCTGGAATGAGCAAAAAAAAAATGGACGATGAGGGAATCGAACCCTCGACCGCTCACATGCTAAGCGAGAATTATACCACTAAACCAATCGCCCATTGTTGTATCACATCGCCGCAATGGCAGTTCATGGAACGTCGACACGCTGCGATGGCATCACTTTCGGTAGCCATTGTGGTAAATTGACGCTGTGTTAGCGGTATTGCGAAGTGGTTATACTTCTAACCCAGGGTTGCGCTACCTCCAATAGTCATTCGCGAATCAGACTGATCCGTTATGCATCCTTGACGGAGTTAACCCAAACCGTCCAGCAATCCTCCATCTTGGATGAATTCGTGCTCCCTCACGTCGTCTTCAAGCGCCTGATGGTAACATCAAAAGGCTCTGGCTCACGCCCAATGATATCTCTCAGATGCTCCGTCACGACAGCAGTCTCACCCGCGCGAATCGCCTCCCAAGCCGTCGCCCACGTTCGCGCCTTGTCTTTTGACCCGAATACCGAGAGTACCTGCGGCAACTTGACATACTCATCAACCTCCACCTGGCGAATGCGAACATCTTTGCCAGCGACTTGGCTGAGAACTTTTACCGTCTCCTCAAGTGACCAAACCTTAGGCCCAGTAAGAAGGATCTTTTTGTTGACGTACGGGAACTGATCCGGGTCCCATGAGTAATTAGCAATCAGCTTCGCTGTCGCTTCGCCCAACTCCGCACGCTTCACCCATGCGACACCTGGGCCCGATCCGTCATGCGGGATAAGTATCTCATCAGCCGGTGCGTTTATGTCGAAGAACGCGGTGTAGATTGGGTATGATTCTGAGTAGAGACCCTCACGGACGGATGTGAATGTGAAGCTTGGGTCGGAAGCAGCCGCTTCAGTAAGGTGACGTTCTGAGTCGAGATGCGCCTGCATCACCTCTGCCAATGACGAGTCTTGGTAATCGCCGGCGAATGCGAGAGAGCTGTAAAATATGTGCTTTACGCCTGCACGGCGAGCTGCATCAATAGCTGGTAGTTGTACCTATAAACGTCTTGTCAGCTGGTATTCTTCACATTGACCACAAGGGTTTTGTCTTACTTTCTTTCGGTAGTCGTGCACATGGCTCGGGTAAGAAATGAGGAAGAGTACCTCGATGCCAGCGAAGGCCGCTTCCAAGTCAGAGGGACTTGACTCATATGATGCTTTGCGAACCCTGACACCGTTCTCAATATGCTCTTTCGGAACCTTCTCTGGATACCTGTTGATGAGAATAATTTGGTCGTTGGGTATAAGCTTGCGAAGGTATTCGTATGTGCTACCGCCCAGGCCACCTGAAGCCGGGAAAACGCCAATGGACTTCATGATGTGTTTTTGTCAGGTTGTCTAGTGATCAGATGACTAAGTCTTGGGGATGACAAGTTGATCGATGAGCTTAGTTCAACTTTTGGTCTTGCTCGTCGCTTTGAAGTATCTTCGTGCGATGTATTGACGTGCTGATATGAGACGAGATGCTAGTGCTTCCCAGGTTGACACGTGTGATCGCCTCACAAAAAGATGTCGCTTGACAGGGAACTGCAGACATACTGACATCCACATTACGTCACCCCTTAACTGGCCATAGATTATTCCAGGCATCTTCCCTTCTCAGCGCATTATTAAGCCATCGCCACACCACATAACGCCTCATTTTCCGCAAATCTTGGGCGGTGCATTATGTTCTAGCACCGGCTCGTGAATTCAGGGCCGCCCCGAAGTCGTAAATGTTTGCCGCCGATCATCGGCTTTCTTTTTCGGCCCCGCCTATAGAACGGTAGATCGGCGCCAAAGGGACTAAGCACTCTCACCGGGAAGGATCGATGAGATGTTTCTTGTTCAGAGGCTGTCTATTTTAAACAAGCTAAAAGAGTACTATTAGTAAGGTATCGTAGGTAATTGTAGATGGAAACACTGAGCTTGTGTGGGCACGATTCAAAATTGATCCAGGTCCTTTTACATTAACGCTCTTTCAACGTTAGCAACAGGCTCAGCAAATACTAAGTTCTATCGCACCCGACTTTTTTAGTAACAGCCTCAATCTTAAGACAAATAACGATTAATTCGTGCCCATCACTTGGCATCTCAGACTTAACATCGCCAAAGTCAGTGGCAATCAAAGATATTGCCAAGAGTGTCCAAGTCATAGGGCATAACAACCAAATCATAAGCTCGCTCGCATCTCTACTGTATGTTTTCAGCAAACTGACTATGGGCAGAGGAATTCGACAGTCTCGTGTCAAAACTGGTTTTAGCTTGTAAGCCAGACGCATCAACACATCATAAAGGGTTTAATGAACGAAATAGAAATCTATTCATTGTTCTAAGAGTTTTGTGAAAAAGGCAAATTTCAATAAGCCCAAACTCATGTTTCGTCAAAAAACGCGTTTGAGCCGCGGTTAACACTTCTCCATGAGTTTCGGTGCTCATTGTGATTGGAAAATAAAACAGATTCCAGCCCAAGCTTATTTCCAGGCAGTGGTAGCACCGAACTTGGCTCCGTCAACAGGCAACAAGAAATCGCTGGCCGCGATCTTACCGTTCTTGCCGCGAGGTCCAGTAACAAGGTTGGTATCAATGCTCTTGAAGCTCTGGTTGGTAAACAGGGGGAGGTCGTTGTCCCAAGAGTTTCCACGAGATTTCTGCGGGGCGCTAAGAGTCCTCTGTCCCTCGGCGGTAGTGTTTCCGGCGGGACCGTTGAGAGTAGCGAGGTTGCGCTCGAGGACACCGGTGGCGTTGACGCTGCGGAAACCAACACCGCCGTTCCAGACCGCGGTGTTCTCCTCAAAGAGGAAGTCGCCAGTCTGGGAGTTATCGGTGAAACCGTGCTTCTTGTTGCCGAAGGAGATGCAGTTAATGATGTCACGGCCAGCAGGCTTGATGTCACCCTTGCTGCCACCGCCGAGCTTGAAACCGTTGCCATTTCCAGTGAAGTCAGGGATGCCCTAGAGAAGACTTAGTTGTTGTACACGATGAAGGAATAGGAAGCAGAACTTACCCAGCGGTTGTAGCCGTTGCCCCAGGCGATGCTGTCCTTGATGACCAACTTGGAGTGGAACTCCCTGAGATGAGTTAGTTTACGTTTCGCTAATATCAAGAGCTGTATCTTACCAGAAGTCGACACCGTCATCCGAGTTGTCCCAGAATCTGCCACCAATAATGATGTTGCCTTCACCCCGGCCTTCCTTGATACCAAGACCATCGGCGTTCTCGCCGCTGTTTCTGGGGTCACGGTTGCCGTGGGAATCCAAGTAGGCGATGACGTTGTTAGAGAGGTTACCCTGCATGTGGAAACCACTCTCATAGTTGTCGCGAGTAGTAATCTGGTTGAACCTCAAGTTGCTGCTGTCCTTGACGTAGACGCCGTAGGCACCATGAGTGAAAATGAGGCGAGAAAAGTGCCAGAACCTAGTGTACTCAACGTGGAGCACACCACGGTTCACGCCAGCGACCTTGCCGCCAAGAGGGGCGGGGGTATCAGGGAGAGCCTCGCCATCAATGATGACTTCCTCGTCCGTAGCCGCACGCAAGGTGATTGGGGCCGTTTCGGTGCCGTTGACGGTGATGTTGATGTTCTTCAGAAGGTCATAAGTTCCGCCACGAAGGATGATGACATCGCCAGGACGAGAGAGATCGACGGCAGTTTGAATGTTGCCGTAAGGCTTGCGCTGAGTGCCGTCAGGGGCGGCGTCGCCTTTAGGTGCCACATAGATGTTAGCCGCCAGGGCCACAGGAAGGCAGGCGACGACAGCGGGTAGAAACAACATGACGAATAAACGAGAGTTCAAAAGAATGTATAGGTTGGTTTTGGTAACGAGCGACTGGTAGAACCAAATGTAAAGAAAAGTGCTTGCACTCTGCTCCTCAGAAAGTCATGAGATGGTGAGCCACGGACGAGAATTTATACAACCAAAAAAAAAGGTCCATAAACTCCATCATCGCAACAATTAGCTTATTAGGGTCTAAGATGGCACCACCAAAATGAAGTCGTCTTGGCATTCTATGTCAGCGGCGAGGAGTTTGTAATTCTCTATAACATACTTTGTTAATTCAATTGGCTGCGTCGTAACATAATATTGTTGTGCACACCAATTTGAACGTATTATCCAAAAAGCCAAGGTGAGCTTCTCGCTGTTTCGGTTAGTGGCCATTAACGTTGTACGGGTTACCCCTACCACCCTAATTACTATTGGAGCAGTCTGGCCAGATGCCAAGCAGTGCATGCGCACGCAAATCTCCCAGTTTCCGACTAACGTCCCACACCCACTTCTGGGCACCCCCCACATTTGGGCACCCCATTTACACCAAAAACGCCGTTTTTCGAAATTCTATATTAAACTAAATACTTTACTTATTAAAGAGAATAAATATATATTAAATAGATTAAGACTTAATTATAATACTTAAGTAGCTATATACTAGTATTATTAATAATAAGTATTATAAATTCAAGGTTTAACATTTATAATACTAATTTACCTAGCCTATATCTTAATATATAAAATAGGTAGAGATATTTAACTAATATGATTAGAATTTTTAAGTAAGATATAGTAGATTTATATATTCTTATACTTAGTAAAAAATTCTTTAAGCTTAGAATAATATTTTAAAATTTCCCTTAAGAAAAGTTTCTATTATAGAATTTTAACCCTTAATTATACTATATTTACTAAAGTAATACTTTTAAATCTCTTTTAGATATAATTATATACTTTTAATAAGTATAAATATTAATTTCCTAGATTTTTTAAATAAGTATATATAAGCGAAAATATATTTTTCTAATGTTAAGGAATACTAGTAAGTTACTAGTATCTACTAACATTTTAAAGCTTTTAGTTTTAAACTTCTATATTATAACTATTATTATATTTAAACCTTTATAAAAAATTAGATGGCTATAATTATACTTAACATAGTTTATATATATTTTCTTTTCTTAGTAAGTATAGTAGTTAGTTTAATATAGAATTTCGAAAAACGGCGTTTTTGGTGTAAATGGGGTGCCCAAATGTGGGGGGTGCCCAGAAGTGGGTGTGGGACGTTACCTTCAACGGAGCAGATTTGTCCCACCAGCCGCGAGCAACCGAATCATCCGAAGACTGTTCTGAAAGATATTTAGAGTTAATTGGATAGCTCAAGTGTAGTCTCACCTGAAGGTCGCAATATCTTTTCGATCATAAACTGATTGTGGTAGGAAATAACGGAGCTGGAGCGTGCAGCAACGCTGTTCCAAAGGCGAATGCGGCTTTCGTCCCGAGATGAAGTACAACGAGCTACAAACATACTCAATAACTCTCATCCTGAACCAGCTATCAATCACTTTGGAACTCGCCTTAGACTCCTTAAAACTAATGCATAGGGGCGATAACCGAGGAGAGCGCAAGTTTGCAATTTATTAGAAACAAGCTTGAATTAAAGTTTGAGTCCCTACTCCATTAAATTGCGAGAACAATAAGCTAATGCAAACCCGGCCTCCCACCATGACTCGAAGTTAGGCCAGTTCGAGTCGTAAGAATCAATCTACATGTGCCAAATTTCTCCCTGCACCTTCACATACTCTGTTACCTGGTGCTTGAGCGACAGCTAGTGAAGCTTTCGTAACTCACTACTCTATTTTAACTTCTGACCCCTTCCCTCTGTCGCTGGCGGAACGGATGGCTCCGCAACTTCGAGCTGTTGGGGGTATTAATGGTGAGACTAAGAAACTCTCCGAACATCACTACCTAAACATCGCGCGGTAGCCCGTAATAGAAGACGGCTTCGAAGCCCAGGAGAATTAAAATGACCGCAGTAACCCTTTAACCCATACCAGAGTTATTCACTCTGTACCGACAGCTTGACAGTCTGGCCCACCCAGGCTACAAGATCACTTGCACTGGATGGTTTCACGGGATACGCCACAGTTGATGTGGCATGAGGTTGTTCCCACGCATATTCTCTACTGAAGTATGGCCAAGCAACGAGTGCGCAGCTTGTTGTTACGTATTCCTTGGTGTGTTGAGCTTAATGGGATGACACCTTTGTGTTTTTACACAAGTTGAATGCTAACATGCGGCTGCTAATGCAACCCTCGGCTTGTCTGACTTTTCACAGATGGCATGTGTTGTTTGCGGGTTTCGAGTCCCGGGTCTTGTTACCAGGCGATTTGTTTACTTCCCGGCTCGTCCATGTATGCATACGCAATGAAGTTTGGCAATTTCTAACCCGGTTTTAAAATTGAACCTCCTTGCCCGAAAGACACCAAACATTCCATTGCAAAGACTTACTATAGTACTTTAAAAGCATAGTGTTTCTGCATCATTCGCTGCTACGTATACTGTTGGCAGGCTTCGAAAGAAAGGTGAGAGTAAGTAATTGGAACAGAGGTAAATAGAAGGTCAATTGGATTAGAGTGAATAACTATCCTTATGGCTATAATTTCTAGCTATAACTTAAATATAGCTTTAAAAAAGACCTTTCCTAATAGAAGGTATATTTCTCTGCTCTGTTCGTTACGTGAGCGGCCTGCCACTCAGCCACAAGCCGAGATTCTGGGTATTACAACATATCTTGTAGAGATACCCTAAATAGAGAAAGAGGTCTTGCATAGAGCAGAATACGAGATACGAATTACCATATTACATACTTTAGTTACAACTTGATGACTCTGGAAATCGAGCTATACCTACTTCGTCCAACACAGTTGTGAAGAGTGGCAGAACGGTCTGTGACCAGTTAGCTACGGCATCAGACAGGCGTCGACAATTTCCTGCATCTTGGTGTCGCTCGCACAAAGTCATCCCCGAACTTAACAAGGTCAGATGCCGGCAGACCCTTATGCGCCTTGGCCGCCTCACTAAAAGCCTCCTTCCTGGACCTAACGTCGCTGCCGAATGCTCCAACGAACAACCCCAAGGTCGCAAAAGGCGCTGATTTCGGGTCTTTCACGGTATCGTATGCAGTGAAGCCAGCAGAACCGGTCACGTCAACGAGAGAGGCAATACGGGAGATCATGGCGACTCCGCCAAACAACGCTCCTCTAGCTTTGCCGATAAAGGGGATTACGGCAAGGACGATGCTGAGGATCTCGAGAATCAACCTCTTCTTATCCTCTTCCAAAGTCTTGGCACCGATGGACTCCATGTTGTCCATGTTGCGAATGGCCTGTTAGAGCATGAAGATTGTCATGCTTGCCGCCGTGACAATATCGCTGCATTCCACCTTGATAATATGGAGCGTTAAGTCAATGTGAGCCACCATCAGGGAACCGGCGAGAATACTCATGTTGGGCATAGCTGCCTAGATGACTTCCTTAGGGTTTAGCACCTTGATCTGTAAGTTAGACATGAGCATTAGCAATGGTGCAAGAGAAGTGTCGGGAGAAAAAAGTTTGCTTACTTTGTCCTTTTGGTCTGAAATGGGTGCTTTCGTTTTCTGGTGTGCGAGCTTGAGACAAGGTCGGTTCCCTTCGCCCGGCCTATTGGAGTCTATGCCGCGCCATGTCCAGCAGAGATCGATGGTGCCGAAGTCAATCAGTCCTTCTCAATGCCCATCTTCTCTAACATGGTGGCGTAGAATCTGTCGGCGTTCCGGAGCGAATCGAGGAGCGAGTAATCGATCGTCCATGCCCCTTCTGCAAACTTGTTTAGGCCGAGAAACTGGCATCTTGCCATGCTTGTGGCCGGAGAGCGTAAGTACACAGCCAAAGTATTAGCTTCCCTCGCTAGTATCAACGGCCATGAAAGACTCGAGCTGCTGCCCGACGCTATCTTTGACCCATGTCTTGTAGGCGGAATAGCAACTGTCATACCCCTTTGCGGCTACGGCGAACTTGTCATTGAAGTTCACAAGGGTTGCAAAGAGAATATCGAGAGCCACTGGTCCCAACAGATGGCGACATTCAAGAAAATAAACGAAAGGAATTCACTATTGCTTGTGGGCAGCCAAGAGGGGCAATAACGATTAAAGCCTTGAGGCTTTGAAGACTTTGAGAGCAACCACCTCAACGTGCAGCCATGCGAGTCAAATGGCAAGGGGATTGCAATTACCACAAAGCTGACAGAAAAACCAACGCCTTTTTTCGTAATCCGGGGCCAGACCGTTGCTCATCTCTCTCGGAGGAACCATTGTTGGTAATGTGGTCTGCTCAGCGGCCGTCTAAAAAGTGCTTGACGGATGCTCGGTATCGAGTGAATCTTCAGTTGGTGATAAGCGGGTCCTGACGGGACTGACTCACAAGTATAGACACGTATTTTCCGCATCGTACTCCTCTGTGGACTAGGCTTCTTTCCAGTAGCAGGTTATGCATATGAAGATAAAGTGAACAGCCTCCCTCTACGTGTCGGGTGTTTACCGTTGCCCGGCGTACTATTCAACCTACTTTCTCGGCAATTTTCCGTAGTTTGAACTCTGTAAAGGTCACGGGTCTTGTGTTCTAGTTCACATTCGCAATGCCACCTTACGCGCCGCCCGGTGGCGATCATTTGGACGCTCTGAATGGCCAGCGTCTGCCTTCCGATCCTGATCACTGGGTCAGGGCATGCATAGTTCATGGAATTCGGCATAATGAAGCATTTGCAAACTCTGAGGCTGTGCGGAAGCTCTGCTTGAAATCAGACAACAGGTCTTATGCCCGCGCTCGCAACGCGCGTCTCATCATGAGCAACATCGTGCCAGAGATGTTGACGGACGACGACATGCCGTACTGCATCTGGTACCCGCATGTGGCAAGCGAGGAGACTTATCGCGAACTGGCAGAGCGCCACCCCGGAATGCGGTATCTTGTCGGCCGGGCATGTGCGGTTGCAGGCTATTCCAAGCTCTACGGCGAGCTCGATATTCTTCCCGAAGTCTCAATAGCAGAGGAAGCTAGAGACAACTCAAGCAGCGAGGGTTCCAAAGCTATTTTTGATGCCATTATGAGACAGCCCATCTGCTACAAAGTTCTCGATGACTACAAACGGCGTCTCAACGTGGACAACCCATCATCACCAGCCTGGATGAACGGCGATATAGCCGTCCGATCGTCGTTGAACGTCCGGCTCGGGCCAGACAAGTACGAGGAATGGGGGCTGCACTACTTCAACATCACCGAAGACTACAACATCGATCGAGCCTCATCAGAAATTACTAATCATGAGCCGCTCGCCGCTGAAGATGTCGCACTCTTCTACACGCCTCTACTCTCGCACCTGCCGACCACCAACAAAGACGCGTTGATTCTCATGGCAGCTTACGAGGGCAACTTGGAACGCTACGTACGTCTTCGCAGGCCGGTGATGCTCCACGACGAGGCCAGGGCCATTGTCCGGGGCATCTACCACAATACCACTTTTGCCAAGTGGTGGTCGCTTCAGGAAGTCCAGCCGGGTCAGCGCTTCATCAAAGCCGCCTACATGGCACGATTCATCATGGTCAACGACTTGTCGCTCATCACGCCGAGCAGTCCTATCCGGGGCGATATGCCCTCCCTGATATGGTGGCCGTTGGTTCCGAGGGAGGCAACGCTGAAAGAGCTTGCGCACCGGCGGCCGGACATGAAGTTACAGGTGGCGATGGCGTGTGTCGAAGGCGACTATAGGGTTCTTTGGGAGGAGCTCGCCCCAGAGCCTTGCGAGGAGCTTTGGGAGCAGGCGCGTCGGCAGCAGAACGATAGCTGGCCCAGCAGCCCAAACCGGAACTACTACGTCGACTACTTGGAGGGGCGTGCCAAGGAGCTGGGTGTCAGCGTCCACAGAACAGATAATGCCACCAATTGTCTGGATGCGGCGGTTCGCGACAAGGAGCCCACGACGTTCTGGCTGAGCACGTACGTCGCCGGGCGTCCCTATGTATTGGTGGACTCCAACCCCGGCGGAAGCATCTATCCGGGTGGAACACAGGCAAATGCAGCTAGTTGGGAGTTGTTGATGTGCTCGAGTGAGGAGCTAAGACGTGAGGCAGAGGATGGGGGCGAGTTCATGCTATACAACGATTACTTGTTTTCCGATAAAGAGTGAATAACAACATATCTATACTAAAACCGAGCTGTCGTTAATTCAATGATCATTGCGCTTACAGAAGCCAAGATCTTGCCATCTGGAATTTCAATGTGTTAATGTACGCGGCCGGCTGATGCTTCTATAGATCTCGACCCTTTTCAACCAGATGCGTGGGCATAATGAACGTTCAACAGCCGGTGGCCGAATTTACATACGACAGACCAAAAACTTTGGTCCGATTGTTATGGCCAGTTTGGGTCACGGTAGGTCTACTAACAGAAGCTGAGGCAGCGAGACTAACAACAGGTCGCAGGTCGTGAACTGGTACAGCGAACTGGTAGATCAAGGGTTAGGGTAAGGTGATCGGTCTACAGTTATTAGCTAATCCAGCAACATTACCCTGTACCGAAAAGTGAAATTTGGTACAAAGGTGCCTCCTTGAAATCACGAGACTTTTTTTTATCTCTCGGTACGAACTTGCGCTTAAACATGCGAAAACCCCATTGGGATGTGAAAGGTATTCCACCAATGAAGTGTATGCTTCTGTCTGGTCGGTTAAATGATGATGGGTCTAGGCTTGTCCTTATTTAAATGAGAAGAGCAAATGAGTCGATAACCCTTGTATCCAGCGATGATGCTGGAAACCGTGCTGTAAGTGGTCACTAATCCGCCATTCACTCGAGTCATTGATGCAATAAGGCTCTTGGAAATGCAGAACATCGCGCACAGATTGGTCCCTTTCAGAAATGACCGACGGATGATCCCGCAAACCATCGAACCTTCTGAATCAAACTTGCTGATCCCCCATGATCTGGTAACAGGTCCCTGAATGGCGATGGAAACATTTCTTTTGGGTTAGCACTAGTCTAGGCTCGTATCAAACTCAGGGTATTTATTGGGAAGATCAGCCAGCAGAGAGCCAGTAAAGGGTGAAATTCAGACTGAGTGATATGCATTAAAATTTCAGAGCCAACAATTGCAGTAAAGTCTTCACTGAGCGCCAAGTTCGTTAACCCTGCTTGTTCAATGCCCAAAGATCCCAATAACCGATGCCCTGAAGCAGTGTATCAACCTCACGCGCAGCCTTTCATGCTCTATATGCCTGCACTGACTGTCGATAAGTAAGCAATCCCTCTTTGCTTGTTTCGGAAATGTTATATCTGTGGCCTGGCCACCAACTTCAACGAAAAAAAAAAGGGGGCGACAGCTTCGGAATGCGGGGGTTAATTAACAATTGCGTTGTGCTTCGTGGACATGGGCCCACGCTATATCCAAGACGCGTGTACGTTCCGGCAACTCGGAGGTGAAAAGGGTCCCTTAGCTCAGGAAATTCTCAGTGTAAAAAATACGCCATGGCTATGCCCTGCTGGCGCGGCCTCGCTAACGTTAAACAGGATGGCCTTGTATGCCATTCTCGTCTTGACGGGCCATGCTAACCTGTTTACGCAAAGTCTGACTTTCAGTTAGATGAATCCTTGCCAAGCGAAGTACGACAGGCATAATAAGCTTTCAACACAATTCATCTCCACCCCCAAAAATGGAAGCGTTGGCTGACGTCTTGGCTTCTTAAAGTCTGGCCGTTCTACCTCTGAGCTCGACGAAGTGGTTCCTATTTTTTATCATGCACGCAACTTGCGGCGGCAACAACTGACAACTTTGCTCGAAAACTGTGATGGAGGATGGTCCGATTACTACTTTCAACGCGATACGGCTCACCGTCGACCCCAATCATCGCAGCGGGGGCATTCATCACTCTCTGCATAATCTACTTGCTTCGCTATAATGGCCAGATCACGCCGTTTTCCTCCAGGTCGTTCAGTTTCCGGACTTCGACAACATCGGGATTGAACCTGGACGCGATCAACACGACAGCACAGTATTTTGTTGACTATCCTCTCGGGGCTCCTTACAAGAAGATCTTTGGCGAACTCGGCGAACGGACAAAGATCTTGCGCTCTTGGATCGAGGCATTGGAGGAAGACACTGGCAAAGGCAGCCGGCTTGTGGGGGCTGAGAGAGCATTTTTGGCTGAGCAGGTCGAACGAGTCGCTGTATCCTTGTATCCTTACCTGCAATCTCCGCCAAGAGACCCTCACAGCCAGTCACCTCTGGCGGATCTCCGACGAAGCTTTCAGGGTGCTGATACCCATGTTCAGCACGCCCAACAGGCCGTCGAGGGCGGCGACGCCGGCGCCGCAGCAGCAACAGCAGCAGCCGACGCCATCACCAACAAAAGGCTCGGCAACAATATTAACAAGTCGAGGAACGCTGGAATTGTTATACCCACAGGATCAGGCACATTGCGATTTGCGTGCCATTTGGTGGCGTCTTTGACGCGTGTGCATCGGACCACGCTGCCAATTCAGATTGTTTATGCGGGAGAAGAAGATTTACCAGAGGAAGATCGCAATGCACTTGTCGAGGCTGCTGGGGCCGGCCCAGAAGGACACCTCGAGTTTCTGGACATTCTAACGGTGTTCAACGATACAACTTTGAGATTGGCTGAAGGTGGATGGGCCATTAAGCCATTTGCCGCTCTCGGAAGTCGGTTTGAGGAGGTTATTTTGCTTGATGCCGACGTCGTTTTCGTGCAACCTCCCGAACAACTCTTGCAACAGCGTAGTTACCGTGAAAAGGGCGCACTCCTTTTCCACGACCGATTGCTTTGGAAAGGACAATTCCCCGAAAGACACGAATGGTATCACGAGACGGTGAAGCACCCAAGCGAAGAAATGCAGAAGTCGCTTGTCTGGACAGAGAGATATGCCGAAGAGGGCGACTCGGGTATTGTCGTGCTGAACAAGAAGCGCCTTGACGTCTTTCTTGGCCTTTTGCACATTGGCTGGCAAAACTCGTATATAGTGCGCAACTCATGGACGTATAAGATCACTTATGGCGACAAGGAGACATGGTGGATGGGGCTCGAGATGACGGGGTCAAAATACTCCTTCTCTCGACATTACGGCGGCATGGTGGGATGGCGTATCCCTATGAAAGGGGAGCAGACGGATATGACGCAGGTGTGCAGTTTCGTGATTGCACATGTCGACGAGCTGGACACGCTGCTGTGGTACAACGGCGGGTTGTTGAAGAACAAGATGGGCAACGTAACCGAGTTCGAGGTGCCAACACATTGGATGATTGATCAACAGTGGGTCAAAGGTGCGAGGAAGAAGGACATGAGCTGCATGGTTGGGACAAACCCACGAGAGTTGACGGACAACGAGAAAAATATTTTGCAAGCGAGCATTGACGCCGCGAAGCAGGTAGACAGCACGCTTGAATTGGTTTAGAAATTATATCCCCTTGATTTTCGTTAAGATTTGGCCACTACTTTATTACATGATACACCTCGACCGAGAACCAGATGTATAAACTAATGAGTACGAGGTAGAATCTTCTGGGACTCAAGCTCCCGGAAAACATCCGATAGGCTCAACCAAGTGTCGGTGTACCTAAAGTGGTAAGTTAGTTATCGATACTAGCATGTGCTTTTGAAGGCAATGGCACTCACCCAGTCCATCCCATCTCTCTCGCCTTGCTCATACTAATAACCAAGTCGTAGCTACGGCCCAGCACAAAGCCAAGGAAAGCCCAAGTTGCCTTGTCAAAGGCATCGCTCTCAAGACCCTCACGTTCTGCAAGCCGATTCCAGGCGTTCTTGACCTCTTCCTGTTGGCTCCATTTGGTCAAATCAATTCTTTGCTCGACTTTGCTCGGAGAGATTTTGCCCTTCAATCCTGACCGCTCTTCAACGAGACTCAAAGGCGGCTTCTCAAACAGTTCCGTCTCACTGGCCAACTGTGACTTGGAAGTAAACTGGTCTGCCTTAACCTTGAGCCCGAAGCGACGCGCCAGCTTAGGCCACAGGTTCTGCCAACTTTCCACGTCACCGTTCACCACGTTGAATGCTTGGTTGGCCGCCTTTGGCTCCTTGACAGCCCATTCGCAAAACTCTGCATGAAGCTTCGCCGAAGTGAAAGAGTCAAACTTGGTGTAAAAGGCCTCGGAACCTGGGAACTCCAAATCTTGGCCAAGCTCCTTTGCGATTGCGGCGTAGATGCCCACGGAAGTAGCCAGATTCATGAAGTTTCCCTTCGCAAAACCGATGACATCGTTAGGGTAAGTTACCGTCCAAGAGATGTGGGAGTGTTCCTCGCAAAAAGCATGTAGGACATCTTGCTGGCGGTAGTAGAAGTTGGGAGGAAATGATTGATCGCGCTGCCAGGGATCGGATTCTTCCATGGGGTTCTTGGGGACGCCCAGATGCACGCCGTATTGCTTTGCACCCGTGACGAGAAGGATTCGCTTTATTTTCTTGGCTGCGCCTGTTTTGGTGAGGGCGGAAAGGAAGTTCTGGAGCATGTCGCCTAGCATTTGTTAGTTTTTTTTTGCCTTTCGAAGACGACTTAAAGATTGATGTACCATTGACGTCCCAGTTCTCCTGGTCGGTGTCCTTCTGCAAGTAGGCCGCGAAAAAGACGTATTCCGCCTCGATGCCTTGCAAGTTCTTGGCCATTTCATCGGCGGAACCAGTGAGGTCGATAAAGCTATGCTTCACATTTGATGGATACTCATCCTTTTTGCTACGCGACATGGCATAAACCGTTTTCCATTGCTTGGAATCGTGGCCGAGTCGACCGACGATCTCGCGACCAAGGATTCCTATGGAGAGTTTAGTCTTTACGCTCTCATTGTCTGTTGAACGTGGGGAGAAACCAGCTTAGGGGGGCTTACCAGTAGCTCCTGTTACAATTGCGGATGCCATATCAAGTGTCTTTTGAGTATGAACAAAATGATTTGAATAAAGCTGAATAGTATTGATTGTGTCTCACAAAGCCTTTAACTGATGAATACCGCTATATAATCAAAGTCGTGGTTCTACCTTAGCATGACGTCAATGTGATAAGCTGAATTGTTCCACAGGGATCAGTGGAGTGGTGACTTCACTATCATCGAACGGGTTATCACCAGGAATTAGTACGATCTTAGCTACCAATGGAATCGACTGACCGGGAAAATATTCTTCAACTTCATGGCAGTACTTCCTCGTATTGTTTGCTCGTATTGTTCTCGGGAAATAATGTGTCTTACAGAGCCGCGGAACCGGTAGCTCGGTCGTCTGGAATAACCCCAACAACAATACAGCTCCATGTGAAGGCACCAGAGGTGTCACAGGTATCAGAACTAATAGAAGTCTGCAACTTTAAGTTTAAAAAATAGTGTTTATGGCAGTAAAAGCAAAGGGAATATAAGGATACTTTCTACACTGCTGCCGTACCGATTGTGCTGTGGAGAATGTGCCTCTAAAGACGGAAACTTGAGGCCCCGCCAAAAATAGCGGTCATATGGCTGCTACTAGGTGGGAGGCTAGAGACATACTCTATTAGAAGTTGTGATCAGGTGTTTAAATTGAGAACGAGGATTCAGTGATTCTATAGCCAATGAGTTCCTATTCTTTGGATATTTGGTGCTTGGTGAAATTGTGCCTTTCTGACTCGATTGAAAAAGAAGTCAATAGGACGAAACAGCGAGCTTGATTGATGAAAGAATCATTTTTGCGTGATCTAGGACATTTATGTACATGTCAAAGGTTGAATGGAACCTGCAGGCCTTGTAGTGGTTCATCAAGCAAATCCTTTTTCCCATTCCAGTGCAGCAATCATGAAAACACCAGCACCTCGCAGGTCATTTTGGCGGAGTCCAATGCTTGAATAGTACTGTTTGAAATGCAGTCAGTCTCATGGCATCCATCCTGTAGCGCAAATAGAACGGTCTTACCTCGAATGTTGCATTGCTGCCCAAACTGCCCACCATCACGGTGCCTTCCCAGTTGATGGTGTCATCATCATTGTACGTGACGAACATGTCCACCATACCATTCCAAGCCTTCGTGGCGACGGAGAGGTAGTCTTCATCACTCAAGTATCCAAGGTTCAGTCCCTTGAGCCAACCGAATGTGAACATGACACTCGCACTGCTCTCGATGTAGTTGCCCTTGACGTCCTCGTAGCGCTTCTCCATAATGTTCCACCAGCCTCCCGTCTCATCTTGGGCACCTTTGAGTCCTTCGGCCAGGCCGGTGAAGTATCCAAGCAACCTCGCCCGTCCAGGGTGCTCCTTGGGCAGCAAGTCAATAACCTCAAGAAGGGCCATGAAATACCAGCCCACCGCGCGTCCCCACACAAGCGGCGCAGCGCCCGTCTCAGGGTCAGCCCAGATTGCCTTCTTGCTTTCATCATACCCGTGTACCAGCAGGTTGTCTTCACGCCGAGTTCGAGCGTCAATATTGTCGAATTGCAAGACAATATCGTCCCATGCCGTCTGATTCTCTGGTTGGAACAACGAGACGTATTTAGCATAAAATGTGTCGGCCATGTAAATACCATCAAGCCACATCTGATTCGGGTACACCACCTCGCGGTGCCAGAAGCCGCCAGTAGGAGTACGAGGATGGTTGTCTAGTGTCTTCTTGATGTTGTCGGCGGCAATGCGGTATTTCTCCTCTCCAGTCTGTTCATACCAGAAAAGCACATTGTTGCCGTATCTGTAGGGGTCGAGACTGTAGCGCGAGTGATTGAACCCGTCGATAGTGCCATCGTCGAAAACTACGGCATCGATTTGCGCACGGTAGTAGTCATAGAGCGTCTGGTTTTTTGTGTGCTCGTATATAGCCTCAAAAGATGTGTACAACGTGGCCTGGTCGTAGTGAAAGCTAGGTTCGACTCCACGGCGGATCATTGAGTCGGTCATCCATTGAGAGAACGGCCGATGATTGCAGCTTGGAGCGGCAATTGCAAGCCCGGCGGCCGAAGCCAGTATCGCGATGGATTGTGAAGTTTTCATGTTTGAGTGCGAGTGAACCACCACAAAGATCGTTGATAGTGATCAATGCGCCATCCACAAGTTCAACGGACGACTTGTGTCACAATATAACGAAAAAAATCATTTCAATATGTCTGACTAGCAACTTTTAATACCCTGTCAACCCTGGCTGCAGGCATTCGACCCCTGAACGACCATTTTGCGTATTGACTAGCTACTGTTCGAAGGCTGGGCACGAAATCCTCTTCGCTTCCGGAGGATCTCCAGACCCCAGGCTGAGCCAACCACCTTCTAACGTACAGCAATAGTTTCCCCGAGTTGTGGAAAATCAAAAGCCGGACCCAGATTATCGCCATCGGCTCCGCAACGGCGCGGGGTGGGATCTTGGCGGTACCGATATCGTGCGGGGCTGCAAGAGGGGGACATGTAGAAAGGGCCTTGTATTTGTATCTACTTTGGAGAGAAGTGGTATGGAACTCGTCGGCAGAGCCCGGATGACTTTAGGCTAATTTCCCAAATCGTGAAGGCCAAGACGATCTAACATGCAGAGCATTGAATCGAGACGAAACCAATCCTTTTGCGAGTTTCTGCCGCCCCAATAAAAAAGGGCCTGTAAGACAATTTATTTGGCTAGCTCGGGGTTAAATATCCATCAACTCATAGAACGCTACAAATAGTATAGTTTTGAGTAGCGCATAGCTGTGCAGTTTGTCTATTGCAGCCTTTCAGCAACTGCTCTTGTTGCAAAATCACTTTCGGCTTTCCCTCTCGGCTTTTGCTGCTTCTTCCTGTGCAACAGTCTCCTCGTACGTGTCGTATTTGTACTTGAACCCGGGATGATCTGACCTTAGGCCTTTTTGTCCAAGCCCATAAATTTGCTCTCGGAAGGTGGGTGCAGGTGCATCTTCTGGGATAGGGTCTGGCAACAAACCCCTGCGGCGCAGCTCAGGAACAAGGTACTCAACAGCATCTTCAAAGCTTCCCGGTGTAATAACGTAGCCAATGTTGAATCCATCAACATCAGCAATATCTACCCACTCTTGAAAAACATCAGCAACCTGACTAGCCGTTCCAACAGGCATAGCCCCATTTCCACCGATTGCCGTGACTGTTCCTAGGTTACGAGGGGTAAGCTTGGGAACATCATCGCCGCGGTAGCGCAGATTGTACAAAGACGAGTGAATGCGTTGTAGATGGCTTGCGACATCCTTCTCGGTGAGCTCGTGGTCGAGATCGAACTTGGAGACATCGATACCAGTGGTGGCAGAGAACTGCGCAAGCCCACCTTCGATGAGGACATATTTTAGAGCTTCTTCATACTTGCGCTTTGCATCTTCTTCGTCTTTGCCAATGATTGGGGTGATCATGGCGAAGACTTTGACTGAATATGGGTCTCGGCCAGCGGCGATGGCGCTCTCGCGAATGGCTTTTACTCGAGGTGCGACGACATGTGGGGATAAACCGGCCACGAAGATGCCCTCAGCATGTGTTGAGCCAAACTTGATACCCGCCCTGGAGTCGTGAGCTTCAAGCTATATGACATTTCACGAATCTGACGTAACCTACGGAGATGTTCCAGCTTGAAACAGGACTGGAGTGCGTTGCGGCGATGGATCAGTTAAAAAGGGTGCGTCGACATGAAATTTGCCGTGATGATGGATTGGTCTTATTTGGGAGTAATCCGAGTACACGCCGTTCTCCGCATCTTCCTTCAGAGCGGTATCTGACCATGAACCCTCCCAAAGCCTAACAAAGAAGTTGTTAGTTGGCCGTCCAGCGTCTAATGCAAGTGTCTCAAAACTCACTTGTATAGCACCCTTAGGTATTCATCTGCATTTTCGTAACGGGTATCATGTTCAACCAAAGGCAGCCCGACCTAAGGCCCAGGTGAGTTAGACGTTTCCAGTATCTTATACCTGAGAGCCTCTTACAGCTTTTGAGGCTGATTCTTTCCAGCTTGTCACAATGTTCCAGCCAAATCGACCTTTAGTAAGATGGTCAAGGGTGCTGAAGCGCTTTGCAACAACATAGGCTTGCTCATATGACGTGGAAGTTGTGATTGCGAAACCCAAATTCTTTGTTACCGCGGCCATAGCAGAGACAGGCTTATCATTAGAATCTGTTAGCATCTTCATACTTCTCACTCAACTAGGTATATCAGGGTACCTTACGATAACGGGGTCCGCCATTGGCCATTGAGCACCGGTACGCACTGATGGCTCTGCACTTCCTTTGTATCTGAAACAACAGTCAGAATCTCATTCATATAGATATCTATATGAAATCTCACGTGTCATATGGCCCAAAAGTGTCGGCCAGGAAGAGCCCGACAAAGCCACCCTGGTCAAGAAGCTTCGCTAGATCAGTCCAGTATGTGAGGTCTCGCCGCTTATCTTTAGCCCGATCTTTAGGGTTACGCCATTGCCCAAATGAAAGGTGGCCGACTGTGAACATATCAAAAGCGTTCAAAAGAATTTGCCTCTTAGGCTTGGTGCCCGTTGGGCTGTTCTGGTTCTCTGAGGAAGACATCACTGAGCTGTTACCGCCTTGTTTGAGAATGAAAGCGAGGCAGATAACGAATCTCAAAAACAAACGATAATGTTCCGAAATAATGGCCAGGCTCACTCCGCGTGTAAGGCATTGTTTGCTTTCGACGTTGAGGCCAGAATTGGCTTCAGCTTATATCCACTCGTAACGCGTTTCGTCATTTCGTTCGCGGTTTGCGTGAGTAATCCCCCAGGTTATTTCCCGTCTTAAACCAGGGATCATCTCCTCTATTCCTTCAACTGATGTCCTCTATCGGAGGTGGGAAGCGACGGCTAGCAGTCTCCGATTTCCTGCCGATGGCGACCAGATGTAAAGAAACAGAAGGGTGGATGTAAGTAGTACTGAAGTTCTTCATCCGCGTAGTGGCCGCAGCAAATGTTGCTGACAAGATGGTGGAATGGTGGGCCGCGATTTCGCCATCCCCTCACGGCAGGCCTCAGCGAATGAACTCCTAATACCAACTCCTTGCGGTTGTGTTCCTGCACTAAGGCTCCAACGTACAATGAAAGTATCGTCATATCGGATTGAGCACATCATACTTGTAGGTCTTGGAACCCCGCAGATAAGGACCTGCGCTGCCGGAGGGAGACCGGGGATAATGTGCATCGAGCCAGCTTGGACTTTTGCCTGTAATTCTTCAACGGCGATAAATATGACATGCTTTCCACAGATACTGTTATTCAGAATTAGACCTACTCCGTAAATCGAGACACAATGAGCTCGTCCATTGAGCCTCATGACGTTCGCGTCGACCATGATGCAGCCGCCGAGACTCGAAAGCAGGCGCATGCCACAGTGGATCGTGCAAACGTTGATAACCTGCGAGATGATCCAGAAGCAAGGGCGGCCTTTCTATCGACATTTTCGGCAGACGAGGAGCGTGCCGTCTTAAACAAGATCGATAAGAGGTTCTTAATCATCATCGGCCTGATGTACATGATCAAACAAGTGAGAGTCATCCACATCTCCGATTGAATACGAGCAAGACTAAGCTGTCTGAAAGATTGATCAAACCAATGCGGCAAATGTTCGAGTCCTTCAGGTCGGAGAATCGCGGAACATAATGAAGGAACTTAACATGACTTCTGACCAGTACAACTGGGTCGGGTCTATTTACGGGGTAGGTAACAGCATGAAAAAATCGATGACCAGATCCTGACCACGTTTGAAGATTTCGTATATCATTTTCGAAGCGCCCAGTAATCTCTTGTTAAAGCGAATGAGCCCCCATCTGTGGCAGTCTCGAATCTTTCTCACGTGGGGAATCATCACTGCCTGTCATGCGGCTGCACAAAACCGGCACCAGCTCTACGCCATGCGTTTCTTACTTGGGTAAATTGATCTTTACGCTGAATCAAAACTAAAAGCAACAAACACTGACCACCTGAAGGATGTTTGAGGCGGGTATGTTTCCGGGCGTAATGGCGCAGCTATCGAGCTGGTATCGTACCGACGAGATCGGCAAACCGGTGACCTGGTTCTTTGCAACGTCCAACCTTGCCGGAATTGTTGGTTCTTTGCTCTGCTATGGCATCAGTTATATGAACGGCATCAAAGACCTCAGTGCTTGGAGATGGGTCTATCTTCTAGAAGGGCTGGCCACCATTGTTTTTTCCGGAGCCGTCTTTTGGTTTTTACCAGATTACCCAAAATCTCCTCGAAGCGACCGCTGGTTCACCAAACGCGAACAGGAGTTTATCGAGGCACGACTACCGGAAAATGCACCGCTTACCAACGACCCAAATTTTTCAAAGAAAGAAATATTGGCCGTCCTGAAAACCCCTCTCATTTGGTCTTTCATGATATCTCAGACTTTGATCAATATCGGCGGATATGCGCTAACGTGGTATCTGCCAACGATCGTCACTAATCTGGGATTTGTTGGCCTGCCGAAGAATCAATTGCTTAACATTCCACCTGCTGCAGCAGCCATTTTGGGTCTTATTTTCTCCGCATGGTTTATTTCAAAGGCTTACATTGTTCGGCCAGCATACATTATGTCGGTACTCTCTGTCGAGTATTGCAGCACACAAGCTAACGTTTCGACAGGATCATCATGTCTGGGATGGTCATATGCTTCGTCCTCTTTTTTACAATTTCCGATCGCTACGGGATCTACGTCAGTTGCATTCTCGGTACACTGTTTTACCAGTCATATTTCATTCCCTTTTGGGCTTGGAGATCCGCCACTCTCTCTGGCTCAACAGGTACAGCCTTCACCCTTGGGCTGCAGTCGGGTATTGCGCAACTTGGCGGCGTTATTGGTCCGCAGTTGTTCCAGTCCAAGTTTGCATACAATGGCTACAAGACTAGTTTTGCTATTGCTGCCGCAACAACGATTGCTTCTTTTGTAGGCAATTTGTGGACGTGGTGGCTTACCCGGAATACGGAATACGATGTGATGAGAGTGAGGAGAAAGATTTTGCGCGCAAGAAAAATCGGAAAAGTGAATTTTGATGATGATATTCGGGTCTTTGAGGAACGACGTTTTTATAACGGTGTTAAGAGGAACGGGAGAGATGACAGTGAGGAAAGCTCACAAGCTTGACATCTCGTCTGGATTGAGCCGACCTGGTCATCTAAGTAAGGTAGCCAACCATAGCCGCACGTGGGGGTAAAGAGGTATTTTCCAGGAAGATGGAATAAGATAACATACGGCACCTTATCAAAGCCCAGTACGTCACGTCGAACTGGTTTAAATATTATAATCGGTCAAGTGAAAACCACCCTGAAGTCTGAACAAGAAATAAAAGCGTTGAACGAACGAGGTTCTCATTCAAACATCGCCAGCATGCCCCCTGCTCATGAAATCGAACCTCCACGTGGGATAACCGCGAGATAAAGTTTCAAAATAGCCCGCGACAGGCTCTTTACTGGTGGATCGAAAGTGTCTAAGGATTAAGTGGAACCCTTCAAGAACCCGCAACCGTCAAAAATCTCTCAACCATCTTATTCATGCTAAAATAGCTCACTTTCCACCCCTGACTCAACAATTTTACCATCTTCATTCCACACACCGCATCTCTCACAATGGCTCCATCAGCGGCACTGCTACAACACCTGCAAAGCGTTGTCCCCCAGGATGAACGCAGGTCTCTTCGTGATGAAGTGATCCCATCAATTCTGGAAGCAATCACGGGCGTTGCCAAGACGCTTCAAGTCTCCCAACACGTTTCTCTGGCCGGTACAGCCAACGCGTTCGGTGACGACCAGCTCAACGTCGACGTCGCTTCTGAGAACGTTATACGTGACGCAATCGCGAAATGCCCTTCGATTTATACCGCTAGCAGTGAGGAAGATCCGGTGGAGAAGCCCGCTAGACCATTCACGAATGGCAACACAAACGGCATCTCCACATCTTCGGAAGAATATACCATTGCTTTTGACCCCTTGGACGGCAGCTCGATTATTGCCCCCAACTGGACTGTCGGAACGATCGTTGGAATCTGGGATGGAAGAACCGCGGTCGGGCAGTCGCCGGCGGAGAGGCAGATCGCAGCCATCATGGGCGTCATCGGACCTCGGACTACCGCAATTGTGGCGCTTCGCATTCCAGGCCATGACTCAGCTTGTTTTGAAGTCGGGTTTGGTGCAAATGGCATTGCTGACTGCGAAATTATCCGCGCGGTTGTGAAGCTGGCCGAGGGTCCTTTTAAGACGAGGTACTTTGCACCGGCGAACCTGCGTCATGCGGCGGACGACGAGAAGTACAGTGCTCTCATCACCCGTTTCATCCAGAAGAAGTACACTTTGAGATACTGTGGTGGCCTCGTCCCTGATATTGTTCATGCGCTGGTCAAGGGCCATGGTGTGTACGTCTCCCCAGTGTCTCCGGGCACATTGGCCAAGCTCAGATTCCTGTACGAGCTCTACCCGATCGCTTTGATTATGGAATGCGCTGGTGGAAAAGCAGTCGACCCGGAAGATGGAAAGCGAATTTTGGAAAAGATTTCAGTTGATTGTGACGGACGCGCGGGTCTCATTTGCGGAACCGTGGAAGAGGTAGATATCGTCATAAACGCTTTACTTGGATAATCGTCGATAATATTCGTGGCGCGAACGAAAACGAACTTTATAACTCAGGATTTAGACACTGAAATGAACAGGAATATGATTTGATAGAGCTACAATTTAGATACCAGATAGAGCTTTGCCTCCCAGGAAACCTTCTTTAAAGACATTTCCCCCTTTTCTTTTGCTATTGTCAAGCTTGCAACGATGAGATTGAGGCAGAAGTTCAATTCGTCCAAACAGGCACTCACATTTGTCAACTTCTTACAGAACCACAACCTACGAAATCAGATGAGAAATCAACTGGTGTCATTACAACTGTCATTAGACAGTTTTGAAGATAGTTAACATTAATGACGTTACTGCGAACGAAAAATATTTCCGTGTGATTTTAAAATATCTCTTTCACAGTGAGGATTGCCTCAAGACCGTCTTGCAAACCTTCGGGATCACTGGATTCAACGCTAGTCTATCTATGTACCTAAGACTCTAAAATGATCGACAGAAGCCTTGTGCCGCCAAGATCAAGGTTCACATTCTCATTGACGATGAAAATGTGTGTTAATGGACTGAGCGCATGACTTTCACCATACACAATACTACACTTACTGGCACAATGTTAACTTTGCGGTGTAATAAATCTCTTGACGCCCATGTGCTAGTAGCTAGACCTGCCACATTATTTCACTCGCTTGAGCCCGCCAGTATGTGTGTTATCGGGGTAATTGCTGCGGCTGGGCAATTTGGGCACTTCACCGACATGATGTTACAGGTTATGCCCGGTTGATAGCTGTGCCATTATTCCTAGTTTAGTGCAGCCAAACAACAAGTGGACGACTTTTTGTTACGTATACTTTTGAGCGTTTAGCTCAATGGGTTAGCACCTCTGTTTTTAACACATGTGCTGAAGGCTGGTGTGCGGCTGCCACTGCAACCCTGTAGGCGGGGTCTGACACTTCACACATGACATCTATATCTGCTAAGGCCTAAATAAGCTAATTCAAGTACTTTTTTCCGTATTAATAGTCACTGTTTTAGCTGTGGTTGAACGTGGAGTATTACAGATGCTAGATGAGGCATAGTTAACACAGGAACCGGAGTTGTCGAATTCCGCCTGGTCGCAGTCCGCGTGCATAATAAGAATGTCATGAGGAAAAGGCTATTGGGCTAGTTGCAGCGTCCTCGAGGTAGATTTTCAAGTGAATGTCTAAACTAACGTCTCTAACTACGCCTGTTAGGCATATCTGCACTCAGCCGTGTAAAGACAGCCATCGTAGCAGCCATGACTCTCTTGCCGGCTTTATAAAATTCCTCATGACCATTGCAAGACGGCTGTGCTTCATACTAGTGTCAATCAGTTTGAGGCTGGTGCACCCAACTTCGAAGCGTTTGAGCCTAGGGTACAGTTCTGACACCCGCAGATGGCATTTTAGCACCCATTTGCGTTTAGCAATAGCGCCGTCATGACCTTGAGCGGATCAGCTCCATACCACTAGTAGTAAGCTACCTAAACATGGCGTCTAGACGACAGGTGCGGGATGATGTGTTACAAGCTTACGGGAGTTTGCTGCCTAACTCGAGTGGTTGACTTCTGCATAAAATGGGATTCTGATACGAATACATCCATGTGTACATATGAAACGAAGATTTCGCGTCTATAAGCAAGGGCCTACGGCGTGTTTTCCTGTAAGTTCCACCAGCTAACTGTATATTGAGATTAAATCACCTTGTTATAACGCGAGAAAATGCTCCTGGTAGATGCTGTGCTTCACCCAATTTCTAAGGTCATTGTTTGCAAGTGTACTTCGATTCACATCATGGATGTGATATGATAAAAAGAAGGCTGCATTGGGCGCCAAACCGAAAGCTGAAGGGCTGAAGCCATGGGGTCTGTTTAAGCTTAGAAAAGCCTAGTTCCTTTGGGGCTGAATTTTTTCCTCTTTGCCAGGACTAAAGAAATACAAGCACTCTAGCGTAGGCATATTTTTGGTCTCCTAAGTTTCTATCAGATGTGAAAGGCGCCTAGTGTGAAGATGCAATAAGTTTGGATTTGGACTTTCCCCGATTATGCGATATGCTTGCAGGCACATGTGGCTTGCCATCTTTATTCCACCTTGGTACATTCACTTTTCAGGAGTGGCTGGAACGTCGCAGGCGTCTCCCCAATAGCTCGGTACCACCAGCGCAAAAGCCGAAAACGGCGTCATTTAGGTTCCACGTAGGTTCCTGCTCGAGCCCAACATCTGGAAAACAGATCTGGAGAGATGTAGCGTCTGCACAAGCTTTGGAGGCGCAGTGAAGGCAGAGAGAGTTGTCGGTTTAAAATATTATTGGTTGCGAAGTTCATCGTCACAGAGACTCAAATAGAAATATCCATGACTTTCAGGCAAAATCGCCATCATTCACCACTTTCACACAAGACCTTTTGAGCTGAATTACATCAACTGTTTATCAGAATGAAGTCTCTTCTTGTCCTTACCCTCGCAGCTTTCACTGTCTCCAGTCCAACCCTATCTGGTCCAGACCCTATCTCGCAAGACCATGTAGAAGAAAAAAGAGCGAGTAAGTCTTCTTCTGGGCTTCGCTTTTTCATTTCTAAATATTGGCTAACATCAAGCAAGACTCGCTTGCCAACGGGTATTGGGCCTGCAGCATACCCGCTAACGCAGTTTATACGAAAAAGCGGGTAACAAAGGGTGTCTGTAGTCCTACAGGTGTTCAATACTGGGTGGTATTAAAGAAAGACGGTGCCACAGCTTGCCAGGTACCGGATGGTACGTGCCCTTGTTCAATCTGTCAACCTCATTCTCTACCCACGAGAGTCCCTTAATCAGTACGACCAAAAACAGCTAACAATAGAGTCAGATTATACTTATACTAAAGTTCAGGAGTTGAAGGGAAATTGCGAGCCGGGCGCTTTCGCAAAGCAGTTTACGATATACAAGCCAAGAACTGGGCTAAAGGCGTGCGAAATTCCAAAGGACTGGACGTACAGCTTGGTCCAGGACACTTCAGGTACATGCGCACCAGGCGAAAGGCTATACACGCTACTCGCGCCGGGTGACAATGTGCAAGCTTGCTCAGTTCCAAGAAAATTCATCTACAGTGTTGCCCAGGAGATGTTCAACTCCTGCGAAATCAACAAGTCCGCTGTGCAATATCGACTACGTTTGCCGAGCAACAACCTCGTGGCATGCTCAGTACCCGAGGGTTGGACTTACACTCGCGTTCAGGATGTGCTGAGCATATGCAAGCCGGGCCAGAAAGCCTTGCAATATACACTAAGCCTTCCTCGCAACGGACTGCAGGCGTGTATGACGCCGCCTGGATGGGGTTATAGTGCGAAACGAAAGACTTCAGGCCTTTGTCCTCCTGAAGATGTGTTGTATACACTGAAGAAACTGTACTCTGTTGGCTTCGGGTTCAGGTTTGGATGTTTCGACAGTCGAACTGTAGACTCAACTCATCTTAGGGACTGTTGAACTTGGGTAGTTCATCCAACATGGCTACCGGGCGTTGTGAGACGGACTTCGATTTTCTTATCGTTTTGTTTTTCGTCTAACGAGCAGGAGCAATAACAGTATCATGAAGTCAGTATTTTATAATTCCGCTTCATATTCTTTATGGTGGCTAGTTTTTTTTGTTAGACTCAGTTCTTGTAGATGCTGAATCTGCCAATGTGACTCTTTTCCTTTTCTTGTTAGAAAGACTTAGTTGCTCCGTCACTGCGTAGCTGCACAATATGGGCCGATTGAAAGACATAGTTGCGTTTCAGTCTTACATCCAGTCTCAAATTTCGCTATCGCCCTACTGATTTCGAGCATTACCTTACTAACAGTACATTACCTCACTAACAGTAAGGTGTGGATACTTGAGGCGTTTTCCTGTTTCTCTCTCTCGCGACTCTGAGCACGATTCTAAAACTTTCGGCTTGTGGCTGTCTCCATTTGAATACGCCAGAGATGAATTTGAGACATAAAATTGGAGGTAACCAGCTCAAGCTAAACATGAACTTCCTGGCTATGCTATCCAGGCTTTAACGTTCTCACAGAACCAAAATTCTAATCCCTTTATGACATTTGTCGTCTATCCTAACCTGGGAGGCTAGCGGGCCGACTGACGACAGACGCATTTACTTAGAACGGAAAATGAAAGAGCTAAGAGGCAGACTGCTGGAGATTTTAGTATTCTATTACAAAAAGGTACACTATTTATTGACCGTTACACATTATTTTCTTCTCCGTATGTTGTCTTCTCTGAATTTGGCGAGCGATTGAATCATTCCCTCCTAATAAGGAATCCCAGTTACGGTGATAGGTATCACTAAAGTTTGTCTGTAGAACGCTATAGTTCGCACAGGTACAATGTGATTCAATTTTCCGTCTTTCAACGGCTTTCTTAGTGTGGTTTCTGCAGACTGGCATACCCGTACATGATAGTGCGCTGCAAAGTTTCAGCACATCTTACTAAAGTCCCAATGATACAAGCTTAATCTTTATGATGCTTGACTATGTCGATCTGAGAGGAGTATCGCCCCATTAGTGATGGAGGGCTTCTTGTCCTTTTCACACTTTCATGTGTCCCCGTCCCGAGTTTTCTATATCTATGCTACCAAGCGACGCACCTTGGGGTCACAAACACTAGTCGTGATTGCATTTTCTGGTCTGTGGCCTTATTAAAATGAAGCGCGACTAGTTTAGATAGGAAAACGGAGAAATCGCTGGCATATATTGACGGATCGAGTTCATACCAGTAGAAGATGGGTAGCAACACCAAAACTACTCACTAACAGAATCTCCAAAAAAGATAACGTAGGTATAGTTATGGTCAGTAGTTAAGATAATTTACGACGAACCACTATCTGCACGTCATCTCTTTTCGCATGCGTTCCGTACGTCATTTAAGGTGCCAATCTCGCTTCTGAAACTGCTAATTCGACTGAATGCATCGAATCCACTTGGCTGTCTATTTAAGATGTATCTTACAATAACTCAAACTTAGGTTTGGGTCATAGCGCCTTGTATTATATATGTAGCCAAAAGTGGCCAAGTGTTGATTTTACCTAGGTAAGGCCTCTTCTTTTTAGCACAAACAATATATGGGCATCTTCAGTTGCAGTAAATTTTAACCATGCACTTAAATGGTCGTTAACGTCACGGAATAACGTGTTTGATTAAGAAAAGAAGAAAGGGAGGAGAACAACGTCATTTATTCAGTATCTAGTTCATATTACAAGTATTTCCGTCTTTAATCATCTTCATCCAAAATCGTTCGATACACAAGCTATCATCCAAAGCCATCGAAAGACCGAATTTTTGACATCCGGCCAGAAGAGAATTACAACTGAATAACAATTCGAACTGTTTGAAGATTTCTTCAAAGCATTATTTCCTGGAAAAGTCTCTCAAAGGAGAAACACAGCGCCTCCTAAGACTCCCAAGGCCAAGGTGATGTATTTGGATGCTTCCTTGCTGGCCCCAGCCACAACAACTGAGTGTGTAGGCTTCTTGGCAGAGGGTGAGGGGTGGACGGGCGTGGGCTCATCAGGGTGCCCAGGTGTTTTGGCAGGTGGCTGAGGAGAGTCTTCAGAGGGCTTCTGGGAAGGCTCAGCAGGTGGGTGATGGGGGGGCTTAACAGGGGGCTTCTGCGGTGGGTAGGAAGGCGTATGTTCAGGAGATCCCGGCTTGGTCTCGTGGGGTGGCTCAGGGTGAGGAGGCTTTCCATCCACAGGCGGCTTCTGAGGGGGGTTTGCAGGAGGGTGAGGAGGTTTGCCAGGAGGGTTGGGCCTGGGGCAGTGTTCTCCATTGCAATCAGGGGGAGTGTCGCATTTTCCATTGTGACAAGGAACAGGAGGTGGCGTCTCGGGGCAGTAGGTTGTCGTGACTGTGGTAACCACAGTGGTTACCGAGCCGATGGCGCATGGCTTCACGCCGGGGGGGCAAGAAGTGATAGTATGGGTGATAGTAGCCGTGTAAGTGCTCGTCAGGGTGGCTGGCGGAGTCACGGGGCCCCCGGTGGGACCCCAGATGCCCGTTGAGTTCGTAATCCGAGTCAAGGTTGTAAGTCCAGTGCCCGTATGAACCGGATAGGCTTGGGACTCTGAAGAGACCGAGGGGGTGGTGGAGTGCTCAGTTTCGGTGCATGTGTCTTCAGAGCTGCTAACCACGGCAGTAGACTGAGCCAGCCCGGCCAGTGCCATTAAGGCGGCAACGGTAGTGGAGCGCATGTTGGAATGAGTGACAGTGTTTAACGAATGACTAGACCTCGGGAGGTAAACGAGTGGACTGAGATCCCAAGAGATTAGGTTTTTGTTGTGTACGGAGAAGGACAACATCTGTTGACGATGTCGGAAAGCCAGCACCTTTTATGTTTATCTAGAAATCCGCCAAACCCACTACATGTTGCCTCAAGCGCCATTGTATCAGACTAAAACACTTTGAGCCATTTTTACTTCTCTGGTTCCGCCTCAAGAAACAGGATCTTGCACTTCGTCGTTTTCTTCCAACGTGGACCAAGATTGACTGAGAGGTCAAGACCACCACTGCATCAAAGTAATTCGAATTCACAATGAAACATATTTCCAGTCAAGCGTGAGGCGATTTGACCATCCCTTACAGGTTTTTAATCTTAAGATGATTCTTTGCCAGCAAGCGTCTTAACAGGCGTCTGAGTTCAACTAAGCATGCCGTCTGAAGCGCAATGAGTGGATCGCCTTACGGGCGTTTTGGATTGCTTTCAAATGGTATTCACAGATGGGAGATTGTTTTTGATACGATATTTGCGTGGTACAGCCACTCATGTCTCTCCTCGCCTAGATTAGTAACTTTTGAGCAATAATGACGCCTTTCCAGATGTGGCATCTTGGCTGAGCAACCTTTACGCAAGGGACACTGGGTGGATCCAAGGCTCGCGATGTGTGGTGGGTTTTCGGCTTTGCCAGCCAATGTCTCACACTTCACTCAATAGTTCTTAAACAAATGTACACATGGAATTGACGTGGCAACAGACACTCTAGTTATTAGGTTCGGGAGTCGTCCAAAAAAAAGTCTCCCTTGCAAAACGCCTTGTTGAACCACTCATTAATCTTTGGGTATACCGCACTGACGAACCGACAAGCATTGGGCTTGAAGCCCGCCTCAGATCGTAATTAAACATCACCAGATTGCGGCTGTTCGTGGCGAAGAGCTCGACGTATTTTAAATTGTCGCTCTATCTAGTCCTTGCATACTCACTGCATCATTAATTATCCCTCTCGTGGTATGCACTCATCGTAACTGGTGTTTAAAGTAAGGCCTTTTTTTCGTGCTTTATTTCCTACTTGATGAGGCGAGGAGCGCATACAACTGGAATGTTATCAACAACAATAAATAAGCTTATTATTGAACAATGAGCTGTTTGTCAGATTTGGAATGACTCGTGTAACCACTGTCTAAGACATACCAAGTGTCTCGGTGTGCTAACATACGCCTCAGCGGAATGGGACACCACTGATCAGAAGGCGAACGTCACCCAAACCATTGTATCGCTTAGGAAACCTATTAAAATTGAAGTTTACTATGCCTTTATTGAATATTTGACAGGTTTCGGTAGGATCCGGATTGGCAAACCTCCTGTAGGACTTCATTAAATGCTCAAGCATGCTCACATGTCCCTCTGTTCCTTGCAATATCGTGGTTCATTTAAAAGTTCCCGAAAATTAGTATGGAAAATGGTTTTTTTTTCCCCTTTGCACGACATCATTGGAAGTCTAGAATAACGAAACTTGAATTCTATGCTCCCTCATGGCTTACCTCCAAGTCTGAGAGATGTCGTGTTGAGAACGATACGGTCCACGAACCACGTCCATTAACGGTACTATTAGTTAGATCAGCAGGCTTCAAACTATCTTCCAGACCCATTGTCTATTGCTATATATCCAAGGACTTTCAGATACTTGCTAAAACGTCAACGACGGGGTGCTTATAATTTTCTAAATTGTGAAGCCTTTTGTCACTCAAGCTTACTACTGTGTCATGGTTTACTGGTTTCAGGTGCTTGCAACATTATCTGAACTCTATCTCTCTCTGTTAGACTTGGAAGCGCACAGCCAATTTCATGTGGATAATTATGATGGGTTCCCGTTTCATTAGGCAAGTTCAGTGGTGGATGGGCAAACTTCTCATTCTCACTATTGCTTAAACAGACTCACGGTAAGCAGGTAAAACTTATATCAAGTCACAGATCATTCGATTCTCTTACTGCGGTAGGTGAACTTGATATTGAGTGGAATTGAGCGAAAGCGGTAGTTAATAGAGAACCCATCTGTCATTTGTTGCAAAACAAACTTCTCTGGCAGGAGCCCCAAAGGGAATGATTTAACATGATCACCGTTGGATGTCTTGGTAATCATAACTGCTTACAGGCCTCCTTGGTTCAAATTAGGCATTTATCAGAAAGTTTTGAGGTTGCGAGCACTTAAAAACTTGTCAATAGACAGTTTGATCCTCAACTCTCCATGCTTTGCACATTCAACTAAGGTACATCAGATGACCTCCGCCCTATACGCCTTCATTCCGTTACTGAACCAACACCAGACCTAAGTAACTCCATCACCCCCGTCTCAAGCTCTGGCAGAAAACACCTGCTGCCCATCAAACCATGTCTCCACAACCTTTGCCTGAAGTGCCTTTGATGGTTCCCATTCCAGATCCAGCACAGCCAGATCAGCCTTCTTTCCGACATCCAACGATCCAACACGGTCCTCCAAGAAGCAGCTTCTCGCCGCACCCTCCGTAGCACCAGCCACCACATCGCATAGAGACAAGGCAAAGTGAGGGTTAACCACCGTCTCCAACTCGGGTTCGCGGGCGGACTTCCGCGTCGTAGCAATGTAAAGGTTGTTTATAATGTGATGCGGTGCAGTCGGGGCGTCAGAGCCAATAGCCACGGGTGCGCCACCATCGGCAAACTCGCTGTACGCAAAAGCTCGACCACACCGATGCTCGCCGATGAGCTTCGGCCAGGCGCGTAGGATCGCAGGGTCGGAATGTACAGGCTGTACTGATGCAGTAATGCCCAGCTTTCCGAGCCGCTTGGCGTCTTCTTCGGTAGTGACCTCAAGATGCTCGATACGCGGACGGTGCTCCGGGCCGACATACTTTTCAAGTACATCGATGGCGTTGGCCACGGTCCGATCACCGATGGCGTGGAGCGCAACCTGAAGGCCATGCTTCGTCGCCGCTTCTACTACAGGACCCATTTGCTCCGGCGACCAGGCCGGCTCGCAGTTGTCATTGTTGTGGCTGTACGGCTCTTTCAGGGATGCAGTACATCCGTCAATGATGCCGTCGCAGACAAGTTTGATTCCGACGAGCCTGCAGTCCGGGTCGGTCTCGAAATTGAACTCTCGCGCGAGCTCTGCCGCTCTCTCGACCTGCTTGATGTTTTCGGCGTCACTGTCTCTCGGCAGAATCATCCAGTAAGCAGCGAAGCGGATTGGGAGTCTCCTGCCAGCCTCCTTCTCCCGCTTACGGTAATCTTGAATCGCGCTCCAGCCCTCTTCTTCCATTGCCATGTCAACCAAGCCAGTGAAACCAGCACTGCTATAATCATCGATCGCGGTCTTGACGGCCGATATGCGATCTTCCGGCGTTGACACTTTGGCCATGTACAGAGGAATTAACTTCATACTGGCCGCTTCGGACAGCAAACCGCTGGGCTTGCCCGTCTTGGGGTCGCGCACGATCTCGCCGCCCGGAGGGTCTGGCTCATTGTCCAAGTCCAGCTCAGCAAGAGCAGCGCTGTTTGCCCAAGTAGAGTGTAAATCTTTTGCAGTAATCAAAATCGGACGTGGGTCAAGGTCGTCGATGAGTGAGGCCAATGGACCCTCAGGCGTCATGAAGTGCATCCAGCCACTGCAGAAAATGCGCGCCTGGTCGGGGTTGGCGACTGCATACTCTTTAATCGTCTTCCTGATGTCTGCAAGACTTTTACAGTCATCCAGTCGCAACTTTTCCAAGGTTTGTCCCAGTTGAGTCAAGTGGATGTGTCCATCGACAAGTCCTGGGAGAACAGTGTAACCACCAACATCACGGACTTCGGCCCCAGCGTCAATCGCACTTTGCACCTCCGTTGCATCGGCTTTGCCTACGAAGCTGATAACACCGTCTTTGATAACTAGAGCTTCCGCAAAGTTTGCTTCGGATCGCTGGCCGGGAGGCGCCTTGTTGGACCGGAAGAATTTCCCGTTTTGGAAAACGACATATTTTGAGGCCGTCATAACGATGTGCCTGGCGTCGAATTGGTGATAAGGTGACGACGGTAGGCGTTAGCTGGAGGTTGCATCAGCCTAGGAACTGCACATCTTCAAACTTGAAGTTTCAACTACTTACCTTTTTGACAATGAAAGGTGGCGAGATGAGAAGGAGGGGCAAGGTTGCATGATCCTGATAGCTTGGATAGCATAGATACGAGGGGCATGCGGGGTATCAAATCCGACATCTCGGCCGGTCGCTCGGCGTTGTAACATGACTTGTGGGGTGGTACTCGGTGGTATTGAAAACCACGCAATGCCTCCGGAATCGGTGATTTGAAGATAAAACGGTCTTGGCATTGTAGATTTCGAATTCGAAAGAAACCAAACCTTGGTGTAGATAACGTAAGAAGTGGGGGAGAGTTTAGATGATGTCAGAATCCATCTAGATATTTTAATCCTGCACACATGCGCCATCACTGAGCCATACGCACGGTAAGGAGGAATTTTAATCTTGACCTCGAAAGCGTTCAGTGTGCAGATCATCAAGCATTTTTTAGGATAATATACGCGGCCGTTAGTGAGCCTTGTAAGAGGATTAGTTCATGAAGTACTTTGAGTTCTCGGCATACATTATGTGAGCACTGCCACCAGGCGTGATACAAAACATCAGTAAATTTCCCAGTATGATGGGAACATCAAACCTTTCATGAAGTGATCACTTGAATTGATTTGGTTTTTGAAAATATCAAATCTCACATCGGGTGAGAAAAGTTTCCAATAGGAGCAATTGGGTATCTCCATGCTTTTGCCAGTCCCGCTGGGAAAAGTGAAATGAGTGTCACAACTCAAAGTCACGGACCAACAACTCGAAACAATACTTATGATTCTCGATGGCCTCTGTGGCAACATTCAAACAGGCCTCAGATTGTGAAAGATGACAAAACTGGAATCATCCTTCTTTTCCAAGCGTCCCAGTCCCGCACTGCAATGTAACATTATATCAAACTCTACGTCCCCTCAGCTTCAGGCCCAAGCCATCGTTATCATCGCGCAGCACCACTTCCTTCTGTTTGCTGTCATTTTCCATCCATTTGAGATTCAAAAGATCTCCTTCTTGGTCCCGAGCTGGGTGGTCAAACCCGTGGTAAAGTAAAGGCAAAAGTGAGTCCTTCCAGGTAGGTTCCCCCCATGTCTGCCACATAACAAAAACGAGGATATATATGCTGAAGATAATCATTATGCCTGGATAGCAGAGATACCACCAGATAATTTTGTAAGAATTTGTTGTGCCCGTTTCTCCCGAAATCCAGCCCGACGGAGTGCTCCGAACGTTCGCATTGATTGAGAGAACCACGTTAACCGCATACGCCTTCAAAGTAGCCAACAAGCGGCTTTCTCCTGTCGCGGTGGTGTTGGATACTGCGGTTAACCAGGACCACATGAACAACTCTGGGACGGTACCACTTGCGTTGTATTCCTTGCCAGCGTGTTCATCTGGCTTATACACGCGACCTTGGATAAGATCGTTTAGGCCTCTTTGAAGGCTCTCGTGAGCTTTTTTTGAAACCTTGTATGGACAAGTTCTGTTTGCAGTCATGTTGCTGGTTTGTCCTGAATTACAAGGACCTTCTAGTATTATGTTTTGGTCTCCGTTCCCCATAGTCTGAATTCTTGCCGTGCTGTTTTCGTCGGGAGTTGTTGCATCGAGGGTCTTAGTCTTGTTCTGAAAGATAACTGATGTATAAAACGATGTTTGCCAGTATAGAACACACTCTGCCGCTTCTTGTGGTCCTCTTGTGCTATCTTTGGTAATGGCTGACAAATGAATAAGTAGGCCTGGATGTTCAGCGAAAGACCTTCCGAATGCGCTATTCTCCGGCACGTTCAAGCTTGACTTCAGGCTAAGCAAGGACGGCAGAGCATTCGAGGACACGTTCTGGCCAGAGATTTCAGGGCGGGTACTAATGTTGGCTTGGTTGGAATAGACATATCCGTCAGAGTCGATAGCGGTTTGTGCGCTTTCACACCTGTGGCCGATTTCGAGGAAGGTAACATCAGACCATCGACAAATCTCCGCCTTACAGTCGATCGTAGTTGTGAACATGTCACTGGCTATAACGTTGCTCAGTATATAAGACCATCCAAAGAGTAACGATGCCTGCATCGTTGGGTTCGTCGTTGTATGATTGAAATCGATGCCGTATGTGCCTGTCCAATCTGTGCCGTTGTATGTGTCGGCGACTGGCAAAGAGGCAGCTGCAGGATCGCCGTTTTTGCCAAACCAGAATGGGTTTCCTTTCACATCAATTGTGTTCTGCATTGACGTCGCCAAGAAAAGAACAGCAACGACGAAGATACAACTCGCAGAGATGTTTATTGAATAGCTGTGTATCGATGCGTTAGCTATGTCTTTTTCTGTAGCACACTTGGCGACGGGAATTTATTTACTAACAATATTTCCTTGGACAGAAGAATTTTGAGAGACCCAGCCATCCCTCTAGATGCTGCCTCAACTGCTTCCAATCTGGAAATTGGCCTTGGAGGTCGATTAAGGTAATGATACCATTTGAGCTGACCCATTGCCGCAGCAACAGGAACTGACATGCAAGCTCGCATCATGGTGCCTATCAGGGCAACCAGGGCAGGCAGATTCTTGGCCGGCGAAATCTGACGTTCAAACCAATATCCGTCGTTCACAATCTTGTGATTATAATAAATGAGAAGCGTCACAAAGAGGCCAAATAGTATGAGACAGAGGATCATGGATCCCAGTTCGAAAAACCAACACTCGTATAGAATTTTGATTATTGTTTTTGAACGGTGCGCATGCGTTTGGTTGTCAACTTCGGGCGAAGAGAAAAGGCGACAAGCTGGTGATTTAGCTGGCTCTCTGACGTTCGGCTCGATCTCATCAGAGCCACCTGAGGTGGGTGATGAAATGTCGCTTTTCTCAGAACGCGAATTTGTCATACTTGGCCAAAATAACTCTGATAATGGCCCTTTTGCCGAATTTGAGCGCACCTGGCCTAGAAGTGTACGATTGGGTATCTTTGGAATAGAATGCTATAATCTCGGCAACCCCTGAAGGCTCGGTTGTTTCGATTTGAGAAAAGTTGGAAAGAAAGAAAAGTTGGCAAACTGTAGTGTCTTTGGGTAGCCCGTGTGTATTTCGAGGAGAGAGGAATATTTTAAGCGCTTTTCACAACAGATCAACTAAGCAGCAATCGGCAAAATAATATTAACATGTGCTGAATCTCTATGCAGTAACTTTCAAGGCAGTATCGCGTGCGGCAACGGTGGCTGCTGTCTAATCCGAATTGAGGAGCAGTATTCTTCAATGAGGAAACATGATACGCATCGTCGTGAACTCAAGGCGCGAAAATGTTAGCTAGCCCATCACCAGGCTGTGTTTTGCAAATGAGGCGTCATTCGGCTGAGCTGAAAACCTGTGAACATCACTCAGTTGATATACTGTCTTAAACAAGGTGAGCTTTGGTCAAGTCTAGTCTTTTCAGCTCAATCCCAAAAGGTCAGTGTAGGTTTCACAGGGGGTGAAACGGAATTCCGTTCGTCAATAACAAATAACAGTAAATTGGTTCTAATCGATGGTTCATGATAGTTGAAAGTGGTGTTGTTGACTAGAAGGTGGGGATATTCCCCCTTGGCCTGTCACGTGGGTCTGGGAGGCTTGGGCCTCTCAGCCTGGCGGGCGTATGGCTGGAAGTGCCACACGACTCCGTATTCCAACTATCGCAACACTAGAAACTCTCTTTTTATAGTATTGAAGCGGTTGGAATACGTTATCCCTATATAGTTCCGTCTCCTCGTTAATTCGGCCTCCTATCCCTACTTTCTCCCGTAGTTACGGTCTTATTACCTATCCCTCTATACGTATCGTTATCGTATTGCTATCAACAAATCTCTCGAAGGCTTGATTTAGTTTGCTCTTCGTAAAGGTATTAGCAAGGTTGTCTTCGCCGTTAATCTAACGAATTTCTTATAGTTCTCGTCTTTCGTACGATTATCTTAACGCTATGATATCGATTATAAGTCGCTTTTCTTTAGTAATGCCTAGCTTTACAAGATACTCGTATAGCGAATAAGAATCGGTATAGATAACTATCTAAATCGTTAGTAGGTTAAGGTAGTTAGTAATTATCGCTAAGGTTATAGCGAGGGCGTAAGCTATATCGACGCTAGCAACTATCCCGTAGATCTCTAACGCTAATACGCTATAGGTAACTTATTTACTTTTCGTAAAGCTATAATAAACAAGGTTACCGTAAATCGTAAATTCTCTATTATTACTATTAGAAGAAGTATCGTTAGCTAAGATAATTAGAAACCCTAATTAGGAGGAAAGGTCGTAGTTATTAGCAAACGACTTATTAACGAAAACGAATAGCTTAGCTATTATAAGGTCGAGTAAGATAAACGTTATTCCTCGGTTAGGCGATTCTATTTACTATCGAATCCGTTGATTTAGTACTTTTATCGCTTCTAGCAAGGGGTCTTAGTATTAGGTAGTAGTAGATAAATCGAAACAAGCCTCGGGTTAGTAAATTAACGCGATATACGCCTTTCTAGCGCGTTATTCGATATATTACTATTTTAGGTTAGGTTTAGTAGTCTTAATATATCGTAACTTCTTAGCTTATCCCTTTTGCCTTAAATTAATCGAATTATCGGTTAATAGCGCGATTATCCCTCTATTAAATTAGAAGGGTTTGTTAATTATAAGGATATTCTTCGCTTTTGCTATAAAAGCTGCTTTTTCTAACTATTCGTCTTCTAATTATAAGAACGCCTTATCTAATAAACCGAGGGTATCGTCGGTTTATATGCCGATATAGCCAAAGTATAGATTTTCGGTAGATAAGATCAATAGTCATAGATCGTACGAAGAAGTAACTATCTAGAGATTCTCTCTATGATGCTTATGATACGTTGCTTACTAGTAGGTTCTAGCTTCTGCGATTCCGTACAGAGGCTTCACAACCTCCATAATAGTCCCTTTTGGGTAC